GGGGCCCTAAGCTATAGCTTGTTTAGCTTATACAGTGGTACCTCGGGTTACAGACACTTCAGGTTACAGACGCTTCAGGTTACAGACTCCGCTAACCCAGAAATAGTACCTTGGGTTAAGAACTTTGCTTCAGGATGAGAACAGAAATCGTGCGAGGCAGCAGTGTGGCGGCAGCAGGAGGTCCCATAAGCTAAAGTACCTCATGTTAAGAACAGTTTCAGGTTAAGAATGGACCTCCAGAACGAATTAAGTTCTTAACCCGAGGTACCACTGTATGTAAATCTAGCACTGGGGATGAGGCACAGTTTGAAAGCTAAGAACCAGCAGCCATTGCTTATTCAAGAGCTCCCCTGGCCCACCCTTGAATGTGAATGGAACTCTGCCTCTTTAAAGCTACAATCCTAAACACGCAGCAGTGAGCTCTGTGAGGCTTACTTCTGGGTAGAGTCATGTAGGCTTACACTGCCAATTTTTTTCAAACAGCAAGGAGGGAAGAGTGAAGAGGGAAATGGATATAACTCTCCTCTCCTCCTGCCCCACAACTGTTTCCCAGTTAAAATCTCTCTCTCTCACACACACACCCTGCTGTCTGTCCCACAGCGAAAACATGGGCCTATTATCTCCCATTTCATGAAGAACTGCCCAGTCATTATATGAACACAGTTTTCTCCCTTCCAAGTATTAACATAAAATGATCTTTATGTATTTTATTAAAGTCTGAATTATCCAAGATATTACAAATGACTTCATGGACCCTTGACCTCTCTACCCACCTCCCCATGAAGCAGTCATCTGAGAAAGAAATGAACTCATTTACAGTTATATCTTTAATGACTTTAAAGTGGTACTTTATAGAAATGATCTGTTAAATACATTGTTCACTGATTGTGCCTTTGGAATCTTTCCATGACTTGTCATAATTCCAGGAAAAGCTATACCTGCTTGATTTTTTTCTGTGCCGGGCTGCTTTTAAAGACACGTGAGCAGGGACAGTAGGAATGGTGCCAATCTAACACCATAACGGTGTGATTTTGTGTGTGTACGTGTGTCAGGCAATTGTTGTGCTCTTGGGAATATTAGTGCCAATTCTGAGTTCATTTTTAATGCAACCCTATTAACCATGGGTAGGCAAACTAAGGCCTGGGGGCCAGATCCAACCCAGTCACCTTCTCAATACGGCCTGCAGACGGTCCGAGAATCAGCATGTTTTTACATGAGTAGAATGTGCCCTTTTATTTAAAATGCATCTCTGGGTTTTTTGTGGGGGCTGCCTGGTGTTTTTACATGAGTAGAATGCGTGCTTTTATTTAAAATGCACCTCTGGGTTATTGGTGGGGCATAAGAATTTGTTCTCCCCCCAGAAAAAATATAGTCCAGCCCCCAACAAGGTCTGAGGGACAGTGGACTGGCCCCCTGCTGAAAAAGTTTACTGACCTCTGCAGTATTAACCCAGAATATTGCAGGAGTAAAGTGATGAAATTTGGGGTGGCATTTCAGTATAAATTTCCTTCCTGCCATTTTGAATCATGGGGGAACAGAAGCACACATGTAGAGGAGGGGTGGGGAAAGAGTGGTGTCATCCAATGACATTTGTTGCAGTGTCACAACACACCCACTGGTCTGAATGAAAATTAGTGCGACACACACTGGCATATTGGTCAAAAAGCCACAGTTCTAGAAAACAGCATGTGAAAGGAACATTAGAAAACAGAGCAGAAACACTAACACCATACAGTGGTACCTTGGTTCTCAAACGCCTTGGTACTCAAACAACTTGGAAACCAAACACTGCAAACCTGGAGGTAAGTGTTGTTTTTAAAAGTCTGGAACGGATTTATCCATTTTGCATTACTTTCTATGGGAAAGCGCGCCTTGGTTTTGGAAGGCTTTTGTTTTGGAACGGACTTCCGGAACGGATTAAGTTTGAGAACCAAGGTACCACTGTAATCAGGAAAACTAAATATTCCTCATTTTTGATTGCACCCGTAGGCTGCTAAGTCTATGCTACTGGTTGTTAAAAGTGTTGGCAGAGCAGAAGGGAAGTAGCCTGAAGCTGCCATGCTGGAGACTTGGAATGGAAGAGTCTGTTCCCTTACTCCTGAGGAGGCCACCCATGCAAGACACCCCTGGCACTATGTGACACATTAGTCGGTAGTGGCAGCAGAAAGGACTGGGATGGGTTCCCCAGGGCTATTCGTACCGGATAGGATTGACGCCCCAAACCTCCCTATTACACAAACAAACCAGGATAAAGGCTCAACAAATAGGTCATCTGGAAGCATAAAAAAAAAAACATCGGGAAGCTCCATGGTTCCAATTTTTAAAATGCTGCTTTAAACCACGTTATGGTGTGTGTGTTTGTGTGCATGCTTGCTGCATAAATGTTCCATATACGTAAACAATTGTTGTAGAAAAAATTGGGGTTTTCTTTTGCTACCCAACTCCCCAAGGGACTCTGAGTCCCCTAAATCCACAATTGGATGGAGGCAGGATCCAGCGAAAGCGAGGCAGAGGAAACAGTTGGGGTTATTAAGAGTCAAGATGATTTCAGGATTGCTCTCCTGCACTATTTCAGACATGTGCTTTATATACTGAAGCCTGCGCATTTGCCTTGTGCATTTGTGAACCTTTACTCTATATCTGAGACCTCATGATTCTTGTAACACCAGCGAAATAACCTTACTATAAGAGGGACCCAAGAGGGAACAGACTTTGGGACTCGCAAGGGGCGGAGCACAAGGCAACAGGGAAGTCTGCTTTTTGCTCAGATTAGCCGAGTGAACGTTACGCTAAACCTGTTCTTATTCCGATGAGTTAAATTTGCATCAATTGTGCATTTCGCCTGCACCATAGCCTGTATTCGGATTATTTCTGCCAGTAAAGCCAAGGGTGTGGGAGAATCACAAGGGCAGCTTCACGCTGGGGAACCTTGTTGTTGTTTAGTTGTGTCCGACTCTTCGTGACCCCATGGACCAGAGCACGCCAGGCACTCCTGTCTTCCACTGCCCCCTCAGTTTGGTCGAACTCATGCTGGTAGCTTCGAGAACACTATCCAACCATCTCGTCCTCTGTCATCCCCTTCTCCTTGTGCCCTCAATATTCCCCAACATCAGGGTCTTTTCCAGGGAGTCTTCTCTTCTCATGAGGTGGCCAAAGTATTGGAGCCTCAGCTTCATGATCTGTCCTTCCAGTGAGCACTCAGGGCTGATTTCCTTAAGAATGGATACATTTGATCTTCTTGCAGTCCATGGGACTCTCAAGAGTCTCCTCCAGCACCAGAATTCAAAAGCCATCAGTTCTTCGGCGATCAGCCTTCTTTATGGTCCAGCTCTCACTTCCATACATCACTACTGGGAAAACCATAGCTTTAACTATATGGACCTTTGTTGGCAAGCTGATGTCTCTGCTTTTTAAGATGCTGTCTAGGTTTGTCATTGCTTACTCAGATTAGCCGAGTGAAATAGTCCCATTCTTTACGCTAAACCTGTTCTTATTCCGATGAGTTAAATTTGCATCAGTTGTCCATTTCGCCTGCACCATACCGTGTATTCGGATTATTTCTGCCAGTAAAGCCGAGGGTGTGGGATAATCACAAGGGCAGCTTCACGCTGGGGAACCTGCCTGCCTGCAAATAGGAGGTGGGGGGGGGCCCCGCAATCTTAAAACAGCAATAAATCAGCGCAACGGCCCTGGATTCCTCGCAACTCTATAGCAGAGCGAGGGCTCATCATCAACTCCCTGAGCCTTGAGCACGGGAATCTCAAGCAAGGAAAGGGTCGTTTTGCAAGGGAAGGGAGTGCGCGCCCGGGCAGGCCGCGAGGGCGCATGCGTAAAACACCGCGGCTTCCACGCGGAGCAATGACACCGGGTTGCCTTTCACCTACTTCTGCCTCCCCCGGCTCGCCTCGGCGACGGGGTAACTGGAGTTCAAGCTCCGGCGGCTGCACTGAGCCTGCGCGCGGCGCGAGGGAGAGCAGACGGCGCGCGCGCCACGAAGGCCGGCACGTCCTGTGCTCTGCAGCAGCAGCAGCAGCCGCCTCTCCGCGCTCAGCGCCGCTGGGGGAGCTGGCAGAGGAAGAGAAGGAGGGGGCGCTTTGCTGGGAAAGGGGATGGAGCAGGGGCGGATTTATGTATAAGCTAAACAAGCTATAGCTTAGGGCCCCACTCTCTTGGGGGGGGGGCAAAATAAATTTAAAGGGGGAAAAACCTGGATGTACATTTCCAAAATATAAGATAAAAAACAAATAAAATAAAACCTACATACAGCAACAGAGGCAAATGGCTTTAGATACCTATTAGGTCCATAAATTACCATATAGCACAGGCATCCTCAAACTCAGCCCTCCAGATGTTTTGGGACTACAACTCCCATCATCCTTAGCTAGCAGGACCAGTGGTCAGGGATGATGGGAATTGTATCCCAAAACATCTGGAGGGCAGAGTCTGAGGATGCCTGATATAGCATATCTTCAACACAAAAAACAGCGACAAATTGTTGTCGGCAAAGGACAGCTGGACATATAAAGGGCCCCATCACCTTCAGTAGCTTAGGGCCTCATCAAACCTAAATCCGGCCCTGGGATGGAGGCTCAGTCACACACACACACACACACACACCATCCTCCCTTTTGCAGTGAGAAACAGAAATGCAAACATAGTGAACAGGTCCAAAACAAAACAAAACAACAACAGCAGCAGCAACAACGGTGGTTTGAATTCCAGATATATAAGATGGTACAGTAGTACCTCGGGTTAAGTACTTAATTCGTTCCGGAGGTCCGTACTTAACCTGAAACTGTTCTTAACCTGAAACACCACTTTAGCTAATGGGGCCTCCTGCTGCTGCCGCACCGCTGGAGCACGATTTCTGTTCTCATCCTGAAGCAAAGTTCTTAACCTGAAGCACTATTTCTGGGTTAGCGAAGTCTGTAACCTGAAGCATCTGTAACCTGAAGCGTATGTAACCTGAGGTACCACTGTATAGGTATATGAGCAAACAAGGATGGCTCAGTTGGGGATAGCATGAGGCTGTTAATCCCAGGGTGGTGGGTTCGAGTGCCACTCTGAGCAAAGGTAACCTGGCATTGCAGAGGGTTGGGCTAGATGACCCCTGGGGTCCCACCCAGCTCTGCAGTTCTATAATACGTGTATTAAAAGTTTGGAAGGAACATGGACCTAGCCAGGATTTATGTTAAGAGGGGTCTGGACACCCATCTGTCCTCATCCTCTGTCTGGCTGACTGGGAACAAAACATCTCCACAGCAGTTATTTTGAATTACTTCCTTTGGACCCCAAGTGGTCGGGAAAATCTTGTCAAAATCTACCATTTCTGACTTTTATTTAAGTATTTTTATTTACTTACTTGATTTCGAGAAGGCAGCTGCACCCTCTGCACCCCTTGGCTACGCCCATGGGATGGAATGGAATTGCCTTTGCTGCCATCAGTATGGGGGCCAGGCGCATCCCTGATTCACATTTAATTTGCAACTCAGGGGTAGGGTGGTTTGCTCAGTGGGCAGAGCGCATGCATTGCACACGGAGCGTCCCAGGTGAGTGGACACGGCAGGGTTAGAGAACCTTTGGCCCTCTAGAAGTCTGAACTACAACTCCCATCACCCCTAGCCATTGGACATGCTTGCTGGGGCTGGTGGGAGTTGTAGTTCAGCAACTTCTGGTGGGCCAAAGGTTCCCTGCTTGTGGGCTGCAGATCCCCCTGGTTAAGCTAAGTGACTGTGAGGCTGGTCAGAGACTGCATTGTATGCTGAAGGGTCTGTGTTCAAATCCTGGTAGGGCTGAGAATGTCCCCTGCCTGAAATCTTGGAGAGTCAGTGTAGACATTAGAGAGCTAGATGGGCCAATGGTCTAACTCTGTACAGTGGTACCTTGGGTTACATACACTTCAGGTTACATACGCTTCAGGTTACACACTCCGCTAACCCAGAAATAGTGCTTCAGGTTAAGAACTTTGCTTCAGGATAAGAACAGAAATCGTGCAGCAGGAGGCCCCATTAGCTAAAGTGGTGCCTTACGTTAAGAACAATTTCGGGTTAAGAACGGACCTCCAGAACGAATTAAGTACTTAACCTGAGGTATCACTGTATAAGGCAGTTTCCTTTGTTCCTAAATATTTTTATTTACAGTGAAATCTATAAATTTCTACTCAGAAGTAAGCCCTGCTCTGTTCCGTAGGGTGTGCTCAAGTTTCCATCTTATCCCCTAACGTAAGTATGTTTAAAGCTGCAGTTATGAGCAAGAGACTCTTAATCTCAAGGCCACGGGTTCATGCCCCACGTTGGGCAAAAGATTCCTGGATTGCAAAGGGTTTGGATTTGGTGGCCCTCGTGGTCTCTTCCAACTCTGCAATTCTGTGATTCTATTTCTAAATCCGATACAGACTCACAGTTCTGAAAATGAACTTCAGTAACATCTGAGATAACGAAAAAAGAACTCTTCCCTAATCCACATCATGTTTCAGTTTTTCCCTTGTAAGAAAGTTGCATCCATGTTAAAGGAAAAGAAATGGAGATAACAAATTCAAAAGCATTTTTTTAAACAAAACAAAACTGAAAGGATAGTTCCACACATCAGTATGTAGCAGTTGGGATAAAATGAACACACACACACACACACACAATGTTTCTAAATATTTATTCTCTTTGGTTCAAATCCCATTTCCCCCTGCTCCATTCTCCGAAAAGGTTATATTTTGCATAGCTTAGACTGCACAGAGCCTCCTTCCTTGATCTTGCTGAATGTTGGCAGCAAAATAGCATGTTTTCAATTCTTGCTGAGTCTATTTCTTTGTGTGCTTGAGGTTACTATCGGTCAAATCTTCAGGGTGTGAGTGGTGCCTGCAGCTAGCAACAACCCGATTCCTTTTACAGGAAATTGTAGCTTCATTGTGTGCATTGGTCCAGAAGTTTTATCTCTTTCTCTCTCTTGCTACTTTCCCCCTCCCTTGTTTATGGTAGCGACTGATAAAATCTTGCAACACAGAGAAATTTCCCAGATTCATCCCTAGAATTATCTTTTTAAAATCTTGCTGGGGAGACACGCTCTGCTCCACAAAAAAGGAACAGAAGTCCTGTGATAGTTTAGAGATGAAAAACATAACTTGAAGATGGAGGCCACTGCAAATATTAAAAATCTCCTGGCCCATTTTACACATTACACGGCATCAAACCCATATTTGCCATGAAGGACATGGGTGGCGCTGTGGGTTAAACCACAGAGCCTAGGGCTTGCCGATCAGAAGGTCGGCGGTTCGATTCCCCAGGACGGGGTGAGCTCCCATTGCTCGGTCCCTGCTCCTGCCAACCTAGCAGTTCGAAAGCACATCAAAGTGCAAGTAGATAAATAGGTACCGCTCTGGCAGGAAGGTAAACGGCGTTTCCATGCACTGCTCTGGTTCACCAGAAGTGGCTTAGTCATGCTGGCCACATGACCTGGAAGCTGTACGCTGGCTCCCTTGGCCAGTAAAGTGAGATGAGCACCGCAACCCCAGAGTTGTCTGCGACTGGACCTAAAATGGTCAGGGGTCCCTTTACCTTTACCTTTATATATTCTGGAAGCTGATCAGGGTGCTGGGGCAACCCAAGAAGATGTGTGGTAAAATTATCATTATGGAATGGGATGTCCCTATTTTCATCGGAGAAATGTTGGAGGGTATGTCAGTTTTGCACTGAAAGTGAAATGAATCTCTAATGCAAAGTATGCACCAGAAAGAGTGGCTTTTATCGTCACAGCAAGGTGGGCAGGATGAAGTAATGGCTTCCAAACTGCACACATTTAATGTCACCCTTAATGAACAAGGCAGAAGTGCCAAAGCTAAAAATAGTGCCTTTAATGCACAAGTATTTTTTTTGCATCCTTCTTCTAATTACGGTAGCTGTAGGCTTCTGGCAGGGAGTCCCAGTACCTCCATCCAGTAATGAGGCATACAGAGTCAGCTTGAAGGAGACAGGAAAAGATTTATAGGCACTTGAACTAATGAACATTGTAAGAGCTGTTTCAGGTCTGTAGTATGTTACAGTGGGTTGGTTATATTTTTCCCTAAGGGAGCCTTAAGCAGAGCGGGGAGGGTTTAAATAACCAAGGAAGGAAAAAAATCCTGCCTTTGACATCTGAGTTCTGCTTGCCATAAGAGCTGAGATGTGGACAGAGACCTCTGAGGTCTTATGGGTAAGCCAAAATGTTTTGGCTGTGACAGGCTTGGTCAGTGTGGATGGTTCTGGTCACGGATCCTAGGAAAAATTTGGCAGCGTCAACTCGGTCCCAGCTGTGAATTCAGGGAGTTGAGGGCAAATGCATAACACTGGTCAATAAGATGTTTGAAGAGCCTGTTTATACAATCAGGCGAAACAAGTGATCAAGCTTTTCCTGGACTCTGTCACTTTAGGCAGATGGAGGGGCAGGCATCACATGTTCGAATCAACACACAAAACTGTACCAGCACAGAGACAAGTGTAAAACCAGCATAAAACTATCACAAGGAAGATAAGATCAACAAGAACATATCTTGCCAATTATCTCGCCATCAATAAAACACTTCCCCACCCCCAGGCATAATTAGACAGGATCTTTTTAACCTCCAGAGCCCTAGGTGGCCTATTTTGAGGATTGCCTTCCGCTCCTCAACTTTTCCCATCCTGGCACCCTCCACCAGGTTTGTTGTGCCCTCTAACGCTTGGGCTACAATCCCCATCAGTCCCAGCTAGCATGGCCAATGCTCAGGGATTATCAGAGTTGTAGTCCAAAACATCTGGAGGCCTCTGGTTTGGGGAAGCTAGCTGTCCCATATGAACCTGCCTGGATGCTGAGATACACTTCTGAGGCCTGGAGTCAGGAGGGACAAGAAACAGGCTCAGCTCTGATTCCTGTGCATTCCTTCGCCGCTTCCTGTATAAGTGAATTGGTTGTTACTCACTCCTGTGAGGGGGAAAAAATACGGTGCTGAACTTAAGAGGTACCCTCATAGGAGCCACAGACAGGAGCCAACAGGTGTGTGATACATTACATCTTCAAGAATCCATGTGTTTTTGCTAGTTTGTTATAACTATGTATCACAGTGAAACCTCGGGTTACAGACGCTTCAGGTTACAGACTCCGCTAACCCAGAAATAGTACCTCGGGTTAAGAACTTTGCTTCAGGGTGAGAACCCCATTAGCTAAAGTGGTGCTTCAGGTTAAGAACAGATTCAGGTTAAGAACGGACCTCCGGAACGAATTGAGTACTTTAACCCGAGGTACCACTGTATGCCTAGGAAGTGAATGCGTTGATGCACATTCTGTTTTTTTAAAAAAATGATATTTATTAAAGTTTCAAAAAATACAAAAAATACCAAATACAGAAAAAAGAGTAAAGTTTTTTAAAATATAACAAAAAAGTAAAAAAGAAAAAAGAAACATACAAAATAAAACAGTTAAAAAGACATTAATTTTCCAAACCTATCTTCCCTAAACTTATTTCTCCGGACCTCCTCATACCTCCCTTTTTTGTATTCCAATTCAGTTTGTTAGTTCAGCAAATCCTTACCATTAAACTTTTGCCCAATTGTAAACCTTTTTTTTCATATCTCTTAAAGCATTACAGCTAAAAACCTCTTAGTTTCTATCCAACATCCTTCTAAGATTCATTAATTTTACAATATTTCTGTAAATAGTCTTTAAATTTCTTCCAGTCTTCTTTGACCGACTCTTCTCCCTGGTCTCGGACGTTGATGCACATTCTGTATGTTAAATGCCAAAGGTTCATCCAGCTCCATTTGTAGTTACAAAAAGTCCAGCTCGTGTTTCAAACAATGGTTTCATTGCAAGAAATATATTGCTGTTCAGACCTCAAGTCTAGAAGCTGGAGCCAGTTCAGGACAATTAACTTGTTCACATGTGATTTCTATGGAGAATTGTGCTTCACAAGTGGCCCTAGTCACTTCTACCTAGTCCTCCCCCCCACCAAGAGCAAAAAGAGACTGAAGTCCATTTTCTATGAACTGCTTCTCTCTTTGTTGTACACAATAGCCTGCGTGTTAGAATGAGAGGACTGCAGTGCATAAGCGGATGAAGTCAGTATCAGGGAAAAAGAAAACAGAAACACAGTGAAGAGCTACATTTTCCAGTGCACTTCTTGCCTATAAAAGATAGGACTTCCACATCTTCTTAAAAGGGCAATGGGTTTGCAATAAAAGCATTGACATAAAGACAAACATTCTCGCCCCAAAAGCCGGCAGCAAGCTTGAAAGGATTTCTGTTTGTGATATGTGTATACCCACCCCACTTTTACCTCTGGTAATTACCGTATTTTTTGCTCTATAAGACTCACTTTTTCCCTCCTAAAAAGTAAGGGGAAATGTGTGTGCGTCTTATGGAGCGAATGCTGGCTGCGCAGCTATCCCAGAAGCCAGAACGAGCACGAGAGATTGCTGCTTTCACCGCGCACCACGCCCTCTTGCTGTTCTGGCTTCTGAGATTCAGAATATTTTTTTCTTGTCTTCCTCCTCCAAAAACTAGGTGCGTCTTGTGGTCTGGTGCGTCTTATAGAGTGAAAAATACGGTATGTTTTTGCACCATTTTAAAGACATTGCCGTGGAACAAAAGAAGTGCGTGCATTCATAAAGGGAAGTAAACGAAAATCTGGTGACCGCAGCAGTTGATAAAAATGCATGTGAAGCTGTGCTGTGCTCAATTTAGGAAAAGGGTTTGCGAAATTGCTCTCGCCTCATGCTTACTGTCGTATGAGGGCTTGCTCCATCTTCCATGTGACAGCCCTTGAGATATTTGAAGATGGCTATCCTATATCCTCTCAGTCTCCTCTTTTCCAGCTCCCTCAACTGTTCTTCATTGGTTTCCAGACCCTTGGTCTTTTTGTTTGCCCTCCTCTGCACACATTCCAGCTTGTCACCATCCTTCTTGAATTGTGGCACCCAGAACTAGACACAGTATTCTAGGTGTAGTCTGACCACCTTGATCTACAATATAGTGATCATGGGATGCTTGTGCACAAATTTGTACTGAGTGCAGAATAACAGAATCCTGTGAATCCCAGTCTTCATTGTCTTTAGCAAGTTTCTAGTCCCTGGGTCAATGAAGAGAGGGTTGGAAGATTGTGAACAGCACCTGGTTAAATCCAATATGCCAGCCATTCACTCGGCCACAGGAAAGCAATCCAAACTCTGAAAAACTGGCACAGTCTGTCTTTAGTAAAGGGACTTAGATAAATGTTTGGCAGTGATAACCCTATTCTGTCCCCCTGCTCTCAGGCCCACCTGCTGTTGCCTCTGTTTCAATCTATGTTTGCTATTTCACCTACTGTGAGCATTTAAATCCAGAAACACGATAGCCAAGGATCCAGATCCAGCAGGCACAAGAAAGTCAACAGTTATGGCGACAGTTTTAACTGCTGCCCAACTGCTGGCTGACTGTATGCTGCTGCTTTGTATTAACGTGGCATTTTTTTATATGTAATTGTGTCTTTTTGCTTAGCTATGGTTTTCCCAGTAGTGATGTATGGAAGTGAGAGCTGGACCATAATGAAGGCTGATCACCGAAGAATTGATGCTTTTGAATTATGGTGCTGGAGGAGACTCTTGAGAGTCCTAAGGACTGCAAGAAGATCAAACCTCTCCATTCTGAAGGAAATCAGCCTGGAGTGCTCACTGGAAGGACAGATCGTGAAGCTGAGACTAAAATACTTTGGCCACCTCATGAGAAGAGAAGACTCCCTGGAAAAGACCGTGATGTTGGGAAAGATGGAGGGCACAAGGAGAAGGGGATGACAGAGGACGAGATGGTTGGACAGTGTTCTCGAAGCTACCAGCATGAGTTTGACCAAACTGCGGTAGGCAGTGCAAGACAGGAGTGCCTGGCGTGCTCTGGTCCATGGGGTCACGAAGAGTCGGTCACGACTAAACAACTAAACAACAACAAAATTGCTTATTGTTGCTTCAGTTTTCTGTATACCACATAGGAGATATTTTTAAAACATTAATTGGTGCAGAAATCAGACAGTCACCTTGATGGAGAGGGCATAAGCTGCAGCCAACCATGATGCCGACATGGCAACAGTAAGAATGCCTTGAAATAACTGCAAGAATTTAGAGGAAATCCGGTCTTTGGTCTGCTTGTGGACCTGGAGCGTCGCTGCTCTTAACAACATCCATGGTAACAGGAAAGCAAAGCATAACATAGAACAGTAACCATCCAGAGAAAGAGCAGTTAATATTCACAGGCTTCTCCCCCTGAAACTGTAATCCTGAGGCTGCAATTTTGTACACAGTTGGGCTGATCAAATCCTACAGACTTTGATGGGATTTAAATAGCGCAACTGCACGCAGTATTGCAGCCTAAATTTGTGGCTGGCCTGGATGAGAGGGAATCACTCCTCAATTGTTCCATTTATGTTTCTTCAAGTGCTAAGTTTATCTCAGGAGGTTTCTGGGCAAGATGACAAGTGTTCACACTGTGGGGAAAAGAATAATGAAATGCTTTCTGTGGAATCTCACAGGTGTTTTTGGAATTAACAAAGAAGCAGGGGGAAGTAATTGATTATTATTATTATTTTTAAAAATCAGTATGGCTTGCGGTAACCGGTGACCTAACCCTCTCAAAGACATATTGGACCCCTTCCCCAACTTTTCCATTTTTAACCAGTGGTCAGTGTTGATGTAAATTGTCGCCCAATATCAAATGGAGAGCATCACATTGGCTACCCCTGTTCTATACAGAGATCATAGAATTGTAGAGTTGAAAGGGGCCACGAGGGTCATCTAGTCCAACCCCCTGCAGTGTAGGAATCTTTCACCCAACATGGGGCTTGAACCCACAACCCTGGGATTAAGAGTCTCATGCTCTACTGACTGAGCTATCCAAGATCAGAAGAATCTGCACACAGTCTTCTATGTGTTTCTGTTCCACCTGCAGCTATTCTCCAGCTGATGAATGCAAAGGTGTTGGGTTGAATGGCAGCATCTTGGAATTTTAATTTTTTATTAAAATGATACACTTTAGACTAGTGTAAGTGGGATCCTGCAGTGAAATTTTGCAGCATGGAGGATTCTGTTCAGGATTCCGGCTAGTCCCTTCCGTTTGATTCCACCTCTGGTTTTCCAGTTCCCTCCCACAACAATCAGTCAGCCTTCCATGGCAACTGAGCATGCACAGTCCTAACTGGGAACCCTGGAGTGCTGCTGCCAGCCAGAGTAGGCAGTGTACAGGACCTCGTTGCACCAATGGTCTGACTCAATAGAAGTCAGTTTCCAGTGTTTCTAGACATGTTTAAACCAGCTCTAATGCTAGCTCACCAACACACAAATTATAGTTTAATAATGATAGTGTGTTTGTCAGAGTGATTTCTTTTCCTGGGTAGCTTTGGTTGCAAGATCAAGACTTAAGCTCACAAATGAGCCAAGGTCAAAACTGTTTAACATGCAACTCCATTTTGCATAGTTCCACTCTCTTGGAGTCTCAAATGGTAGAGGAATGTTGCTGGCAGAGCTTGCCTGATCAGTCAGCTCTGTGAACTGAATACCATTCAAATTGTACCCCTTTTCAATATATATATATATATATATATATATATATATATATATATATATATACACCCCATAGCTTTCCAGCTCTGTAACTCCCTTCAGATATTGAAAAGCAAAACTTTAATGCAGGACTATGTGTGTAATTATAAAAGTGAATTACCGGTACCTCTTGCTGGCTACTCAGAGAGCACCATCAAAATGCTTAGTTCTTGCTTAAACAGCATATCCCTTTGGGAATTCCTTTTACAAATCTCCTTACGAGTTTAATGAAGTGATTAAAAATTATTTAACACTCCAAAGGGTCTTTTCAGAGTTTGGAATCTTTCAGGAAGGAACAGAACTGAGCTCAGTTTGTTATTCTTACTGGCGCTTAAGGAGATGAGAAAAAGGAGGTTGCCTTAATTTTTAAGTGTTTTCTTCTCTGCTGGTAAGAATTTTAGCCAATGGCTAGCATACCAGTCTTACTCCATCTTCTGGTTGTGCAAATCTGAACACACCTTCGTTTACAGTCACGCTTCTTGGTGTGCGTAATGAATTGAGGTTGGCATAACAACAAATAGTATTTCTCTGTATGAGATTAACCACCCCAGCTGCAGTGGGTTCTCAGGAGACAATATAAATCAAACCCTCTTGTAAACTTCAATTGCTCTCCCCTAGTTTTGTTCTTCTGACCACCAGTCTTTCCTTTGAAGTCGATTGTTATTACTATTATTCTTTATAATTTATATGCCACTGACATGCCAAAATAGCTCCTAAGCCATTTACAGGTATGGAACAAGTTGTAAATTCCACACACAAGGATAAGGCTCTCATGCACAATTTAATCGTTGCTAATTGTGTGCCTGTTGCTCAAAGGAGGAAATAGGTTACCACCCACAGTGAAAGAATGGCTGGCAAAAAACATGGAAGATGGCAGGCATACATAATTACAATGCACATTAAAAGAATTCCATCAAAACATTAAAAGCATTCGTAATTACTGTAAAATGTACAATGAAGCAAGCCCTATGGAAAGGCATGGCAAATTTAAAAGTTTAAAGTGCAGTTAAAACCAGCGCAGGTTCTGGGGATACTTGATTTAAAAGTTACATCTTAAAGGCCTTTGGTTGATCTGATTTATATACTATGCCCTTTTAAAATGTGTTTTGTGTGTGTGTGTGTGTGTGTGTGTGTGTGGTGAGGGTGCTGTTGGGTTGTTGTTTTTATTTTTATTATGTATTTTGTGGTTTTATATCTTGATTTTATTCTGTGAACCGCCCTGAGACTCCCGGGTATAGGGCGGTATATAAATTCAATCAATCAATCAATCAATCAATCAATCAATTCTGATGGGGCCTCTTGCATCATTCTGATTTGTGTGGAGGTTAGATGACATCACATCAGGCAATTATTATCCCACACTTTCCAACATGTTTTCATGTAACTTTATTCGCAGTAAAATGTTTGTGGGTTTTTAGAAGCGAGTTTGTTGTGCCAGAGTGCCAGGTCACTTTATTCATGCGATGAAATTTATTTATTAAATTTGTAGACCGCCCCATACCTATACAGCTCTCAGGGCGGTTCAACATAAAAAAGGTAAAGGGACCCCTGACCATCAGGTCCAGTCACGACCGACTTTGGGGTTGCGGCGCTCATCTTGCTTTATCGGCCGAGGGAGCCGGCGTACAGCTTCCGGGTCATGTGGCCAGCATGACTAAGCCGCTTCTGGTGAACCAGAGCAGCACACGGAAACGCCGTTTATCTTCCCGCTGGAGTGGTACCTATTTATCTACTTGCACTTTGATGTGCTTTCAAACTGCTAGTTTGGCAGGAGCAGGGACCAAGCAATGGGAGCTCACCCCGTTGCAGGGATTCGAACCGCCGACCTTCTGATTAACCCACAGCGCCACCCGCGTCCCAGACAACATAAAACCACAATATAAAAACACAAAATACATAATGAAAACAAAAAAAAACCCCCAGTATAAAAAACCCCATGAATTTGAATATGAATTCACCTATGCAATCAAATCCCATCTGCAAAATACCTGAAAGTGACCTAAGACTGACAGGAGGAGCCAATAGTACCTGATGCAGAATTACCTGCCCCTAATGATGGCTGCTTGGGCAGCAGCTGGGGCAGAACACATAATGTTACAAAATTATAGTGACCAGTATGCTCTGTTAGGCAGGGGGTACTTTGATCTTAAAGCAGCCATTGATTGATTGATTGATTGATTGATTGATTGACTGACTGGCCGACTGACTGGTTTCCTGTACCATGTATGGAATGACTGCCACAGAGTGAAATGCAAGTGTACATTAGCTGAATAACTGATTCAACTGTTTTGTTTTGATTTGGTTTTAGTCTTAGAGGCACAACTTCTCTTTTGATTTCTTCCCTGTTGCCAAATCAAAAGGCTGTTGCTCTAGTATCAATCCAGCAAGACTCTCTGGACCAAAATAAGCTGAGTTAGGCAACAAACACCTTTCATCTAAGTTACAATGCCTTCACTCTGCCGAAGCCAATCAGGGATATTAATTTGTCCTCTGGGCAACATACAAAAGTACATGAAATATAAAAGCACAACATGAGAACAGTTGAAACAACAACAGAACAGAACCATGAATGCTGAACATTTAAAAGGCACCTGAACGTGTTTTTGTAAAAGAAAAAAGACAGAAATGAAAGCATGTTCAAGTTCCACAGACTAAGGATGCTTCCAGACAGGTGTTTACCATGGGATGGGATGAGTCCACACAACATTGTCAGCATCAAAATCCCAGCATGTATTTCCTGTCCCCATTTTTAATCTGGATTCATCCAGGCAAATCTGGCAAATTAACGAAGCAAGGTGTTACCTGTGACTGTTTTGTGATAACTTAATGGCTAACCTGCAGTATTAAGTCCCGCCTGCCTGGAAGCATCCTAATTTGATGTAATGGAAAAGTGATGCTTTTGAATAAAAACAGAGAGAACAGGGTGTGATGGTGGCGAGGATATGCTTGGTCTCTCTTGTCATCTAATGCCAGAGAGGAAAGGTTAAAAAAATAAAAAATCTTCTGGAATGCAATTTCCTGAATATGTGTGTTGTTGTTTTCAACCAAAAGGATCGTGTTATCTGTCTTACTTTCTAACTAGGACACAAACTAGGGCATTTGTTTTAAGTTAAAAATGACATGCAAAGTTTAGAATTGAAGAACTGCTTTTCGGGACCAAACTAGGATTCGTCTCACTTTGTTTTCTTAAGCTGCAGCTACTTGGATGACTCCAGGAGCAAAGAAGCAAGGGAAGAAAGTGACGATCTTTCCTTATTGTAGGGTGGCTCACCAGCAGTTACTTTCTCTGTTCATTTGATCTCTTTGACTCAGGGTTGGCACAAAAACCACGTGTTCTGTGGTTGTGTGTTGTTGCTGCTAAACAAAATTTCTATTAACTTCCCACAACGTGTACTGGGAGACTCTGCCAAAATGTGGCAGGCCCAATTTCTTGGTACATAGGAGTTAACTCCTAGGGCCCAAGATCCCTTCAGTCCCTTCAGTCAATAAAATAATTGAGGGGGCCAGGGGTCCCCCCAGTTGATGGGCACTGCCAATCAAATGCTGTATGTGTGCCATGTCCTGTGATCTATTATGTGGGGTAGGGCTTACCTCATACCCTCCAACATTTCTGTGATGAAAATAGGGACATCCTTTCAATTATTATTATTATTATTATTATTATTATTATTATACCCTGCCCATCTGACTGGGTTGCCCCAGCCACTCTAGGCAGCTACCAATGTGTATAAAAACACAATAAAACATTAAACATTAAAAAAAACTCTATACAGGCCTGCCTTCAGATGTCTTCTAAAGGTTGCATACTTACTTATCTCCTTCAGACAGCTTGGGGGTCAGATAACGCCATGCCCTCCAACATTTCTCTGATGAAAATAGGGGCATCATCAGGAAAAGTGGGACATTCTGGGATCAAATCAGAAACCAGGACCACATCTGTAAATCTGGGGCTGTCCCTGGAAAATAGGGACACTTGGAGTATCTGTTACCTGCCCCCCCCCAATATTTTGTTCAAGTTGGCACTCCTCTCCTGGAGTGTCCATGCTTGGCAGGTGGCAGACTCCATCCTTGTCACATCCAAAATCTCATACTGCACCAGAATTGACAGTTCTAAACCTGTCCTGGCTAGACCCCTTGACCAGTTTTTGTTTTTGTTTTTAAACCACAAGTTGATGATCCTTCCCATTTGTCTGCTTCCAGAAGCAAGTATTCAGAAGACTACTGCCTTTCTTCAGCAAAGTTCCGTGGGCATTACATTTCGCACATCTTACCCAAAATAGCCCATGTTTCCAATATCCCAGTGCCTTCAAATAGCTAGAACAGGGATTGGGGAATCCAGATGTTCCTTGCTTCACTTTGGACTCCAGTCAGCATGTTCAATGGTCAGGGAAGACAGGAACGATTGCCTAGCAAGATCTAGACAGCCATGGATTCCCCACCCCAGGAGAGAAAGTCACATGTTCTCCATCTGCCTTTACATCCTCCTACTTTCCTCCCTGGACTTTTGCAACTGACATTCCATTGTTCATTCCTTGTGAGAACCATTGTGAGGGAAGTGAGTAGCTTTGGAGTGATGAACTCATTTCCCTGCCTGTGACAGCAATGAAAGACGCCACCCAGGATGTGGTGCTGACTGCCTGGGCTATTCTTTGGACATGTTCTGGAGAAGAACGGCTTGTGTGAGAGCAGATAACCCCATTATTAGTGGGCTGGGGGAAATGAGGCTTCTTGTTTTCACTTGCCTGCTTGACAATCCATCTTTTTGTTTGCAGTGCAGTATCTCCATTCAACGCATTGATAACTGGAATAAAACTTCCAGTTTATTGATTGATTGATTGATTGATTGATGCTCATTCAGTATAAAATGCGCCATTTCAAGAGATTGGCATCTGCTTTGCACAATGAGTGACATGTAGGATTGAAAGCTGGGGCTTATGTTTGTGTATGGTTACCAGATGTCCCCGTTTCCCAGGGACAGTCCCCAGATTTCATTTAATGTCCCTGGATCTATATTTTAAGTGTTGTAGATTTATTAGTAGGGAATGAATGTTGCATGATTGGTTCAACGGCACAACAAGACACATCATATGGGGACTTCTGGCAAGGCAAAATGGTAGGCGCTACAGCAACGAGCAGCTCCTGAAGCCAGCCAGAGCCAACTGCACTACCAGGCTGGCTCCTGGCTGCTGAGACTGCCGTTGCTGTTGCCACTGCTGAGGGGGAACTGGGAACACCTAGCTCATCAACTGGGGGAACCGCTGACACACACACACCCGCGACCCAAATCGAGCCGGGTGCAAGAGCGCCTGGCCACCTGGCCTACTGCCCAGTGGCGCTCCAGGGCCAGGAAAACCCTGTAGCTGACACAAGGAGAAAAGGGGAGAGGAGAAGGAGAAAGGGAGAGAGAGAGAGAAAGAGGAAGGAGAAAAAAGAGGGGAGACCCTACCTTGCTCACTGCTGCTGCCGCCGCTGAGGAAAACCGGTGGGAGGGCAAGGACACGTGGCCAAGCCCAGGCCTGACCCGAGCCTACTCCATGGTGGCTAGCACTCCAAGAGAGCAGGCTGGGACCCAGAGGAAGGCTGTGCGACAAAGGAGACCACAGAAGAGAAGATATTACTTCTTTTTAAACAAACAAACAACTTTTAAAAAAATAACTTTTTTTCCTTTTCAAGAAAAAAAGTGTCCCCGGATTCTTTGAAAAAAATCTGGTAACCTTATGTTTGTGGCATAACTCCCCATTTGAAGTTGAAACATCGCCCACAGACGGATTGTTACAAAGGAAGGGAGGGGACTTGCAATTCCTATTGCAATGCAAACTCTTTTGTGAGCGCTGAAGTTACCACAGTGAAACTTGACTGTGCACGTTTAGTACCTCCTCTGTTTGAAGGTCAAACATTTTCTTGTTCGCTGTGCACATTTTCAAGGGGAAAGAGGAAAGATGCACTGTGCTTTACTAGCTTATTATGAACCGCCCCGTGTTACGCTTATCCTGTCAGCTCTCAGTCTGTGAGCTGGGAGTCTCACTAGAGCGCATAAGGCGACTGTAGTGGGACAGCCATTCTGAAATTCTGGAGTGTGCGCTTTCATCCCTCTGGGTCCCTTCAAGCAAAATCCTGACTCCAGTACAGTGGTACCTCGGGTTTTGAACATAATCCATTCCAGAAGACTGTTCGAGTTCCGAAACGTTCGAAAATGGAAAACAAACTCAAAACGAAAGCCATGTTTCCTGTTTGACGTCCAAGGCACATTTGAAAACCGAAGCATTTCTTTCCAGGTTTTCGGCATTCGAGTTCCAAAACATTTGTCAAGGGAAACGTTTGAAAACTGAAGTACCACTGTAAATCCGGTAGACCAGAGGGGCAGAAGTCCACACACTCAGCTTTCAGGAGAACTCCATGTATACTATTGTTGTTGTTTAGTCGTGTCCGCCTCTTCGTGACCCCACGGACCAGAGCACGCCAGGCACTCCTGTCTTCCACTGCCTCCCGCAGTTTGGTCAAACTCATGCTGGTAGCTTCGACAACACTGTCCAATCATCTCGTCCTATGTCGTCCCCTTCTCCTTCTGCCCTCCATCTTTCCCAACATCAGGGTCTTTTCCAGGGAGTCTTCTCTTCTCATGAGGTGGCCAAAGTATTGGAGTCTCAGCTTCAGCATCTGTCCTTCCAGTGAGCGCTCAGGGCTGATTTCCTGATTTATACTATACAAGTACTAAACTGTGAGAATCCAGACTAGACAAGGTGTGTTCTGTCTCTCCCCCTTACCTGGAGAGAATGTCTCCTTTACCTTCCAGTCTATCAGATCCTCCATGCAAGTGTTAGGCCTGCCCCCAACCTCATTTTCTTACTCACAGTGCCTTTCTTCTAGAAAAAAAGGTGTCAGTAGTACTCACCATGAAGTTGTTACAGTTAAGTGCCACACTTTTAACTAGTTATTTTCTTCTTGGTGGGGATGGATGAGAGTGGCAGTATTACATACCCTTGGGCACCCCCAGAAAAAGAGCATTTCTTACTCATTCCAGAGTGTTCTCTGGAGATGAGCACCTGGGACTGTATCTGAGCAGAGCAAACATAGATGCAAACTGAGAGTGAAAGATTAGGCACCAGGACCAGCCCTACTTTTAGACAGAGCAAGGCAGTTGCCCAAGGCAAATAATGTTAGATTTCAAATCTCAGCATCTCAGCAAGAAGCTGTGGTGACTGGGAGAAGGAAAGAGTAGGTGAAAGTGAACCATGAGCAAAAACAACAACAACTACAACTACAACACCACAGACTTCATCTGCCTGTTCCTGTGCACCTTAAATGCCCACTGGCTGTGCCACACGGCACATCCATGTGGCAGGTCTCCCTGCATTTGTCTGCCTGATTCTGTCTGGTTGTCCGAGATTCCAGTACAGTCCGACGAAGAAACTGAACCCAAGCTGGGTCAAAGCAGTCCGGTGGGGAAGATCAGCAGCAGAGAACAAGTTTTACTCTCACCTCAACGGCACTACCATTTACTTCCTGCCCTGTATGTGAATGGCTGCCACGCATCCTTACCGAGGGAAGGAAAAATGCCACAGTCAGGTATACTGTGGAGTGCAAACTTAAGCGCAACCAATAATATGCGTAACAGAGGGCTTAGTGATGTAGCAGTTATAGGACATGGGAGGGAGACCAGGGCTTAAATCCATGCTCAGCCATGAAACTCAATGGTTGACCTTTGGCCAAGCACTGCCTCTCAGCCTACCCTACCTCCCAGGGTTGTTGCAATGATAATTCAACCTGAAGCGAGGGCAGAGGCAGCGGGGCCTCCTGGGGGACTGATCCCCACTCTCCCCTTCCTCTCAGGGTAAAAAGGTAAAGGGACCCCTGACCATTAGGTCCAGTTGTGACTGACTCTGGGGTTGCGGCGCTCATCTCGCTTTATTGGCCGAGGGAGCCGGCATACAGCTTCCAGGTCATGTGGCCAGCATGACTAAGCAGCTTCTGACGAACCAGAGCAGCACACGGGAACGCCGTTTACCTTCCCGCTGGAGTGGTACCTATTTATCTACTTGCACTTTGACATGCTTTCGAACTGCTAGGTTGGCAGGAGCAGGGACCAAGCAATGGGAGATCACCCCGTCGCGGGGATTCGAACCGCTGACCTTCTGATCGGCAAGTCCTAGGCTCTGTGGACCAACTCGGCCCTCCAGCTGTTTTCGGACTACAGTTCCCATCATCCCCGACCACTGGTCCTGTTAGCTAGGGATGATGGGAGCTGTAGTCCCAAAACAGCTGGAGGGCCAAGTTTGGCCATCACTGCTGCTTCCATTGGTGAAATGCATGGCACCCCGCGTCGCCCTTTTAAGAGGCGTGCTTGTCCTCCACGTGCTGGCGGTGAGTGACTGAAATACATAAACAGAGGCAGAGCAGCAGCAGCAGCAGCGAGAGCAGAAGGAAGCCGCGGTTGACCGATAATAACCTCCTCCGTGCAGCGCCGGCGGAATCTATATAAGGAGCTCCGGGTTCAACAGATCTCCTGGTCTCCGTCCGTGGGGCAGCTGGCAAGGGGCAGAGGCAGCTCTCCCCGCCGCCTTACTCGCCCCGCCTGCAAATAACAACCACCACACAACAGCCACAACCCCTTTGCCCGGGTCCAGGGGGACTATCCTCAGGCTTCGTGGCGAGGACTTTTCTCTTTTCCATTCCCCATCGAAGGGGACAAGAAAGACACCCTCAGATCAAACTGGCGAGCAGGTAAAATGAGATGGGGTTTTTTTGGGGGGGGGAATGGGGTTGGGGCTGGGAAAATGGTTGGGGGTTCAAGGGGGTTGTTGAAAATCAGCCCACCCCCGGTTAAGATGGACTTTGGGGGGCTCCCCCTACTTCCACCCACCCCACACCAGCCGCCCCATAGAAAGCTGCCGGGGCTTCATTTGCGCCTATGCAAAACCGACACAAAGAGCCTCAGCGCTGGCGCCGAAAACAACTCACTTTGGGGGACCTCGCTGTTTTTCTTCCCATGCTTTGCGTGGGGCTGGGGAAGCAGACCTCTGAGCATGTGCAGAGTGCGTTTTGGTCCTCTCTCATACACACCTTCCTCCCCCGCACGTTCCGAGCATGCCTGGGCGCCCCAGCACCCTTATTTTTCTGTTCCGTTTCGTTTCGGTGCCTGTTGGGTGCAACTCCGGCCGGGAATTGGGACTCGTTTTGGAGAGGACAAAAGAGGCGAGGCGAGCCTGGCTTGGCGAGGCATGTAAATGTTTGGGGATCTAGCTAGAGACAAAAAGCGACGCCTCAAGTTGCTTGAGGTCCCCCCAGATGTATTTTCCTTTCGTTTTCTTCCTTTCTATCCTGCCCCTCTTTGTTTCCCCCCTGTGTCAAAACAACACATTTAGTTCCTCAGGGTTTAGCTGAGGAGTTGAATGGAGGCAGCGCGCAAATTTGTTATTTTTCCTCTCAGCAGAAAAGGCTCTCTGCACGAGACTTGGGGCACCTTGAAAAGCAACAAATAAGGTTTCTGGCGGCATGGAGGGTTGGTTCCCTTGGAGCCGAGCCTGAGAGAGGGAGCCTGTTTTTCTCTCTTTCTCTCTTTGGACTGCTGCTTTATCAGAAGACGCCTGCAGTTGGGGCTGTTGAGGCAAGACCCAAAAAAAAATAGGGCTGCGAGGAGAGACAGACAGATACGAGGAGCTCTTAAGTAGCTAGAAATGACCGAGAGTAACCCCGGGGTACGTATGGCAGCTTAATGAAAGCCATCAGCCTGGCAAATGGAACAATAATAATAATAATAATGGTGCAAATCCATCTCATCTGATGGATTTTGCACCTCAGCCCTGGTAAAAAAGCACTCTGGACACAGGAAAAGTTTTTTGGGGTTTTTTTTTTGCAAGGAGAAGCAACATATAGCAATAACAATATATTTGTAAGAATAGTAGCAATAAGTTTAAAACATGCTTCTGGTCTTTTGGCCCACTGTTGTGGAAACGGATTTCATTCTTTGTGAGTCAGGGCCCAACAGGAACTGGGAGTTTTGTTTTGCAAGGGTTGGGATAGAAAAAAGGAAGCCCAAGGGAACAGGGACTAGCAAGGATTATTTTCCTGCCCAAGCTGATCTACAGTGCGATCCATTGGTCTGGGAGCATTGTAAATATGTGAACAAAAAGGCCATAGTTGTGTTGGGGGGGGTGTATTGGTGATAAATAGGAGTTTGGTATTGTATGCATATGGCTGTGTTTGTGGATTAGGTTAACAGCCTGGGTAAAAATCCCCCCCCCCCATGGAGCTGAAGACCCTCACCACTTTCTCTCAGCCTTGCCTACTTTACTGGGTTGTTGTGGTGGTGGGGGGGGGGGAGGAAAACCATGAATCAAACCCCGCTCTGAGTTCTTTGGAGGAAAGCTGAGAGACAAATGTGGCAAATAAACAAAAATAAAAAGAAGTTTGAGATGGATAACAGGAGTTTTATTTGTTTGATGCACCTTTTCCTCCACGGACTTCAAGGCGGCATACATGGTTCTCCCCCCCCCCCATTTAATCCCCACAACGATGCTGCAGAGATGTCAGGCCGAGAGGCAGTGACTGGTCCATGGTCACCCTGTAATCTTAATGGCCGAGTAGGGATTCAAACCCTAGTCTCTCAGTTCCAACACTCTTAACCACTACACAACACTGGCTCTCTTTAAAAAAACGCCAACCTATATTTTCAACTTTAAATTTAATGAGTTTGTTTCTACCTAGTGAGCTTGTTGCAATTTCAGGTTTGTTTGTTTGTTTGTTTTTTAAAAAAGCGTGCTTAGAAATCATTTTCATGAAGCATCACTGTAGATCCTACATGCATGTCTTTAGTTGCCTGCACATACTGTGTAGACCAGTTGCGGTTCCCCAGGGTCAATACCCCTGACTTGTATGACTGGCGCACAGTTGTCCATTACACCTCCCGACGATACCATCATTGCAAGTTTTAAATAAGATCTTCCTCAGAAATAATGACGCCAAACGTTCTTTCTCTGTATGGAGATCTTTTTCTAGGACCTTGGCCGGCAATGCATTGGCCCTCAATATATTGCTGAACTAGGACATTCATCATCCCTGCCCATTAGTTTGATGGAGCCTGATGGGAGATAGAGTTCAACAACATCTGCAAGGCCACAGCCTGCTCACCAATTGTGAAATTCTGCAGAGTGCCTTTTTGATGTTGCTGCGCATCTTCTTCATATACATGGAACTAGCAAACTAGGGAGAGACATTTTAGCTGAACCCTCTCCCCAAAGTTCTCCGACTGCAGGAAAGACACAATTATTCTGTCTGCGCGAGGTTAGTTTTGCCTCCTTATAGTGTAGAGTTTCCCCACATCCTGGAATGTTCCTTATCCAAGCCATCCTCCCACTTCTTGTCTCCTGTGTAAGCTTCCCCCGCTCCCTGTCCTGCTTTTCTATCCTGTGGCCTTGTGAAACTCCAGCTGTTTTTGTTCTAAAGCAGCGCTCTTGGTTCATCCAAGGTCATAGCGAGGGCCAGCAGTCCTGGCTGGTTCTCCACGTGGACCGAATGTACATCATCTTGCAATGTGTCCTAGAACTGCCTGCTTGGCTGCAGCAGGGGAAAGGGTCCCTAAAGGCAGAAAAGACAGGAGTGGACGTTACTGAGCAAATGGAAAGAAGAAGCCTCACATCTTCCTATTCCACCCCACATTACAGCAGAAGTTCTCCTCTTCCAGCCAAGGAACATTCAGTGAAGTTTAGAGGAAGGGTAACTAAAACCACGACTTGCTTGTCCCTTTCCTCCCATGCCTGTGGAGGAAGGTGACTAGAAGCTTAACATCTGCAGCTACTCCTGGGGTCATTTTTAAAGATGTAGGTGCCGTGAACTGGCTAGGACCAGAACCCCTACTTTCACAGAAAGATACTTCAGGAGGCTCACAGTGCTGGGATTACAACAAAGTAAATGACCAACAACCTGATTCCTAAGGGTCATTGGAATTGCTCTCTGTGAAAGTCAGTTTCATTTTTTCGAATCTGGTTCGATAGTCATCTAGTTTAGCCCCCCTGCAACGCAGGAATCTTTTGTCTAACAAAAAAACGTCTCTGTAGTGAGTTTCCCATTCCAGGACTTCTTCCAGTGAAGTCTGCCTAGAGTTGGAACCGTAGGCAACTTCCTGCAAATAGAATAATCATTTCATTTATATCCTACTTTTCTTCCAAGGCAGCATAGCAATGTGATTGTTACTCTTCCCACTGGCATTCTATTCTACCAACAAACCTGTTAGGTAGGCTAGGCTGAGATATATTAAGTGACCCAAAGTCACTGCATGAGTTTCATGGCAGACTGGGGTTTTTGAACCTAGGTCTTCCTGGTTCAACACACTTAACCACTACACCTCATTGGCTCTCACCAAGTAATAATAATGACAGATAGTCAAATCAATGATTTGGATTGCAGAACTCCTAAGTAGTCATTCTGTTTCTAAAAGACTGCATCCTTTTTGTAATCCTTGCAAGGCAAAAATAAAATAAAATTAATGAATTATGTAATATAAGTCAATAAGATAATTCCAGCATGCAGAAAGCAATTATGCTGATGACTACAATTATAACAAAAGATTAATGTTTCCTGCTGCAGCTTTCTTTTTAACTTTACCTCTTATCTGCTGCGATAAATATCTTTTAATGAACTTTTGCAGGTGGCAGAACAAACAGACTTTTATGTTTTTATGGTCTTGATTCAAGACTTGAATTTTCTATGATAGTGACATGGAAATCAAATGCAAGCATTCTTGCGTTCCCATTTGAAACTCTTTGTTTGCAACTATTCCATTATCTCTGGATGAAAATATGTCCCTCTCTCTATGTCTCTGTGTGCCATCACAGTCCCTTCCCAGGACAGATGGAGCATTCTGAGCTTCTGTGAGACATTCTGCAGATTTGCGCTAAACACATAGCGTTGGGGTCTCCTGGGGTACCATATTGTTGACATGGCAGATGTAACTGCTCCCTCTGATCTACTGGAGTCCATTGTGTTGATGGGAGCTTGAACACATGCTGTTGTTCTCTCATTCAGCTTGTCTCCTCCTGCATCTGTCTCCTAAGGCAGTGATTTCATCAATGCCCTTAGCATGAATATCTTCTGATACTCTGCAGATAAAATTCACTGCTAAAATGTGTGCCACACAATCCTCTAAATCATTCTAGAGAAAGGTTCTTCCTATTTGAAAAAGTAATAGCTACCCATTAGTGATTCAGTCTGTTCTCCCTCAGTTAAAAATATTAAATAAGGGAGGCTTCCTCTTGTCTTCCTGTGTTATGTTCTATCAGGTTAGATTTGGCTTTTGATAGAATACCACATGGGTGTTACTGCAGGCGGCAAATTGATTGTGTGGTTTTTATAAAGCGGATCGCATATTATTTTTGTTTGAAGAAGAGCCTGACAATTGAAAATGTGTTGGGCCTTAATTCGTTCACCTTGTGATCACTTCTGAACTAAAATGAACTAAAATGTCTTCACTGCAGTCGCTGAGGATATTTATCTTCACTTTTCTAGTATTCATAGAAAGACTCAGTCGTCATATATATATATAAGATACAGTTCCTTGGTTCTTTCTGTATGTCACATTCTTGCATAACCAGGGGATAGGAAACACCGGATGGGGCTATTGAAATTGAGCTTCGTTCTCAGTGGTTTCCGTTGACTTCCATGGTACAAAATTGTCTGCAGCCAGCAAAATCACACTTTTATAGCAGTTGGGTGTAAAGAGATCTGCAAAATGGGAGCCAGAAAAGAAAAGTTTACTGAGCTATGCCTGATGCAGAATATTGGCTAGAAATCCAGGGAACAAAGGAAGTTGCATTATGAAATGTGACACAGACCTCCAATGTGGGTTTCACTTCCTCTCTGTACCCTAGGAACCCCATATCTATTCTCCATATAAATGGCACTGAACACTTTTCTTATGCCACACTGTTGCCTTTATAGAGTAGTGCAGCTATGAACCTGTGGGATTGCAGTCCCATTTTGATGGAGTTTGTGTTAAATGCCTGGGAGACTTTGCTGTCACTTTAACATCAGTGTTCCTTTTTCTGTTTTGTGTTATGTATGATTCATGAAGGGGAAAAGTCTGCTCCCTTTGCACTTTTCAGCCTTGGTCACTAGACGAAAACATGTGATCCTCAGTCAAGTACTGTGTCAGAAAGACAAGACAGGCAGGCAGGCGGTCTGATAGGATGAAAAACTGTTGACACTGTGTTTTCTCCTCCCAGACAAAGCCGCTTAATTCTGTGAGCAAATAAGAAGTACAAAGGGGGGGGTGTGATTCAGAGAGAGACCACTTACAGATTAGCTCTATCAATTTAAAATGACAAGTTTTAATTGTTCCTTCGTTCCTTCTAATAAATTCTTGACTTGGGTTGGGGATAAATGCTTCGCAAAGGTGTAAGTGTCAATATCAGGCTCCTGCTTCGTCTTTAACATGAATGACTACATTGAATTGGACATTTTATCCCCCTAGCTCTGCTCCTAAATAGCTCTTAGGTTAATCCAATAAAGAAACACTTTCTTCACATCATGTTAACTCCATTAGGAAGCAGTTAGTGTGTAAGGTGAGAAAGAGAGTGCTTTTTTAGACATTATGAGTTTGAGCTAGTCTGGACTGGAGGCACCATCTTTTTTTGGAAAAGCAGCTGGGACAATAGTTTTCCCTCAAAATAAACTCTGGCTTCCACTTCTAACAGGCAATTTGAGGGGTGCTGCAGAAATAAGAAATCAAAATTACATTCCAAGCTGACTTGATGGTTTGCATGAAATCAATGGGGTCCCCCCCCCACTCCTTTAATAGGCTTAGGTTGCAATTCTGTACCTGCTTACCTGGGAGTAAGTCCATTTGAACTCAGTGGGGCTTACTTCTGAGTAAACATTAGATTGTGCTGTTAGATCAATGGGTAGACTAATCAGCTAAAACTTCGCTAATAAATTAGGGGCGGCACTTTGAATCAGGTGGCAAATTATAATCTTAACCCTGAGTGCTAGCTTTTGTTTATTAGGCCAGCACTCTCTTTGGTATATCAAAAGGCCCCACTGTTGAGTAGAATGCTCATTTTTTAAAGTAAGTCAAATCAATCATTGAAAAGCTGAAGTATTAACTAAAAATCCTTTAACCGCCCTCCTTCTTTTTAACGCACAACCCAACAAGCATCCTTGATCTTGCACTATTTGTAGTTACTGTTATTAAAGTGGGACAGAAGAGATTCATTGTAAAACTGTGTGTGCCTTTCAGTGTTGGGCTCACATGGGCAATGCAATACACCAATTCAACATCTCTGAAATGGGAATTTGAGTCCCTTGAGCCAGTCTCAAATCTCTGTTTTGCCTATAGTGGGCTTGTTCGTACTTCTGCTATCTTGTTTAATATGTTGCTAGTACAGTGTGAATGTCGCCCTATGTGCTCTTCTCTTTGTTTGGTGCTCCACTTGTGAGTGGCAACCAGGCATACAATCTGATTGTATGGTTACAGCAGTTCCTGGCCCATGCAAGGACACTGGTGTGCTTCCATTGTGTCTCCTGGTGCTGACATAGGAACAGACCACACAGTCCAGACAATCCGTGTTGCCACTTGAAGAATGACAGGCCAGCACTTTTTGAAGACTGTAAAGTTCGGGGAGTGCCCCCTGTCCAGTTCTTTAGAGGTAGATTTTTAAAGTAGTTCTGAACGCTTGACACCAGAGGGCAGAGTATTTACCGGTATACAAACACATGGAGGTATTTATACCCAAAGGACAATTTCTGTAGAAAGATAAACAAGAATTAAGGTTGTACGGTACTGTTGCATGCTTGAACGCTACAGTAATGAGACTTTGAACTAATATGAGCGAGAGACTATACGTATGCACTTTAGGCTGTAATCCTAGACTCACTAACCTAGAGAAAGCTCCATTAAGGTCAATGGGATTTAGTTTTGAATAGACCTTACTGTGCTGGCCAGTTCTGCTGGTCCACCCTGTTGCCCCACAACAACTGAGAACAGAAGGTACGCCAAAACTCTTGAAACATTTCATTGTGACTTCTCACTGTGGAGGAGAAACGACAATGTTGGGCAAGCTGTTGCCCAAGGGCCCATTGATGTGCTTCCAAGGAACCAAAGACTCCTCCCAGGACACACTTTGACAGCAGTTGCCCTAGAGCAAGGTTAACCGATGTGGTGGCTTCTAGCTGTTGTGGGCTACACCTCCTTGCAACCCCAGCCAGCATGGCTGATGCTCAGGGATGATGGTAGTTGTAGTCCAAAACTTCTGGTGGGTACCATGTTGGCTACCCTTGCCACCAAGAAACAATTGTTTTTAACGTCATTCAAATAAATCAATTCCCGTGGCTGTAAATCCATATACAGTATATGGGATCCATGTTAAACCTGAAAAATAACCTCGTCATCTGGGACTCTGTCTGGCTTTGGAGATACTGTAGTTTGTCTTGAGTTTTTCTTATCTCATTCATGGGCTTGTTTATTGGCAATAAAAAGAAGACTAGACATGATTAATTGAACATTCTATTGTATTTTATTTGACTTAGTCAGTCCAGAATCTTGATTAGTCCCCACCACCAAGAACTATTGGCTTCACTTGGAAGTTTGCAAGGTTGGGTGGAGGTATATTGGAAATCTAATTATAGCAAGAGAGCATATTTTATTATGGATGCCGTTAATAATGGCTTTTACAGTCCGCATCATAGCTTACAGTATTCTGTTCTGCATTGATTGGTAAATGCTACTTATTCTTTTCCCTGCAATGCATTGCCAGTAATCTCTCATATCTCTTTCAGAGATGAGGTTCTCTAAACACTGCTGTCCTCTCTGGCCAGAATTTTACTGAGAGTGAAATATCCTCCACTTTCAGAATGTAAACGATCTTCTTATGGATTGATAAGTTCAGCTCTTGTTTTCACTGGCAACGTTTGGGACTTCCAGCGTTTTATGTGGTGCTGTCTCATAAAATTACATCTGGGTGTTTCATGGTTTTATGCGGATAAAACATAATGCCAGTAAAAAATATCACTTGACTTGTAGAAAGCTCTTGAATTTACGGTGAGGTCATAAGCCCATAAGCCAGTTGAGTCGGTCTGCCAGTCAGCCCCATCTTCACTGCTATATGAGCTCATCGATTGGAGAAGCACTGTGAAGTATTCAGCCTGAAATTGTTAGATACCCTGACATAATTTGTGCCCTTTATATATTGCCTCATTTCGCCATTTCAGAGAAGGAACTATTCCTTTCTTCAGGGGCAGAGCTCCAAAATGTGTTTGAAATTTCAGTCTGGCATTCCTGTCGGGGGCCTCTGGGTTGTATGGAGGCCATTCTGTGAGAAGACGAGGAGAAAAAAGAAGTTTGAGGCAAAGAATCCTGTTTCCTGCTAAGAAAAAGACCTGGAAAAGGCAATGTGGTTGCTGTGTGATTGTATGGTGGTATCTCGGGTTAAGAACTTAATTCGTTCTGGAGGTCCGTTCTTAACCTGAAACTGTTCTTAACCTGAGGTACCACTTTAGCTAATGGGGCCTCCCGCTGCCACCGCACAATTTCTGTTCTCATCCTGAGGTAAAATTCTTAACCCGAGGTAGTATTTCTGGGTTAGCGGAGTCTGTAACCTGAAGCGTATGTAACCTGAGGTACCACTGTACATCCTTCGATTGTTGTTTTTAAAGCATTAGAAAGTGGTGGAATGGCATGGTCCAGACTGGGACTATGGTACATAGGGGTGTGGGGTCTCGCTTCAACCCCCCATGGCATTTTTCTACAAAATTTTTTTGCCCCTTCCTCTCTGCCATGATACCCCAGAAATACCATTCCAGGAAAAGACAGCTTTGGGACAAATATCAGCTGGAGCCTGGAGGAGAGATTTTAGCAGGAAATGGCAGACTCTCCCCCTTCTCCATACCCTGTGGTCCAGACCCTACCACCCCCCGCTGCTAAAAATAACAATCCCAGGTTGGGTGGTCATGTGGTAAAACCTATCTTCCATCCTGGCTCCAACTCAGTATTCAGTACTGTTGCTACATTTTGAGGAAATAAAAGTGACTACTGAGATATTGTGGGAAATCAAAATGGTAGCCTAGCTCCCATCAGGAAAATAATTGTTTAACGGGGGTATGGGTTTCAGAAGTGAGTCCTGCCGTGATACTGGGTCCCAGCAGTTGCCCAAAGATACTGGGTGCTGACACTAGGCCTGCCACCTTGATCTTGAGGGGAACATGGGATGGAAAAGCTGATGAAGTATATCAATGTACATTCTAGCACCTGGAAAGGAGATTACAGGATAGGCTCTGGATTTCTATCATAATGCTTCGCATACAAAAGAGACTTGTCCTTTTCCCTTCATTCATTGCATTTCCTGACTTATCTAGAGTTCGTCCGTTGATGATTTCATCCGCATATTGCTTTTCCACAAAAAAGAAGAAACATGGCCGAAGCAGGGATGTGTATCACAACCCAAACAGTGCAAAAACAGTAGAAAAATGTAACATAATAAATCAGCAACACAATAGCAAATGGAGCAATGTACGAAAAGCAACTATAAATATAACAAGATTATATTAACAACACGACACTGTTGCAATAGCAAAAATAACAAGGGAGCCTAACACCTTGATCATTATAAAAAATAAACCCTCCAACAATGTTACTCACAGTTTCTCGCCTGCAGCATCTTGCAAAGCTTCCAAAGATGCAAAGCACAGGGTAGCTGCAAAAACCTCTCCCATTTGGCCATTCTCCCATGATATTTAGACCAGCATTGTCTAAATTTGTGGAGCTAAACAGGACTTCAGAGTCACATAACTTAGAGTTTTCCCCAAAGATGTTTTATTTTTTATTTTTTTGCGGGAGAAAGTTCTTAGGCACAATGGCCTGTGTTTCTTAAAACCTCATGTTTGTCATTTAGTCAAAGCATATCAAGGTGTGAACGTTTAGAAGCTCTTACCAAGAGAGATAAACCTGAGAAGTTTACAGTCTGGCGGCAGATGGGCACACAGCCATTCTTAAACATTATACTTTCAAGCTGCTGTAATTAATTTTATGACTTGCCTAGCATGCTTGCCTAAGTGTTGCTGCTGCCTCCTCTGCCCTGACCCACTGGGATGGCACCAGGACCTGACACTGTTACCACCAGGTATGGAGGTGTTTTGAAATCCAGCTCTGCCAAGCCTTCTGCCTAACAATGTAAAATAAGGCAGGGATGTCAAGTTACTGATAAAGTTAACACAAACTGAACATTATTTCTGTAACAGCAAGGCATGGAAAGATGTGTAATGGCCACAGCATGGCCACCATATATATGCTCTGTTTTATCTGATGCAATATATAGAGAATTGCATCGGTCTGCAGTTCTGCAATGTGCTTGCAATTTTTAAGAAGGAAAGCTGTCGTTTAAAATGCTTAAACATCAACAGTGGGATTCATATTGTTCAGATACTTTTCAATATCTCAAGGTTGAGGCGAATTATTGTGGAGTTGCTTTGAAATCTAGATAGAAGATGTAGGGAAAGTTTAAAATCTGATTATCAGAAAGCATTGCTTTTGGGATTCCAGAAAGCACAACTGGCCATATCGGCTCCATTCATCTGATAATGGCTCAGCCCCAAGGTTTGAGGTTCAAAGCTCACAGTCACTGCTGACATTTGTGACCGGGACAGCACTTGGCGTGGACTACAGTGCTCCATAGAACTTAGATAGCAATAAGCTGGTTTTCTTGGAGGTATTACTAGTTGAAAATCTAGATTTGCGGAGTAGATTCAGGTAAGTCTTTCAGCTTTGTAAGATTTTGAGTGTAACTGCCTGCTTAAATTACAGCTGTGGGTAATTTCATCGATGACATTCCTTACAGTTTCTGTGCAATCCAACTGGTTTGTACCTTCTGTGCAACATAAAGAGGTAATCGACTACCCTAGCTATTTTTTATTTTATTTTGGGTGGTAGGGAGGTCCTTCCAAAAGGAATCCTTTTGAGAAATGGTGCAAAGTGACTGTCCTTCAGTGTTTTGTAGAACTTTTCCGCCTTCCTTTTGGAAAACCAACAAGAAAAATAGCTGGTGGTGTCCTTTTTGTGAAAAAATTATTACTTGTTTCAAAAGGTTTGAATGGTTAGTTTGTTTGAATGGTACTTCCCTTTCATTTTTATGGTGGTTTTAATGTTTCTCATCTTAACACTGCCTGCATAGGGCAGCCAGGGCTTCGTATTTGAAAAACCTAAAATCCTGCTGATCAGTTCTTTGGGAACTGTAGGGTGTGGGATGATGGTGGCTGAATTCAGATCTCTGCTCAACTCCAAAACTGACCATCAGGATTTTAAAATTTTGATTTTGGTTTCCATGAGCTGTTGAGCCCATGTTTTGTGGCACCATTTTAGGACTTCAGTCTGAAACAGTGTCCATTAGCCTTGCCAGCATCACAATGACGGTTCACTGTGACCAGTATATAGATATTCATTCTCTCTCACACACACATGAACACACCAGTTCAACACTATTTTATTATTATTGTTTTTAACTGAAAAACGTACTACATTAGGTGACGTTATTTTGAAAGGAACTTTGCTCAAATTAGTTAGGAATCTGATGGCCTTATAGTGCAGATCCTGTCTAGTGTGCTGGGCCTCAGCCTTTTAGTCAATCAATCAATCAATCAATCAATCAATCAATCAGTTTCTTATGGTCATAGATCAGCATTTTTAAAATAGCTAAAATACAAAATTATAAAAGCAAGATACAATAAAAACAAGCCATAATATAGAGCAGGGAGGCAAGAGTAACTGACCAGCAGGTTAAAACAGCTAGAATTATAACACTTACTAAAGCGATCCAGTTGAAGACTGGGGAAGAAGATTCATGAGTCTGAAACACAAGATTTCATGCCCAGATTACTATTGGTTTATTTTTTGGTAGCCTTTTAGTTAGGAAAATGGTGGTGGGCTGCGTGTTATTTTTGCTTCTGTTGTTTAATCACTTACCAGATTCTAAGGATCGTAGCTGTGCAAATTTGAAAGGAGGAAAATTTTGTTGGTACAACACTGGACTAAAGCATGTAAAAGTCCAATTAAAACAGATCTTAACAGAGGGAAGAGAGAAAGGGGAGAGAGGAGAGAGGAAGGGGAAAGGTGCACTAACAGCACAATCCTAGGTATGCCTACACAGAAGTAAGTCTCACTGAGTTAAGTGGGACGTTCTCCTAGGTTAGTGTGTATAGGATTCTACCTTAAGGCTGAAAATGGTATGCACACACATCTCTAAGTAAGGGTAAGCTCTATGGACCACAGATGAGCTTACTTCTGAATAAACAAGCATAGGAGCATATTGTTTGGTTCCACTCCTAAGCACACTTACAAGGGAGTAAATCCCTAGGGACTTAATTAGATTTTCTTCTGACGAGACATACTTAGAAATGCAGCACACAGAGAAGAATTCAGGATATGTATATAACCAAGACCTGTAGTACTGATGCATTTTATTGAAGGCAGCAAAAGCCAACCTGGTTGTCCAAAAATACAACGTTCTTGAAGGCAGCTCATGTACAGGCTGATTCACACATGCACGCACCTCACTTGATTTCTCATTGCTTGAACATAAATGGTTTGATGAGTTGTGGTTGATTCTATGGACTGACTCCATGGAAGAGCGTTGTGCGCTGATGTGATATCAAAATTCTGGTGATTGAACTGGATGGCTTGTTCACACATGCAACACCACCACCTGAAACTGTAGATATAAAGCAATGCAGGTGTGAACCAGCACTAAGTGCCAAGTCAGACCTTTAGGTGGGCATGGAGTTCCAGTTGGATCAAGATTGGGGTGCAGCCGCTGTCCCCCCAATCTGAAAAGGGCAATGTGTATAGAAATGGATAATTATCTGATGCCGTCTCCAACCATAATGGTTGATGGGTGCAAAACAAGAATGATGGAAGCACTGTTTGGGCAGCTGGCCTGTTGCAAGTGGCTGTTGTAATTTGGTGTTCTTTTCCCCAAAGTTGGAATGGCCAAGAAGAACTCACCTTTGAGAGTTTAATCTTACATTATATTTAAAAGTCAAACACTGCTTGCAATAGGAGTTGGATCCAACCTTTGATCTTTATTATGAAAGAGCCTGGACTGATTCCTCCCACCACCACCCCAGGCTCAAATAGTTTTATCTGTCCTCGGAGCAAGGACAGCACATCAGAAACAGCAGGGCGAGCTGCCGTTAGCATGCCAAGATCGTTTGCAGCTGCCCTGCGGGCTCTGCATTTGGGAAATGGAAGAACAGCTCAGTCTCTCTAGTCCTTTGTTCCTTGTCTTTCATTAGAAGGGTGGGAAGTGAGCGGTGCCTTTAATGCAGAGGTTAGAGATGTGTGGCCTGCGATATTGCATGGGCAACCGTTGGGGTTGATGGTAACTGTAGACTGGAAACATCTAAAGGGCCACTCATTCTCCATCCCTGCTCAACACAAGTATGCCAGAGATGAAATAGAAAACTCTATGTACTTCATGGTGGATTGTTTCATAGAATCATAGAATTAGAAGGGACCATGAGGGCCATATAGTCCAAACCCTTGTAACGCAGGAATCTTTTGCCCAACGTGGGGCTCGAACCCACAACTGTGAAGTTCTCATGCTTAATATTTGCTTCATACTGGACTGCAATACCTGATGTTCGTACATTCAGCAATGTCTATACCAGGGATAGATAAGCTGTGGTCCTGCAGTTGTCATGATTATGACTGCTACCATCCCTGGTCATAATGGTTGGTGATTATCCAATCCAACCCCTCATTTATGCCATCCTCTGGGGTGAGGTATGCTGGTCCACTGGTGGTGTTGTAACTGTGCTATGATGTGATTACGTAGACGTGTTGGCCATCTGGGGCACTAACTCTGTGTGGTGCTGATCCATGGAATTGTGGAGTAGCTCAGTTGGTAGAGCATGAAACTCTTAACTTCAGGGTCATGGGTTTGAGCCCAACATTGTGCAAAATATTCCTGCATTGCAGGGGGTTGGACTAGATGCCCTTCGTGGTCATCTGCTTCCACCTCTACAATTCTGTGATTCTATCCTGGTGCTGAAATTTGTGCAGTCTTATTGGGAGTTCCTGGGTCATACTATAAGCACCTCCAGACCATGTTAGCTAGATCGCAAACCTGCCAGAAAATCACATCCTGCTCTGTGGAGACCAGTGTTGAAACTTCAGAGTAGAGGTCTTATTACACAGATATAGCAACCTGGCAATCTCAGGAGCCATGAGGGATGTATCCTTCCTTCCGTTCTTCATTTTTAATAATAATTAAAAAATAGAGCCTGGTTTCTCAGAATTATTTCTTTGTTTTTTAAAACATAATTCACAACTGTGTTTTTAATTGAAACTGCTTTTGGGGTGTTTTTAATTGCAATTGGTTTTAGAATGTTTTAACTGTTTTGTTTTTTAATTGTCTATGTTTGTATTGTCCTGGGCGCCTCCAGGAAGAAGGGCAGGATATAAATTTAATGAATAAATAATAATAATAAAATGAAGAGAGTGGTATGTTTCCTAGTATAGTTAAGCCCTGCTGCCAAGAGCCTTTGCTGTCCGCTCTCTGGTTTTATAACATTGCTCAGTCACTGACTAAATAGTTGCTTTTTAGGGGAAAGGTTCTCCCCCCGCCATACCATTTTTTCTCCTAGTCAGAGAGCAAACAACTGTATTGTTTGCCAAAGCTTCCCTCTTCCCTAAGGCTGTTTAATGTTTGTTCAGTACAGCTGTGGTGAAGGATGCGTTGAGAATGAAATGCAACTGCACAGTTTTAATTTCCAACACCCCTTAAACTATACAGCTGTGAAAATATGGTCATGGGTAATGGGTGTACCCTGCCAAGGTGCAGAGACTGCTTTTAGGTTATTGTATGGGGTGTTAGAGGAGGGGTAGTACCTCTGGTGGGAGACATGTTGTGCTCCTTCTGGGGTAGCTTGTCCACCTTTGGTCCCCACCCTGCATTCATCTTGTGATTCCTAGAAGTTGTCAGCATACAACAGCGGCCACACCTCAGGAATGGCTTTGACTGGCTGGCTAAACCAGGTGAAGGTAGCCAATGGGCCTCAAACCCTTGGTGAGTTGGGGACTTGCCCTTCATGCAAAGACAGGCTCCGGCATATTGAGCGGATGAGAGAAATAGTGGGTCCAACGGTCAAGAAGGCGGTTGGTTTCTGCACATGCTGTAGAGCAGCCTTTCTCAACCTGTGGGTCCCCAGATGTTGTTGAACTACAACTCCCATCACCCCTAGCTAGCAAGGCCAGAGTTCAGGGATGATGGGAGTTGTAGTCCAACAACATCTGGGGACCCACAGGTTGAGAACCGCTGCTGTGGAGAGAAGTGAGGGGCAGGTGTGGCTCATCCACCTGGGAAGGTAGCCCATTTAGCAGAAGGAAACCTGTTCCTAAACCTCCATTGCCTTGCGGGATATCTCCAGGAGAAGAAAAGGCTAAGGAGTAAATTCTACACAAGTCTGGAGTCCCTAAGACAGTTGGATGGCGCCTTGTACGCCTCCTGCCAGTAACTCCTGCAGCCAAACTGGTGCCAAACATATTGCTGTGCTTTCCTTTGGACCGAGCTAGGCCAAGTGAGAGGGTTTTGTCATCTGGGCAGCCCAGGACCTCCATATACACTGCCCAAGCTTGCACCCCGGGGAGGTCACTTTGCTGCTGCTAACACAGCAGTTTGACTTCGCTCCCAGAGGTGCACTGTCGAGACTGATGCAAACAATAGGAGGCTGAAAAGGAAGACTTTTAGGTTTTTTTTGGAGCTGCACAAGCATACTGTCCTGGGCTGCCTTTGGGGTGCTCAGAAATGACATCTGGCCATGCCAACCTTCCTAAAGCAAAGGCAAATTTGTGCTTAGAATTTTGCACTTTCTGCTTCGTGGATTTGTCACACTTTCCTCCCTGACAATTGCCACAGGGCAAGTTGCTTGAAAGGTTCATGGATCAAAACTCTACCTCTTCTGCCCTTTGGTGCAGCTGTATTGAAAATGGGGGGAGGAGGATAAACAGGAGGCATTGTCACATAGCAGGGAGGGGCTTATTAGCCAGTGTCTCTTCCATGCTGCTGAGGCATTTTTCAGTAATCCAATCTGGGGGTTGGGGGAAGGGTGATTGAGAGCTGAGTTCTAATCTTGCATTAGTCACTGTTCTGCTCTGGAAAGAGCTCTCTGCATTTTCTTATATTATATATTTATCTATTAAATTTCTAAACTACTCTTCATCAAGAAGGGGATACAAGCGGGTATACAGCAATGCATCATGTTGCAGGGAGTGCATTGCAGACCATGAATGGTCTGCAGACACTGCAGTAGTTTTAACATACACTGTTCCGTAGCAGCAATCCTTCTGCTGGTTTGGGTTTAGGGCCAAATTTGATATTACCCAGGGAAATCCATCATCAGATTTCCTGCTTCCCTCCTCTCCCAAGGTAAAAGAAGCCGTAGGCCCCTGAATCAGATTGGGACTATTGCTTTGGAGTAGAGAAGGTCTATCCTTTCTCCTACACTGCGAATTGCCCTACCCACTTCAAGCTGGTATTTGCCCTGCAGAGCAAAACATACATGTGTGAAACAAGAATATTGAGGGGTCCCTTCAAGGGGTTCAGCTTCTTAAGGAAGACTGGACCTTTGGAGAGAGCATACCTTTTAAGGCTCAAACCGGTTGGGAAATGAGCAGAGACCAGACCAGGATATACAAAAGCAAAGCGGCTATAAGTCTGATCTTTATTAACTGTTGCAACAGGGTGCTCACTGCCACAAACAGGAAGCAGGAGGGACCCAGGACAAAGGTGTGCAAGCCCTTAAATAGACTTCTGAACTGCCCACCCTGGAGCCCAAGACCGCCCCTCCATACATCATATGTACATCAGAGAAGGGGCGGTCTACAACAGAAATCTGAGTGCGTTGTTTTTATCCTGTCTGCCAGGTGACCTGATTGGATTACCTGGGCATCCTGGCCACTCGTTTGTTATGATAACTACTCAGTTCCCAAATCCAGGTCACAGGCTCATCCTATTCATATCTTCAATGTGCCCTTGATACAGGATTTGAGTGCAAAGAGACAATGGGGAGGCTCCCCATTTCCTTTGACCTTGCAGAGAAATGTTTGAGGTCATTTGGGAGAGACAAAATGGTTTCAGGAATTTTCTGTGAGGTTTCAGACATGTGGTTTATACATTTATTTTATAAAGTTCTTATAACAGGTGCCTACATAATAACCAGGGATGCGGGTGGCGCTGTGGGTAAAACCTCAGCGCCTAGGGCTTGCCGATCGCATGGTCGGCGGTTCGAATCCCCACGGCGGGGTGAGCTCCTGTCTTTCTGTCCCCGCTCCGGCCCACCTAGCAGTTCGAAAGCACCCCTAAGTGCAAGTAGATAAATAGGTACCGCTTTATAGCGGGAAGGTAAACGGCGTTTCCGTGTGCTGCGCTGGTGCCGGCTTGCCAGAGCAGCTTCATCACACTGGCCACGTGACCCGGAAATGTCTCTGGACAGTGCTGGCCCCCGGCCTCTTAAGTGAGATGGGCGCACAACCCTAGAGTCGGACACGACTGGCCCGTACAGGCAGGGATACCTTTACCTTTACTTTTTACATGATAACCGCATGTTTTGCTCCAGCGGCAAAGAGTACTACTCTCTCTATGTGTGTTTCACTTGTGGAAACAACTGTAGAAGGAAGTGACCCCATCCGGCCCATCAAATGAATCTCCCTGTCACCATTTTTAACACCTTTGCTATTTCTCAAAAACAGCAGGATCTATTCTATTTATGAATCTCCTGCATCACACCTTGTTTGGCTCTCTGTGTGCAGTTTGAATAGAAATTAGAAATACAGTGGTACCTCGGGTTATATACGCTTCAGGTTACATGCGCTTCAGGTTACAGACTCTGCTAAATCAGAAATAATACCTCGGGTTAAGAATTGCTTCAGGATGAGAACAGAAATCATGCTCTGGTGGCGTGGCAGCAGTAGGAGGCCCCATTAGCTAAAGTGGTGCTAAAGTTTCAGGTTAAGAACAGACCTCTGGAATGAATTAAGTACGTAACCAGAGGTTCCACTGTACAGAATTACAGGTGCCTCTGTGGAATAGTTACATGTGGCCTTGAACTACAGTGTGTGGTGGATGACAGGGGTTTGTGGGGGAATGTACTTGCATTACTTAAGGGCAGATTATTGACAAAAAGTAAAGTTTGGAAACACTTGGCTTAGAGTTCAAGATCTGGGTTAAGCTCTGTAATCAATCCCCTGCTTCATCTTCCTTAATATTGCTGCTGTGGCTGTGTGGGTGTTATTGGGCTACGCAGCCCTATGTTGGGTAAGAACAAAGCAACATACCATAAACAAGGAAGTGGTTTGTTTTGCTTTAAGAATTAACAAATCCTGCTAATCCATTCTTTTGTTGTTTCTAGTTGATGACCAGCCACAGTATCTCTGCTGTGTGCTGTTGCCATCTGTGGTGCTGCCAGTGTAAACAGAGGGAAGAAGATGGTGTTCTGGACACAGCTTGGTTTGCTGCTATGGAAAAATTTCACCTATAGGAGAAGGCAAACGGTAAGATCCCACACTATTGCTTGGTTTTCACAAAGTAGGTAAGGGTACTGGTTGCTTGGTTCCCAATACAGGGCCTTCTTATAAAACCATTTTTTTATTTTTTTGTGCCAAACAGTAAACACAGAGTGGTTACTCACATGTGCAAATCTCCCATTGATCTGGGTAGTCTTTTCGATAAAAACAGCTCCAGGATTTGTATAGTGGCTTTGATGTTCTATTGATCTGAAGATAAGTAATCTGTTAGTTGGATCTTACGATGCCCTGAAGAAGTCATGGAAAGGCTTTTTGATCTCTTGGAGGTTCTCGTTAACAGAAGAAGTGGGAGGTAATGTTTGGTGATCCTTCCTCTGTATAGCTACCACCTTCCACACTGTTGCAGAGAATATGGAGCAATTTCTTTTGGACATGGGAGGGTGGGGGATTCTATGAAAAATGCCCCCTCTCCTCTGCTAGTTCGTGCCTAAGCAGAGAACAAGGCAGGCTTATGCTGCTTTTATTTACAATGCTGCCACCAAAAACTTCGTAGAGAGATATCTTAATTAAAAAAATAGGTGCACACCCAGCAAAGACATTGTATGAAGAGGTACATATATTGTGTAAAATCAGTTGACTCCTCCCATTAGTGGATTAATCTAGGTAAACCTGGGGGAATCCCCGTTTCTCTGGCTGCTGATTTGGCCTCAGCATTTGGAAGCTGATACATACACATATACACCTCAGGATACTTTTGGGTCAAAGCATGTGTGTCCTCAGGCTGAAGAAACTGTAGATTAAGGAGCACATGCTGTGATCACCTGAGCTTTCCCACCCTGCAGGTTAGCAGGACACCCAATGCTGACCCCTCTCATGGACAATGCTTGATAATTCCTTAATTCGTACAAGAACTCAGCAGAGGTACCCAGTGGGGTAGCGTTGCCGTAGAACCAAAAGAACAATAAGAGCTTACGCAAAGAGTTTACATTATGTTAAATTTATCAATGGAGGAAAGATAGTGTCATCAACAGTTGCTGCTGTTGAGAATGAGTTTATTTTATAAGCCTTTTCTTCTCTCTGTGCTCAGGGGGGTCTATGCAGCTCTGAAAGCCACTTCATGCCTCAAACAATGTGGGCATCAGCACACCAGAGCTTCTGCCACAATACATTTGTGAGACTTTAAGGTGCCACTGGTCTTGACTTTTGCTTGCTTGCTTGCTTGAGCTATTCCTGATTGTATACTGTGTTCATATTGCAAGGACAGGGACTGGACTTTTAAACCCCACACAGCTACCTGTTTGGAACTCATCCCAAAGATGGAGGAACTCTACCAGTATATAATTTACACCAGGTGTTGGGAGCCTTTGGCCTTCCAGATGTAACAGCTCCCACCACCCCTGGCCGTTGGCTGTGTTTGCTGAGGCTGATGGGAGTTGTAGATCAGCAACATCTTGAGGGCCAAAGGCTCACCACACCTGCTTAGTGAGGTCACCGATGCTTGCATATGCATCATGCCCATACAGAGATGACACAAACACTGTCTGTGAGCGAGACTACCATCTTTGATAATTTTCCTGGTGGTTGGGGATTAACAGGGGTGGCTAGAGCTTTGGCCAACCAAAAAAGAATTGTACAGGTGTACCGCTACTTATACTAGGGTTGTCATATTTCAAAAAGTTGAGTTGTTGGTTTTTTGCAACATCTCCCCCCCCCATCAAGTTTTTTAGCTGTTTTTTAGGAAATCAGGCACTTTGACTAATTTTCAAAAATTCCACCCAAACGCCGTTTTTGGCAGACGAATCCCGGCTATGTCTGGGAAATTCTGGACGTATGGCAGCCCTAACTTACGCACAATTGACTCGCGCACGAAGCACCAGGAAATAAATAATTTGGTTCAAACCTTGAAATGGCGGGAGAGAGCTAGTGAGTCCTCATGGCTCATGAGGAGACCCTCCCCGGAACCCAAAGAGGACTTCAGCGAGGGCGGAAGAAGCTTTGAAGAGACCGAAGACGCAGCAGGGCTTTGTTTAGGCTGCTCGGCCTCCCCGCCTAACAGCTGATGCGTGTGGTAGCACAGCAGCCAAAGCTGCTTTTCTGCACATCCTTCAGCCTCCAGCCAGTCCCAGAGCTTCAATTCTAGTTGTGGATATTTTGGGGTGCAGTGTTTTTTGGTCTGGATTGGAGAGAGAGCAGCAGAGAGTGTGTTTAAAGAGTGTTTAGAGGGTGTTCCCCACTTAACAGTTTTTGCTTATGCATGCAGGGCCCAAAACGTAACCCCCCTTGTAAGTGAGGGGACGCCTATATCAGCAGTCCCCTGGTGGATTGCAGTCAATATCCTGCCCCTTGCTACATCTAGCACGGTTTGCATCAGCTTCGTAGATAGCTGGCTGCTTTCAAATGCATAAATGAAGAGGAAGAGATGCTGAACAAGGAGGCGAGTGCGTGTGTATTTGCTCAGCTCTCGCCCCTGAAGTTGCTTTTTCCTCCCACAGGGTTCAGCCAGGATATACTTTGTCCTGGCTGCCTTCCAGCAGCACAAATGTAACTCTTGCTCTGCACACGTCAAGCTGAGCTTTGTACCCGGCTTTCGCAATGCTTGTTTCAGCTGCCGCCGCTGCTGCTGCTTGGAAAACTGGTGGAGAAGGGAAATGCAGCCCAAGCTATTTACGGGACGAGCTCTTGCGGGAAAAGAATCTTTCACCAAAAAGGAAAAGAAACCCACCCACTCCCCCTGTAAGGTTGAAGCACACATCTCTTTAGGTGTGTATAAAGTGAGCTATCCCAAATTGCAACATCGTTAGTTGCAGAAGAATTAGAATTTTAGCATTTATATAGAAAATATTAATTTAAATATATTGCAAATATGAATTAATGTTTGTAGAATCCTTGTAAGGGAGGCCAGCATTATTGCCTGCTTAATGTAGATACGAGTAGTATGAGGAGTTGAAATAAAAGACGATTGCTCAAGATTACTTACTGAGATGGTATGCGCACTCTGAGCCATTGAACTGCACCTTCGCAGCAGATACATAGCCTGGCTAGGTGTTTTCATTTCCCCCCTTTTTAAAGACTCTAACCAATTTTCTGAAAAGAACAGCAATAAGCAATTTTCTCTCTCAATTCCAATAGAATCTGTTTTTTTTGTGGGGGTGGGGGACGCAGCAAAACAGAGTATTTCATAAGGAACAACAGGATTGATATACATCTGTGGCTATTGCTGTGTGTATACCACTTCCCAAACCAGCAGTTGGATGGCACTAGATTTAGAGTACAGTGGTACCTTGGTTGTCAAACGCCTTAGTTGTCAAATGAATCAGCTCCTGAATGTTGCAAGCCTGGGAGCAAGTGTTCCAGTTTGCGAACGTTTTTTGGAAGCCAAACGTCCAACGCAACTTCAGCGGCTTATAATTGAGTGCAGGAAGCTCCTGCAGCCAATCGGAAGCAATTCAAGAACCAAGGTACCACGGCAAACTCGAAAAAACGTGTTTCCTTCAATTTGCCTTGTGGCACAATCCATGGAAAAGGTTGTCTGCAAGTGACATAATACTTCAAGGGATTTAAGACAGACTCTCCAGGTTCAGATTCCAGATTTGGGGGAGATGGGCCATTTCTGGGCCACCTAAAATGGTCCAAAAGGATATCGAATTTGAATTCGCCAGCCTTCAGTTTTTATATGCCTAGTTGTCAAATGAATCAGCTCCTGAATGTTGCAAGCCTGGGAGCGAGTGTTTCAGTTTGCGAATGTTCTTTACGAACGTTTTGCGAATCTTACCATTCTACTTGTTTTATGTTGCGTTCTTATTTTAATGATACTGTTTTTTGTTTGGCTGTTGTACACTGCTTAGATATATAAAGAAATATTAAGCGGTTTGCAAATGCTGCTATATATTTTTTTTATTATTATTGCCTCCCAGCTTGACCACACCTCTCCTAGTGCAAGTTGGGCTCTTTCCCAACCACTTGAATGATCCCTCTTTCCCTGACTGACCACGTGGGTGATTCTTTGAGGGTGGTAGTGAGGAGGACCCAACATCAGCCACACAAACGTCTCAACCTTACAGTTTTAATCTGGGAAGCATATGGATTAACCTCTGAACATCCACCAGGCATCTGAGCCATTAGTCCAGCTTTTCCAGACTAATTTTGTATTGGACCAAGATAGGTCCATCCACCATTAGCTTTGGCTATGATTTTTTTTAACAGACAGCATGAATCTGCATTATATTTAAGCACTGTTAAGTTTCACTGCTGTGGGAGCAAGGAATGCTACCACATTAAAGTCATTTTTATTATTTATGCATTTGTTATCATTATATCTCCCCTTTTTCCCATGGAGACCTAGGTGTGAGAACTGCTAGGTTTGATAGATAGATAGGTAGATAGATCCCACTGAGTATTTGGTTATCTGATTTTCAGATAAGAAAAGGTTTAGAAAAGGGAAATAAAAGATCCCCAGAAGTAAAATATAGTCAAACCTTGGTTGTCGACTGTAATCCATTCCAGAAGCCCATTCAGCTTCCGAAATGTTGGCAACCAACGCATGGCTTCTGATTGGTTGCAGGAGCTTCCTGCCCTCAAGTGGAAGCCTCATTGGATACTTGGCTTCCAAAAAACGTTGAAAAAATGGAGCATTTGCTTTCAGGTTTTCAGCGTTCGGGAGCCGAAACGTTCCCGAACGGAGGAGTTCGGGAGCCGAGGTTTGACTGTAACAAAAAGAGAGGTCTAGCGTGCTATGACATGACACATCTATTAAAGGCGCCTGAGCTCTGCCTTTTGCTGCCCGCTCACCCCGCCATAGAGCCTCCCATCCGAATGCTGGCCAGACCAGACTTGCTTAGCTTCAGCAAAATTTTCTGTACCTTGTGACTTCAGGCCATGACATGGAAATTGCTCTGTTGGTCCTACCGTGTTTGGGGGGAAGGTGTGGGGTTTATTTACAGTTTAGATTTAGCTGCGTTACAGTAACACCCCCAGTCCTTCTTCATGCCTTGGCCCTATGTTAAATGTCAGTTGCCTAATTTTAGATACATGTTGATGCCGCTACGAATGCTCTAAACAGCACTCCTGCACTGACATGTAAAACATTATATATATGACAGTTGGCAGTGACTGTGTGGATAAGTATATTGTTACGCTCTCCCAACTGTTTTCCAAGTGGTGCGAAGTTCCAGGACTGCAGTGACCTTACTCAGGTTTGGTTCATTGGAGGCTTCTTAGAATTTTGTGATTTCTGTGCCTATTTACATATATACACATTGACCAAAGGAGGAGTCACACCTTCAATTCTCCAACAGGCACCCAAAGTCCACTGCTCCTGCGTCAGGTTTCTGCTCCAGGGAGACAGCACCCCAAAAACACATTCCAACTTAGATGACAGTTTACCCCGTCGTTTGCTTCACAGATTACACCATTCTTGGTCCCCAACAATTTCCTAGCCATTCTTGGCCCATTTACCCTGCAGTTTTCCCAGCAAAGGAGATTTTTTTGACAACTTTCCTTTGATTATTAAGTCAGCTTCCAGCCCTATCTGATAGTTCCATTGAACCTCCCTTGTCCAAGCTACCAATCCCACAACACTATGAAGTATTTCCCTGGAGGTTTATGGATTTAATTTTTTCTGCGGCAACTGTATTTTTGTGAGAAAATAACCACATATGCTGTGGTGGGTTGAAAAGCTTGTGGATATGATCAGAGAAAACACTATGTAATTTTTATCCTGTGTTTTCATGAGATACGTAAATTCCAAAAAGCAGCCCATGCATCAGTGGCCCATTGACGAAGTTTTCATGAAACACTGAAATGCGGTATCTTCTTCAGAAGTCTTATTACGCTGACATAAAGACACAACTCTAATACTGCTTGTGAAGGACTTAACCACATTGTCCTCAGTTTCCTATTGATACCAAATGTGGATGATTAATATTTTGTTTCTTCTTTCCTCTTCTCTCTTCTAGTTCCAGCTGCTGATTGAAATCATTTGGCCTTTACTTATCTTCTTTATATTGATCTCTGTACGGCTATCGTTTCCACCCTATGAACAACATGAATGTAAGTATGGAACATGCATATGCTTTGCTTTATATTTGGTGATGATGAGAAGGAAGGAAGGAAGGAAGGAAGGAAGGAAGGAAGGAAGGAGAAGGGAGAGGATTGCCTTCATCCTCTCCCTTCTCCTGCCTGCATGTTTGGCATCTATAGCACAGATGGACCTAAGGTAGAATGGAAGATAAACACCTTTGCTGTGCATTATGGCAAAAACAAGCAAACAAAAATGGTAGTACAAAGCTAAGCTTGATAACTTGCAGAGGATACTCAGTCAAATTGGTAGAAAGACACCAAGGATAAATGCAACTAAACTGCCATATAACAGTGGCTTTCCGGGTGATTAACAACCTGCCATGTTTCTTCCTGTGCCAATGGGTCAACAAATACCAGTTGTTTTAACAATATTGATATTACTATTTGCCTTCTGAGAAAAGAAGATACTCTTCATTTTATGCATTAAGTGCAGTTCAGTTACATCAAACATTTTGCCAGGTCATGAATACACGCAGGTGTACCTTCCTCCCCCTATACCAAGATCTGGGGCTGTTCAGAGAAACCTTGATTGCAGGTGACTGTGACCTCTTTAGGTCTGCTTAGGAATTTAAGGGACAGAACTGTTATCTAATGTTCCAACGTTCTTTGGTGTTTTTTCAACATGAGCTTTGGATAGCTTACCGTATAATATTGCGACAGCAGCCGAGCTGTAGGTGCGTAGCTTTTTAAACCACTGGATATTTTAAATATGGCTCGGTTAACGATTTTTAAAGTGATTCAACAACGGGAATTTTTTCGGGCATCAATTCTAGACACACCTATTTGGGAGTGAGTAGTTTTAAGGAAAATTGAAAGAGATCATTCCCCAAGGTATACAAGCACATTTTGTGTGTCCACTGTAATTGCTGTTCAAAAAATTTCTGAAGGTTTTTGAAAGTTCTCTGGGTATTTTCCTGTTGTTGTTTGCTAGCTGTAAACTCTTTGCATACATTAGAAACCTCTGTGATAGAGAGATGCATCTTCTCTCATGGTGGACACGGAATAATATTTTTTTGAGGGGTGGAGACACACTGAGGACAAAGGTTTTTCAAAAGGAGAGAAAGCAACTTGATGGCCTAATATGTACATTCCTAAGTTTTGTCCTTGTGTTTCAGGTCATTTTCCAAACAAGGCCATGCCTTCAGCTGGAACATTGCCATGGGTCCAAGGGATTATTTGCAATGCCAACAATCCCTGCTTCCGCTACCCAACTCCTGGAGAGTCACCGGGCATTGTTGGAAATTTTAACAAATCTATGTGAGTACCATATCTTCCTTTATGAATCTCTTGCCCAGGGAGTAGTGAAGGGACAAGTATGAAGAACGGAATGGAGGCAAAACGGCTTTGCACTGGTCTGCATTATAAAAGGTGCTGGCTGTTCTTTTTTTTGGCACCCCTGCAAGAAGCCTTTGTAGAAAAGTACACTTGGTTCTGAGATAGTGGCTGTGCTTGGCAGGGCGAATGTTGGGGCGGAACATACAGGGCAGTGAATCGGGAAAAAATTCATCCAAGGCAAAACTTTGCAGGTAGGAAGCAGTAGGAAAAGTGGATTAAAGGGGAGGGCAAAACTGCAGCTCTTTAGGACCTTAAGGTAAAGGTAAAGGGACCCCTGACCATTAGGTCCAGTCGTGGCCGACTCTGGGGTTGCGGTGCTCATCTCGCTTTATTGGCCGAGGGAGCCAGCGTACAGCTTCCGGGTCATGTGGCCAGCATGACTAAGCCGCTTCTGGCGAACCAGAGCAGCGCACAGAAACCTTAGCAGTTCCTATAATTCTGACTTCACTCATTAGATAAGATCACAGACATGGAGGAGCAGCTAGGCTTGCTCAGCACGCAGAAATCACTTGGAAGGATACCTGCACAGTTTGCTTCATAACTTTCTTTCTACAACGGATAGAGATGTACATTTTTAAAATGAAAGCTGAGAGTCTGGGGTCCTTATGTGAGAGCCAGTGTGGTGTAGTGGTTAAGAGCAGTAGTCTCGTAATCTGGGGAACTGGGTTCGCATCTCCGCTCCTCCACATGCAGCTGCTGGGTGACCTTGGGCTAGTCACACTTCTTTGAAGTCTCTCAGCCCCACTCACCTCACAGAGTGTTTGTTGTGGGGAAGGAAGAGAAAGGAGAATGTTAGCTGCTTTGAGACTCCTTCGGGTAGTGATAAAGCGGGATATCAAATCCACTAATGAAGGCCTTCTTGGCAATCCTAAATTATTCAAGTACATTTTTGACTAGTACAAATGAGGATGGTCCTGTTTCTCGCTTGATCCTGTTGGGATCAGATAACTCTGCTCTGTCTTAGCATGCTTATTGCATCTGAGGAGCGAATGACCAGCTGCCCTTTGCTCTGGAACTGTGACCAACTTCTCTAATCATGTGTCAAAGTTGCAACACCTTCTGAGGCCCTGATCCCAAGAGGAAATGGGAAGCATGTTGCCACAGCTGGAGTTTTTGATGGAAAAGAATAAAGCATTGATATGAGCAGCTGGTCAAAAAAAATAAATACCAAAATTTCATTGGCGAAGGGAGAAAATGCAAATAGCACATCCAGCCACTAATTAACACGGGACACAATCCTGTTGGAATGAGCGCTCACAAAACATGGTGGTGCTGTTCACCAACCCTCATTCGTTTTAGTGGGACTTGCAAGACAGATCCATGAGTCAGTTGTAAACAGGAATGTGCAATACAAAGAACAGAATTTGGAGTCAAGCGAACTATCCTTCTTTCCCCTTCTTATATTATCCTATCTTCCATAGCGTTTCCCGCCTGTTCTCTGATGCCAAACGATTGCTACTGTATAGCCAGAAAGACACCAGCATTAAGGACGCACAGAAAGTAGCAGGGAAACTGCAGAAAGTTGGGAAGACTATTTCAGGTAAGTGAACAAAGGATGTGCTGTCCATTTGGTGTTGCGTCAATAATCCAGAAGATGGAAAAGGCTCACTGATGCTTAAATTTGCACTGGCTAACTTTGTGAGCCCCCCCCCAACCATACCACAACAAGTAGTTCACCCCCATCTGTCCCTACCCCATGGCTGGACCCTTGTGTTTACCTGAAAAGTAAAGGCACTTTTCAGGTGAAAAAATATAACTGAATCAGAAGCCGGGATTTCAAATATAGCTGCGATCCCGTGCATGCTTAGTTGAAAATCAACCCATCAAAATCAATAAAAGATCTGTTTTCAGAGAAAGTATGTTTAATGCTTGCATCTTAATGTGAAATATGCCATTATTTCTTTCAGAGAGCCCCTTCATCCTCCCCAAATGTGCTTGGTTTCCTGTGTGTCAGCACCTCTATTTCAGTACTTTCCCCCATCCTCAGCTCTCTGTGGTTTATGTGTTTGTGGAGCCTTTACACTGAGGTGGCAATGACTTTGTTGTTATTTATTGTTGTTTATATACATATACATATACATATACATATACATATACATACACACACATATATCTATGTGTGTATGTGTGTTTGTGTATGCATTCTTATTTATTTATTTACTTACTTAAAGGTAAAGGGACCCCTGACCATTAGGTCCAGTCGTGGTCAACTCTGGGGTTGCGGCGCTCCTCGTTTTATTGGCCGAGGGAGTAGGCGTACAGCTTCCTGGTCATGTGGCCAGCATGACTAAGCCGCTTCTGGCAAACCAGAGCAGCTCACGGAAATGCCATTTACCTTCCCGCCAGAGCAGTACCTATTTATCTACTTGCACTTTGACGTGCTTTTGAACTGCTAGGTTGGCAGGAGCAGGGAGCTCACCCCGTCACGGGGATTCGATCTGCCGACCTTCTGATCGGCAAGTCCTAGGCTCTGTGGTTTAACCCAGCGCCACCCGCGTCCCTGATTTACTTACTTACTGCTTATATAGCAGACATGGGGTGTGGCGTGCTATGAAGGGATCATATATATGTGGCAAAATAGGCTTTCAGCCCCAGGACCATTCTTTTGACCCTTCTGAGAAGATAGGCTTGAATCATGCATTAGGTCCCATCTCTTTTACCTTCCTGTTTCTGATACAGGAACTGGGCTGGGAGAAATAGTGGCTACTGTCATATGTAAGGAAGGTGGAAGAGGAGGCTCCCTATTGTTGTTAAACCATCGCTTTATATGTGAATGGGGAAAACACCTGAACGATAAATATGTTTGCCCTCACTACATTTCTTCCCTGCCCTGATTTCCCATTTCTTCACCCTCTCCTCTCATCTTCTCCAGTGCAAGAGTTCTTCCGCATTTCTCGTAGTTTTTATTCAGACTTTAAAGGGAGTATGATTTCTTTGTAATGCAAAACCACACTCCTTGAAAAGCTGCAAAGGAATTTCATTGAAGAAGATACCTGGGCTGTAGCATCTGTGTGCGTGTTTTTGAATATTTTGCCCATGCTTGGTTGGTTCAGGTTTTATGAGGATGGTGCTTGTAATCTGCTAGCTCATGTTGATGATGGCTCTAAAGAAGTGAGTAAGGTATCCAGTCAAACTGCAAATCCTGTAGGTTGGCAGAAGACACCTAGTGATTTTGGCAGCTAACGCCATAAAAGCATATGAGTTTGATTAAAGGGAGGAAGAAGACCTGAGGTAATTACTTGTTGCAGGATTAAATGAGTAATGAGTATCTCTGAGCTTAAATTTTATTGTTAACTCTATTTGTAATTATCCATCTATATAAAACAGTGACATGTATAAAAACAATTTTTAAAAATTACAACAATGCAGTTTAAAACCACAGTACACACATAATATCAGCTCCAATCCAATTAAGATTCCAAATGGGATGAGAATTCCACTTAGACCTGTTAAATATGTTGAAATGAGCTCTCCCTAACCTGCTGAGGTATGAAATGTATACGAAGTTTCCAAATTCACATCCTTCAGAACTTTGTTTTCATTTTAAGTATGAGTGCTAGGAACAGATGGGGAAGGTGTTCAATAGAGAAGAGAGTAGCCAGCGCTATTGAAATGTTAGTCAACGGATTATTTATTGGAATGTTGACTAATAATAATAATAATAAATTTTATTATTTGTTCCTCGCCCACCTGACAGGGTTGCCTCAGCCACTCTTGAGTGGCTTTCAGCATATGCAAAAACATAATAAAACATGGTGTGCATGTGTTTGAGAGTGATATACAGTGCTGAAAGTGAGTACGGAAAGGATGGTTAGGCCCAATCTGATTGTTTCCCTGTTTAAAAAGAATAGCGGGGTGATACCTTGTCTCACTTTGAGCATTGGTGGGATGTGAAGCAGTATGTGTGCATGGTTAGCATGTGTCGGAAACACATGTGCGTAAGAGTATTTTGTGTGTGCGTGCATACAACAAAAGATGTTGCACTTCAGAGAACAAGCATGCGCCTCCTCTTGTTCTGCAATAGAGCTGACGTTTCCTGAAAGTCTTCTACAGATAGAAAACACTGACAAGAGTTGAGCAAAATATTAAGAAACAACACTTTGCATTTCAAGTGTATAAGGCACTTCATAAAAGTGATCTCAGTAATCCTGGCGACAGGCCATTGCTGTTCCATCGATATTGCAGATTGACGGCTGGGCAGGGGCCTAGCTGAGGCTGAGAAAACAGTGACTTTGCTAAGGCCACACAGTGAGCGCATGGCCGATGCAAACTATGAACTGTCAGCATTTTGCAGCTCACGCTCTTCTTAACCAATACCCTGGTGCTGGAGAAAGGAATGGCAACAGCAGCGAAAAGTGAAATGTATGGTGTTAATGCTAATAAAATGAAAGCTAACAAATTGATTGGATAAACAAGGCCTGGGGCAAGCACATGTTTGTTTTATAAGGCAACTTGAGAATGTGCAGTCGAATGTGTATACTTTTTTTAAAAAAAGAAGAACATTGTGCACTGCAATTCAGAATGTTTGTATGACAGACACCATATTGTTGGTGCGAGCTGTGGTGAACAAAAGGGTGCTTGTCCTTTATGTTACACTCACACAGTCTCCGGGAAAATTCGTCAGAAGCTGTTGTAGCAATGACCTATAGCTTCAGGGTTCTGTTGCCAGCAAATGGAAAAGAAAGACCACGCACAGAAATGAAAAGCACCTTTCAGGATTAGATGACCATTATTTCTAAAGCATAAAGAGGAGGCCTTGAAAACTTGCACGCTACTTCAGGTTTTCAGTTTCCCCAAGGAGTAGGAAATCTGAGGGCACCTTTTTACAGAGTGACTTTCCTCGTGATGAGACAGTACAGTGGTACCTTGGGTTACATACGCTTCAGGTTACATACGCTTCAGGTTACAGACTCCGCTAACCCAGAAATAGTACCTCAGGTTAAGAACTTTGCTTCAGGATGAGAACAGAAATCGCAGGGCAGCAGTGGGAGGCCCCATTAGCTAAAGTGGTGCTTCAGGTTAAGAACGGTTTCAGGTTAAGAACGGACCTCCGAAACGAATTAAGTACTTAACCCGAGGTACCACTGTACTTGACAATGCTTTTGTAATATCTGTTTATTTACGATGGGCAGTTACCAACATTGAATCAGTGCTGCCCCCACCCCCCCAAAGCAACAGCAGACTCATGCAGCTCCCCCGGGGCTGCAAAACTCAGGCATTTTTCTTTGGCTAGATTTGAATGGCAAAAATATTTCCTTTATCCCCCCACACTGGCAGGTGGGGTATGATCCAGACTCCATTGGCTTTGAGATGTCACCAGGAACCATAAAGCCATATTAAGCTTTCGCTCCTGCAGCTATCACAAACATCTGGGCAGCAGGCTTTTTCTTCACTTTCCGTGTCAGAACAGTGTGTTCCATAATAACACCATAATTGCATGCTGGGTTTTTATTATTTTTATTTTTTGCATTGCTTCATCTGGCCCACAGTGAGACAAAACAGATGAGAAGTTGCAGGGATGGTACAACTGGGAGGAGAGTAGCAGGACCCTTCCACCCTTCCAAACTATGCCCTCCCACTGCCACTTTCCAGCCATTCTGCAGCTGCCATGATTGCTGCCAGTTCTCTACCTAAAGCTCTCTGGCTTGCCCCATTTGAGCTCATCATAAAATAATATTCTATACTGTGGTACCTCTGGTTACGAACTTTTTTCATTGTGGAGGCCGTTCTTAACCTGAAACCGTTCTTAACCTGAGGTACCACTTTACCTAATGGGGCCTCCTGCTGCCACCATGCGATTTCTGTTCTCATCCTGAGGTAAAGTTCTTAACCTGAGGTACTACTTCCGGGTTAGTGGAGTCTGTAACCTGAAGTGTTTGTAACCTAAGGTGTTTGTAACCTGAGGTACCACTGTACTAGATTGGGACATGTCAACAACTATACCAGCACAGTGTCACAACTCCTTGCCTGCTCACCCCCACCTCCAGGTACTGTATATGTTTTGCTAGTCTTATCAAAACTGTTTTGGATTCCTCCAGAATTCCTAGGATCATAGAATCGTAGAGTTGGAAGGGACCCCAAGATTCATCTGCTCCAACCCCCCTGCAGGATGTCTTGCCAAAGCAGAACTCTCCACATTTGTTTTTGCTTTTTGGCAAAACTGTGTTGCGGGTCGAAGCTCTGAAGACCATGTTCCCTTTCAAAGCCACTGCTTGTTCCCCTTTCAAAATTCCTTCAGTGTTTCAAACAAGGAGAGAATTCCCAAATGGGACTAGGAATGTTACTTCTTTGAAAATTCAGGGCTGGTATTTGCCTTGGGAAGAAATCCCTCGCTGGCACCAACCACAGCCTTCCTCCCGAATGCAAATGTAAGGTTACCAGACGTCCCCATTTCCCGGGGACAGTCCCCGTATTTACAAATCAGTCCCCATACAAAAGTGTCCCCGGATTCACTGAAAAAATCTGGTAACCTTAAAATAGTGGTGCCAGAGGAGGAAAGGAGAGGAAAGTTCGGTTCCTTCTCCTTTTCTGATCCTGATGCCTCCCCATCCCTGCCCCCCTGTGGCTGCTATTCTTTTTTAAAAAAAATGATGGTTAAATACAAGGACACTTTAAATATCACAACTAGTATGACCTTCGGTGGCCTAGTGACATTGTTGTGGAAAGTCGTTACAATTATTGTTGACTCCAGATATTCAGGGCCTTGAGGCGTTTGTGTGCTCTCCTGATCCTTTACTACTGAGAAGAGGTTAAAAGACCTTTGCCTCTTGAGCCTAGGAAAAAGGAAGTTGAGAGAAGATAGGGTTGTGCTCTGCAAATACAATAGGAAGCAACCCTCACACATCACTATGTGCTTAAGTCAGCTGGACTAAAATGTGGATATATGAGGACAGGATTGCACCTTTGCCGAATAAAGGAAGGGCCATGAGAGATGGAACTTTTTTGACTTGGGCTACAATGTAGTTGTTAAGTACAAAACCATATATTTTGGAGATTGTTATGAACTGGAACATCAAGAATAGTGGAATAAATGTTTGGCAAGAGCCATGGCTAATAAGAACCAGAGCAGTGCTCAAATGGAACTTAATAGATTGTTTAAGAGATATTAGGGTTGGTTCGTAATTGGAGATTATTTGCCTGAAGAAGTCAGGAAGAAACCACCACCAGCCAGGAGAGTCTTCCTGCCTTTCCCATAAAACATCAGCCATGGTGTAAAAAGGACCCATTGGATGGGGTGGTTTGTTTTTGAGATAATATCATTTTTTCCTCAAGCAATTGCCTTCTGATTATTGCCATCAGTTTCTGATGCATTTTAATGCTTGGAGGAACATTTTGGACAGAATGAATCCCTTGGGCATAGGTTTTTTTGGGGGGAAGGGGAATAAATATGTGGCTTCTTCATTTGGGCTATTGTAAAAATTGCTTCTTGAGCAGATGCTCTCTGATCATTCTTGTTTTCTGAGATAACAACGTGATAATAGACTAAGGGTTAATGGAGCAACCTTTAAAATCAAGGGGAGGTTTGCAGGGGAGAAACACCATTTGTTTCCCCCGCCATTTATTTATTGTATTAGATTTCTTACTCGCCACTTCACATAGGTCCCAAGTCTGGTTACAGCCATATAATATACAATTGTGAAGCAAATAAAACAGCTGCAACCATAAAACAAGTCTAAAAACCTCTCCATATGTAAAAAAAATACAAACATTTAAAAACTATTCCACACATAAAAATATGCAGATTGAATTGCTCCCGGAACATGGCACTCCCAAGAAATGAAAATATTATTTCTACACCATTGTTGAGCACTGTGTTCCAAACTTTACTTGTGCCAGATTCATTTTGCTTCTGTGGCATGACTTAGTGGCTTTGTTTTGATTGATAATCTCAGGGCAGTGATTCCACATTTAGTCTAGCCATTTCTTACAAGGACTAGAAGCCAAGCATTTGTTATCCGTGACTGTATATTGTGTCTCCGTTTGACTGAGTCACTTTTTGGGTCGGAGCCAGAAATAAATCTCAAGAGTGGGTGCAGTTGTAATGCTATTAACTGCCTGTATCTAAAAGGTACGGCTGAGTCAAAACGTTGATATCATGGCACACACAAGCTAGACTCACAATAGGACATAAAGGCTGCAAGGTCAGACATCATGCTTCCAACCTGCGCCCCTGTCAGCCATTTGGCAAAATTGTGTTTCTTAACCCCTGAAAGACATGGAACTGGCATCAGTTTCTTGAAATTTTGCAACTTGCTTTTCCAGCAGGAATTTCTTGCCTCTGCACTGAGCCTTAAAAGGTAAAGGACCCCTGACAGGCCGAGGGAGCCGGTGTTTGTCCGCAGACAGTTTTTCCGGATCATGTGGCCAGCATGACTGAGCCACTTCTGGCAAAACCAGAGCAGCGCATGGAAATGTCGTTTACCTTCCCTCCAGAGTGGTACCTATTTATCTACTTGCATTTTTGGCGTGCTTTCAAACTGCTAGGTTGGCAGGAGCTGGGACCGAGCAACGGGAGCTCACCCCGTTGTGGGGATTCGAACCGCCGATCTTCCGATCGGCAAACCCAAGAGGTCAGTGGTTTAGACCACGTCCCTGCACTGAGCCCTACCCTTCCTCAAACTTGAGGCTAGTTCACACAGCCCTTCTGAGCTCCTTGCAGCTGAATTAATTGTACTGGGCCCATGCTGACTTTTAGCTATGCTGCTGCCATTAACATGGCAGTCTGCACAGATGAGTTTTTGACATTTCTGTTAGGGTCTCAGGGGCTTGGAATGGGGATCTTGGGCCATGATGTTGGGACTTACTGGACTTCTTGCCGTACTTGTTAATCATGCAAATGGGTGTAGTTATAACCAGAAAGCACAAGAGGCCTCTCCCGCAACGAGGTTCTGAGACTCAAGCAATATTCAGATCTAATTCTTTGTCTTCCTATTGGAATTTAAATCCCCAGTAACAGAGTTTCACTGGATTGATCAAAACCAAACCAAGGAACAGGCGTCAAGATACAATGTGTTCTGATGAGCTGTGGAACAGTATATTAGAGCACAGCATATATGTTGTAGCCAAGTTCTCTTCCTTGGGAGCAATTTCTCCTACCATAATATCCTTCAGCACAAGAGGTATTGTCTGAGTAGGTTCTTCCTTCAGTTAGTTGCATCCATAGCAAGCTTAGACTAGAGACAGCCATTTTTAAAGATGGAACCAAGTGAGGCATTGGTTCCCATAGTGTACTCTTACCCTTTCCTTGTCCTCTTTCTCAGTTTTAAAAACAGCTGTGCAAAGAGGTGACTATCCTGAACCAGGATAGCTCCTTCACTCAGCTCTTAACAGTAATCTGCCTCCAGCTGAATCTCTCTGCACAGAAGGACCTAAGTTCTGACTGACCTTGTAGCTCTCTTCAGAACTCTGCTATCAGAACGTGCACATGCATTGACTCAGCTACTTTTTTTATGGAGAGCCAAGTACGGGAAATGTACTTCTTATCAATGATGTACCTTTATCTCCAGCTGTTAAAGTTTATCATGCTGAGAACACACACTGAGTAACTTTGCAAGTTAGGGGCTCTTCACCTGACAGTTTAGCTCCGAAGAACCACAAAACAAGGGTCTAATCGGCTGATAATGTGTAAACAGCATGGGAAGGGGAATCAATTCAATCTTTTGCCTATGGTGGTTTTCAGTTATTTTGGAGGCACGATTTGCATGCTGTTTTATCTGCTGCAGCTGGTGAGACTCAATGTGAACTGTTAAGGGATATCATAGGGCGTGTCATATGTCAATTATGTTCCTACAGTATATCTTTTGTCCAGAACTAACCCCCCCCCCCCGCTTTTTAAGAGAAGATTGGAAAACGTTTATTGAATATATGGGGGGGGGAATTGTGTACACTTGAAAACGTTGGCAGCATTAAGATAAATTCAACAGTGTAAATAAGTTTTGATGGATGCAATAATGGAATACTGAATGGTTTCGTTTATGTAAAATATGCAGGGATTTATGATATGCAAAATGAAACATGGAAAGAGAAGAAGGGAAGTCACTGATATTTTAAGGTTGTTTAAATGAGTATTCTAAAAAGAAATATATATATATATATACGAGAGAATGACCTTTTTTGCTTTTTAAATAATAAATTATGCGGGAGGAAGTCGGAGACCCTTTAAAAACCCACAAATAACAAACACCACCCACTGAGTCCTTCCAGTTTTAACCAAACAATGAGCCACTGGTAGCCTTCTTAGAAAAGCAGTGAAGAGGTTTCTACAAAAAGGTAAGGTTCCGGAAGTTTGTCTGGCTTCCAAAATGTTCAGAAATCAAAGCACGGCTTCTGGTTGGCTGCAGGAAGCTCCTGCAGCCAATCGGAAGCCATGGAATCCCTATCGGCCATTCGGCTTCCAAAAATAGTTCACAAACTGGAACATTCACTTCCAGGTTTGCGGCATTCGGAAGCCAAAACATTTGAGAACTAAGCTGTTCGAAAACCAAGGTATGACTGTACATTGAAAAGTGTGTGTGTGCGTGTGAACAAATGACTAGCAGAAGCAAGTGTAGTAGTAGTAATAATAATAATAATAATAATAATAGGTAAAGGTAAAGGGACCCCTGACCATTAGGTCCAGTTGTGGCCGACTCTGTGGTTGCGGCGCTCATCTCGCTTTATTGGCCGAGGGAGCCGGCGTACAGCTTCCGGGTCATGTGGCCAGCATGACTAAGCCGCTTCTGGAGAACCAGAGCAGCGCACGGAAACGCCGTTTACCTTCCCGCTGGAGTGGTACCTATTTATCTACTTGCACTTTGACGTGCTTTTGAACTGCTAGGTTGGCAGGAGCAGGGACCAAGCAACGGGAGCTCACCCCATCGCGGGGATTCGAACCGCAGATCTTCTGATCGGCAAGCCCTAGGCTCTGTGGTTTAACCCACAGCGCCACCAGCATCCATAATAATAATAATAATAATAATAATAATACCCTGTCCATCTGACTGGGTTGCCCCAGCCACTCTGTGAACACCCTGCAAGCAAATCAGGATGAATGTAGGATGAATGCTTATTGCCAGGTACCTGTCCTGCAAATAAAGCAAAAGGAATGTTCAATAAAGACCGGACATAGTCTAACCACCACTGAATGCTTTGTGTAAACAAATCAGGATGATTGCTGAACAAACCGGTTGTCTGCAGGAGGCCTCCATTGAGGAGTATGGCTTGTAACAAGAAGAAGCCATAGTGGTCAGCAAATGTCAATATAGCTTTAAATTGCTATGACATCATGGTGATCAAATTTCTAACCGAGACAAACAGCACAGCTACAAAGCTTAATGAAGTGTGGGATTTTTGACTGCTAAAACTTTGCCACTTTAATTTAGTATTGATTAGTGGGATGAGCAGTGCTGTTGAATGATGGTGCTATCATTAGAGGCATCTCATTGAGGTTGATCGATGCCGTACTCTCTCAAGGGAAGATCTATCTCAAATCTTGGCTCTGTGCACTGCATATGCAGCCCTGTGTTGTCTGGAAGTGGAACACTGGTCTTACATCAAAGAACAAAACTGGGAGCAGAGGAAAAATCCCTGGATGAGTTTCTGTGGCAAATTCAATTATACTGTAGAGTGGGGACTGCCCATGTAGTGCCTTGCAGGCGATGCTTGACTCCAACTCCCATCAGCCTCTGCCAACATGACCTGTGGTCAGGGATGATGGGAGTTGTCATCCAAAAGCATCTGAAGGTCACTGTGTTGGGTACCCTTGCTGTAGATGAACACGGAAACTGGCAGAAACAACCCCTCAGTTGTTGTTTTTTTAATTCTCACCAAAGGGGATAACACAAAGGTGCCTACAACTTTGAAATATCAGTCCTGTTGTATGGAGAATAAATAAAAAAAGTTGACCCAGTAACTTTTTTAATAAGCAGTTGAGTTTAGTTATTAAATTATAATTGACCTGGGTGGACGTGGGTAGCGCTGTCAGTTAAACCATAGAGCCTAGGACTTGCTGATCAGAAGGTCGGCAGTTCAAATCCCTGCGACGGGGTGAGCTCCCGTTGCTCGGTCCCTGCTCCTGCCCACCTAGCAGTTCGAAAGCACATCAAAGTGCAAGTAGATAAATAGGTACCACTTCGGTGGGAAGGTAAAACGGCGTTTCTGTGCGCTGCTATGGTTCTCGAGAAGCGGCTTAGTCATGCTGGCCACATGACCCGGAAGCTGTACGCCAGCTCCCTCAGCCAGTAAAGTGAGATGAGCGCCGCAACCCCAGAGTTGGTCACGACTGGACCTAATGGTCAGGGGTCTCTTTACCTTAAGTTATAATTAATTAGGGGCAGTTTGTCCCTCCCCTCCCTCTCTTTCTCTCTCTCATTCCATTCACAGATAGTGAACAAAGTTTTAGAATTAATCCAGCTAAAGTAACAGGGTGTTTGATGCACATGGCAAGGAATCGTGATGTTTCTTTGCCATTCCACTCCAGGAATGCCTTAGGACAACCTGAGGAATTTGATGAAACAAATTTGTGTCTCGTGAAGATTGTGCACCCTGCCATATCGTACCCAGTTGTGCTGCTTTGAACCAAGGCTGTTGCGTCGGACAGAGAGGATGGCTCAGAAACTCTCGGCACCTCCTTTGCTTACGCCGTAGGCGGATTGGCTGCCAGCGTCCAGACTGGCTGCATGCCTGGTTGGTTTGCATGTTTCAGTGATAAATTTTGCTGAACATGACAAGTGTTGTTCCTGGAGGAAGAGGCGGAGCAGCCTCGTGATTACTTATGGGGAAGTTGAACATTTATCAGCCATGATGTCAGATTATTTTAGGGAGAGATGTGGGGGGGGGGGGGCAGGCTTTGCTTTAGTCATCTGAAGTGTTTGAAATCTTGTCTTTTAAACCATACTTGGTCAGATTGTTGTTGTTGTTTTTAATTGTGATGAATACACAGAGTCTTTCACCTGTGCAACTTCACGTGAACTTTGCAGCATATTCCGCACTACAATCTAACGATATTTGACCTTCATCCATAGCTATGAATCTTCACATCTAACCCCCACCCCAAATATAATAGTCTCTACAGGGATCTGATACAGCTTGTTGATAGTTTCATGCACAATCTTAATTATCTACTCGGCTTTGCTGAGCGGCTCTGCCGCATCTGCAACCCTTCCATTCACAAGAACTGCAGTGGAATTAGGGGCCAGGGCAATCAGGAGGGAATCTGGACCCAATTCCTGAGCCAACTTCAGGCTAGCACAGGCACAGATCAGGTTGGATGTCATTGCACATCAGCTGTGAGACCAGCTTGAGATTCAGAAGATCCTTTGCTGGCAGGCTGAGCCCCTCTCTGCCCTTAGAACATCCCACTTCTGCTGGCATGGATTCCACCAATGGGCCTCCTCGTCGCCTGTACATATTGGTGGCTGGCAGGACGCCAGCTTACCTGGGAGAGCTGGGCAGAGGGACAATTCCACCTCATCCAACCCTCCCATTCGCAGCTCAGAGTATTGGAAGCTTGGATTGCTCTACTGGTTATTTACCAGACTTTACAATTCCAAGTTACTATTATTCAGATGCACACGTATTGTTTCATAAATGAAGGTGATGACTTATGTACGGCATACAGTTAAGTCTATGGTTAATGGGGCAGGCTTTTGGTGATCACTGTGGGCACATTGGTTTCTTGTAGAGCTACTGTATCAGAGTGATCTTTGTTTTAAATACTACCCAGTATTGGCAAAGCTCAGCATGCCTAAAGACTTTTGGCTTCTGCACAGTTTCAGAACACACAGAAAGAAGCAGGGATATAAGTTTGGGCATGCCCTAAGCCTGGCAGTCAGAAAGCTCTGGTTTGAAACACTCTGTACGATCCCTATTCCTCAACTGGGGTGAATTTATGAAGGAGTGACCCAAGAAATTATAGGTGTTTAAAGCAAGGGACGCGGGTGGCACTGTGGTCTAAACCACTGAGCCTAGGGCTTGCTGATCAGAAGGTCGGCGGTTCAAATCCCAATGCTCAGTCCTAGCTCCTGCCAACCTAGCAGTTCGAAAGCACGTCAAAGTGCAAGTAGATAAATAGGTACCACTCTGGCGGGAAGGTAAACGGCGTTTCCGTGCGCTGCTCTGGTTTCGCCAGAAGTGGCTTAGTCATGCTGGCCACATGACCTGGAAAAACTGTCTGTGGACAAACGTCGGCTCCCTTGGCCAGTAAAGCAAGATGAGCGCTGCAACCCCAGCCTCGTTCACGACTGGACTTAACTGTCAGGGGTCCTTTACCTTTACCTTTAAATCAAGTGAATCTCCCCTGCTCCTTTCTCCCTTCCCATGTTAGCCTGGCTGATAATTAGGCCTTATAAGATAACCTGAACTTGGGAGGGTCTTTGGGAATGATGAACTGAAAGGAATAAAAAAAGGAAATGTTTCTTTTCTCTCTTGGTTTACCGGAAGTAATTTAGAACAAGGCGTAAAACAGATCCATCTAAAAGTCATGACACAATTGAAAAAGAGAGGAGGAGGTTGAAAAAAGTTGTTGCCCCAAGTTTTAATGACGTGGCAAAGTTTGTACAAAGAGCAGCTGGAAAAACAGCTGCGGGAGTGGAGGAGACAAATGGAGCTGTTTTATCACAAGGCTGACAGGGAGGGGGGTGTCCCTGCTTCTCATCTCTCCCTGACAATGAGAGCAAAAGGGAGCCAACAGGATGGAATAACCTTGCTTCCCAACTATTCTACATACCAGGGCCAAATGCAATCATAGTGGCTGGATGACAGTAAAGCAGTCTCTTTGCTTTCCTAGCTTACCTGTTTAGGGGCAAGTATTCCAAGTGAATCTTATCACTAGCCTGGATTTACTGTATCTGGAATTACTTTGTCTTTAAAAGCTTTTGAAGTTATTCAGATGGGGGTAGTTATTATCTGCCTGCCCTCAAAACAATGGGCACTGATATGTTTAAATTCAAGCCACTGTTTCTCCGGCGCTGTTTGTAGTGATAATGGTTTTTCCATTTTAAACTTTCTAGATGCAGAGTTCTTTTATACCAATTGTTCCCTGGAATTCAGGGCATGTTCACGATTATAGGCTGGCTGAGCCTGTCTTTGTAGAGAAAGCTGTTCTACTAGTAGGCCAGTACAATTGCCTTTGCTCTTGGGTTGCTAAAATTATGGGTCACTTGAGCAGGGTTCAAAATTATTCTGTCATTGCAGAAGGCAGTGGGAAAGCGCTTTATAATTGCTATCAGGAAGAGTTGTGGTTCAGTGGCACAATCCCAGGTTCAGCGTCTTCCTCCTGTTTGAAAACCCTCAAGAAATGCTCTCAGCCAGTCAGATAGTACAGTGGTACCTCGGGTTACATACGCTTCAGGTTACATACGCTTCAGGTTACAGACTTCATTAACCCAGAAATAGTGCTTCAGGTTAAGAACTTTGCTTCAGGTTGAGAACAGAAATTGTGCTCTGGCGGTGTGGTGGCAGCAGGAGGCCCCATTAGCTAAAGTGGTGCTTCAGGTTAAGAACAGTTTCACGTTAAGAATGGACCTCCGGAACGAATTAAGTATTTAACCTGAGGTACCACTGTACTGAGTTAGATGCACCAATAGCTTCCGGTATTCCTATTGATAAGAGCAATACCTTTCATAAGCCTTTCTAGCCAATCAGAATGAGGCCATTGCCACCAATTCCTTTTACAGTCTTGTGACATCTCAAAACAAGCCTTTGTGTATGATGATTCCGTGATAAATATGGCATCTGAAGCCAAGACAGGAGTGTGTCTGATCTGATATCTAAGTGTCCCTTTCCATTACTTACAGACTGTACCAGAAAGCATTAGTAAATTAGTTACACCCACACTAGACATTGTTCTATTTTCCAACTCCCCACCCCCCCATGTTTAGTAGGTCTTTATATTTACTACAGGGGTACTTTGACAAGCCAGGAAAAGCAGGAATGAGCCAGTTTTCTGGGTCAAGTTGCTCTCACTGCATTACACAAGCAGCTCTCTCTGAGTGAGCATTGTTCTCAGAACATATTTGTGAGGCACAATTAGACAATAATACGGAATGCTCTTTTCCACACAGAAGTTTTGCAACTAAACTGGCAGAAAGGGGAATCACAGGCTTGGTTGTTGTTGTTTTAAAAATTGCATTATAACTAAAAACCCAGTTTATTGTTTCTGTTGCTCTTACTGATTCCGTTCTTCCATTGACAGTTCAGTGCTAGGCCACTGCTCCTTCCTGCGCCAAGTTAACCCTTCACCATGCTATGGTTCCTTCTTATCTGGGATAGCTCAGTGAGGCTCTTAATCTCAGGATTGTGGATTCGAGCCCCACGTTGGGCAAAAAGATTCCTGCATTGCAGGGGGTTGGACTAGATGACCCTTGTAGTCTCTTCCAACTCTAAAATTCTATGATTCTTGTGTCAGGATCACCCAGGGATGCTGGCATGGAGAGAAACCACTGGATGGCCTTTAACAATGTGGCTTGCACCTCCCATGTCATCAGAATATTGAAAGAAGGGTGCCATTCGGAGTACAGTGATACCTCGAGTTACAAACGCCTCAGGTTACAAACGCTTCAAGTTACAAACTCCGCTAACCTGGAAGAGTTACCGCGAGTCGAGAACTTTGCCCCAGGATGAGAACGGAAATTGTGTGCTGGCGGTGCAGTGGCAGCAAGAGGCCCCATTAGCAAAAGCACACCTCTAGTTAAGAACAGTTTCAGGTTAAGAATGGACCTCCGGAATGAATTAAGTTCGTAACTAGAGGTACCACTGTAAATCATTCTATCCGTGGTTATAGGTCTAGATCAGTTTTTTACCTTTGAAGTTTCTGGATGTGGCATCAAAGAATAAATTTCTTTCTTTCTCCCCAAGCCTGTTCTTCTCTCCCCAACCCCCACCCTAATCTAAGAGCATGTTGTTAAACAGCCCTGAAAAGATTTCATCCTCAAGTAACCCAGCTTTTGCCTCAAGCCCTCTGGTGACAGCGATTATTTTGCTTGTAGAACAAAAAAGCTTCAGGGAACATGTAACCGGAGAACTGGGATAGAGAGCGTTGACCGACAGTAACCCCAGAGCACGGGTATTCGGGAGAAAAATAGGAAGTGTTTCTTTCTTCATAACTTTTCTTCTCCAACCAGACTGGTGTCCTGCCAAATCAGGGTCTGAGCAATACAATCGCAATGCTTAGCGGCATAAAGGCAGGGGCAGGGTGTGGGAAGAGGCTGCAAACCACAAAATGCAGAAAATACAGTGCCTCCGCCTTCCTTTCTCGTCTTCCACCCGCCATTCCATTGCGGCGGAGATTTGTGGAGTTCTCCTTCCATCCCTCTTGGCATGCTGAGTGTCTCTTGTAAGCGAGCCGGCTAATTAACATTTTTAAAAAGTATCAGGCAGCCTCGCAGACCAGCATCGGCTGCCCCCTCGGGATCCTGCAACGGCGTTTGGGAATGTGAGCTTCCAAAGGCTGTGTTGGCATCGCATTGCCTCCTCTTTACCCCAGAAGGTGTTCTGCGCTTTGCACTTGAGCTCCTGAAGCCTTCACAGCCACGTCGTTTTCCGCAGCTCAAAAACAGACATACTGAGAATGTGCCTTTATAACATGTTAAAGAACAGGGTTAAAGCTTTCGAGCTACACAGGTCTCCTCATAATACAGTGGTACCTTGGTTAAGAACCTAATTCGTTCTGGAGGTCCGTTCTTAACCTGAAACTGTTCTTAACCTGAAGCACCACTTTAGCTAACGGGGCCTCCCGCTGCTGTCACACGTTTCTGTTCTTATCCTGAAGCAAAGTTCTTAACCTGAGGTACTATTTCTGGGTTACTAGAGTCAGTAACCTGAAGTGTCTGTAACCCAAGGTTCCACTGTATTCGCTGTTTGAGGGAAAGGGTGGGAATAGTTGTGCCCATCCATAATGCAATTGTGCCCACCAAGAGTATATAATTTAGATCAGTTGGTTTCATAGCATATTCCAAGGATTCTTCAATATGTTCATCAGTACTGGTGCCATATGTCTTACTCTGCTTTCCTTTGGACCACATCAGCAAGGCCAAGAGGGAGGTCTTGTCATCTGGGCAGCCCAGGACCTCCATACACACTGCCCAGGCTTGTGCCCTAGGGGAAGTCACTTCTGTGCTGCTAACGCAGTAGTTTGACTTCACCCTTGGAGGCGTACTCCGTTGTTTCTCGAGACAGATGGATGACAACAACAACAACTGGTGGATGAAGTTCCCCAAAATACATCCTTCCCACTGCCACAAACACCGTCTGTGAATTATGGGAGGGGAGAAGCAGAGGCAGCCCTGAATAATACCCAGTAATAATCACTGACTCCTCCAAATTTTAGGCAGATCCCCCCACCCCCAATTCATAGTTTTGTAAAAAGTGTTGTTTTACTTCAAGGTTGTGTTGTATCTGTGGTTCCTACTTCTGTTATCTTTCCTTTTTTTACTGTTGAATGCATTGTTTTGTCTAAATGAAATTGTGACTTTCAATGGCTGTAAGCTTCCTAGACACTGGAAGGGTAGGAGAGCAGTTTTTATATTGTATTGTGTTTTTAATATTCGATTGAGAGCCGCCCAGAGTGGCTGGGGAAACCCAGCCAGATGGGTGGGGTATAATTATTGTTATTTATATGGAACAAATAAATAGGAACAAAATGAAAACAGCAGCTGGAGGGGTACACATCATAAAGTTGTTGAGGTTTTTTTAAGGTCAAAGTTGTTGAGTTTGGTTTGGTTTGTTCAAAGTTGTAAAGTTGTTGAGCTTTTTTTGGGTACATCTGCCCCAAAATTAATTGTTTTGTCTTTTTTTTTTTTTTTGAAATTTATAAAGATTTTTTTTAAAAAAATTAACACCCCTTCTCGGACATCTTGCCCAATTTGCCAAAAATCCACTTGGACGCCATTTTTCGGCCTGGCAGCCCTTTGGGAGGACTGTAATTCTCTTGATAATCCCCGTTGATATCTAAGCACCTAACATGGGTGGATCTGAGTGAACAAAGCAATTCAGAGCTGGGGACAAGACTGACCCCTTCAGCCAGGTACATGGCCTTAGAGCAAGGGAAGCAAATATGGCACCTTCCAGATGTTGTGGCCTACAGCTCCCCAGCTGGAATGGCCAATGGTAGGGCATGATGGGAGTTTGGTCCTCAACAAATGGAGGGCATCACATTGGCTGTCCCTGCCTTAGAGGAGGATAGTGGAGAGATCTAGACAAGGGAGCAATGGGAGGTCCTCAGAAGAGGTATGGGGTCAAATCATGCCTCCCCAGAGCTTCCAAAACAGTAGCTAAAGGGGCTCGTTGCAAAGGTTAGAGGGGAAGCATCCCATGCAGTGTACCATCAAACACTACACTCTCTATAGTTACAGGATTTATTTATCCTCAATGTATATTATACAGTGTGAAAGGGAAGCACAGTCTGCAAATCCAAAAAGTGGTGTAGAAATGTTTTCTGTGCATAAATTATATAAATAAAATGTGACAATGTGAACTGGCTAACCCACCTGAGAGGCCTGAGAAGTATATTCATGAAATGTGAGGGGCTGTGGCTGGAAAGAAATGTCACCTCTCTCTTCCCAGGATTGTGAATAAATATTTTCTACTTATGTACCAGAGCAGGGGAGCAGGTTCTGGCTAATGGACACATCTCGGTTACAAAGTGGTGTGATGTTTATTCCAGTTTTAACTGTTACACTTTCCCCCTGAGCAGCCCTTTGCAGTAGTTTGGTAAGGAGAATGATACATAATTTTCTGTTGGACAATTCCTAGCCTCTCACTCCCCCAATTCCATCCAAATTATAGCCTTCAAAGGGGAAAGTGCATGATAGCTGAACATGTTTGATGCTGTAATACTGACATACCCTCTCTGAGTTTCGATTTGTTTTGAATTTTGAAAAAATGGTTTTCTTGTTACCTGGCAGGTGTGAAAGTCCGGGATTTCCTGGTTGACAATGAGACCTTCTCTGACTTTCTCCATCACAATGCTTCCCTACCAAAGTTTGTTGTAGACGAAATCCTGAATGCCGAGGTTAACCTCCAACAGGTAAGAAGCGTATACTGTCAATGACCAGCACTTGGGAAGAAAGTCTACAGTTCTCCATTTGAATGTCATGAATTGTGAATGTGATGTGGAAAATATGATTTATCTCGAGTCCCAGGAGTGATTTATAGATTTATAACCTCTGGTACATGTTTCTAGGTCATTACATCTGGCTACCGGATAAGTGTGAAAGACCTTTGCAATTCAACCAAGCTGTCAAAGTTTGTCAACATCCAAAACCCAGTGGTGGATGTTCTCAGCAGTGCCTTGATTTGCTCCATTCCTAAGGAAAAGCTTTCTGCTGCAGAGAGAGTGTTTCAGGACAATCTAGATGTCATGAAGCCATTTATGGTGAGTGTGTTGGCTTGAGTATTTTGAATTGTATTCACCAAGGTATAGTGCAAGTTTTTTTAAATCAGCAGAATATCATGGTTCACATAATATAGCGTACTATGTTACAAAACAAAATGCAAACAAACCCTTTCCATGTTACATTTATCATTACACCTGGATTGCAGGAGACCTGTGGCCAAAGATTCAGCTGGTTATTTCAAATCACTGTGTGATTCATTATCTCTGCAAAAAGAAGGGAGAGAGTCCAAAGGTCAAAATTTTCTACTTCTGTGGTCTTAGTATCTAAAGCTAAATATTTAGGTCTGGTCTAGGCATCCCTGTAACCCATGGTTTGAAAACCAGGAGCCAGTCTTTGGGATACATATCCCTTCCCCCTCCTTCCTTCCCTTATTGGCATTTGCCATGGTTTAGAATTACACGTGTTTTGATTTTAGCCAGTTTTATAGTATCCATGGCCCCATCATAACTAGAGTTTGAAACCTTGATTCGAAGTGTGTTTGCAAATCGTATTTATGAGGGAACCTGGTTAGCATATGTCCAGCTGTAATTCTAAACCTTAGTTAATACTGATAGAAGAATGGAGGAGTTATTCGCTTCAGAAAATGGAAGAGGGAGGAGGATAGATTTCAGATCTCTGAGACTAGCTTCAGATCTGTAAACCATGGTTTGGGGGGGAGCCAGGGTTACATTTGCACCAGTTCCCAATTTAGCATAATAAGGTTGTGTTACTATTTATTTATTCAGTGTCATCAGTGGTAACATAAGCAAAACAGACTAATCCCTGCCCTCAAAGGACTGACAGACTTAACTTTTCTTAAGCAGCCTATGAAATGGCGTGACTCTGTCCATCAGATTTTTTTCACTGCCTATTCAAATAGAGCTGTATGACAAAGGGGCAACTTGCTTCCCACAGGAGCTGTTACTTTCCTTAGCTATAAAGCTGTGTTAAAAAGCTAAAGTGGGAGCGAACTGTTCAGAAATGACGGGAGCAACAGAAAGCAACACTCTTATGGACCAGCATGTGAATGCCTGGCTAAGTGCCAAACAAAAGCCCTTTTTAGTTTTGATACAGCTTGGGGAATACAGAATTAAGCCTCAGTTGTTTGGCTATTCGCCTAGCCAAAAGCATAGGATATCTGACACTGGAGTCATATTTCTGCTCTGTCTGGAATGTAAAGGTCAGCTCTTTTTAAACTGTTATTGTTTTTCACTAAACTGCTTGGACTGTTATATTTTTCCTTGTCATTTGCTTATTTGCTTGTTTGCTTGCTTGCTTGAAAGCTTATCACCTGTTCTCCAGCCTAAGGGTTACTGAGAGCCACTGTAGTATAATAAGGCAGCAAGCCAGACAGCAAATGATGAAAGCTAATAAAATTCCAGCTCTTTGAAAACCAATCAGCCTAAATTTTAGACTCCTAAGGACCATGCAAATAGAAATGATTTCACCTGGCACCAGAAAGAAATCTTGCTTAGCTAGCCCTTCTAGGGAGAGATTTCAAAAGGCAGGGTCTTTTTGGTTGTGGTGCCTGCCTGGCTTCAGGTGACATGGGATCTCAGAGAACGACATCTGAGGAAAATGTTAATGCTTGACAGGATTATGCAGAAATCTCATTGCACTAGCTGCACCCAAGGGATGGAACATTTTCTTGGTTTTTTTTCTGTATGGCGATAATAGAGCTTAATTGAATTAAGTAGTTGTTTGTTACATTAAAATGCTTGGAAATGTTTTTGATATATGTATTGTAACTCGCTTAGCTTTCCGAATGAAAGGCTTGGGTTTAATGTGGTGAATATAAACCCTTTTCTATAAATCATAGTGCAAATTTAGGAGCAAAGCTAGAAGCCAGAAATTAAACAAGTCGAGCTTCTGTTTGCAGCTAAATGAAAAGCTACTTTCTAATAGTAAAAGAAACTTAGGGAAATCTCGTGATGTTGCAAGTCAGCAATATTATTTATTGGGAAACCAGTGCCATGGGAAATGTGAATGACGTCTGTGTGTTTGTCTCATGCCTGACACTGTTGTAGCTAAGAAGGTTTGAGGTTGATCAGTGGGAGACCTTGGGGAGTTCTACTTAAACCTCTTTGTACTTTCTAAGGAAATGTAGGATTATAAGCATTGTAAATAAATAAAATTATGGTTCAGGAAGCTAGAATAAAAGGGAGGGGAAAGGAGACACAGGAAGAACAGCTTTGATGAGTCAGACCAATGGCCCACTATCCATCATGAGCTACGCTTTACCAAACACATGAGTGGAAAACTACCCTCAGTCATGAGATGTTAGCAGTCACTTCCCATTACTTTATTGCCAGGACCAGTACATATGCTGGTGGGAGTATGGGTTTAGGAATAGACGGTGGTAGTGATTTATATGAGCTTTTTCTTATTAATTCATTTATTCCCTTCTTTTCAGCTAAGGTTGACTCCCAAAGTCACTACAATTAAAATCCATCATGCATTGCCAAGCCAGACCCAGATATTTGTATCCCATGGGTCAAGCTTCCCTACCCAAACCTAGGTGGCTCTCGGCTTGTTCTAAGTAACAGGGACAGTGAACAACGATGATGATGATGATGATGTTGCTGTTGTTGTTATCTGTTATTTCAATACTGGTCTTCATCCAAGGACCACAGGGCGATTTACAATATAAAAACCACAAAAATACATAACATAGCAACAAAACAAATAACTCCTCCAATGATATTCCAAGCCTTCTCACTATTTAAAGCATATAATATTCACCTGCCCCTCACCTCTAGATACTGCTTATTTAGATACATGAACAGGACATAAAGGAGATTTCTAAAATTATGAAGAACAGGCCAGGAGTATCTGTTATGTAGAATGAGGCAGTGGCCATGTGTCTTACTTTAGAGAGGTCAGTCCTCTGTTTGAAGGTCCTATTTGAAGGGCTGTTAGGTCCAAGTATGGTTTAAAGGGGCTGGACCCTAAGAAGGGAGAGCAGGGGCCTTGGATGATGCCCTTCAACAGTTGCTATTCCAACAGCAAACTGGACGTGCAAACATGTCACCTGGTCACTGCCTTCCATACGATGGTGAGATAGATGTATTGTACCTCGGGTTATGAACTTAATTCGTTCCGGAGGTCCATTCTTAACCTGAGGTACCACTTTAGCTAATGGGGCCTCCTGCTGCTGCCACACAATTTCCATTCTCATCCTGGGGCAAAGTTCTCAACCTGAGGTACTACTTCCGGGTTAGCAGAGTTTGTAACCCAAAGTGTTTGTGACTCGAACCGTTTGTAACCCAAGGTACCACTGTATTTCTATTTAAATATTAGCAATTATGTCTGCGTTTGCTTCTATGCATATGAGTTCCCATATAGAAATGTTATGCAAATCTGTGTCCATTTCTTAATCCTCCACATTTGGTGATACCTTTCCTCTTCTAGCAAAAGCTTAAGTGGGCAGACTACTGCCTCAGGTGGTAGATGTAAAAAGACTGGAGAGCAAATATTGCTGTGTTGTGCTACATGGACTGCCCTCCATTCTCAAACTATCCTGGTGCCCTCAAGTGCATTGGAAGGTACTGTCTGATCAGCAGTGTTGAAATAAGATTGAACTCGCAACCTGATTAGCTTTTGTGCAGGCACAAAAATGATTCAGGCCAGCTCTGGAATGGAAGGAAAGCTGTCATCTCCAAATAAACGTATGATGATAATAATAATCATGTGTTCATAAACCAGTAAGGTAGGCCGTTAGGGTGTGACGAACTGTGAATGATTAAAAAAGGTTGGAGGGATATTTCTCATAAATAATCTTGACCCAGTCTTTTATTATATTGTGTGGGCGGCTGTTTCAGATGACTGCGATGGTTGTGATTCATGCTTCATTCAGAGGCCACAGAGGAACTTGGAACAGCTCTGAAAGCCCTTGTGTTGTCTGCATGTTTTCTAAATAATTTGGGTGACATTTTAGTGTTCCCGTAGCATGAAAGAAACACTGAACAATACCAGCTGGAAATAAAGGCTGAACACCCAACACATGCAGATGGTCATTGGTACAAATTGCAACCATCTCCAGGTAGAGTTAAGGGGTGAAGATGGCACCAGGGCAGGCAGCTAGCTCTGAAGCTCTGTAGAAACACAAATTTAATTGAGTTTTCATGGGTTCTAATTTCTTTTAAAACAATTATTTTATCAACAATTTATGTTTCGGTGCTGGAAAATAGAGCTATGTGGATCTGTAATGCCAATGGTAATTAAGTTTTAATAAGCTCTGTGGTACTATTGAGTGATACAATGTTTTCGGAGTGGTGGGAAGCCAGTGGACGCATAAATCTCAAAGGTAGAGCTAGGGGAGGTGGCTTATTTCTGAAACCCTGGAGAGCTGTGGCCAATTAGCTTCGACTCTACAATAGTGAACCAGATGGGCCAATGATCTGACTCAGTATGAGCTTCTTCTGTTCCTAGGTGTCATCTGTATTGTAACTCACATGCTATAGTATACATAGGCGTCTTTGTCCTTGTAGCTGAGCAAATGGGAAAAATATGTGCCAAAACTCATGCTGTGTAACCTGAATCAAGCCATTAAATATGGTGTCCTTCCTTCCTTCCTTCCTTCCTTCCTTCCTTCCTTCCTTCTTTTCCAAAATGAGAATACGAGACACAGAGCTTCCACAGTTCTGCTTGCCCCACAACTTGTTCCCTAGGAAACCTGCTTTTTACAATTGAGTCAGAACAAATGTCAAATGGGCTTTCCGTGGATTGAAATGTGCTCCCATTTAGTGCTAAAGAGTGGGTTTTCCCCAGGGAAAGTGGCAGGGCAAATAGAAAACCACTTGGATCCTGCCTAGGAAGCACAGGGCAAGTGTAAAACCTCTCAAATCTGTGCTTTCCAGGCACAGGACTTTTCACACGTGTGGACAAGCCTGCACAATAACGTGATGTCCCGAGGGTGAAGTAACTTTGGCTGACTGTCATATCCTGGGGGTTCCATTTCATATGTCCTTGATGGAATTGATTAACGATTGAGGTGCAAAGGCCCAATCTGAGGCACATTGCCAAAATGTGTATCTTGCAAGCATTTGATGTGATTAATTTATTTTTTATGTCCCACAGTAATTCTGGTAGTGTTTTCAGTGCAGTGTAAGCAGCCAGAGTTTCATGAAACAAATGGATTTGTGCTTTCCGCTTGCTTAGCTCATGCCCAGGCCCATTTAATGTAATTGTTTAGAGCAGTAATAATGGGAAGTGAGACGGCCAGAGATGCTGGTTCTCATGAGGAATTTTCAGAAACACAGGAGGAAGGAGGAGGGGTGCCTTCCTTCTCTTGCCAAATGGCATCCTTTTTTAGTGCGTGCTGGCTTCACTTGTGATCCTTGAACTACACACATGAGAGATGCCCTTGCTGATACAAAATGCCACTCTTCATCCTCCTTCGAGTACTAAATGCAAATGATGATGTTGATTCCTATCTGCTGTGTTGCAATTAAGATTCTTCTAAAGCTAAATCCCCATTTGTCATTCCAGAAAGGAATCGCCTCCAACTCCACTCTTCAGGATCTCAAGGAAACCACAGAGACTTTCATGGAGAGCCTCGGGAAGCTCCTTAGGGAGGTAGGCTGTGCCTTTTGTCTCTCATCTAGGATCACTGATACAGCGATGTTCCCAGTTGAGGTATCCAAATTACTCTTAATCCTGAGCAGCTCAGTGAAGCCTGTGAGTGCATTCTTGCTGCCTTTGGGCAGAGGTTTCTGCTGTGCTGGACATCACCAATGCATCAAGCCATTGTTGTTGTTTAGTCATTTAGTCGTGTCCGACTCTTCGTGACCCCCTGGACCAGAGCACGCCAGGCACTCCTGTCTTCCACTGCCTCCCGCAGTTTGGTCAAACTCATGTTCGTAGCTTCGAGAACAGTGTCCAACTATCTCGTCCTCTGTCGTCCCCTTCTCCTTGTGCCCTCCATCTTTCCCAACATCAGGGTCTTTTCCAGGGAGTCTTCTCTTCTCATGAGGTGGCCAAAGTATTGGAGCCTCAGCTTCACGATCTGTCCTTCAAGTGAGCACTCAGGGCTGATTTCCTATAGGATGGATAGGTTTGATCTTCTTGCAGTCCATGGGACTCTCAAGAGTCTCCTCCAGCACCAGAATTCAAAAGCATCAATTCTTTGGCAATCAGCCATCTTTATGGTCCAGCTCTCACTTCCATACATCACTACTGGGAAAACCATGGCTTTAACTATACGGACCTTTGTTGGCAAGGTGATGTCTCTGCTCAAGCCATTAACTTGGCTCTTTAACTGAAGATTGCTTCCCATCTCCAATTTGTGCCACGCATGCTATGTCTGTCAGGGCCATGTGCAGGCTGCCCTTCCTTGTGGTGGAGCTAGCCATCCAGGAGGAGCCATTAGAAGAAGAAGCAGTTCAGCTCTCCCTACCCTGTTGTGGCCACATGGAAGGAGGGGCGAAGGAAGGCGTTGTGACACCTGGGGCGGGCGTCACTACATAGGGCGCACATGCGGTGCTGCTACGTACGACGCATGCGCTGTACGTAGCGATGCCGCATATGCGCTGTATAGCGGTTTGCTGCCAGTGCCGCTCCAGTGCTGTACGGATGGTGCCAGGATCCCTCCGTTGCCGCTACAGCCGCAGCAAACCACTAAGTACAGCGTATGTGCGGCGTCACTGTACATAGCGATGCTGCACATGCGCTGTATAGCAGTTTGTTGCTGCCAGTGCTGCTCCAGCGCTGTGCAGATGGTGCCACGATCCTCTGCTCATGGCTGCAACCGCGAACAGAGGATCCTTCACATGCGGCTGCGGCGGCGCGATGGTTGCTTGCACCTCTGCGAGACCCCACAGGGTGACTTCTTGTCACCCCCACAGACACGGAACCCGGGGCACACCGCCCGCCAGTCCCCGTTACGACACCACTGCATGGAAGCATTCTGATATGCATGCATTTTGGGCACAGAAACACTGGAAGTTCAGTTTAACTCACACACAGCAGTTTAAAGTGCTTTCGACGCATCCTAGGTATGCATGTTTGTCACCTTGTCCACATGGCATTGCTCTCATCTAAGTGGCATGCCACATGCGAGTGGCGCTGTGGTCTAAACCACTCACCCTCTTGGGCTTGCCAATCGGAAGGTTAGCAGTTCGAATCCTCGCAACGGAGTGTGCTCCTGTGGCTCTGTCCCAGCTCCTGCCAACCTAGTACACCAGTGCAAGTAGATAAATAGGTACCATTGCGGCAGGAAGGTAAATGACGTTTCCGTGCGCTCTGGTTTCTGTCACAGTGTTCCATTGTGCCAGAAGCAGTTTAGTCCTGCTGGCCACATGACCCAGAAAGCTGTCTGCGGAGGAACACTGGCTCCCTCGGCCTGAAAGCAAGATGAGCGCCGCAACCCCATAGTCACCTTTGACTGGACTTAACTGTCCAGGGGTCCTTTACCCTTTACCTACCCCCCAATTAATTTGGATCGTCCTGATCTGCAGATGTTATAAAAGGGGGGAAACAATGTAAAGTGGGCTGCTAGTAGGGCTGGTTCTGATACATACACACACATGCATGTTGTTGTTGTTTGTAACCAGCTGCTTTGTACAAGTCTGGTATATCGTAAAACTTGTAGCTCGAGAATGAAATTAAAAATTGTCTGAGCACATAGGTGAACAAGTATCTGCGCACATGCCCACAATGGGCCTCGAGTTTCCAGAACTCTGGGAGAATGGGAAAATACTAACTGGCGGGAGGAGATAACAGTACACAATGTGAATTCATCCTATCAAGCCTGTCCACTAGTGTGGGCAGGAAATACTGAGGTCAATGGAATGTGTTCATATGTGCACAGAAGTGCACATGGAAGAACCAGATCTGCGCAACCCAGATGCGCATTGGTACTCTGGTGTGTACCCAGCCAAAGAGAGCAAGGATCTGAACTTCCTTGTCGAAATTGCTTTTGATAGTGGATGGTTTCTTTGGAAATTTGGGTTCATTGTTTTGGCTTGGGAGCTTGGTGCTCCCTTTCCAAGCCCTTTGAATAAATAAAGTTATTCTGTGTGTTCTTTCCGAGCAAACGAGCTGCCTCTTTTCTTCCGCCTAACCTTTTATGCAAAGTGCTTTTTGTTGTTGCTGCTGCTTTTTGCCATTCTCAAAACGTATTCTCCTCAAGTTTGAAAGTTGCCATTTTAAACAAGTAACGAGGGGCGGAGATTCAGCCTCACCTATTGTTCTGTCTCTCTTACTGTTCGCTGGTGAAGCTTTTACTCCCTGAACTATAATAACCTCTCTGCGGAGCTGCGGTGAGGTCACTCGAGGTTGTTAAGAACTGTACTCCTGCGAAGGAGGAGCGGGGGCAATATCCCATCCCCTTTTCCCTGTTTCTCCAGCCACTTTGTTTCCTAGGAGTAGGTTGCCCTCTGTTGAGTTATAGAACCTGCTGTGTTCTTTTTTGGCCGGCTAATGGAAATTAGCAGAAAAATCTGGTTGGAATCAAGATAAAACTGCAGCCACTTTTAACTATCCTAAAAGTTTGCCTGTGAGTTTCTGGTTACAGCTGTTTCCTGTTACATCATTTGAGCATCGGTGATGTTTCATTCTTTCTCCTTTTCTCTCTTTTCTTTTGGTGCGGAGTTAAAAAAAAATCAGAAATCAAAACCATGTGACATTCTCTTTGCTGATGTGGCTGGATTGCTGAGGAATGTGACTTTTCTTTGGCAGTCTTCCCAAACAGCAGTCAGTACCTTTTCTTCCTGTCCTATTCAACTTCAAAACAAAGACAGCTTGGAGGCTTTGCATGAAAACCGCTCTTAACTGCATGACCAAAATTTGCTTTTTAATGTCATGGCTCGCTAAATCCTCTCTGACAAATATGTATAGGACTAGAGACATTAAGTCCAGCATTTTTTCTCTCCCTAGGTTAGGGTTGTGTTAGTACGGCTGCCATCTGTCTGGGGAGGGGGGGAGGGGCAGTGCAGGGCAACCAAGTTTCCAGACGCCACTGATATGCATTTACTAATCTATTTAAATGTATGCAAATTTTAACCACTGTACTTTGAATGGTTGCAGCTTAGCTATATAAAAAACAAAAAAAACATGGACAGGTGGCAGCCATAACCAGACAAGTCCATATGAAATTGGGCTGGATGTAAAACTGGGCAGCTGGGAACAGGGGGCTTGTTCCGAACACATCTCGTGAGGCTTTTATTGCATTAAAAGTTGTTCTGAAATTCCTTCTTCAGGAAACGCTGATGTTTAGAAACCATTGAGTTTTGTGCCATTGGTGTAGCTCTTAAATCTGGCTTGCACAGCAGCCTGTGAACTGGACTTCCTGTGTTCAGAAGTCTCTGGGTGACTGTAGCAGTCGGAATGGATAGCTGCAAACAATCAGAGAGAACTCCCTTTCAGCTTCCTAATACTGTATGCTACTGCACATTGTTGTTCATATTCTCTCTCTTTCTCTCGCTCCCTCCCCCCCCCCAGTAAAATGCCTAGATAAAAAAGGAATGGGCATCATCGCTTTTAGTAGTTGTGCAAAAATGGGAATTTCAGCATGTGTGACTTATTGTCGTAAGAAAGTTATACCTAAGAACTAGTGTGTGAGTTTATTTCCCCCTCCTTTCTCCCTTCTCCTGTTTTTGAACTATATCTTTATAAACCCACTGCCTTGAGTGTTGTCAAGCAATGCAAGAACTTCGCACACTTTTCTCTAAAATGTTCCTGTCACGTCTTGTACAATCACTCTTATGTCAGTTCTCTGGAAGGACCTTGGCTATTTCTCTTCCTTTTAAATTTAGGTGGCAGATCACGACAATTGGGATGTCAGAACTATCAGATGTTCTTCGACTTCATGTCACGCCCATGTGATTTTTGAGCAGTGGCGTATAAGCCTTAAAGGAAAGAGGAATGAAGCAGAGTTTAGGACACGGAAAGCCTAACTATAGTGTCATATAGCCAGTGCTATTTTTCTGGGAAAAGAGGTGCCGGAACTCACCATGAACACCTCCTTCTTAGAATGGCAGTGGCACCTGAGAGGTGCTGGAATTGAGTTCCAGCAATTTCAGCAATAGGAGCCTTCTTCCTCATCCTGCGCCATCTCATAGGAAGGTCCTGAGGATAAAATGGATTAGCCAAGAGTTTCCTGGAGGAAGAGAGTAGGATACAAATAAAACAAAGGGAGTTGTGGGTTACATTTGGCTGCTGCAATACTTAAAGATCTAATTTCATAGGATTTATTTCCCTGCCAATGGGTCAGAGTAGACCCATTAAAATTAATGGGCCTAACTTAGACAATGGGACTACGATGATTAAAAATTAGTTGAATACTACCCAGAGGCTCCAATGATTCTTTTCCTCCTGGACCTGTGACTTCATCATTGTACTCATGAAATGCTCTCCTAACATCACATGAGTTGCAAATTCCTTTCCAGATTTTTGGACATGCACCGCACAATGTAGAAGCACCTTTTTTATCGTTCAGTAGAAGTTCATCTTCTGCTGTATTGACTGTGATTCAAAAAATACCATTGCTTGTGGTTAAAAAAAAAAAAAGGAGCTAGTTCAGGCTCACATATTCTGTTTGCTGGCGAAATCAGACTGGGATATCTCCAGTAGCCTTTAACTAAAGTTGGGTCCAAATTATGGATAGACATAACCCCAAGAAAATTAGCCCTTAGGAATTAGAGAGAAGGGCTTGCTCATTAGTTTGGCCTGTTGATATCCTGTCTCCTTACACTCCACCTGAAAGGAAGGTGACTCTTCTGGGGTGAGAGAATGAATGGATTTTGCTCCCCAAGAAGAATACATTCCACACCTTCCATGGAATGGCGGGGAATGCAATGGAACGCAAGCTGTTTGCACAAATAGAAACTGGTGAATAGGAAATCTTAAGGTTTGTTCGGGATGCTTTTGAACCAATTGATCTTTGGTGTAATATTTGTTACCAGTTTTACAGGAAAATGGATCGAGCTTTGATCTGTAGGTGAACCCCTATTTTTTTCCCCTCCCCTTTTGAACTAAAGCTCGGGAGCATGAAAAGCTGGAGCGACATGCGGCAGGAGGTGGTGTTCCTAACCAATGTGAACAGCACAAGTTCTTCTACCGAAATTTACCAGGCGGTATCCCGAATAGTTTGTGGACATCCTGAGGGAGGGGGATTGCAGATCAAGTCTCTCAACTGGTATGAAGACAACAACTACAAAGCTTTGTTTGGAGGCAACAACACTGACGAAGATGCTGCCGATTTCTATGACAACTACACAAGTAAGTGGAATCCGGTGCATGCTTATTAATTTTGGGCAGATCCTTTGGACTGCAGTCCTTTTTTATTTTCAAAGATGCAGGAAGCTACAGTATGATGATGAGTGGATAGCACTTGTCTATACTGGGTGTGCTGTCTAGGATTAAGGTGAGAAAGATACTGTGCACCTAGCTCATCTCCCATAGGAGCCAGTGTGGTATAGTGGTTAAGAGCGGTAGTCTCGTAATCTAGGGAACCGGGTTCGCTTCCCCGCTCCTCCACATGCAGCTGCTGGGTGGCCTTGGGCTAGTCACACTTCTTTGAAGTCTCTCAGCCTCACGCACCTCACAGAGTGTTTGTTGTGGGGGAGGAAGGGAAAGGAGAACGTTAGCCTCTTTGAGACTCCTTCGGGTAGTGATAAAGCGGGATATCAAATCCAAACTCTTCTTCTCTTCTTCTTCTTTTAAACTCTTTTAAAGCACCCTACTGCAATGACCTCATGAAGAAGCTGGAGTCCAGCCCACTTTCCAGAATCATATGGAGAGCTCTGAAACCTTTGCTTATGGGGAAGGTCTTGTACACCCCTGACACGCCAGCAACAAGGGCAGTCATGTCTGAGGTAAGATCCCAATTCCACATCGTTCAAAGGAAGGGGGGGGCTTGCTTTGTACAGCTGCTGTCGGGGCTCCTGCAGCAAATGGACAAGAGGGAACTGAAAATAGTGAGTAGGGCAGCCTTTCTCAACCTGTGGGTCCCCAGATGTTGTTGAACTACAACTCCCATCACCCCTAGCTAGCAAGGCCAGAGCTCAGGGATGATGGGAGTTGTAGTCTAACAACTTCTGGGGACCCACAGGTTGAGAACCGCTGGAGTAGGGGGTCAAAGTGGATTTGCCTCTTGCCGCATAGTTTGCACTTGGTCGCATTTTCCCAGTCTGGAGGAGGCTGTATTCTGGAGCTTGGAGCACCAATGAGGTTTTCCTTCCAACAATGATTCAACTCTTACTGGCAGCTTATATAGGAACTAGAGGCTGTGTCCGCTTCCTGGTTCTTCTGAATGGACTCATGTGTGGCTCACCAGTTTGCTGATGTCCCTGAAGCCCCTGCCTTGCTCTCTGTCCTTGTGACTGTTGGGGTGGGTGGATCTGTGAGCTGGCCAGGAAGCCAAACAACCATTGCAGAGACCTCTGCTCCTGCAGCTGGACTGCAGAGAGAGAGAGAGAGGGAGAGAGAGAGGGAGGGAGAAACAGATAGAAAAGAAACCTCTGCCATTGTATTTGCTAACATTTTGAAGACTTTAAATCCTTCCCCCAAAACACTCAAATACCCCTTCAGATTGACTGCAAATGGAATGGCAGATTTAGAAGATGGCATTTTTGCTTAGCCTTAAAGAACTTCCAGTGACAATACTGGGTTAAATGAAGCAATAACTCGGCTCAGTATAAGGTAGGGTCATGTGTGCAGCCATACTTTTTAAGTGTATACATTATATTCTTGGGCATTTTTTCTCCCTTTTCGGGAAACGTGGTTTGCACAGCACTTCTTGTCCATAAGAAGACATTGCCGAAGGCCTTGCTGAATCCTGTGCCATTGTAACTCTGGCAGATTCTGTGCTGATATGCTGTACTGGAACGTTCTGCTCATTTATGCAATCCTGCTTGAACATTCGTAAGGTCCTCGCTCACATGCTACATTTGCTGACCCAGGCAGATGCTCAAGAACAGCTAGGTTTTATGTTCAAGCACTGCAGTGCTTGATGCTTTGATGTTGCAAAGCTGAAGGGGCAGAAGAGGGGAGGAAGACGTAATAAACTGCTTGACTGATGGGGGTGGGGGAGATGTTGCAACTGGGTTCTAATGTTCAGAATTGAATCAAGGGCCGTTGATACTGAAAGATAAAGCCAACACCTCTTCTTCTTGGGGCAGAAGTCAGGGAGAAGCCACTCTTTTTAGCCTGTTCTGCAGGTTGTCACCTTTTTATTTTTTAAAATAAATTTTCAAAACCTTAACATAAATAATAAATTTGTATTTTTTCCTACTTTAAACCCCATTTTCCATGGTGTTTTTATTTCTCCCCCTCTGCTACACGCTGCCTTCAAACTCTTATACCATAACATCAATATTATTCTTCCACAAAGCAAACATTGTTAGGTTCTCTTATTTTGGCTGTTAACTTTGCCAGTTTAGCATAGTCCCTCACCTTACTTAGCCATTCTTCTTTGGTGGGAACTACTTTTTCCATTTTTGTGCATGGAGAACCCTAGCCACTGTTGTTGCATACATAAACAACTTAATCATCTGGGGGGGGGGCATGGATTTCTGTCCCTGGTTGTCACCTTTTCGATGTCACCTTTGACCCTTTCACTATCCCGGCAGGTAAACAAGACGTTCCAGGAGCTGAGTGTCTTCCGTGATCTCGGAGGGATGTGGGAGGAGATAAGACCAAAGATAAGAGTGTTCATGGAGGAAAGCCAGGAGATGGATCTAGTTCGGGTCAGTATGCCATAACTTCTCGCTCCTCAGATAACACTGGATATTTCTTGGGAGACCAGTTTACAAGAAGTGATTTAAATCTGTTTACTTTGGTATCGTGATTGGCGGTTTGGCCTCAAGCGAGCGCGTGCATGTCTATGTAGTACCTCATTTCTTCTGACAAGCTTGCTTGGGCAGGGCCTCCTTGTCTGTGCAATGTGACTCTAACCTGAGATTCGGCAGGAAGGTGATTCCTTCTAGACAATAGCTCTCCCCTCTGTGATTTCCCCAAGTGCCAGGTTGGCTGATTTGTTGTGCACAACTCAGGCAGATTCTGGCCAGCATATAAATCAGGCCTGCATCCTCCCTTCCACAGGCTGCTGTGTGTGTTCACCTGCCAAGGACATGGCCCATAATGAATGTGAAACGAGGGGCTATTCAAGTACAGGCAGGCTTCACATTCTGTTATGTTGAGTTCTGCCATAATCACATTACATGGGGCTCTGAACTAGAGACGAATGTGATTAAATATTACCTCACCCGTTTTAACAGAGGAAACAGACGCAGGTCATACTGGCGCTATCCACATGTGTGAAAAAACAAGCATTGTATTTAAATAACTATTTGGAATAACAACAATAATTCATTTCAACCTTTATTGTATTGTAATATCACCTTTAAAAAATTCCAATACAAGGTCAGTGTGCTATTTGCTATTGGAGAGCCAGTGTGATGTAGTTTGCATTGCTGGGGGGTTGAAATTCCTTCTCAAGCCATGAAGCTTACTAGGAAGAGAGAGAAGAAAACTGTCCTGCCAGTGACCTAAAGCTCAGGATGTCCCATTAATCAAAGATACTCACCCTGGAAGCCTAATAACCTGTTCAGATCCAGATCGACCACATAACTCTTTTGTTAAATCCACTGCTTTCTTATGGAGCCTGACTCACCCACAACTTCTATGAGAAAACAGAGAAACTGTAGGGACTGTCACGTGTGAGGAGAACACCTCATTGCTGCCTGTGTACCTGCTGCCAGAAAACAAGAAGTGTCTGGCCAACTCCCTCAGCAGATACATTTTGCAGCAGCACATATGGTCAGTTGTGACAGTGGGAGAGATGTTCAGGTGGTAGCATTCTCTAAAGACAGACTTTTTGTTTAGAGTTCACAAGAACACAAAGTGTGCTCTGTGATGTCCCGGAGAGGATGCAAGCCAGGTTCTCTGGTGGATGACCTTTCCGCCCAGCCGGATGGTGGTCTTTTTTTATTTTTATGGCTCCCTCCCTTTCCCATTTCTGCACAGATTAATCAGAAGGAAAACAAGTGGGTGTTGCAACATGATGTTGTGACTTGTTTCGATGTTTCAACAGGGCGTGTGCCTAAGGACTGTATCAGAGTGTTAGGGACCCAAATCTTCAGTGCTGTACAGCAGGGGACGGCTCAAAACAACTTTTCTGTCTGGATTTTCACTTTCTGAAATATGGCAACCCTAATCTATGTTCTATGGAAGCATTAGGACAGTGTTCATGTGCAGTTGTTGATTTTGCTATGTTTTACTCACTTTCCATTTGCAAATTTCAAATATTTTTCTGCATACCTTCCATTTCACCCACATTTTCAGAAATTCCCTCTCCTTGTGTGTGTCCCGTTGTCCTGGCCTGCTGTTTGGAACGGGTCTTCCCCCTTCGCTGTTAAGAGGGAAGCATAATGTGTAACACAGAGCCAAAACCATCCTCATTAAGTTCTTCTCCCTGGTCAAACTATAAACATACTAATATGACATATACGACCCCAAATTTTGGTGCCACTCCCATGGCTGTCCTTCATGGAGCTAAGCATAAGCTGGGAAATAGACATGTTGCTGATTTATGATGATACCTTCCCAAATTGGCCAACGGGGGCACCTCCCACTGCATAATGGCTGGCCCTGCAAACGTGGCCAGAGTTTGGTTACCATGGCACCTCAGCTTGTTAACTGAACTCTTTGACACAGTATAAATACGGAACATGCATTTAAAAGGGGGAGGGGGAAATCTGATATGCCCAGTTCCTGATTTGTTCCTAACTCGTTTGAAGAGCCCTGTAGCTCACTGTGTGCGAGAGCTTCCCTCTGGCTTCATGGCATCGAAGGAACCCTATGTTATGACGTTAATATTCCATTTATGCATCGTTGCCTCTTTGCCTGTGCTCTCTAGACAGTGCTGGTAGTGCTTTTAACAATCGCCAAGCAGCTGAAACAAATTTCTTCCCTTGCCCCTCTCCAGTTTTCAACAGGGCCTTGTTTGTTTGCTTTCAGCAACGGCTGTCGCTTCCCTGCTGAGATGTTGTACAAGGCTGCCGCCTAGTGAGCCAAAAATAGACATTGTGGAAAGGGAAGGCTCAGATCTGACAATGAGCAGAACAAGACCATCATAGAATCTTAGAATTGTAGAGTAGGAAGGGACCCTAAGAATCATCTAGTTCAACCCCTTGCAATACAGGAATATGCAGCTGTCCCATATGATAGCTAACTGAGCTATCATGTGAATGTTCAGCTTACCCAGTTCAGTTTATGCCCTGTGTAGCAGTAGTGTCACTAGAGTCCTACTCAGGACCACTGTCACAAGGAAGCCTGAGGGGGCCTGGCCTCTCAGGGGTCTTCCAGGCCCCTCCTTCAGTGATCATAGTGAGCAACTGGACAGAAATACTGCCTGCAAATTTACGCAGGCAATATTCCACCCAATTGCTCATAACCAGGCAACTGAGAGTTAGGCGACAAGCAGTCTGGGCATGTCCAGCATAGTGGAATACACCATTAAATAATGAGCGGCCTTTCCCACCTAATCTGAATTCTAGTGTAGGTGTTGGAAAGAGGTTTTGTCCAGTAGCAGTAAGCCTGAGATTGAGCTGCAAGTAGGAAGACTGACAGTGACTGTGTTCTCTCGCAATGACAATCCAGACTTCTTGGCTTGTCATGGTTTACTTTGGATGAGCAGCACACTTTAGTCGGTTGCCTGATCACTTACTCCTCCCCTGGTACAAGTGTGACAAACAAATCAAGTAGTTTAGGCTTCCCATTCCATCTAAACCCAGGACTATGGTGTGTGGCTTCCTTAGTAAGTTAGCCCCAAACTAATGGCTTCAGGCTGGCCATTGATCACGGTTTGTTAGGGAACAAGAGGCCACCATCCATGGTTTGGGTGTAATGGGAAGCCAAAGCTTCTTGGTTTGTTCATCCTGCTGTTTGTTCTGTGCAAACACAGGCAATAGATCTGTGAAATGCTGTTTATGCTCTTTGCTCTTACCTCATGGTGAATTTCACTTAAGTTTCTTCGCTATGTTGCTAACACCAGACGTTACTGAAGAACAAGTTCCTTTGGAAACACCACTTAATGGGTTCAAGCTGGACCGTAGAAGATCTATCCCTGTTCTTGGCAAAGAACCCGGAGGATGTTCATCCGGTGAATGGCTCAACCCGCACCTGGAGGGAGGCTTTCAATGAAACTGACCATGCTGTTCTGACTATTTCCCGCTTCATGGAAGTGAGTCTCATATTTACTAGTGTTTTGATCTTGTTCATTATTATTGGGGCTATTCCTTTTCTCTCTCCAAGTCGATTCAGAAAGAATAATTTCTGCAATAGACTGCAGAACAGAAACTGGTCCTAAGAGATACACAAGGCCATTTTTCAGGATTTGGGTGGTGGGGGAAGAGCACTCTGAGAAAAGATGTCATCAGTGTGCCTCCTTAGCTGGCCAAGTGGACTAGAGCTTAGGTGTCCCTAAGAGTACCCAGTCCGCTGAGCCCACATCTTTTGGGGGGAAAGCATTTCGACTTAATGATGTAAGTCAAAGTCAACTCCACCATTCTTGATCTTAGTCTTGACACTATGACCACTACACCACACTGGCACTGTAGCATTTAATCGGACAGAAATGGTGCATGCTTCTTATTTCAGTGTTTGCGCAAATATTTGCTTCTCAAAGAAACTTCAGCCCAGGTTCTGATTCATTTTGTCCGTCATGGTTGCAGTGTGTCAATCTGGACAAACTGGAAGCCATGCCTAGTGAAGTGCGGCTTATCGACAAGTCCCTGGAGCTGCTGGATCAGAGGAGGTTTTGGGCAGGCATCGTTTTCCCCGAAATCACTCCTAGCAGCGTGAAGTTGCCGCAACATGTCAAGTACAAGATAAGGATGGACATCGATAGCGTGGAGAGAACAAACAAAATTAAGGACGGGTGAGCAGTCCTCAAAGAGGCCTTGGTAGGTTCGCGATTAACAGGAATAGGGGTGAGAATTCTGACCCAACTATTGTTTTGCTTTGGTGCTATAGGTACTGGGATCCAGGTCCTCGGGCTGATCCTTTTGAGGACATGCGCTATGTCTGGGGAGGCTTTGCTTACTTGCAGGATGTGATAGAGCAGGCGATCATCCGTACTGTGACTGGCTCCGAGAAGAAAACGGGAGTCTACCTTCAGCAGATGCCCTACCCCTGTTATGTGGATGATGTGTAAGTGACAGTCTCTGAGTGAGTGGTCCTCTGGCGTGGCTGACTCTGCTTAAGTCACAGAGTGGACCTGAGTTTTAGGGTGGCAGATTTTGGAGAAACGTGAGCTGGTTCTTCACGCGACTGCAGAGGCAGTGACAGGAAAGAACCTCCATGATGGGGTTTGGGAGTCGTCTTCAAGTGGTGACATTTTCTCAAAGATGCCACTTCCTGGGGGAAGGCAAGCTTCTCTATAAAGCCTCCATGGGTCATCTTTGAGGAAGCTTTCAAGATGGTGGCAGGTTAGCCTCCTAGAGCAGCTCATACTTCTTGGGTCCAAGATAGCGCTGGAGGGGGAGGAGAGGGCAATCTAGATACTGTTTCCAGCAGATAGCTCTGAAACCAAGCAGAAATGGTCTCCCCCTTGTTTTCCCCAGCATTCAGAACATCGACTTTCTGTTTAGCTATTATGGTAGCCACTCATAGACAAATTCTCATTCTTTAGAAAAGCTTTGTAAGCAGGCAGGCAGGCAGGCAGCCGCCATCGAATCTTGAAAGGTGAATTACACGCTGCATGACGAAGTATTTCTTTTGGTCTGCCTTAAACTTGTTACCAATAAACGATAACCCCAAGTCTTGGCCTTCCTCTGGTTTCCCCTCTGCAGATTCTTGCGTGTCATGAGCGGCTCCATGCCCCTCTTCATGACTCTGGCTTGGATCTACTCTGTGGCCGTGATCGTCAAGGGCATTGTGTACGAAAAGGAGGCCCGCCTGAAAGAGACCATGAGGATTATGGGCCTAAACAACGGCACCCTCTGGCTCAGCTGGTTCATTAGCAGCCTCATCCCCCTTCTCATGAGCGCTGGGCTCCTGACGCTCATCCTCAAGGTTAGCCTGGCTCCACGTTCTCACTCCTTTGGTTAATAGGATGTTTAATCCACAACTGTTGATCTACTATAGTGGCTTACCATGCAATATTAGGATCCCCCACTGTTCAATTCTCACCTTAGCTACGGATCTCTTCTTATGTTCTTGAGTAAGTCCCACTGGGTTCCATGGGACTTACTCCCAGGTAAGGGGATAGAAGAATGCATCCTGTGGTATAAATTGCTTGCCTGTGCTCCCTTAAGGATGAACAAGAACGTAAAAATAATAGCAGAGCATAGTAGTCAATGAATACTGGTTCTGAAACATTGGCTTCCAGTACATTTCCAAGCACAATGTTGGTGCTGATCTTTAAAGCCCTAAACGGCCTCGGCCTTGTATACCTGAGAGAGCATCTCCACACACAAACACACCCCCCCATTGTTCAGCCAGACACTGAGGTCCAGCTCCGAGGGCCTTCTGGTGATTCCCTCATTGAGAGAAGTGAGGTGACGGGGGCCTTCTCAGCAGTGGAGCCCACCCTGTGGAATGCCCTCCCATCAAATGTCAAGGAGATAAGTAACTATACAACACATCTGTCTTTAGAAGACATCTGAAGGCAGCCCTGTATCAGGAAGTTTTTGTATATGTTGGAAGCTGCCCAGAGTGGCTAATAATAATAATAATAATAATAATAATAATAATGTCTTCAGAAAGAACACATGAGCTCAAAGGTGACCATTCTTTTTTTGTAAGATGGGATGGCTAAGCTCCTTTTCACATATTCCACAGTAGCAAATGTGGGTTTGATAGCTAAACACATTGGCCAAGGATCTATATCCTACCCTGCCAGGCCCCATAGGACTGTCTCTGTATGTCTGACACATCAACTTGCTTAGGCAAACACATGTTTCCCCCCACTTGTTAATGTAAACCACCGCAGGTGTGTACAAATAATAACAGTAATGCTAGTAATGGTAATAAGTTGTAATAATAATAATAATAAAGCAATGATGAAATGTGAATTGTCAAATGTTTCATGGCTGTGCAACTGGTCCTCTCTTTCTCCAGAAAGGAAACCTGCTGCCCAACAGTGACCCCAGCGTGGTGTTTGTCTTCCTGTCTATCTTTGGCATAGTGACCATAACACAGTGCTTCCTCATCAGCACCTTTTTCTCAAGGGCCAACTTGGCGGCAGCTTGTGCGGGGATCATCTACTTTACTCTCTACTTGCCTTGCACGTTGAATTTTGCCTGGCATGATTACATGACCTTCTCTCTCAAAACGTTTGCGGTGAGTCAGTGCAAGGGGGGCGGGGTGGCGAGGGAAGGGTAGCACCGCCAGCAAGGAGAGATCTTTTTTTAATCTGGTCTGGGCAGACCTTCTTGGACTAATTTTTTTTTGGGGGGGGGGTTGGTCCTGCACATCCCCTTCCCCCATTCCCTAATTCTTTCAACTTTTAATCAAACTTTAATTGGTTTCACTACACCAGTGTAGTTGTTAGAGTATTGAATTAGGACCTGGGAGATCAGAGTTCAAATGACCACATGGCCACGAAACTCACTGGGCAGTGTTGAGCCAGTTACCAACTCTCAGCCTAATCTACCTCCCAGGGTTATTATGAAAATAATATGTATATTACCTACACCCTTTAGCACTTTGGGGGAAAGTTGGGATCAAGTCAGTTCATTGTGTTTTAGCAGGCAGCCATTATACAAATGATAACTATAATAATAATAGTAATAAAAATAATAATAATAGAGATTTACATTTCTGCTCCTTAACCTTTGAAGGATAATTCATTTCCCATACCCCCTTTAAGTTTAATAGCACAGATTTGTAGAGCCTTAGCAAGAAATTTAGATATTCTGAAGTATATACAGTGGTACCTCTGGTTGCAAACGGGACCTGTTCCAGAGGCCCATTCACAACCTGAACAGAACACAACCCACGTCTGTGCGTGCACGGGTTGCAATTCGCCGCGCATGCGCAAGCAGTGAAACCCAGAAGTAACCCGTTCTGTTACTTCTGGGTCGCTGTGGGATGCAACCTGAAAATGTGTAACCTGAAGCAAATGTAACATGAGGTATGACTGTATACGTCTCTACATAGGACAGCAAAAAACAAGTCTTTGCTAGGGGTGAGCTTCCCTTCTGTGATCTTAACAATGGGTAAATGTGGTTGTTTCTAAGATCATTATAAAAAGGGCATTCAAGGAGCACATGAGTTGTATCTTCTGTTGACACAGAGTTGCAACCACAAACACTGTCCTTCTCAGGAATTCGTGGGATGTGTGTGTATGTTTCCCATAGTGGTACTGGAAACTCTTCCCCCCAACTTATTCCAAATCTGCTCCAGGAATATTTGGTTTCGAGATTACATGAGTAGGGCCAATGGTATAGTTCCTCACCACCTGATTGCCAGCCTCCATACTAAACAGATGATAACCAGATGGTAAGGAACTGCATCCTTTGTCCCACCCATGTGGAACTAGCTCAGGTACCCATTTGGTCACAGCTGAATCGGCTTTTGCTTTTGTTCCCTGTTGCCATTATGGCAGGGTTAATCTTTCCTTGCACTGAAAACATGAGTGAGTGAGTGAATGCACCCAGGATGTTAACTGGTGTTTTTCCTCTGCAGAGCCTGCTTTCTCCGGTCGCCTTTGGGTTTGGCAGTGAGTACCTTTCCCTGTTTGAAGAGCAGGGTGTTGGATTGCAATGGGACAATGTCTTCATGAGCCCTTTGGAAGGAGACAGCTACAACCTGACAACTTCTGTGTGTATGATGCTGTTTGATAGTCTGCTGTATGGGGTTCTGACTTGGTACATCGAGGCTGTCTTTCCAGGTGAGCAGTAGCACATCAAATCTCTCTCCGTCTTAGCCCATTACTTCCCATTACCCCACTTCCCTCCCTTTGGAAGTCAGGGATGCTTCTGTTTCCATATTATTATCCAGCCATGGGAGATCCCAGAAACAGCAGTCTCACAGGAGGAGGAGCGGTGACAGATTGTTGTAGATCCACCAAAGATAGCAGGTGCAAGAGCCTTGATGAGGCTGACTGTGCTCTGAAGGAATTGTTTGATTTGTTTATGTGTGTTACAACGGTGGCAAGAATAATCTTCGTGCAAAAAATTGAAAGAAGAAGTCCCACTGAAAGAAGATTGGCTTATGAAGATGGTGGAATATGCTGAGATGGCTAGACCAACTGTTAGAATTAAAGGAGGGAACTTTTTTTGAAGAATGGAAATAATCTGTGGAATGTTTGGAAGAAAAAATACCATGGTTATGTTAAAACGTATTCAGGATAACAACAGATGAGAATTGGTAGTTTAATAAGTCAGAATTGATGTACAGTGGTACCTCGGGTTACATACGCTTCAGGCTACAGACGTTTCAGGTTACAGACTCCGCTAACCCAGAAATAGTACCTCGGGTTAAGAACTTTGCTTCAGGATGAGAACAGAAATCATTCGGTGGCAGCACGGCATCACTGGGAGGCCCCATTAGCTTAAGTGGTACCTCAGGTTAAGAACAGTTTTGGGTTAAGAACGGACCTCCAGAACAAATTAAGTACCTAACCAGAGGTACCACTGTAATGGGTAAAATGTAAGTACAGTGGTACCTCAGGTTAAATACTTAATTCATTCCAGAGGTCTGTTTTTAACCTGAAACTGTTCTTAACCTGAAGCACCACTTTAGCTAATGGGGCCTCCTGCTACTGCCACGCCACCAGAGCCCGATTTCTGTTCTTATCCTGAAGCAAAGTTCTTAACCTGAAGCACTATTTCTGGGTTAGCGGAGTGTGTAACCTGAAGTGTATGTAACCTGAAGCATATGTATCCCGAGGTACCACTGTAATATAGCAGCTTTAGAACACTGCGGAAGGGTGGATGGGAAGTCAGCGGATATGAGAGATTTGTTGTTTAAAAGAACTTGTAAAATCTGAAAATGTAATAAAAAGGTTATGCATTAGACAGGGCTGACTCTGCTGTTGAGCAAAGTGAGCTGGTCACCTAAGGCAGCAGAGGCTATAGGGAAGAGGAGAGGACAGAGCTGGATGTGGCTTGCCCTGTATCCTTGTCCTGCAATGGAGGATGCTGTTCAGGTGCCAGCATTTTAGTAGCTTTCAGGTACTAACCCAGCCCACTTTTGTGCATGGAACAGGACAGTGGTGTTGTCTTGTCCTTCACCTGAGGCAGTGAAATGCCTTTGGTCCTCTTACATCACTGTTATGAGGCTGCTTCCTCCAAAGATCAAGGGCAGAGTGTTCCTTGCAGCCGTTAGCAATCCTTCCTTTCCCCAGGTCTGTGGTTAGTCCAAGCACATTCACTCCCTTGGCTGGATTGTTTCTGGCGGGTTGAAGCTACTCCATACAAACTACCTTTAGCCACCTCAAGGTGGGGGAAGGGTGTTTGGTAAAGTGACTAGATAATATGGACAGATCGGGCTCCAATCTTTGCAAAATTCAGTACTTGGAGATGCATCATATCTTCTGCACATCTGAATGATTTCCCCCCAAGTCTCATCCAGGTCATTTTGTCCCTTTTCGTTTAGGTCAATACGGCATCCCCAGACCCTGGTACTTTCCCTTTACGAAGTCCTACTGGTGTGGTGAGCAATCTGGAGAGCAACAGACCCCTTCTCTTCACAAAAATTCATCTGAAAGTAAGCAACTGGTGTTCTCCTCCATTTTATTCAGTGGCAAACCAGGCTTCTCTGGTGGAATACTTTCCAATGGATAAGGCTCCCTGCTGTTCTCAGTTTGATTTCTTAAGACCTGCAGCCCCTTGGATTCGGGAAACCCAATTTTTGGGGGGTCACACCCCAATTCTCCCTCTGCCCCCTGCTGTCCAGTCCGATGCTGAAGTAGCTTGCAGGTATTATAAACATGCCGTGCCTCACTAAGTAGATTTACTTTCCTGTTACAACAGTCTGCATGGAAGAAGAGCCAAGTCATCTTCACCTTGGGGTGTCGATTCAAAGCCTGGTGAAGGTTTACCGTGATGGCAAGAAACTGGCTGTTGACGGCCTTACTCTGAATTTCTATGAAGGGCAGATTACCTCCTTCCTGGGACACAACGGCGCTGGGAAAACCACCACAATGTAAGAGGGCAAAATTGGTGCGGTGGGAAAACACCTTCCAAAGTCATGCTTTGCTTTGCTTGTTTGCACTCAACTTCCCTTTTGTTATATTTAGGTCCATCCTGACTGGGTTATTCCCTCCAACTTCGGGCACAGCCTTCATCCTTGGCAAAGACATCCGTTCTGAGCTCAGCACCATCCGGAAGAATCTGGGTGTCTGTCCCCAGCACAATGTCCTGTTTGATGAGTGAGTCACGCTATGAAACACCATTCCCTCGCACCTTTTCATTTGTTTCTTAACTAGCAAAATTCCCACGATTGTGATGGGGGGGGTGTTTAGAGAGAGAGAATCAGCAAAGACAATATCAGTTATCCAACCTGGTATAAGGTAGTTTCCTATCATGCCTAATTTGGGATTCTGCCTCTGAATACAATCGTACCTCGGAATCTGTTCTGGAAGTCCGTTCGACTTCCAAAACGTTCAGAAACCAAAGTGCGGCTTCTGATTGGCTGAAGGAAGCTCCTGCAGCCAATTGGAAGCTGCAGGAGCCCTGTCGTGCGTTTGGGTTCCAAAGAATGTTCGCAAACCGGAACACTCACTTCCAGGTTTGCAGCGTTTGGGAACCAAAACGTCCCAAATACCAAGACATTCGGGATCCAAGGTACAATTGTATGTATTTTCATTATCGTGTTAGCACTTTAAAACTGGATGACAAGGAACAGACAATATGTGTGTTTTTTCTTACCAAAATGTGGCCGTTCTCCCCCCACGCCTAGGTTGACAGTGGAGGAACACATCTGGTTTTATGCGCGCCTGAAGGGACTGTCGGAAAAGCTGGTGAAAAAGGAGATGAAGCAGATGGCCATAGATGTTGGTTTGCCTCATAAACTCAAATCAAAAACAAGCAAACTCTCTGGTAAATTTCATTTATTCAGCCAAATGCAACTATTGTTTGCCTTGCTGTGTATACCCATGCATGAAAAGCATAACAAGAGATCTTCTGGATCAGGCCTGAGACCCATCTAATCTGTCTGTTGGCTTCCAATAACTGGCAGCCTGTGGATGTTTTGGGACTGTAACTCCCAACGTCCCTGTGTCTTGTCACATGCAAGGTGGCTCTTTTAAAATGAGATTCAGAAGCAATACAAAACACAAGTGAGTGAGATGATTAAATACCGTATTTTTTGCTCTATAAGACTCACTTTTTCCCTCCTACAAAGTAAGGGGAAATGTGTGTGCGTCTTATGGAGCGAATGCAGGCTGCGCAGCTATCCCAGGAGCCAGAACAGCAAGAGGGATTGCTGCTTTCACTGCGCAACGATCCCTCTTGCTGTTCTGGCTTCTGAGATTCAGAATATTTTTTTTGTTTTGTTTTCCTCCTCCAAAAACTAGGTGCGTCTTGTGGTCTGGTACGTCTTATAGAGCGAAAAATACGGTATTTTATTCTAAACAGTAAGCAGTATATGCATACCAAGCATGCACTTCAACCGGCCACTTGGAAGCCTCAAGAAGTGGCCAAGTGGCTCCCCCAGGTAGCCTCGGGTTGCAAGGCCCCTGCGGCCGATCAGACCATGCATGGGCTTCTCCAAAACCCTGCCCCAAACCATCCAATTTATTGATAGCTACATAGCTAGCCCTTGTGGCTTGCCTCACTGGCTATGTGCAATCCTACATTACTAGCTGTGTGCAGATTATTCATTAGCCACCCTCTCCCAATGCCTTGAGAGGAACGCGGGTGGCACTGTGGGTTAAACCACAGAGCCTAGGACTTGCCGATCAGAAGGTCGGCGGTTTGAATCCCCGCAATGGGGTAAGCTCCCATTGTTTGGTCCCAGCTCCTGCCAACCTAGCAGTTCGAAAGCACGTCAAAGTGCAAGTAGATAAATAGGTACCGCTCTGGCGGGAAGGTAAACGGCGTTTTCATGCGCTGCTCTGGTTTGCCAGAAGCGGCTTAGTCATGCTGGCCACATGACCCGGAAGCTGTACGCCGGTTCCCTCAGCCAATAAAGCAAGATGAGCGCCGCAACCCCAGAGTCGGCCACGACTAGACCTAATGGTCAGGGGTCCCTTTACCTTTTACCCAATGCCTCACTTTGTCCAAACCATGTCCAACATCAAAGAAGGTACCCAGCACTATCACTTCCTTCCAACCATCAAGGAGCTTAACAAGAGATAGGGAGGGGGAAGGAAGAGGAGGCTGGAAGAGGGCAACTGAGTCAGATCACTTAACTCCTCGAAATACAAATATATTCCAGATAGATTGCCCATACACCCTGATCATTGACTATTCTGTCTGGAGCTGATGGGAGTCTAAAATACCTGGAGGGCAATAGGCTGGGGAATGTTGTCTTATACCTAAATCTCTTCTACCATGCATGCATTCACATAAGTGCATAGCAGCAGTTCCTCAGACCACCCCAGGTAAAGCGGAATCGAACCCTAGATTAAATTAGACTGAATCTTGTCTGTTTTTGCTTCATAGGTGGTATGCAGAGAAAGCTTTCAGTAGCTTTGGCCTTTGTAGGCGGCTCTAAGGTTGTCATTCTGGATGAGCCGACGGCTGGAGTTGACCCTTATTCTCGCAGAGGGATCTGGGAGCTGCTTGTGAAATATCGCCAAGGTACCACTTGCCTTTTCCTCTTGCGACCCAGTGAAAAGTTGCATCTGTATGGTGTGGGGGTTCTGCATTGCAGCCATGTTCCCTGACATCTCTTTGATGACTCCCTTCTGGTATTGCTGGCCTTTAGAGATTTTAGACCCCACCTTTCTCCTTCTCCTATATAAGTAAGTTAACGTGCAATTTGAAAACGGATCCACAAATGGAACTGAAGAAGGAAGATTGGCAAACGGAGAGGACCGTCCTTTTCTTTATTTGTGTACCAATATTAAAAAGACCCCTGCTCTATAAAAAATCCTGGTTAGATGGGTTTTTCTCATTTTTTAGAATTAAAAAAAATGAGATTGAATTACAAATTAATTATTATTTTTATTCTTCAGTAAAATAAAGTTTATTGTGATGTTGATAAGACTCCTGTTGCACCAGCCTATATCACTTTTGGTAAATATCAGTAGAGCTTCTTTGGCTGAAATCTGTGCATCTGTTAGCTTCATGGTATATGAGACTTTTATATATTTATTTTTTTTATTAAATTTTTATTAGGAATTTAAACAAAACCTATTATCTTAAAACATATCATCCTTAATTCCCCCCATTTCCCCCCTCCCTCCCATAAAACAATCCCCCCTCCCCACCCCCACCCCTGACTTCCCTCAGTTCCAATCTTTGGTTTCTCTATAAATGCTATTCTCTGCATGTTACAAAATTGTATAGTAATTAAAAATTAATTAATTAAAGTTAGTATGAACAGAGAGCTCAATCGTGGGTTGCTGTTTTTAAGGACTTGAGTCAAACTAGACGAATTAGTGGAGATCTGCAACCAGATCCCTCATTTCTATTTGTTGTTGTTGTTGTTTAGTCGTTTAGTGGTGTCCGACTCTTTGTGACCCCATGGACCAGAGCTCGCCAGGCACTTCTGCCTTCCACTGCCTCCCGCAGTTTAGTCAAATTCATGCTGGTAGCTTCAAGAACACTATCCAACCATCTCGTCCTCTGTCGTCCCCTTCTCCTTGTGCCTTCCATCTTTCCCAACATCAGGGTCTTTTCCACCTCAGCTTCAGGATCTGTCCTTCCAGTGAGCACTCAGGGCTGATTTCCTTAAGAATGGATAGGTTTGATCTTCTTGCAGTCCATGGGACTCCCAAGAGTCTCCTCCAGCACCATAATTCAAAAGCATCAATTCTTCGGCGATCAGCCTTCTTTATGGTCTCCAAAAGCAACCTCAGCCCCTCCACTCTCCCACAGTTGGATTGGGGCTATGCTGCTGTAGGGCTATGCTGTTTCCTTAATGTAAACCAGCTTTCTTTCAGCTGCCATTTGTTAGGAACAATATATGGGTGCACAGTCACTAAACCAGTCTGATATATTTGGCTTCTTCTCTTCCTGGTTGTCAGGTCGCACCATCATCCTCTCCACACACCATATGGACGAGGCAGACATCCTCGGAGACCGAATTGCTATCATTTCTCATGGCAAACTGTGCTGCGTTGGCTCTTCGCTGTTCCTGAAGAACCAGTTGGGGACTGGATATTATCTGACCTTAGTCAAGAAGGACGTGGATTCCTCACTCAGCTCCTACAGGAACAGTAGCAGCACCGTGTCTTACCTGAAAAAGGTACTGCTTTCAGAAGTGCTGTCAAGGGGAGAGGGGGAGGGGCGCAGTTTGCTGATTTCTTCTAGAAACAATGGGGAGATTTTGGGGCCCCTCAAGTAACATATTCTGTTCCTTTAGCCCACGACCAGAAATAGTCTGTACAATAAAAAAGGTTCTAGATTCAGGTAGTTAGCCGTGTTGGTCTGACGCAGTCGAAATATATAAATAAAAAATTGTCCAGTAGCACCTTAAAGGTAAAGGAAAAGGGACCCCTGACCATTAGGTCCAGTCGTGGCCGACTCTGGGGTTGCGGTTCTCATCTCGCTTTATTGGCCGAGGGAGCCAGCGTACAGCTTCCGGGTCACGTGGCCAGCATGACTAAGCCACTTCTGGCAAACCAGAGCAGCGCATGGAAATGCTGTTTACCTTCCCGCCGAAGCAGTACCTACTTATCTACTTGGACTTTGACGTGCTTTCGAACTGCTAGGTGGGCAGGAGCAGGGACCGAGCGACAGGAGCTCACCCCATCACGAGGATTTGAACCGCCGACCTTCTGATCAGCAAGTCCTAGGCTCTGTGGTTTAACCCACAGCGCCACCCGCATCCCTAGTAGCACCTTAGAGACCAACTAAGTTTGTTCTTGCTATAATCTTTCCTGTACATGCATGAAAAGCTTAGTGTGTATCTGAAGAAGTGTGCATGCACACAAAAGCTTATACCAAGAACAAACTTAGTTGGTCTCTAAGGTGCTAGTGGACAATTTTTTTTTATTTTTTTATATGTCTCGAATAAAAAAGGTAAAAGAAAAAAGGTAAAGGACCCCTGGACGGTTAAGTCCAGTCAAAGGCGACTATGGGGTTGCGGCGCTCATCTCGCTTCCAGGCCAAGGGAGCCGGCATTTGTTCATAGACAGCTTTCTGGGTCATGTGGCCAGCATGACTAAACCGCTTCTGGTGCAACGGTACACCGTGACAGAACCCAGAGCGCATGGAAACGCTGTTTACCTTCCTGCCGCAGTGATACCTATTTATCTACTGGCACTAGCATGCTTTTGAACTGCTAGGTTGGCAGGAGCTGGAACCGAGCAATGGGAACTCATCCCATCGCGGGGATTTGAACCGCCAACCATCCGATCAGCAAGCCCAAGAGGCTCAGTGGATTAGACCACAGCACCACCAGCATCCCTATAGTCTGTACAATAATGCAGTTTGATCATAGCGTGTAGTCATAGAAGGAGCTCAGTGTATTGTATGCAAATGGTTCTCCACACCCCATTTTCTCTTGAAGGCTAAGTGGAGATTTCAACTCTGGTCTCCCAGGTCCTAGATTGACACTCTAACCACTGCACCACACGGGCTCCTTAGAGACATAATATCAGTGTCCTTTTTGTTTCTTGAGAATTGCATTTTTTTCCTCTCTCTCTCTCCTTTTTTAAAAAACACCCTGACTTTGTTCAGATAAGAGATAATTGGATCACCTTTTCTTTTCTCATTAGGATGACAGTGTGTCTCAGAGCAGTTCAGATGCTGGACTTGGCAGTGACCATGAAAGTGACACCTTGACAATAGGTAAGGGATTTAAAAAGATAACAAAGCATTCAGGTTGTTTCTTGTGTCTCTGTCTTTTATAATTTTAAGTCACCAGAGTGGGGGTGGTGTTATTTTTAAAAATTATTATTGAGATTAGTCAATAATCTCATCTGCCTGGCTTCCTCTGTGTTTTTAAAAAAGTTTTCACCCTGTCACTTTTCTGTTGCTTTCCCCAGCAATTTTTATTTCTTGCCTTGGACCCAATACCTCTTCCTCCTCCTCCTCCTCCTCCTCCTCCTCCTCCTCCTCCTCTTCCTCTTCTTCTTCTTCTTCTTCCTCTCCTCCTCCTCTTTTCTCCTCCTCCTCCTCCTCCTCTTCCTCCCCTCTCTGTTTCATTTACCGTAAATCTTCCATCATTTATTTTACTTTATTTTCGTAATGACATTTGTGTACTTCTTAATCACAAAACCTCCAAGTGCCTTACATAAAATATACATTAAAATTATCAATAGAAGTCAGAGTTAAAAACCAACTTAACAAAAAAATAAAATGAAAAGGAGCAGTTTAAAAACACACATTTTAAAGATAAAACCACCTATTTAAATGCATGTCAACTTTACATATCTGGGCAGGCTTGACTAAACAGTACAGTGAAGTTGCCTGCCGAATTTCAATGTGCGGGGAGTTTCAGAGGGTAAGTTCTTCTGTGCTAAAAGATGGGTTCCTTACGAGTGTATACTTGTAAGCCTATATGCAGGGATGTTGCCCAGAGAAATGGATCAAAAATCCTCAAATAGTAAAAAAATCTGGTTTTTGATCAGTGTGGTGGAGAGCAAACTTTCAGCAGTGGAGGAATTTGATGATCTCTTGGTTCTTCCAGATGTTTCTGCAATTTCTAATCTCATTATGAAGCATGTCCCTGAAGCCAGGCTGGTGGAAGACATTGGCCATGAGATAACTTATGTTCTGCCCTACGAAGCCGCTAAAGAGGGAGCTTTTGTGGAGTTGTTTCATGAGATTGACGACCGCCTCTCTGACCTTGGCATTTCCAGCTATGGCATCTCTGAGACGACTCTGGAAGAGGTATGTGAGCCATGCGCTTCTTAGTGAAGAAATACCAGCAATTCTTTTTTTCCTCTCTCTCTCTCTCTGTCTGTCTCTCTCTCTGGTGGTAGTGGGGGAACAATTTGCTATCTAGTTCCCTTACGTATGAAAAGAAGGGGGACCAGGTTTCATCAAAGGTGTCTCTCTTTATAACACCTTTTGCTACCTTTCTAAGCCCAGTTATTTGCACTGAAATAGCCACGTCCCAGATATGATTGAACCATGTGTTAAGGGGAAGCTCAGCTTTTGGGATTTCCAAAAGCACACTATCATCTGAGCACGACAAAGCGCAGTGTAAATAAGAAAACACTAAGATGCTGGATGCAAGAGTTTATGTTTAAGTGGACTTTGTTTTGGGAAATTTGACGTATGTTCTTCTTTGAGTTTGCTTTTGAAAACTTAATAAAAAGTATTTTAAAAAACCAAAAAAACCCAAAAGCACACTATCGCCAAACGTGCAGCCGTCAGTAGAAGGAAAAGTTAGATCTTTATGTTGAATAGTAAGATCAGAATCTAGGTTTAAATGAGAGCAGAGCTAAAGCTGGAATTGGCGAGAGAGGTTGTTTTAACAATTTTGGAAATGGTATTGGAGACCCTTTGTCCAAAATGTGTGGGTGAATTTCGATTTCCACCAAACCTGAGGAATAGCGGCATTTCTGGAGGCATGTGCTTTCTCTGCATATTCAGGGAAACCCCATCAAAATGTCTGATTCCCTCACCTGCTGCCTGAAATTATTAATCCAGGAGAAACTTTGCCATGCAATTCTCCCAGTTGTATAAACCTGCCTGAAACTGGAAGCAGTTTGTTGAGGTTCAGATGGCTCACCCCTTGCATGTTCTATTGGCAGCGTGCTCTGAAGCGGGAGGGAGGGAATTCTAGAGATCTTTGGGGGAAAGTAGGTCCCATTGTGTGGCTAACAAAGGTGAGTGCAGTCATTTCAACATTTCTACCTTGCAGATATTTCTCAAAGTGGCAGAGGAGCATGGTGTGGACGCAGAGACCTCAGGTAAATATGATGTTGGCGGATCTGACTATTCAGACATTATGGTCCCCAAGGTGGGGCCTGCCAAAAAAAAAAAATTCTGCATGGCAGCACTTCATTTGTGTCCATCCTGTTTGCAATCCTTTTTTTAAATATTGATTTTTATTGGAAATTTTTCAGATATGCATTTCCATCATTAAATATCCACCATTGTAGTCATATATTCATCAATTTCCCTCGTTCCCCTGCCATGGTTCTTTAAAAAATTTCCATAATTTCTGCATATTCTAAGAACAAAACAAAAAAATCCATTTAATTTAGTCCCTCTCCCCACCCCCTAGTTATATCTCTCTACTGTCTTATGCTGTTGAATTTACTTTAATCCTGCTAGCGTTATTTTCCAAATATTCCACACAAAAATTCCACTCCTCTTTATATACTTGATATTCTTTCTCTCTTATTCTGCTGGTTAGGCCTCTCTTTCACCTTCCACTTTTGGGCTAACAACATCCGAGCTGCTGTAGTTGCATACATAAACAAGTTTTTCTGGCTCCTGGGCACCTCTGTCTCACCACCATTCCCAGAAAGAATGCCTCTGGTTTGGGGGGGGTGTTTTTTGAAACTCCCCCCCCTCATTTCATTATGTATCATTTCCCAATACTCCTTAACTATTCTGCATGTCGACTACGTATGAAAAAAATGATCCTTCTGCTTCTCTGCATTTCCAACACATATCAGATTCAGATCTGTTTGCAATCTGTTTTCATTTTGGGGTAGCTTTCGTTAAGGGGCTATACCATTTGAGTTTACCCTTAGCATGGCTGCACAGAATATTCAGAAACCCATCAGGGCCGGCCCTGCTGTTAGGCAGAGTGAGGCAGTCAACTCAGGCAGCTGCTTTTGAGTGTCTTGAGAAGGCAGCAAATTATTGTTTGTTTGCTTGATTTTTGTTGTGTATGAACTGCTAGGGGAGGGAAAGGCACTTGTGAGATTTTCTGCCTCAGGAGTTGACCTGCTTTGACTGTGCACCTTAACCTGTAAGGGGGGGGGGCATTTGTAGCAAAATGTCTTGGGCCAGCCTTGACAAGCCCGAGGGGCTGGAGTTTGGAGTGTGATGCTGCTGAACTCCAGCTCCCACCTGCCCCAGTCAACATTGCCAGTGGCCAGGGATGATAGAAGTTGTAGTGAATCAACCTTTGAGGAGGGAGAGGAGGCACAAGTTCCCCTGGCCTAGAGAGGTGTGTCTCTCTCCCTCTATTCAACTCTCAGTTTTGAACCAAACCTGCATTCATCTCATAACACTTTACATTTCCCTTGCAACTTGAAGAATGCACATGCTATTTCCTTGAAGCTGCATTCTATCTAGGGTTCTTACTACTGAGAAAATGAAACAAAATGGAAGCCCACCTGAAGACTTCCTGCTGCAACAGTTCATCAGTGTCACTTCTCTAGTTAGCGTTAGAAGAAGATGGAGCCTGCTGAACCTCAGGGAGCTAACTCTTGAGCTTTCCCTTTCAGATGGCACGTTACCAGCCAGAAGAAACCGCGTCTTTGGAGACAGGCAAAGCTGCCTCCGTCCATTCACAGAAGATGATGCTTTTGACCCCAATGATTCCGACGTGGACCCAGGTAAAAGATGAAAAGGGTCCCTGCATGTTTCATGGAGCCAGGCGGATGGGGGCTACTTCAACCCAGAGCGTGTAGGAGGAAATCCAGAACTAGAGGGACCCCTCCCCCCACAGCAGATGGCTCTCCAACCTCTGCTTGAAAACTCCAGGAAGGGAGAGCCCATAATTGGTCTCCCTTTACTGAAGTATAATACAGTGGTACCTTGGTTTAAGAACAGCTTAGTTTATGAACAACTTGGATTAAGAACGCTGCAAACCTGGAACTAGGTGTTTTGGTTTGTGAACTTTGCCTTGGAAGCAGAACATGTTCCGCTTCCTGTTGAGTGTAAATTGAGTCCCCCGCTGCTATGGGAAAGCACGCCTTGGTTTAAGAACACTTTGGTTTAAGAACGGACTTCTGGAATGGATTAAGTTTGTAAACAAAGGTACCACTGTATGTTATACTGCATTTAAAGAGTGAAACACCATCGCTGATAGGCTAAGGCATGATATATAGGGGTCAGCAAACTTTTTTAGCAGGGGGCTTGTCCACTGTCCCTCAGACCTTGGGGGGGTGGACTATATTTTTTTTTTGGGGGGGGAACGAATTCCTTTGCCCCACAAATAACCCAGAGATGCATTTTTAATAAAAGCACACATTGTACCCTTGTAAAAACACCAGGCAGGCCCCACAAATAACCCAGAGTTGCATTTTGAATAAAAGGACACATTCTACTCATGTAAAAACACATTGATTCCCAGACTGTCTGCGGGCCGGATTTAGAAGGCGATTGGGCCGGATCCAGCCCCTGGGCCTTAGTTTGCCTACCCATGATGTACACCCTACATGTTAATCACCTGATGGCCATGTCGGACCATCAGACTGAATCGTCAAGTGATGAGTAGTCAAGTGTTTTCCATGCATGTGTGAGCCGGCTCTTAGTCCCAATTCAGCCCAAGCCAGCCAACAGAACCCCATAAAACCTCTAGCCAAGTGTGACAATGGACCGGGAAGAGCAGTCCCCAACACCTTATCTCTGGAGGTTTATAACTGCAAGTTCAGGATTCCATAAATGTAGGCCAGACAAACTGCATTATGGATTCACGTACAAGTCTGTTACCAATATTGGTGAGGGTTTCTCTGTTGTGTGCCTGCCAGCATTTTCCTTCAGCTACATCAAAGGCAAGAGGAGCTGGCGTGCCTTCAACCTCAAAAGCTTGTAAGAACATTTGGATGATGTAATATATTTCTCCCTGCTTAAATATTCATCCTGCTTCTTGCATTTGATGAATAGGTTAAATCAGAGAACATATCTTGCCTAGGGGAGATTGCTTGGCTTAGGTGAGAGAGGGGTGAATGTTTCATGACCTGCAATTGTTTGCCTGCAGAATCGCGAGAGACCGACCTGCTGAGTGGGATGGATGGCAAAGGATCTAGCCAGATCAAGGGCTGGAAGCTGATGCAGCAGCAGTTTGTAGCTCTGCTATGGAAGAGGCTGCTTATTGCCAAACGCAGCAGGAAAGGTTTCTTTGCCCAGGTGAGATGGGCTCTGCCTGCTACAAAAGGGGATGGGTGGGTTGTATTTTATTGGTTTCTCAAAAACATTTTCCTCTTGTTTCATAAATGCACCGCTTGAGACAGATTCTGTCTTACAGGCAAGTTTTCACCCAGGTTGTTTCTGGAATTTGATAGAATCTGGTTAGCTGACACTCAATAGCAGCTAGCAGACTTGAAAAAGCAGAACTGATATGAACACCCGTCTAATCCAATCTAAGCAGGCTACTTTTGATAGTGAGTTTCGTTTGTCATCATTACCGCCAGAGGGCAGTGTGGTTAAATAAGTCTGCAATTCAGTGACCAAGTTGACTCAGCTGTTGGTGTCAAGGTTTTAGAAGTGGGAAGAACCAAGTCCCAGTGTGAGCGTGAGGGGGCATTCTTATTTCTCAGACCATTTGATGTGAACGACTCTAATTTATAATTTTCAGATTGTTCTCCCAGCGGTCTTCGTCTGCATTGCTCTTATATTTAGTTTGATTGTGCCTCCCTTTGGTAAATATCCCAGCTTGGAGTTGCAACCATGGATGTATGATCAGCAGTACACGTTTATCAGGTACGTATCAAACTCTGCAATGGAGGTGGGAGGGAGGATAGAAGTAAAATGTGAACTTTGCGATGAGAACGCCAGCTGTTTTTTTGTTACTGCACTGGTACCTTGGTTCTCAAACTTAATCTGTTCCAGAAGTCCATTCCGAAACCAAAGTGTTCCAAAACCAAGGCGTGCTTTACCACAGAAGGTAATGCAAAATGGATTCATCAATTCCAGACTTTTAAAAACAACCCCTAAAACAATCATTTAACATGAATTTTACTATCTAGCGAGACCGTTGATCCATAAAATGAAAGCAATAAATAATGTACTGAAGTCACACAATCAATCAATCAATCAATCAATCAGTAGCTGAACTGGGTTCCACACAGTCACAAAAACAAAAGAGCCACAAAAATGTGAAATAAATAGCAAAAACAGACTGACCTCAGCATAACACTCAAAACGGAAGCGTGGCACTCAAATTGGAAGTGTAACACTCAAAACGGAGCACATTCGGCTTCCGAAAAAAGTTCGCAAACCAGAACACTTACTTCCGGGTTTGCAGTGTTTGGGTTCCAAGTTGTTTGAGTCCCAAGGCATTTGAGAACCAAGGTACCACTGTATTACTCAGCCTTCCTGCCCAAATAAAATTTGATCTATTCCAAACAATAAAAGTATTAACAATAAGGCACAGATACTGTTGCTTGAAGCAAAGACTTCATCTCCCTGAACGCTTCTCTGTTCCTATGCCTCAGCGTGTTGGTTGCTTTCTCTGCCTGCGCTGTAGTTCAGGCCCCTGATGGTGTCTTTGGTCCCATAGCAATGATGCTCCAGAAGACACAGGAATCCAGAAGCTTTTGGATGCTCTCCTCAACAAACCTGGTTTCGGTACCCGCTGCATGGAAGGATACTCCATTCCGTAAGTGGGACCTTTGCAAAACCCTTGTGGAAAGCGGGGGTTGGAGTTGGAGGTGAAGTCCGCTCTCTTTCCTTAATGCCTCTCTTTGAAGTTATTGTCAAGGCTGTGTGTGTGTATATCTTGATTCTGTGGGAGCTGCCAAATGTGGCATTGACTGCAGAATGCAGCTTATGAAAAAGATCTCTGTTTACGACTTTAGCCAATATGTTGGGAAGTGCATGCTATGGGGAAATCCTGATAAAATCTCAGCAGCCCAGAGAAGTCACTGAATAGGGTCGGAGCTACACTCATCATTTATGACGTTAAAAATGCGTCACTAAAATGTGACAGCAGAGGGCGCTTCAGAGCAGCAAGCCACCAGCAATGGAAAACTGCCATTAAGAGTTATAGAACATTCTGTTAACAATGTTTAGAAGATCAATATACCTCATGTTACATCTGCTTCATGTTAAGTTCTTTCAGGATACGTCCTCTGGCGACCCGGAAGTACCCGAAAGGGTTACTTCCGGGTTTTGCTGCTTGCGCATGCGCAGAAGCGCAAAATGACGTCACACACATGCGCAGAAGGGGCAAATCGCAAGCCACACGTGCGCAGATGCACCACTGTGGGTTGCGCTCTTTTAATGTTGTGAACAGGCCTCCAGAACGGATCCCGTTCACAACCAGAGGTACCACTGTAGATCCAGCCTAGGCTTCCAGTATTTTAAAGTGGGGCTTCAGTGCCCTGTCCCTTCTGGCCACTCATCACATCACAGCATCGTAACTATCACCTAAAGCATGATACCGTTCCTGAAGTTATAAGTTTGGCGAACCATAAACACAACAACAATTGTTATTTTTATTATAACCCATTTCCTCTCAACCGTAATCTACTTAAAGTGCAACTTAAAAGTGGGACAGATGGACTGACCACAACAGCTGCTAGCGCATAGCAGGTGACAAAGACAACCTGGTGGACGATATGATTACTGAAACACTTCGATGTTGACTCTGCCCTTCTGCCTTTTTTCTGTGCAGGAATACTCCTTGCTCAGTAGGCGAAGAGGGCTGGACCACTGATCCTGTGCCTGAGGAATTGATGGAAATCTTCCAGAACGGCAATTGGACTATGGAGAACCCCTCCCCATCGTGCGTCTGTAGCAACGAGAAGGTGAAGAAGATGCTCCCAGTTTGCCCAGCAGCAGCTGGTGGCCTCCCTCCTCCCCAGGTAAAAAATACTTTGATATGTAGAAAAGACTAGGTACAGGGGGGTTTTGTGTGTAAAGTTACATATGCTTTTTATGTACAATTGTAAGCTGCCCTGGTTTTTTAATAAATGAATTAGCAGCATATAGATATCTTTTTATAAACAAATAATAAAATAAACACTTTCTGCCAACACTTAACAAAGCACACCAGGCAACTCCAAACATCCAATGATGATAATAATGAAGTATAACATATATTTATATATTCAAGAGTAACGTTTTTTAGTCTGAATAAAAGAGGCTTTTGAGCTATTCATAATAACTAGTCAAAACACTCTCGCCGGATCCTGTACGATTCCAGAGTAAGTGCAGCAAGAACTGAACCTTCCTGTGGGCACCTAACATGTGTTTTTAGATTTGCCATGGTGCCTTTGTCTAGTTTTCTCATTATGGCTATATCTTGTTTTAATCAGCCATGAGCTGATTAAATTCCATCAGGTTTCCACACAAAAGCTCTATGTTTCTTCATAGCTTTAGATTTCAGGTAGACCAAATGAATGACATACAGCATTCGAGGTATTTCATAGCCAATAAAACCCTTGATTTATCTTTTCGGTTTCTTCTTTCCCCCGCATTGGCCGCAGAGAGTACTGAACACTACAGATATCCTGCAAAACCTGACAGGTCGCAACATTTCTGATTACCTGGTGAAGACCTATGCACAGATCATCGGGAAAAGGTACCTGATGTGCAGCATGCTTTAACAACATGATGTCCTCCCAGTTGTTTTTGGACTCCATCTCCAATTACCCCAGCCTGTCAGGGAGGATGGAAGTTGTAGTCCGAGAACATCTGGAGGTTGCTATGTTTGTCCCTGCTTTACTTCATTGTATCTGATGTAACAACCTCCTTTTCTCTTCTTTTTGCATTCACAGTTTGAGCAATAAGTTTTGGGTGAATGAATTCAGGTAAATACACCTTTCTCTTTGTCTTTTTTTGGTGAAGCTTGTTCATTCCCAAATGCCCCACTCCTGCCTCTAGTTTCAGAATGATAGGAACTCCTGAAATACATTTGCAGGATTAGATCATTATTTTTACCCAGTAATTATTCACTCAGTGTATCTGACCACTGGGAGATAATGTGACTCACAGGCATGTACGAAATGGCTTTCCACTGTATGTATATATGTCAACAGGCATCTTTATGTCCAAGATTATAGTGTACATTATTATTTTATTATCTCAGTCAGTGTGAGGCTCCAGAGAGCTGTGCATCCCAACAATTTAATTTCTTTTTGTTGAGTAGCAGACCAGGATTGCAAACCTGAAATTGCTGACAAGAAAAGCAAAAGTCTCTTAATGGAGGGGGAAGACTCATATACGCAAACCATAAAAATTAATCTGGTTTAATGTGTTCCCAGGTATGGTGGCTTTTCATTGGGAGCCAGTAGCTCTCTGGTGCTTCCTCGCCGTGAAGAAGTTAATGAAGCAATCAAGCAAGTGAAGAAAATCTTGGAAATAGCCAAGGTAAACAGAGCAGAGATTTCTATGCGAAAATAAATAGCTTAGGCCTTGCTACTTGATTTGGAATTCAGGTGGTCTTTTGGGAAAGGGTAGGAAGGAATTCTAAAACAGCTAAACAGTGCAAACTTAGGTACGCAAGATTGCAATTCTATAACAACTCACCTGGGAGTAAGCCCTAGTGAACTCAAGGGTATTTCTGAGTATACCTGTGTAGGATTTCCCCCCCACACAAGCATATTCCAATTCATGTTCTTTGTTATTATCTCTTTTAGGGGGGCTCTGGAGAACGGTTCCTTAACAGCCTGTCGAGCTTCATGAAGGGCATGGACACGAATGATAATGTAAAGGTAATTCCACCTGCTTGTTCTGTATCCTAGTAGCCCAGGTGCAAGTTGTTCTTGAATGTCCACAGAGGCTTCTCTCAAAGTTTAACAGCTAAAGCACTTGATAATAAAATAAAATCGAAGGCATGCTTCACTGAGACACCCAGAAGCCTTTCCTCTTACTATGTTTGAAATTAACCTGGTAAGAGAAAAGGCCAAATTTGCAATAAACCGGTGGGGAGCGTCTACAGTTTGATTCCCGAAGTGAAGAGCTTCTGCGTTACTCGTTGTTAATTCCACTGTGCGCCCTTTCCAGGTGTGGTTCAACAACAAAGGCTGGCACGCCATCAGCGCCTTTCTCAACATAATGAACAATGCCATTCTGCGCGCCAGCCTGCAAGAGGGGGAGGACCCCAGTGCTTACGGCATCACGGCCTTCAACCACCCTCTGAACCTCACGAAGCAGCAGCTCTCGGAAGTCGCCTTGTACGTCCCGGAAGCGGGTGGATGGGGAGAGGATAAGGGGAGAGGGGAAATTACCTCCTTAAAATTAAACAGGAGAGTTAAGTCCAGTTTCTGCTTCGGCAGCTACAGAGCATGGTAGAAACTGGCCTGTTTCCATGGGTACTCCTAACCAAAGATGTAGCTGAGCAACGGGTTACGGTGCACCCGGTCAAATCTACAAGCTCATTTCTCACCCTCTTTTGAAATTTCTCTTTGCTCAGTATGACAACATCGGTGGATGTTTTGGTCTCCATCTGCGTCATCTTTGCCATGTCCTTTGTCCCGGCCAGCTTTGTGGTTTTCTTGATCCAGGAGCGTGTCACTAAGGCCAAGCACCTTCAGTTCATCTGTGGCGTGAAGCCAGTGACCTACTGGCTGGCTAATTTTGTGTGGGATATGGTAAGGCTATATATGTTTCTGCATTATCCCCCCCCCCACTTTTGTCTTTAGAGAGAGAACACATTCTATCAAAGAGTGCATCTGAAGTGTGTATTGCATGCCTATCCCCACACTCTGACCTGCTAAGAGAGTAATATAGGCATCATGAAGTCTCATCAGGCTTCCTTCCCTTTTCTGTCCATCTACCTGACAGTGTTGTGCAAAGGAGAGATAATTCTGCTTCCTGCACTATGTTTGTCTCACTGTGGTTGCAATCTGGAGAAGCTCAGTTTTGTCCGTTGCTTGACTTTAGGGTTGCTTTCTATGCATAGCTGTCAACTTTTCGCTTTTCTTGCGAGGAATCCTATTTGGAATAAGGGAATTTCCCTTTAAAAAAAGGGAAACATTGACAGCTATGTTTCTATGATAGGGGAAAAACCCTACCCTGTCTATGGTCATCTGAATCCTTTAAGCTGGAGCTATTCTGATTGCATTTTCCTTTCTCTCTTTTCAACTTGCAGTGCAACTATGTAGTTCCAGCCACCTTGGTCATCATCATCTTCATTGGCTTCCAGCAGAAATCCTACGTGTCCTCAAGCAACCTTCCCGTGCTGGCTCTTCTCCTCTTGCTCTATGGGTAAGGGAGGCCCTTTCGGCTCAGGTGCTGACAACCGATCAAGATGTAGCAATGGGGTTCCTTAATGTCACATCCTTTCTGTTTCCCAGGTGGTCCATAACGCCTCTCATGTACCCGGCATCCTTTGTGTTCAAGATCCCTAGCACAGCATACGTGGTGCTCACCAGTGTGAACCTCTTCATCGGTATTAATGGGAGTGTCGCCACTTTTGTCCTCGAGCTTTTCACCAGCAATGTGAGTTCTTGGTGGCTGCAGCCAGCATGCTTTGCTGTTTGCTGTGCTTTATTTTTTTTTAAAAGATTTGATAAAAGTTGAATTGATTAATTCAGCCTGCTCCGTGGCCTTTCAGATTTCAGCACAGAAATACTAGATGGTTGCTAAAAGGTGAATTAGTCACATCTTTGTGATTTTGCTTAGATTTCCTAATTTATTCCAATTGAGAAATATTGCCGGAATTCAGAATCCTTTAAAAAAAATACATCTTTGAGTTGATAAGCGAAAGGAATGGATGTACATTCTGTAGCAATAGAGAAGTAGGTGAAAGAGACTAGGAGGAAACTGAAGTATAGATGCTCAGGTAATTCGTTTGCCCTCTATTTTGCTTTAAGGAATTCATTCCTCTCCTCCTAGCCTAACACTGTAACCACAGGGATGTAGCTAGTTCCTCTGGTACCCGGTGCGGCGGGGGCAGAGCAACCTGCCCATGGGGCTGCCGCCCCAATCCTTATGTGGGGGCGGCTGCCGCAAGCCTCGCATGGGCCCCCCCAAATGGATCAACGTGTCGGCAATCCACCGAGGGGTGACAAGATTGCTCCCCGAGCGGATCTGCTGCTCCAATTGGTGCGTTGGTGATAATAATAATAATAATAATAAATTTTATTTATATCCCGCCCTCCCCAGCCGAAGCCGGGCTCAGGGCGGCTAACAACAATAAAACAGTACAAAAGTACAGCATAAACAACAGTCTAAAATCATTCATTATAAAATTAATTAATTCAAGCCACTGGCAACCATTGGGCCAGAGCTCCGCGAAGATTGCCGAGGGAGGGAGTCAGGCTGTGCCCTGGCCAAAGGCCTGGTGGAACAGCTCTGTCTTGCAGGCCCTGCGGAAAGATGTAGAGTCCCGCAGGGCCCTGGTCTCTTGTGACAGAGTGTTCCACCAGATCGGAGCCACAGCCGAAAAGCCCTGGCTCTAGTTGAGGCCAGCCTAACTTCTCTGGGGCCTGGGACCTTCAAGATGTTTTTATTCGAAGACCGTAAGTTTCTCTGTGGGGCATACCAGGAGAGGCGGTCCCGTAGGTACGAGGGTCCTAGGCCGTATAGGGCTTTAAAGGTTAAAACCAGCACCTTAAACCTGATCCTGTACTCCACCGGGAGCCAGTGCAGCTGGTATAGCACCGGGTGAATGTGATCTCGCAGCGAAGACCTCGTAAGGAGTCTCGCTGCAGCATTCTGCACCCGCTGGAGTTTCTGGGTCAGTCTCAGGGGCAGCCCCACGTAGAGCGAGTTACAATAATCCAGTCTGGAGGTGACCGTCGCATGGATCACAGTGGCTAGGTCAGGGCGAGAGAGGTAAGGAGCCAACTGCTTAGCTTGGCGGAGATGGAAAAATGCCGCCTTTGTTATAGCTGCAATCTGCGCCTCCATGGAAAGGGAGGTGTCGAAGATTACACCCAAACTCTTAACGGACGGTGCTGGCACTAAATGCGCCCCTGCAAGAGATGGGAGTTGCCCCCCCAATCCCATATCGCCCCGTCCCAGCCACAGGACCTCTGTCTTCGAAGGATTTAGCTTCAACCGGCTCCCACGAAACCATCCAGCCACAGCTTCCAAACATCTAGTCAGTGTGTCTGGGGCCGAGTCAGGATGGCCATCCATCAACAGATAGAGTTGGGTGTCATCGGCATACTGATGGCAACCCAGCCCAAAACTCCGAACAAGCTGGGCGGGGGGGCGCATAAAGATGTTGACAAGCCCCGGGGTGAGTCTCGCCCCCTGAGGTACTCCACACACCAAGGAGTGGCGCGATGACAATTCCCCCCCAAGCGCCACCCTCTGTCCCCGACCAGAGAGAAACGAGCGCAGCCATTGAAGGACTGTGCCCTGGATCCCCACGTCGGCAAGGCGGTGGTCTAGAAGTTCGTGATCGACCATGTCGAAAGCTGCTGACAGATCTAGAAGAATCAGCAGCCCCGACCCGCCTCGATCCAGCTGTCTACGAAGATCATCTGTTAGGGCAACCAGAGCCGTCTCGGTCCCATGACCAGTGCGGAAGCCGGACTGGAATGGATCCAGAGCCGATGTTTCATCCAGAAAACCACCAAGCTGTTCAGCAACCGCTCTCTCAATCACCTTACCCAGGAACGGAAGATTCGAAACCGGGCGGTAATTGGATAGATCTAAAGGATCTAATGATGTTTTCTTTAAGAGCGGGCGCACCACTGCCTCCTTCAGTTCCCCTGGGAATGTCCCCGTGCCAAGGGACAAATTGATGATATCCCCAGGAGGGCCCGCACCTCGTCTGGACACGCTCTAATCAGCCAAGACGGGCACGGGTCGAGAGGACAGGTGGTGGGCTTTCCAGCTCGGAGGAGTCTGTCCACATCGGCTGGGGATATCCGGTCGAAGTGGTCCAATACTGGACCCGAGGACAGTCGAGGGGCCTCCAGTTCCTTTATTGTATCCAAATTGGCCGGGAGGTCATGATCCACCCGGGGAGGGGCAATCTTGTCACCCTCCTTAGGCATGACACCCGAGGTGGGGCGCCCCTCCACCCCCCCATATCCCTAAGCCTGTGTGTACACAAACATGTGAATACATACAGGTAATGGCCTTTGCATGTGACTAGAAATCCAGGCAGGACCTATCAAGATCACAGTAAAAATGCAGTCGCAAATACCTCTGGGAGTGAAGAGACATCCTGCTATGCCATCCCTTCCAAGGAAACTGTACGGAAAAAAATATACAGTGGTGCCCCGCAAGACGAATGCCTCGCAAGACGGAAAACCCGCTAGACGAAAGGGTTTTCCGTTTTGGAGGTGCTTCGCAAAACGAATTTCCTATGGGCTTGCTTCGCAAGACGAAAATGTCTTGCGAGTTCCTGCGGGGGTTTTTTCCTCCCCCCCCCCTTTTCCCAAGCTGCTAAGCCGCTTATCAGCTGATCCGCTAAGCCGCTTAACAGCTGATCCGTTAAGCCACTAAGCCGCTTATCAGCTGATCTGCTAAGCCGCTAAGCCACTTAACAGCTGATCACTAAGCCCGCTAAGCCGCTAATAGTGCTAAGCCGCTAAACCGCTAATGGGCTTGCTTCGCAAGACGAAAAAACCGCAAGACGAAGAGACTCGCGGAACGGATTCTTTTCGTCTTGCGAGGCACCACTGGAGCTGGACCCATAGGGGCAACCGCTCTCCTTTTGTACAATGTCCCTAGATGACAAGGAGCCTAGGTGAGCCTTAGGTTCACATGCTCCCACACCCCTCTGGCATGGCCACGAGGAGGAGATTAGAAGTTTTTGCTTCAACTAACTACAGTTCAGCATTACATCCGAACCCTAAACTGAAGTTTCCCTTAATTTATAGTTTGTTGGAACAAGGCAGCTTCATGTAACCCATGGTTTGAAGCTGCCTTATTCCAAACAAACCATAGTTCATATTAAGCACAGTTTTGTTGGCGTCAGATGAAACAAAAGCTGCGGTTTATCCAAAACAGTAGCAAAAGCTTCCACACTTCTTGTGGCCGTGCTGGAGTAAAAGAAAAGTGTGTCACTCTGACATGCATCTAGGCTCATTCTTGTGTGACATCTGAACCAGATCAGGTTCTGTTTCAGAGTTCAACATTGGAAGGTTCCGGTCCATTTGGATTGAACACAGTGGACCAATTTGCCTGTCAGAGTAAGTCAAACAGCATGCTAGTGAACACCGCCCAGTTGCTCCTGCCTTGCCCCTCTCCTTGTACAGACAAGAACAACAAGCCATGGAGTTTGTACTGTTGTTATGTCCAAACTGGTATTGTGATTTGTTTCTTCTGGAAAAAATGTTGAAGAATCCAAAGTTTGAACCTGGCATGTTCAGGAAAAACAAAGCACAACCGTGGTTCGTATGTAACAGCAAGCCAAGGCTTGATGGCCTGTTGCTTGTATCAGTGGAAGAGCAGAGCTTCAGGGCTGCATTCACTAGCACTCTGTTCGCTCATGGTAAGCCATTAATTTTGGCTTCAATAATGCGACGTTGCCCTTAAATCTGCCACATTTTTAACCCCAAACCAACCTGAATTCTTTTATGCCAAAGAAATAAGTCCTTAATCTCGAAATCAGTTTAGTCTTTAATTTCAGTGGGTGCATGCTTCATTCTGGATAAGTTCTCTGAGTTTTTCCATTCTCTGCCTCTTGATATGTGTCCCTTTTTTGTTGTCGTGGTAAATTTCCAAGCAACTGACTGCCACTGATTTTGTGTCTTTAGAAGCTGACCAACATCAATGACATCCTGAAGTCAGTATTCCTCATCTTCCCCCATTTCTGCCTGGGCCGGGGCCTGATTGACATGGTGAAAAATCAAGCTATGGCGGATGCCCTAGAAAGATTTGGTAAGTGAGCTGTTGGCCTAGTGCCATCATCCTGTTGACATGCACCCAAGGAAACGGGGGCAATTGGCAGGCCCCCAGGTGGCTCCAGCTGGCTCCAGCCCACAAACTCCGGTCCTTGGTGCAGCATAAATCTGCGGCCCAGGCTTCAGAAGACTGAGTACGCTATGCAGCAGAGAAAACACTGCGCAAACAGAAGCGGCACAAGAGGCTGTGTGGGCATATTTACAAGCAGGTTTATTCAGGACAAAAGGAAAACATGTCTGATCTCCTTCGTGTCCAAAGCAAAACAGGAAACTATACACAAACGGAAGTTCCCATCATACTGTGCTGGAATGTAAACAGACATGTGACATGCAACAATTCCATACGTCTGTCCCTTAAGGTGGAACGGAATTCTCAACACGTCCTAGATTGTGGAGGCTTGGACTGTAAGGCACTGTTGGGTGGATACTCTGAAATCAAACAACCCACATTTTGCACTGAGGAAACTGAATTTTACAACCTGTATAAAGTATGCAAATTAAGTGCATTTGTGTACTCTTATTTATTCTGCAATTCTTAACCATTTTACACAATGTAGAGGGAGGCCAAAAAAATTATGCTCTTCTCCACCACAACCATTGGAAAACTTAATTGGCCACTTGTTTGTCTTCAGATATTTCAGCAGCCTTTACTCAACGTAGTTCCAAGCATAACTTTGCAACCATTTGGGATAGGAATGTCCTTTCAAAAGTACTGTTTGTCGTCAGGAACATTAGAGTATGAGAACCACTTTGCACACAACCAATCTTTTAGGTGTTCATTCTAAGATGCTTTAATTTACAGTGGTACCTCAGGTTAAGAACTTAATTCGTTCTGGAGGTTCGTTCTTAACCTGAAACTGTTCTTAACCTGAAGCACCACTTTAGCTAATGGGGCCTCCCGCTGCCACCATACCGCCGCTGCACGATTTCTGTTCTCATCCTGAAGGCAAAGTTCTTAACCTGAGGTACTATTTCTGGGTTAGCGGAGTCTGTAACCTGAAGCGTCTGTAACCCGAAGTGTCTGTAACCCTAGGTACCACTGTATGTGTAACAAGTGGCAACAAATTCACATTTTCTAGCACATGTATCATGTTTACAAACTGGGGGGCCAGGATTGACTCTTAGATCAGAGGTAAACTCAGGGGTTTCCTGTGTAGCGTGTGGAAAAAATCCTTGGTAATTTACAAATTACTGAAATTAGAACATCTCAGGTGCCAGCCATCAGGTTTGCTGAGTGTTTAAATTGTGTCTCTGTTGCGACGAACATCTGAGGTATATTAAAGATCAGTACAGTGTGTGTTGCTCTTACGTACGAGCTTGTTGCATACAGTGTTGTAATAGGGAGCTTTCCTAGACGTCTGATCAGACAGTTGAATGACAGCCTCTGCTCTTCCCCATTAGGCGAGAACCGCTTTGTCTCCCCTCTCTCCTGGGACCTGGTGGGACGGAATCTTTTCGCCATGGCTGTGGAAGGAGTCGTCTTCTTCCTCATCACTGTGCTTATCCAGTACAGGTTCTTTATCAAATCCAGGTAAAATGGCCTTTGTGACAATGAACACCCATCCTGGGGAAAGGCATATGCAGATTTTGAGGATCCAAATAATTGGGGGGGGGAGCGTGGCCAAGACAAGCGTCTCTACCACCCCTCCCCACAGTAAGTGAAGTCAGAAAAGAGGAAACACAGGGAGCAATAATAGCACCAGAAACCCATGCTTCATTCATTCATTCAAAAGCATTTTATCCCACTCCTCAGCCAAAAATAAACTCCCCAAGCTGCCTACAAATGTTAAGGTCCACACCTTTAAATGTAAGGTGGGAAGTGGCTCGCGGAATTGTGTGTTAATTTCCAGGATGTGCAGGGAGCTGGCCATTAGCTAAAGAGTGAGTTGGAACCTTAATTATTTACAAAAGAGATTGTTTACTCCTCCTTTCTCCTGCCCACCTAGCAGTTCGAAAGCACGTCAAAGTGCAAGTAGATAAATAGGTACCACTCCGGCGGGAAGGTAAACAGCATTTCCGTGCACTGCTCTGGTTCGCCAGAAGCGGCTTAGTCATGCTGGCCACATGACCCGGAAGCTGTATGCCGGCTCCCTCGGCCAATAAAGCGAGATGAGTGCCACAACCCCAGAGTCGGCCACGACTGGACCTAATGGTCAGGGGTCCCTTTACCTTTTACACCACCTTTGGAATGGGATCCAGAAGTCTAGGACTGGTCTGCCTGTTACTGAATGCATCTTGAATTATCAGTGCACAAACCTGACCTCCAAGTGATGCATTTCCCACCCCCACCCCCAACAGAACTGGCAATGCTAAACTTCCACCTGTGCATGAAGAAGATGAGGACGTGAACAGAGAACGGCAGAGGATCATTGGTGGCGGTGGGCAGAGCGATATCTTAGAAATCAAAGAGCTAACCAAGGTGAGAAGACAAGCAAGAAGTTCTTTGGGCATGCTGTGCATAGGGAAGCTTGCATTTCCATTGTCACTGACGCATGGGGCCTAGCAACCCACCTAATGGTGCTGCTGTACAATTTCCTGCTGATGGATGCCTGAAATTATGGAGCAAGTGTTGATAGCGACTGTGGCGATCACACAGGGTCCCCGGACGTTTCACCGTCTATTGATCCCTGCGCCACCACTTTATTTATCACTGCCACCATCCAGGCCCTACCTGGTACAATACTGAGTCCAGTCAGGGTTAAATTGGAACATAAACTTCTGTTTATTTATTGCAGTTTAACAAGCAATAAAATTGCAGTTTAACAAGTGTGGTTTCATAAACGGTATCGGTCAATTACTATCATGGGGTGCCTATCCAGACCTATAACTTCCGCTACCTGCTCTCCCCCACCAAACCACCTCTCAGATATTTACTTGCCTTCCTAGCCCCTAACTGTTCCTGACTCAGCTTATTTCGCTACACTAACTCAACCTACCCACAAACTCTATCCCAATTCACTCCAACCAACCACCCAACTCCCAACAAACTCCCCCTTTCGCCCCTCCCAGAGCTGGTTTTATAGTCCCTCTGACTCCACCCCCCTGGGTTCTGATTGGGTAACCTGTTTAACTATTTCACCTCCAGCATTCTCATATGTTAACGTCACAGCGACCATTCCGTGACACCCCAAATTCATGGGGTTCATTCTCTATTTTCATGCATTCCCTAGAATCAAAAGGGATTGCCGCTGTTGATAATGGTCTGCATTTCAAACAGAAAGTACCTCTCACTCACTGAATCAACGTATGAACAGGGCTATGCTATGCTAGCTCTGCCTCCCAGCACTATGCACATCAGATGATTGCCCTACTTCCTGACATCAGTGCTGCTAGGGACAGAGACGGTTTTAGGGTAGCGTGACCAGTTCAACTGCACTAGGTGCCACAACAACAATGCAGAACAGAGTGTGGGAGGGGTGTGTGTGCACCAAATTTTATCATCACACAGAGTGCTGCTGAAATTTGAGAGTCCAAAGTCTGCCACTACTAGGGATTAGTTCAGGCATAGGCAAACTCGGCCCACCAGATGTTTTGGGACTTCAGTTCCCATCATCCCTGACCACTGGTCCTGTTAGCTAGGGATGATGGGAGTTGTAGACCCAAAACATCTGGAGGGCCGAGTTTGCCTATGCCTGGATTAGTTGGTATGGCCCCATTCATGAATTCATCGATCACATAAGTGCTTTTCCCCCATATACACTTGCTGGGATATGCCGAATTTACAAACAAATAGGACAAAATCTGGATGTCCTTTGAAAAACTGAACTGTAGGCAGAGGCCCTGCTACTGATTTTGCCGAAGAAGAGAAATGCACTGGTAGAGGATGCAAAGCTTAGTTGTTGCCAGCTATGAGCAAATTTCTGTTCTTCCTTCCAGGTATACAGAATGAAACGAAAGCCTGCTGTGGATAGGATCTGCGTTGGAATTCCACCCGGAGAGGTAAGATTTCCAAGTCGTCGTTTGCATGTATTTAGTGGAACATTGCTTAAGATGCGAGGCGGGTGAGCTGTGGCTCTTCTCGGGGAGACTGGAAATCCCACACAAACATCTTCTACTCTGGCCAGCACAAGCTCCCTTGGCTTTAAAAAAAAAAAAGTAGCGGTTTCCCTGCCACGGAATCTCCCACCATTACCAGCTGCTGTGCCCATGGCTCCTTCTGTTTTCATGCAACAACACAAGGAATGTGTGAGAGATGAATGGGGCATGCATGTGCTGATCCGGTCTTTTTAATCTTTGCAGTGCTTTGGACTCCTGGGTGTGAATGGTGCTGGCAAATCCTCCACTTTCAAGATGTTGACAGGAGACACCGATGTTACGGGAGGAGATGCTTTCCTCAAGGGCAACAGGTATGAAAAGAAATGGCGGCTCCTTCTGCAGAAAGCCATGTTTTTCATGGGCCTTTCTGTCTGCTGTTGCACTTTCAGAGCAGATGTGATTTCATTGCCACTCACAGCAAAAGTTGGTTTGGTCTGTGAGACTAGATTGTGCTGCACTGTTGGGGCAGTGGCATGCTCATGGCTGCTGTATGTATTCTATGCAAGGGAAGAACTTTGTATTGGTCACACTATTTAACATCCTGAGAAACACCCATTTTCATTTATTTATTTTTTTAAAAACCTGATTTTCTAGGCTGAGAAGTTCAGCTTGTCACAGCCAGTGAAATCTGGGAAGCCAATAGAAGGGATCAGAAGGATCTCCAGTGATCAGAACACGGCTTAGGCCACAGCTGTGCGCATGCCAAGATTCTGAAGGGGTGCAGGGAAAGTGTAGAATATAATATTGGGTGCATAACTTTTTGAATGGTTTCTGTCCTAGACATAATCCCTGAGAACAAATCCCACAGAACTCAAAGTGGGGCTTGTTTCAGCAGAGACTTGCACTGCATGAAATGAAATTACATTTCATTGAATAAAATGAGACTACAGTGGTACCTCTGGTTACGTACTTAATTCGTTCCAGAGGTCCGTTCTTAACCTGAAACTGTTCTTAACCTGAAGCACCACTTTAGCTGCTGCTGCCGCACCGCCACACAATTTCTGTTCTCATCCTGAAGCAAAGTTCTTAACCTGAGGTACTATTTCTGGGTTAGCGGAGTCTGTAATCTGAAGCGTATGTAACTAACCTGAAGCGTATGTAACCCGGGGCACCACTGTAGTCCTCAAGGTCCTCAAGTTTGCAAGTCCATAACTTGCAACTGTAGGTGCTAAAAGTTTAGGAGCCTGGATGGTGGCTGAATAAGATTCTCAGTTGTGGCTTTTGGTACTCTGCACAACTCTTGCCCCTCCCTATGGCTAGAAAAACTAGGGTTATGCAAATGTGCTTTCACTTCCTAATTTGAATTTTCATATTGTTTGGCAGCTCTGTTCATTAACATGAGCCAGAAGGAAAGGCATAGAATTCAACACCATGATCACAAACTCTGTATTGAAATGCACCATTTCCAAAAGTCTTGATTGACATTAGTAAGGTTGTTGCCAGCGGCACAATTTTGTTGAACAGTCTGTTTAGCATTTTCAATACATCCTTTTAAAATGCTAACTTAATTCCGTGTAGTGGTATTTTTTTTTGTATTAGCTGTCAACGTCTGATAATTCCCAATTGGTTGGTGCACCACAACCCACCCTGTGCCAAACCACTAGCAAAACGCTCAAGATCTGCATCTTCTCTCGTTGCAGTATTTTGTCTAACATCCAAGACGTCCACCAAAATATGGGATACTGCCCTCAGTTTGATGCCATAAACGAGCTGCTAACGGGGAGAGAACACCTGGAATTATTTGCACTCTTAAGAGGCGTCCCTGAGAAAGAAGTCTGCAAGGTAAAAAGCATCAAGGTGGCAGGAGATGGACCACCAGTGCTAATTACTGCACCAAACTCCATAGGGTTGGTGATGAAGGGGAGGGAGCAAAGGGGGCATTTATCTCTGTTTGCTTTAAAGCATTCAGGTAGGTAGCCATGTTGGTCTGATGCAGTCGAAATAAATAAAAAATTGTCCAGTAGCACCTTGTTATTGTTGTTGTTTAGTCGTTTAGTCGTGTCCGACTCTTCGTGACCCTATGGACCAGAGCACGCCAGGCACTCCTGTCTTCCACTGCCTCCCGCAGTTTGGTCAAACTCATGTTTGTAGCTTCGAGAACATTGTCCAACCATCTCGTCCTCTGTCATCCCCTTCTTCTTGTGCCCTCAATCTTTCCCAACATCAGGGTCTTTTCCAGGGAGTCTTCTCTTCTCATGAGGTGGCCAAAGTATTGGAGCCTCAGCTTCACGATCTGTCCTTCCAGTGAGCACTCAGGGCTGATTTCCTTAAGAATGGATACGTTTGATCTCCTTGCAGTCCATGGGACTCTCAAGAGTCTCCTCCAGCACCATAATTCAAAAGCATCACTTCTTCGGCGATCAATTCTTCGGCACCTTAGAGTAGCACCTTAGAACACCTTAGAGACCAACTAAGTTTGTTCTGGGTATAAGCTTTCGTGTCTGCATGCACATGAAAGCTTATACCCAGAACAAACTTAGTTGGTCTCTTACTTTATTTAAAGTAAATAATTTTTTTATTTACTTTAAAACATTTCTATCTTGCTTCACCAGAAGCATGTGGTGGCTTGCAACAATGATCTAAAGCAGTAAGTAAATGCACACACAATAGGAATGTTTGCAAAACAACAATGCGGCAGCAAAGCCCAATAGGCATAACATTCTGGCTGTGCCATCAGCTCCCTTTGACTGGATATAGACAGTCACGTTTTTCAGAGGATCAAAGGCAGCTTGAGAAAGAGGCCCCCCACTTATTATGATGTACAGCAAGCCACTTACGCAACACTGGGCGTTTTTTGAATTGTTTCCAACTGAACAGAGGCAGAAGAGGGTAAAAAGGAAGGTGCAAATACACCGTGGGAAGTGAACTGAGCCACTTTCAACTTTCTTTAGAAACAAAACTATCGCCAAGTCTCCAGCCTTAAAGAACCTGGAGGTGCTTCAGCCTCGTTTGCTGTGCTGAATGGCCTGGAATATATAACAGACTGATAACACTAAGTAGGACTCTGGAGTCACAAACAGCAGCTTTTTAAAGCTGCACAGAGCCTGGAGGTTGTTCTTCTCTGTTCATGTTGCCCTCCTATCTGGCAGGTTGGTGAATGGGCTGTTCGCAAACTGGGCCTCGTGAAGTATGCAGAAAGATGCGCCGGCACCTACAGCGGTGGGAACAAGCGCAAGCTGTCAACTGCCATGGCCCTAATCGGAGGGCCTCCTGTGGTGTTCCTGGTGAGTTCGGGTGTTGCTCACATTAGCAATGCGTATTCTGCAAAAAGGCCATTCTAGTACTAGTTCTTTTTTTCCCCTTTTTCAATATCATTTTATAAATTTTCCAAAATAAATAAATAACAACAATGCATTAAAATATCAACTGTGTATAAAAAAGAGGGGGGAGCAAGTATCATGAACAATTTTTAAAACCATTATTTCAGTTGAGTTCCCTCCACTCCCCTTCTTGGTTTCATTGTTTAGTACTTATTTAGTACTTATTCATGCCCGTCCATGAATATATTCTTAACAATCCAATTTTAAAACCTTTTCATCTTATTACAAGTGAGTTTTAAAAGTTATACCAATGTAGGAATCTATACACAAAAGCTTAAAAAATAAATAAATACATGCATTAAATAATTGTCCCTGTTTGGGGTTTCAAATTATTTAATATGTCTGCTTTATTTTGCCAATCTTCTTTATCTTCTTTGGTGATCTATAGGGATGGGATGGGTCTTGGCCTGGGATCCACTCTCAGATATAGGAACCAAGTTCTTCTCTCAATAAGTCCATCAAATCCTGTACATCTCAGTATCATAACTTCAGGTTTTTTTTAACAAGAATCATTTTCCACATTCTCTTCAAATTTTTATATGTCTTTTCCCAGGCCTCTAGTACCAGTTCTTAAATACAGTGGTACCTCGGGTTACATACGCTTCAGGTTACATACACTTCAGGTTACAGACTCCACTAACCCAGAGATAATACCTCGGGTTAAGAACTTTGCTTCAGGATGAGAACAGAAATCGTGCTCTGGCGGCGCGGCAGCAGCAGCAGCAGCAGCAGCAGGAGGCCCCATTAGCTAAAGTCGTGCTTCAGGTTAAGAACAGTTTCAGGTTAAGAATGGACCTCCGGAACGAATTAAGTACTTAACCCGAGGTACCACTGTAGTAGTTATTATAATGTCCAGCTGCCACGGGAAACAGCTCAGGGTCAAGGAGGCACTAATGCAGCTGGTCTTTTAGCAAAACTGATGGAATGAGCCCTGCTTCATGATGGTTGAGGAAGGGAAGGCGTGATGGAGCTTATTATCATGAAATGATGCTCTGAGGAGCAAGATCAGTGCTGATTTATTGTTTCTCAATTGCAGGATGAGCCGACCACAGGAATGGACCCCAAGGCCCGCCGTTTCCTTTGGAACTGCGCCTTGAGTGTCATCAAGGAGGGAAGGTCTGTGGTCCTTACATCTCACAGGTAAGCGGCGTTGGGGGGCTCCTAGATGCTATTTGCATCACACAGCATAGTGATGTGTTTCAGTCACTGTTTCGTTTTCAGTTGCAAGTGGATTGTGACCAAAAAAAGGAGCTGTCATCATCTAGCTAAAGAAGCTGTTTAAAACGCCATTTGAGTCCACTGGGAACATAGAATGGATGCTAAAATCCCTTTCATCGAAATGAATGAGACATGTTTAATTTTGGCTGGATTTAGTGTAAATTATACAAAAACTCCAGACAGACACACAATGTGAAACAGAACACAGCAGGATATCCTAACAGTACTGAATATTCTTTTTTTCATATTCTTTTTTTAAATTGATTTTTAAATTCAAGTTACAAAGCATAGCCGTACAAGGAAAAAAGAGAGCTTAGTAGTTGTACAGAAAATGAAGAAAAATAGCAGCTGATGGTAGCAGTTTCAGATGTTATAATCATAATTATTATTTTTATTCTTAAGTATCAAGGTCTTGTCACTTAGTGGTAGAGCGCATGTCTGTCCTGAGATATTTCTGTCTCAGCTAGGAGGGTGCCAAAGACCTGAAACTAGACCTGGCGCTGCTACCAGCCAGACTTGGCAATACAGTGGTACCTCGGGTTACATACGCTTCAGGTTACAGATGCTTCAGGTTACAGACTCCACTAACCCAGAAATATTACCTCGGGTTAAGAACTTTGCTTCAGGATGAGAACAGAAATCGCGCGGTGGCAGCACAACAGCAGCAGTGGGAGGCCCCATTAACTAAAGTGGTGCTTCAGGTTAAGAACAGTTTCAGGTTAAGAACAGACCTCCGGAACGAATTAAGTACTTAACCCGAGGTACCACTGTATTGAGCTAGCTAGAAGGACAATTGTTCTCTCTTTTTAAAAGAACACAGCTTCTAGTGTTGAAGATTCTAAAGCCTGCATATCCAGGTCTTCCTTTTGTTTGCGGCTATAAAACTGTACCGTGCAAAAGTGATTTCGCAAACTTGCCGGAACCTTTATTTGCGCAATTTAACTCACTTGTTCTCTTACCCACAGCATGGAAGAATGTGAGGCCCTGTGCACTCGAATGGCGATCATGGTCAATGGGCGGTTCAGGTGCCTTGGCAGTGTCCAGCACCTGAAGAACAGGTAAGCCACTGCTTTATGCTTGTTGCCTTTGCACAGGTGGATGCACCAAGATAGCTCATGAGAGAATCCCCAGAATCTGCTTCAGAATAGATTGCATGCAGCCAACAAATAGGTGTAATTGTACTTATTTTCAAGTCTGTTCTGGATCATCTGATAAATTAATTGATTACATTTATTTGCATTTGTATAATATCAAAACAACACCTTTTTTTAGTACCTTTTTGAAAATAATGATGCTTTAGGTACCTTACAACTTAATAAACAAAAGCAGTTAGGAGAAAAGGCCATCATTAATGTGTGTTCCCCCCCGCCCCCCAATCTCACACCAGAACAAAATAGCCTCAAAAAATAACCTGGTTGTCCTTACCTCGCTGTCCTGCAATTTTAAAATTAGCCCCGGTTGATTAATAATCAATTTAAACTTGGGGAGGCATGCTATGCCCACTTTGAACTTCCCTTGAACTCAAGCGGTTTGCTTCTCAGTACAGTGGTACCTCGGTTTAAGAACAGCCCTGTTTACAAACTGTTCGGTTTACAACTCCGCAAAACCGGAAGTAGTGTCCCGGTTTGCAAACTTTACCTTGGTCTACGAACGGAAGCCGAACAGTGGAAGGGCACCGGCGGTGGGAGGCCTCATTCGGGAAAGCACGCCTTGATTTATGAATGGCTTCCTTTTAAGAACGGACTTCCGGAACAGATTAAGTTCGTAAACTGCGGTACCACTGTAGATATGTTGTACAGTCATACGTCGGGTTGAATGTGCTTCGGGATGAGCGCATTTGAGTTGCGCTCCGCGGCAACCCAGAAGTAACAGAGCGTGTTACTTCTGGGTTTCACCGCTTGCGCATGCACAGACGCTCAAAATGACATCACACACATGCGCAGAAGCGGCAAAAAGCGACGCGCGCGTGCGCAGACATACTGTCGCTAGTTACATTTGCTTCTAGATGCGAATGGGGCTCCAGAATGGATCCTGTTCACATCTAGAGGTACCACTGTATACAATTGCACTGTTGGTTGATTAGCCTAAAAGTTAAATCAGTTGAAGCTCTCCTGCATTCTACTTGTGTTCATTCTACTTCTGTTAAGATCTTTACCAAACACCTACTGTGTTTTTAAGCTACAGGAATAAAAAACGCTCCATTTTTCGAAGGCTACTCTGTTGAAAGTCCCACACTTTCCTCCGTTTGTTTTTTCCAGGTTTGGAGATGGCTACACAATCATAGTGCGAATAGCAGGGGCAAACCCTGACCTGAAGCCTGTTCAAGACTTCTTTGAGCTCGCCTTCCCGGGCAGTGTGCTGAAGGAGAAGCATTGCAACATGCTGCAGTACCAGCTGCCCTCCTCTCAGTCTTCTCTGGCTCGGATATTTAGCATCCTCTCCCAGAACAAAAAGAGACTCCACATAGAAGACTACTCCGTTTCACAGACCACACTTGACCAAGTAAGTTTACAGTGCCTCTCATATCTTAAGAGCAGAGCTCACACTGAGTGGAAACCCAGAGGCTCTTCAGTGACTTTTTGTAGGATTTTTGAGTCCAGGAGAGTTCAGAGGGCCAGACAGGTAGGTCCAGAGAGTCACATTTGGCCCTCAGGCATCTGCCCTGGTGTATCGTCATGGAGATGCCACAAAAAAAAGGGGCTCTTCTCCTTCTTGGACTATTTCAGCCCTGGTCATTGTATGCAAAGTTATCTAGCCCATTCACCATCATGTTGCAAAGCACCACGTCGCTCCTCCATAATCTTTGGCACAGCTCAAACCACAGCTGGCAGATGGAAGACAGTGTAACCCCTTTCACAGGGCCTAGCTGTGGAGGAACTCTGGGGAATTATTGTTCCATGAGAAGCATGGAGTGAAGTTCCATACGCTTGTGGCTCACTTGATGACCTACTTGCATGTGTGGACCAGTTCATGTCCCCTTAGAGCAGAGCTTTCCAAACTGCGTGTCACGACACATTAGTGTGTCGGCTGCAGTGTGTAGGTGTGTCAGAACAATATGTGTCCATATCTCTTACAAGGGGTTAGTTGAACCTCCGGTTTGCTAGTAAAACTGAATTACTGTGCCGCAAAATGACGCATGTCTGAAAAGTGTGTCACCAACGTGAAAAGTCTGGAAAGCTCTGCCTTAGAGTATCTTTTGCCAGAACCTGAAGACCGGCCTTTTTTCTGTATGCATTTAAATGTGTACTTTTCTGTTTGTTTTAAATTTCTGCTTGTTTTAATGTTTAACAGCTGTTCCGATAATTTTGCATGTGTCTATGTTGGGGACTGGGGAAGAGGATTGGTAGAGACCACCTTCCCATCCTGGCCCTTCTAGGGAAGGAGGAAGCGGAAGACAGTATAGATTTGCAACAGGGGTCTGCAGGAGGTCACAGCTCAGAGGCAGATGAGCGGGAAAGTTGGGAAGTCAAGGGAGAGCCAGAACAACAACACCCAGCTGACACGTTCTCATTAGAAAGCATTCCAGACCCTCCATCTCCCAGAACCCGGCGAGCCTTAGAAGTAGGAGAGCAAAGAGCTTAAAGACAGAGGGCACGTAGCGGCACCCATAATAATAATAAAAATAAAAAAGTTTTATTTATATCCCGCCCTCCCCAGCCGAAGCTGGACTCAGAGCGGCTAACAACAGTAAAAGTAACACAGTTTACATAAAATCACAATCAATTAAGATGGTGATGTAGAGATGATGATGATGATGAATGAGGAAGTGGGAGGGATGGGGGGGTGCAGATTCCAATGCCATTATCAAAGAGGCTGATTTCTATAGCCTCTCTCTGTAAACACTGAAATAAAAAAGGACGGTAAGAAAACTTTCCTTGTCTTTATACTTTCCTGGACAACCAGCCGGGAGCCGCTGACAGCATCCTGATAGTATATTATGATGGTGTGCTTTGTTTTATGTGTGTTGCAACCTGATCTGGGTTCGAAAGTAGAACAGGACCCATAGAAATTAATGGGCATGACTAACTTTAGTGGGCAAAGCTTAGAGGGATATATCCCAATAATAATAAAAATGTCAACAACTCATCCTAGTCTTCCTCCCCTTTCCATCTCTCAGGTATTTGTAAACTTCGCCAAGGACCAAAGCGATGACGACCACACAAAGGACTTGTCGTTGCACAAAAACCAGACTGTTGTAGATGTCTCACTTCTGACTTCCTTTTTGAAAGATGAAAAGGTGAAAGAAAGCTATGTATGAGCAGCCCTGTTGCGAAGGGTGCAGCAGCCGTTCTGAGCAGAGGTGAAGGCAGACATCCTTTCTGTGCCATAGTGGGGAGATCGTCCCACGAGCAAAGAGACAAGAGGATACAGAGAGGAAGGAAATAAAACTGAACGTGTGTTTTTTTTACTAGTAACCATTTGATGCAATGCAACTCAATGCAAAGAAATCAATATTCCATTACGGAGGCAGTGCCTCTTGGAGATGTTGCCTTGTTGTACTGTTCTCTAGTGAAAGACTTGAATCTAGTTGTTCTTTCGTTATAATAACTCTGTGAAATTCTGGTATGGTGCCACTTTCTGCTATGTGGTCTTCTGCCATACTCCTGCTTGTTTCTTCTTAGTACGTTTCCCGGTCAGGGGTGGCGCAACAACTGCTCAGAGGATTCTTGGCCAGTAATTATTTATTTGCCATTTTAAGGCATGCATTGCCCTTCCAGAGGGCGGGTGGAATTGCTGTGGCGCAACATCCATTGCTGGCAATGAGTGTACCGGCGAAACCAGTGCCAATTCTTCACCATGTAATGCATTGTTGTGGCCTTATTTAAGTATTAGCGGTTGGGCCCCGTTAACTACACAAGTTTAGGGGGATGAGGAGGAAGATCACCGTTGGCCTTACCAGCGGGCCGTGAAGCACACCATCTCAAAACACGCATAACAACAACAACAATTCACTTAGTTTCTTATTAGGGTGCGGCAGAATTAACAATCAACCATGGAAACATTTGAGAGGATTTCTGTCCCAATGGTATGGTGACCAATTGCTCGTTCTTCCACTCTGCTTTCGTGAAGCCGTTGCTGTTTTCAGCTTTTGTTAAGAATCAAGTTTGAGATGTCTGTTTTCATTGCAACAGTATTATTTAAATGTGACCTGGCACCTTCTGGGGATACATGGAGATGCTGTCACGCCTCCCTTGTCCCAAAGTATCAAATCACTTTCAGTCTTGGGTCGATATTACGGCAAGTGTCTAGAACCTAGATTCATTTGTACAAACAGTCACATTTCTTTTTCTAGTCTAGCAATCCTTTCCCCAGTTTCGGTAATCATACAATGTACTGTGATAGGTTTTCCCACGTTAGAAGTCAAGCCATGTTTCTCTGACGCATGGTGGACATTGCTACCACTTTTGCAGTCCTGTCATCTATCCCATCCCAGTTTAGGCATGGCAATCCCAGGCAAAAAGTTTACTAGACTGAATCAACTGAAAAATATGATGTTGGATCTTTTAAAGGTGATTTGCAAAATAGTTGCTCATTTGGGAAGCAATCAGAATGTTTTGTTTTAGGGGGAAAAAAGGTCAATCGAGTAGGTACTTTTATGCAAGGCTAGGCTTAGTGGGGAAATGGCTGTGGGCGATTCTTTGTAACACTGGACTGTCTTTCTTTTAAACAAAAACTGGAGTTTACCAAACATCGTCATGCCTGCAACATGACCATGTCCTTATTCCAATATGACAGTGCAAGGTAGAAAAGGCTAGTTACAGCAAAGGTCTTTGAAAGCAAACGGGACAGGCGTCTGGATCCTACACGTTTATACAGAAACTGTCCTGAGTGCCCATACAACTAGCTTTTGCTAGAGTATGCCCAAACGCCTCTCCGTCATCCTTTAACATCCCTTTCCATCCCAGCCACTAGTCACAAAATGCCTACAGCTCACGCAACTCAATGCTGGGTGCTTCTCTTTTCCCTGCAGAGGATACTATGAATAGTTAGTACTCAGCCGCTGTTTGGCAATGCTAACGCACAAGAGTGCTTAACTGATTGTACACAATGGTCAGCCTCTCTGGGCATAATATAAACTTAAAGTGCCCTTTTAATGTATTATTTAGAATAATACTTGCAATTTTGCCCAAGAAAGACACAGTCCAAACAAGAAGTTAAGCTCTTCTACGTGTCTACTCAGAAGTCTTGTTTCATTTGAGTTCAGTGACAATTGCTCCCATGCAAATGGTATAGGGTTGCAGCAAGAGTTTGAAATGAGAGACACGTAGAGAAGACTGCACTGTAAATCTCAACTGCTTGCAAGAACATGTGCTTAACTCTTTTCATGAGAAACGAGTTCTTAGCAGTGCTTCCTGGCAGGAGTGGAGATCCAGACTAGCTTTGACCTCATATTGAACACTTAGCACTGTGTATAATATGGTACAGTTGCCTCAAAATCAGTCATGTTACGCAAGCTTTTTGTGTGGTTCTCCTCCGTGCTAAACATATTGTGATACAAAACCACTGATCATGGAACTGTGTTAAGAACACCTACCACTTCATTATGTGTGTGGCGAAGTTGTTGCATCCCTCTGCAGTATTCGTACCACTGTAGAGGCTCTTTCCTATCGACACTTTTTTTCCTTGTAGAAGTAATATGGTAAGCATCTATTACCATGCCTTTCCTCCCAACCCAGTTTCAAACTCCTCTCCCTTTAATACGATTGGTCCTTCATTCCAAGCACTTTATGCTAGCTGTAATGGGATCTATTTTTGCACTGGAATACCCCGTTAACTTTGCAAAAAATCTAGAGCATTTTTCCTCACACACAAATTAAGTTAATCTTTTCAATGGACATTTTCATGAAAAACGAATATATATTTGTATTGCTAATAACTATTTGTGAAGTATTAATAGGCATTTGTTAATTGCCTTGTATCGAGCATAAAAAATAAAGTGTTGCTGGTCTACAATTGTGCATTTACTATTAAGACTACTGCACGAATCTGTTGCCAAGTTAGAAATCATTTCCAAGTTTACTGGTAAAAAGTGATGTTCAAAAAATCTGCCACCCCATTGCCATTTGAAGTGGCAACAGTCCAAAAATTCATTTAAGCATCATTAAGTAGCTCAGCACCTAAAGACGATGGATCTCAGCCGCTGCATTCTCCCTTGTGAAGTCTGTAAATGAACTCTTCCTGCATCTGCAAAAAAAAACCCCCACCCTTGGGTTTTTAAAATAACTTTACCACCCTGACTTAACTGAAGATAGCCACTTCAGTAAGGATGCTATGTCTAAAGCTATGTCTAAAATCTGAAGCACCAGAAGCAATTAAAACAGAAGCAAGACGACAGTAGTATGTATAAACGTCCCCAAAAAAGTCATTTTTAATGTTCACATTTCCACATTCACATCCCAGGTTTTGAGATGATTGTTCCAGGTGTGCAAGCATATGCAAGGGAGATGAATGAACAGCGGCACTTCCAGAAATAACAAGTTAATTCATAGTTTCAGCATTTTAGCAAGCCAGCGAGAGCTCCATGCTCATGAAATGAATGAGGTGAACTTTTCCATGTATTGTAAAGGTAATAAAAGCCAGCCTGGACCCTAAACAGAAACTGACAGATGAGTTCCCATGTTGCATTTAAAAACGTGTGTGTTTTGTGTGTGTGTGTGTAGGGGAGAAAGTCATCTTCATGGTTTCTTACTCACTCAACCACTATGTAAACTGCACTGCAAGGGTTCCTCTGACCCAGATTTAGTCCCAACTGCAGCCAGGCAGTTAATGAGAAATCTAAAAACTACATTGCTTAGGCCAGCATTGGAAATTTATATCATCATAGGCAAATAGATCTCACCGCTGGGCTTATGCAGCTTTTGAGCTTTAGAACAGCCGAGGTGGAAACTGTAGGGCTTGTGGAACTGAAAAAAAGAAAGAATTCACTACTCGTGATGTTTGCTATTCTTCCCGTTTTGCTCTGTGTGCATAGTTTGAAAGCCTGCAAATAGGGTTTGACTAAAAGAAGCATGCAGACTGTGGGGAAACTTTTACATCACTGTCTCGTTGTCACAACTCGTAGCTATGCTAGCAGCACAGCCCTCATGCAACGAAGTTATGAGAACCAATTTTTATATATAGTTTAGTAAGCTCTGAATTCTCGTTTAGTGGGTGGGTTGTGCCCTCTGCCATCATGCATTGCAATTCCAACAAGGCGAGAGGTGTGTTGCTGCAAGCAGAAAGAAAAGATGGGAGACTGGGTTTGCACCAAGCCTTGTAAACAAGCAGCAATAAGGCTGCATTAGGACAGCACTTAAAAGTCTGTGGTTTGTTTTTGTTTTTAAGAAAACCGCCATTAGTAGGTATAGAAAACTATTTCAGGGGTGAAAATGCTGTAGGTACCAGGAGACAGTTCTGCTGCGATTCCAGGAACTGAACACTTTCCCGAACTGAAAATAAATTAAACAGATAGTTAAAAAGAGAAGGAGGGAGGGAGGGAGGACTTAAGCAATACTGGGGTTTTGATTTAAATGATGGTAAAAGAAAAAAGAAAGAGAAACCTTTCATTTACCTGCTGCTACTACTCTTGGATCCTCATGGGCAGAGTGTCTTCCAGCAGCGCGACTGTCTGAGTTTTCATTCCACCAAAGCACATGAACTAGGAAGAAAAAGCTACAGCTAAATTATGTTGTGAATTAAATACCTGCCTATCTCTTTCTGTTTTGCTGGGAAAGCCTGTGCTCCAGATAAGGAAAGCATCATTCACAAAAGTGTTTTGCTGAAAGGGATTCTTTCAGAAAGCCGTGCTTAGGCAGTACAGTTAGTGTGGTGCAGTGGTTAGAGCATTGGACTAGGACCTGGGAGACCAGGGTTCAAATGCCCACTTGGCCACTGGGTGACCTTGGGCCAGCCATGGATTTATTATCATGGAATTGTAAAGTTGGAAAGGACCACAGAGGTCGTCTAGCCCAACCCCCAGCAATGCACGAATTTTTCGCCCAACATGGGATTCGAACCCACAACCCTGAGATTAAAAGTCTCACTGCCTCTCAGCCTAACCTACCTCACAGGGTTGTTGTGTAGGGGATTAATTGAGGAGGAGGAGGAGAACCACATACACCACCTTGAGCTGCTTAGAGAAGTGGGACAGAAATGCAATAAACAAACAAACATTAGTAAAATGTTCTGGACTTCACTATTAGTTACAGAGATGTACTTCCAAAGAATGGAATGAAGAGCTAAAATCTGTTGCCGTTCAAATAAAGGAGATAATTTTGCAGCCCCTGTCCAGGTTTCTAGTCCCTATGGGATTCAAGGATGGGGAAGAGCTACATCAGTTCCAACTCAAAAGGAAAACTGCTTGATTATTATATTTTGCCAGAAGACCAGCAGGTGACACAGCCCAAGTTTGTACTGAAAATGGACAAGTATCGTACCTCTGTTAAGTAGTCCGTATTCTGTGTGGAAGACACCAATCAGTTTAGTGTATCCTGTATTTATGTGAATACTAATTGCTGCTTTAAAGGATTGGCCCCACACGGCTGGTCCCCCCGGCTTCATCTGGAAGGTAACCAACTCATAGACTCCTAGACAGGAAAGAAAGCAAAGCATCATGAACAAATGGATTAATAAGTATTAGGTCTCCAAAAGAACCTAGCCAGGGTTATGCAACTGAACAAAACCAGAAAGCACAGATTCCAGAATACCTCAGTCTTCAACTCTTTAAAAAATAATGATAATAATTCTAGTCCTTTGTGGCTGAGCAGGTACAATTTCGTGATTGGCGGGAATTCTGACAAGATCTTCAAAAGGAGGAAAAAACGCTTAGCAGGATTTCAGCATTAATGGGTTGGGGATTCAGTGCCCTGCATAACATCTTGCTGTGCCCCTTAATTAGCAAAATAGAACGAAATGTGCAGAATAAAAATATACAGGCTAAAAAGCTGCAATCCTATAGCTTCTGCGAGGGTGTTCCAAGGGTGTCTGTTGGCTTTCTCTTTCCAAGAGCAGAGAGGAAGAGGTGCTCCTCAAGGCCGCGGGAAGGTTTGCAGCCAGCTTCTCTGTGTTGCTGGTCAAAGAGATGTGGCAAGGGTGTGTCAGGAGAGACACTGAATTTATAGCTCTCCCATTCCTTCAACATACTCCCAGAACAGAAGACATGCCATCTCTGGAGCAGTGAAACAGTGTGAGCCCAGCGGGACATGAGAAAAGTCAATTTCCCCCCTCCCCCACTGGACTGCTCTGTAATTGGCTGAATCTGTACCAGCAGCACAATGAATCCTATCTTTGTATTGGGGGCTGACATTTCTGAGGCGCACAAATATCTACCATTAACAAGCTTCTAAGGAACCCCAGCCTTGCTTGTGCAGGTTCTTTGCTGTTTGTTTTTTTTTCCTAATGTCTCAACAAATGAAACTGATTTGTAAAACTGTTACATGGGGGGAAAATACGAGAGAGAAAGACATTGCAAACACTTTTGTAAATCAAGAAAATCTCTAATAAAAGAAAAACCAGGAGGTGAGAAGAACAAGGAGTAAACAAAACACAAAAAGTACAAAATTAGGCTTAAAGTTCATTTGAAGTTTGGGACCAATATGGATTAAAAGCTTCCTCATCCTAGAATCTAAGGAACCCCAGCCTTTTAAAAGCCTATTTCTAGTTCTTATGGCTGCAGAGTCAGAACACAGACTGAAAACCCATTGCGTGACAGAGTTTACTTCGGGAGGGGGGGAAAGAGTCTACATAATCAAAGATGCCAACATATCTACAAGTCCCCACTAAATGAAACAATTTAATAGTAGTGAGTTAACAGCTTTACGCTGTGCTCCACACACAGGAAAGAAAGCTTACCATCCTTGGGAGGGGTGCCAAGTTCACACCAGGGCACCAGGTACGCAATTTCGTTGTCTTGTTTGTCTAACAAGGGCAGCATTCGAGACATGTATTTTTCTTGCCATTCTTGGTCCTTGGCCAATGCTGTCCGGACAGCAGATCTCTGAGCAAAGCTCTCTACAAGCCAAAGAGAGGGATGTCAAAGAAAGGGATGCGCGAGGCTGGGCTCGAAGGGCACACGGTTGCCGTGTCCCCACACCGCCCTCCCTGTGCGGCCTTACAGAGTTTGGATCTGGGGAGGGTGGCGCGAGGAGGGCGCAACAGCCATGTGCCCCTCGATCCCAGCCTCGCCAGAATTGCTCGTGACTTTGAAATAGTTAAGTTGGTCCAAAATAAAATGCACTCAGTTGGAATGAACTAGGGGGGTCAGCAACTGGCGGCGCTTCAACAAAACCTACCCTCCCTGCGTGAGGCTCCTTGGCCCACTTCCCAGTTGCCAACTTCGGCATGGTTGTTAAACAACACTGATGACATAGGAACTCCTAAAGAGCAGCTTCTTCCCATGTTGCTCAAGTAACCTGAGTAGATTCACACCCCACAGGAGGTCCAGAGCAACAGTCTTAGCTGCTCGGTTACAACCCCAAGGCGCTATGTAGAGAAGCTTTGCATACCATATTTCCAAATATGGAAAGCTTTATTCAGTCCTCCAAATTCTGAGGTCCAGTATCCAACCATCTGGGAATGAGCTGTGCGAAGGTGAATGTTTTTGCTAGTCAGTTCCAGGAAGTCTTTCATCTTGTCTGGCTTAACAGTATAGGTACGAAATTCGTAGAATGTGCCATCATCTTGCCTGGGCCCTGTGGAAAAAGGCGATGAGACCTGAAAAGAAAATAATTTAGGGGGGGAATACATAAGAACGCAGTCCGCAAGTTACTTAGTTTGCACATGCAATGTGAACTTAAAAGGTCAGAGAGAAAGAGAACTGCTATTACTGATGGCAATAGCAGACAAGACCACAAACTCATTCTGGTTGAACTTCACTCAGCTAAAATTTTAATTAGCTGTCAATGAATAAAAAATACAGCCGTACCTTGGTTTTTGAACAGCTTAGTTCTCGAATGTTTTGGCTCCTGAACACCGCAAACCCGGAACTGACTGTTCCAGTTTACGAATTATTTTTGGAAACCGAACGTCAGACAGGGCTTCTGCAGCTTCCAACAGGGCTTCCGTGGCTTCCGATTGACTGCAGGAGCTTCTTGCAGCCAATCAGAAGCCACGCTTTGATTCCAAATGGTTTGGAAGTCAAGTGGACTTCTGGAACAGATTCCATTCGACTTCCAATGTATGACTGTACTGGAAGTCACTCAAACAACATTTGATCTTCCCACGACTGAAAAAAGCAGCACTACGAAAAAAACTGCAGTCCTACACCCACCCCCCTTTTACTTTTGAGTGGACATGGTTCGGACTGCAGCCTTTATACATTTTTATATATTTTCGAATTCTTCCAAGTTAGAGTTTAAATGCAAAGCAATGACTTCAGTTGAATCTACTTTACTGTGAAGTGTACAGAGGGACAACTGTGTATAAATTAAGAGTCTAGAGTTCCAAGCTGCCCACTCCAGCTGAGCCAAAGCTCAGGGGCAGAGCACATACTTCACATGCCAGTGAAGGTGTCAGGTTTTCTCCCCAGCATCTTCAGGTAGAGCTGGAAGAGAAACCTGTCTGAAGCCCTGGAGTGTCACTGCCAGTCAGTCAATACTGAGCTAGATGAACGGAGGGTCTGATTTGCTGTAAGGCAACTTCCAACGTTCTTGCGAATTTTGGGAAACTTTACGAATCCACAAATGCACTTGCCAGCTTACCACTGGGCTAGCACAGCTTCTACTCCAGCAGGAGCTTGGGATCAAAGAAAAGCCCTCACGCATCTTTTGTGCCTGAAGATGCAGGAGGACCCTTCCTGATGCCAGGCTATCTTCAGAGGGCAAGAGCTTCAGGGACACTTAGATAGTGGCGGGTATATCCTATTTATTTATTACAGTCATACCTCGGGTTACAGATGCTTCAGGTTGCACCCCCCGACTTCCCTCAGTTCCAGTCTTTGGTTTCTCTAAGAATGCTGTTTTCTGCATGTTACACAGTTGTATAGATCCTCAAACTATTTAGCTGATTATTATCAATAAAAAGTTTGTGAATGTTTATCCAAAACCTGCCAAGGAGTCCAGTTCGCTTTGTTGCGTCTTCAGATACTTTGTGAAGGGTTCCCATTCATCCTTAAAGTCACAGGTATCCTTGTCCCATAGTTTATATGTCAGTTTTGCCAGTTCTGCATAGTTCATCAGTTTTTCTTGCCATGATTCGTTAGTTGGGGGCGTTTTTTCGGGTTACGGACGCGCCGAAACCCGGAAGTACCAGAACGGGTTACTTCTGGGATTTGGCGGTCGTGCATGCACAGAAGCGCCGAATCGCAACCCATGCGTGTGCAGACATGGCACTGTGGGTTGCGAATGCTGCGGGTTGCGAAGGTGCCTCCCCCATGGATCACGTTTGCAACCCAAGTGAAGAAGAGAAGAAGAGTTTGGATTTGATATCCCGCCTTTCACTCCCTTTAAGGAGTCTCAAAGCGGCTAACATTCTCCTTTCCCTTCCTCCCCCACAACAAACACTCTGTGAGGTGAGTGGGGCTGAGAGACTTCAAAGAAGTGTGACTGGCCCAAGGTCACCCAGCAGCTGCCTGTGTAGGAGCGGAGACGTGAACCCGGTTCCCCAGATTACGAGACTACCGCTCTTAAACACTACACCACACTGACTCTGTCCACTGTATTACATTTATACCCCATCTTTCCTCCAACGTACTCCAAGAAGGCAGGAAAAATCCCAAGTGCGCTTGTATGCGGGCTTTGACTTCAGCTGACACTTGAACAGCCTCATAATAGATTGAATTAAATCACTTTTGAGTTCTACAGGCCTTACTTCCCAGAGTGCATTCAAGAACTGTACTTTGGTCCTTCCTAATCTCACAGAAGTCAGTGGTACACAAAACACCAGAGAGGACACTACACAGACGTGATCAAATTGGGCTTGTTTCCCAGTGAAATAGAGCACACAAGGTCAGTTTCCTCTCTTCTCAGTTCAAGCTGCCTACCCGGCACTAGCAGTCATTTATTGCAAAGCGCTCAGAACTACCAGCAAGAACCAAAAAGGAAGGTGGGAAATTAATTGCTGCTTCTGTGCTGTTTTTAGACTACCCCAAGTGCCAGCAATACCTCCAGGGAAATAAACGAACATGTTATATTTCAGCTGTACTCTTTTGTAAGGTTTCCAGGGAACAATTTGCTTTGTTGCTCAGCTTTCCCCACCCACCCAAGAGAAGCTGCTGGAAACTGTATCTCTCTAGAGGGCTCTATAGACTTCCCTTGGTTCACAGTGCTACAAATCAGTTAGTTGTACTTTAAATGTAGAAAGAGTTGGAGAATTCAGTGGAATACAGAAGCTGAACCTCCCAACTGCCCTGGATTTATTCTCTCCAGGATATTATCAGACTCACATTGCAAGATTCAAAATTTCGCTTTGCAAACATGTGCCAGGGTCCTGCCGTGGCTGAAGCAGAGTTTTGTTTTCTGCAGTTTTACAAGCTATCGTTTTGTGAAGAAACCACATTTTTTCCACACAAGTTCCAGAGAGTTCCTGCAGTGCAATAGTCATGGTGCTGAACTAGTTAAAGGACTGGATGTAAGCCAGGGAGACCTGAATCTATTTATTTTTCCTCCTCATTCAAATTAGACCTTCACGGGTCATGTGGCCAGCTTCCGGGTCATGTGGCCAGCAAGACTAAGCTGCTTCTGGTGAACCAGAGCAGCACACGGAAACGCCGTTTACCTTCCCGCCGGAGCGGTACCTATTTATCTACTTGCACTTTGACGTACTCTTGTTGGTTTGTAGTAAAAAAGAAAAAAGAAAAAGAAAATCCAACAAGGCCTGAAGCCTGTCCTAGAATAGGCAGACCATCACTTTCCAGAAGCATAGTATACTTCTTTTGAATGCACATCACCATATATGCAGATGGGCTAAAAGCAACACAGTGGTGGATTGCCATTGCTGCTGCTCCCTTGATACCTATTCAAAACCCCAGATCATGAGACGCAGTGCAAGAAAGGCTGGCAGCTACCCCGACCTCTGAAACTGGCACAAGAGGAAGCGCCTCAGCCAAGTTCTTGCCAGGCCCTGAGGTCTTCAAAGCCCAGTCCCAGGCTTGGGATCGGATCACATCCCTCCGCCTTCCTTGGGCTTCTGGACTCTCCTTCCTCGGAGGCTTTTAAGCCGAGGTTGAATGTCCATCTGCCATGGATGGTTTAGCCGAGATTCCTGCATTGCAGGGGCTTGGAGGAGATACCTCGGGATCCTTTCCAACTCGACAATGCTAGGATTCTTCTATGGATTGACATTTGCTCCTTCTCTTCCTGCTTCCACTCGTTTCCCCTCCTGCTTAAGTTTTGCTAGGATTTCTAGCAGGCAGGAAACCAAGAGGAGCAGCTTCTCCCCACCCGCTACCCTGGAGAAGGCGGCGCCAGCTAGGTTTCTGCCTGCAGGGCACGCTCATCTAAACACCAGGGCGCCCTAGGGTGCCTCTCCTCGCCTGGTATCCTGCGCCCCTTGTCCCCCCTCCTTCGGGCTCCTTTTCACCCCCTTTCGGGCTCTCCTTTTACCTTAGCGGTGGCCCTTCGCGCCACTGCGGCGACTCTCCCGAAGAGCGCGCGGGAAGCCAGCATGGTCTCCCCGCGGGAGATGGACGAGGCGGCGGCAACTACAATGCAGCCCAGCCGCCCTTAAATGCACCGAGAGGCGCTTCCTGGGTCGCACGGCGGCCGCTGCCCTCGCCCGGCCCGCCCGCAGAAAGCATTGGACGGCGCGCACCTCGTGGCCGCCGCCCAGAAGACGCGCGGCTACGGCGGCGACCTTTGCGCGCGCGTCCCCCTCGCCATATCTTTCTTTCCGCGAGCCCGCGGGGTGGGGGGCGCGTGCTGGGCGGCTGGCGTGGGGGGGGGGAGAGATCGCCCGACTATTACAATTCAAAAGACGCTGCTGGTGAGGGAGGGAGGAGGGTGGCCAGGGCGACGTGGGCGTCGTATTGCGCAGGGGAAAAGTCCTTTTACGCACAGGGGTTTTCGTTTTTGGCAAGGCGTCTTGCGAACGAGGAGGAGGGAATTAGGCAGGACTCCACGCGGAACTGGCAGGAGGAGGCTTCCCTGAGAGGCCGGGGGCCACGACTGCCTGCTGCCTGGGACCCAAACTTGCTGAAGCTAGGAGGGGAGCAACTGGAGAGAGCTTCTTGGTGCCCTTCTCCGCTGAAGGTGCAAATATGTGTGAGTAAGCCATATTTCTAAGACGCTGCAGGCTGCTTGATTTTCCAAGTGAAACCCAACCCTGGGCGAGTGCCTGGAACCTCCCTGGGATCTTCCGCTTGGCAGAGATTGAATGTGGCATGTAACACATGCTGGCATCTACTGTTGGGAGGGTGCCTTTGTGGGTGAAGTCAAACCATCGGAAGGTTACGGCGCCTGCCGTGGCTGTAGAAACCGATACGGGAGAGATGTGTTTTGTTGCAGCTAGGGCAGATGAAGGAGCCAGCTTGTTATTAGGCATGTGTAACAGTATATAGGACGTGGGTGGTGCTGTGGGTTAAACCACAGAGCCTAGGACTTGCCGATCAGAAGGTCGGCGGTTCGAATCCCTGCAACGGGGTGAGCTCCCATTGTCTGGTCCCTGCTCCTGCCAACCTAGCAGTTCGAAAGCACGTCAAAGTGCAAGTAGATAAATAGGTACCGCTCTGGTGGGAAGGTAAACGACGTTTCCGTGCGCTGCTCTGGTTTGCCAGAAGCGGCTTAGTCATGCTGGCCACTTGACCCGGAAGCTCCCTCGGCCAATAAAGCTGACCCCAGAGTCGGTGACGACTGGACCTAATGATCAGGGGGCCCTTTACCTTTAACAGTACAGTGGTACCTCGGGTTAAGTACTTAATTCGTTCCAGAGGTCCATTCTTAAGCTGAAACTGTTCTTAACCTGAAGCACCACTTTAGCTAATGTGGCCTCCTGCTGCTGCCGCGCTGCCGGAGCCCCATTTCTGTTCTTATCCTGAAGCAAATTTTTTAACCTGAAGCACTATTTCTGGGTTAGCGGAGTGTATAACCTGAAGCGTATGTAACCTGAAGCGTATGTAACCCGAGGTACCACTGTATATAAATGAACCTACCCAGACTCTAAGATCATCTTCCAAGGCCCTTTTTCGTGTGCCTCCCTCCTCAAGAGGTCCACAGGGTGACAAAACGAGAACAGGCCTTCTCTGCAGTGGCTCCCTGTCTGTGGAATGCTCTCCCCAGGGAAGTTCGCCTGGCGCCTTCATTATACAGCTTTAGGCACCAGGGAAAAACATTCCTTTTTTACCAGGCCTTTGGTTGATCTGATTGATATTGATTCCCTTTTAAAATGTTGTTGTTTTTATTTTTATTTTGCCCTGTGAACTGCCCTGAGACCTCCAGGTATAGAGTGGTATATAAATTCAATTAACAACAACGAAAACAAAACGGGTGATGGATCCTGACGTGCACATAATGAAAGCAGCAGCCTTCCACACACAGCAAGTCATCCTGCACTGTATGTATTATTCTGAGTGGCAGTTTTTGGTGGTGCTTCCTTAAGCAACAAGCTCTCTCAGGACCCATCAGTCCCAGACATCCCTCTGCATAGCCAGGATGGGCAGCTGGTGAGAAGAATGAAGCTCCTTAATTGCCAAGGGCATGAATCCCAGGGGTAGCAGGAACTAGTGCTGCTGGTAGGATTTAAAAGTCCAAAATATATGTAAATATCTAATGTCCATGTGCGTACACACACACTTAAGGTATACAAATCAGGCAGTCTGAAATGCTTGCGACCACATTGGTGTATTACAGGCGCCCCCAAACTCGGCCCTCCAGATGTTTTGGGACTACAACTCCCATCATCCCTGAACACTGGTCCTGTTAGCTAGGGGTGATGGGAGTTGTAGTCCCAAAACATCTGGAGGGGCGAGTTTGGGGGTGCCTGGTGTATTAGAATAAAACCATCAAAGCGCTGGCAGATTAATATCTTTATTAGAACTAACCAAAAAGAAAGTAACAAAATAATCAGCGAGCTTTATGGAATTCCTGTTCTGTCTGATTATGTTAAATTAAAAAGGGAAATGGGGAAGTGTTGGGGGACATGGTACAAAAGCCCCACTGTTGTGCATGGTGTGATTTTAGAAACAGAAAAACTAATTTCAAAATCAAAACAGAGTTCCTTTTGTGACTCATGGAAATATACCTATGGGGTGAGACAGCGGTATGCATCAGGAAAGGGGCCCAGGCGACTAAACAGTATTGCACCCCTTGAGATTTAGTCTTCCGTTCTATTTCTGCTTTTGCTTATAATTGCCGTATAGGTGCACCATATCTGATAGTGTCATGTGCCAGAATGACATGTTGAAACGGATTGTAGAGGACACTTTCCCAGAGGTGTGGGTGTATGACTTGGGATAGTTGACAGCTAACCTCTCATTGTGCTATAAAACTTCGGGGTTTTATAAAAGTTTATTGGGCTTAAAAGCTTAAACCTTGGGGAAATAGTTGTCCTCTATAATGCAGGAAAAAACCAGTTACTAAAATAATACACAATTCAGTTGGGGGGTGTTTCAGAAGGACTTCATCCATTTTTTAATTTTACATTGACAACCCTGATCGTCATTTCTTCCCATAACAAATCCCACAAAGTAATCAGATGTAGCCTGAACAATCTATTATAGTTACTGTAAAACATTATTAGGAAATGCATCTCTAATTTTAACACTGTTCATGCTTCATTGTAATCTGGATAGTGGATGTTAATCTGTAATAGCAGTACTAGGAATTATATGTTAAGGCTATGATTAATCCAGTGGGATTCTGGGATGTTTGGGGGTGTAATATTTTATTTTACTTTACTTTTCACGATTTTAAAACGGTATGTGCATAAAACAAAAAGCATCAGCTCAGATTTGTCCTGCATATTTTCACTTATCTATGATAAAAACCTAAGAGCTGATTGTGTGTTAAATGTAACCTAAGATGTTCACAGAATTTGAGAGCCAGTGTGATTAGATATTCAGTCCAGGAACTGAGAGACCAGGGGTTCAAATTCCCGATTGGCCATGAAGTAACCATGAAGTCCGGGTGACCCCGGACTAATCACTATCACTCAGCCTAGCCTACCTCACAGGGCTGATGTGAGGATATAATGGAGAGAAGAAGCATATAAGCCCATTTAAACCCCTTGGAGGATAAATGGGATATAAATGTCATAATAAGTAAATATATAACTATAGTTTGAATCTACATATTTTTAAGACAAGCAAGCTAGTGTGTATTCTTTGCTAGCAAGCAGCGGGAACATCAAGTTTCGCACACGCAATTCAGCATTTTGCAAGACTACACTCAATTTGCATCAAGGCACAAACATTGCAATTGGAGGATAAAAGTGCCGAAATAAAGAAAGGATGTGTTCATCTGTTGCCTTTCATCTGCTAGAGAACTATTTCAAAGGCGAAAATGGTGCAGGAATCAGGAGCATGTTTTGCTGGGATTCCAAGTACTGAACGTTCTCCCGTACTGAAAGTAAATGCAATGTAGGACAAAACCGGGTTAAACTTTCTGAGCAGCGTTAAAGAAATGTTGGCACATATGCCAAGACACACCATCACCTCTTACCTGCTGCTACCACCCTGGCATCTTCGTGGGCAAAATGCCTCCCAGCCGCACGGCTATCAGGATTCTCATACCACCAAAGCACATGAACTGTGAAAACAGGAGCAAAACCAAGGTCAGCTCTGGAAAAAGTTTATCCACGGTTAAGTATAACTGATTCAGTTCAAACAGAAATGAAAAATGTATGTGTACTAATGAAGGTTTAAAATGGAATGTGGCTAAACATGTATTGCTGAAGGGTTGCTAATATTGGGGTTTTTCCAGTATTGTTTTCTAAAGGACTCTGGGCTTTTGCTGAGTGAATCTGATTGTTGCTTTCTGCTAGTTAACATGCGAGTGTTATAACCTTAGATCACGTAATGAAGGTATTGAGTTGCAAATCTCCATTTTGAAGGGAGCTGCCTTTGAGTCTTGGTCTTCCAAACTCTATGGAGTGAAGATGTAGATGAAGCTCTCAGCCTAAGTGTCAGGTGTGCGTGCAGGAGCCAGGCCCTGTGGCCAATAGGACTCTGCAGGACTGGGGCTTTCCTAAGTTTGTTCTGAAGAGGCAAGGCATGGCCACACAAGTGAGGCCGATTGGTAACTCACAGCACCTGGTGGCAAGAGCCGGGAAGGGATTTAAGGTCAGCATTTTCCCTTTAGCTCTTTGCCACAGCAACATATTCCCTGCCTTGCTGTGTTTGACTCCTTGCTTCTTGATCCTTGGACCCCTGACTTCGTGACTCATTGCTTCCTGATCCTCGGACCCTTGGCTTCTTGACTCCTGGCTCTCTGACCCTCGGACTCTTGGCTTTCTGGCTTCTGGACTCCCGTTCCTGCTCCCACCCTGCCATCTTGCCCCTGGTCCCGACGTCCCCAGCTGGGACTTCGATCGCCCGTGAACCAGACCGTGACACTAAGGCCAATGAAGGCTGGAAAGCAGGTTGTGGGGAGAGAGAGAGAGAGAGAGACCTTTGCTTATAGGTCTGTTTGGGTTATTTCATATTTTCTAAGATGCAGAGCCTGTGCTGGATAGCACAAGACATTGTATGAATATTTTTGGATATATCATTTGATGTTTCTGTTTTATTTTGAAGAGTTCTGCTAGTAAAATTTGAACAATGTTTTCATGGGTCTGGACAATGCTTCATTTGCAAAAGGAGTCAGTTTTCATGCACCCAGTTACTTCAAACTGCACAATATTAATATCTGCAACACCTAGATCTAGAGAGGAAGATCCGGGGCGCACAAGTCCCAATGGGCATCTGATTGGCTACTGCGAGAACAGGTTGCTGGACGAGACTTTGACCTGACCCAACAGTACTCTTCTTATGTCTTTATGTAAACTCACTCTGTGCATGTTCAGAAGTACCTTTCATCATTACCTCCTATGCATGGCCAAATATGGGAGGGTGTGGTGATAAATGGAAGTGATTAACAAAGAAGGGGAGAAGTCACAGGATTAAGACGACAGCTTCAAGATATTACTTTCTGCTTCACCACTGCACATAATCCATAGCCCAAAGGAATGTCGGTGCATGTCAGGTCCCTCCACAGATATGAATGGAGACCAGCATGTCTAGCCGAGCATGACCAACAGCCTGGATAGCTCACTGGGATAGAATGTGGTGCTGATAATGCCAAGGTTGCCGGTTTGATCCCCGTATGGGACAGCTGCATATTCCTGCATTGCAGGGGGTTGGACTAGATCAAAGAGGGCCAGATTTGATGAAGTGAGGGCCAACCAAAGTCGTTGACCTTTTTTTAGGATTGAAGTTTTTGAGCTTTTTTTAGGGTTGAAGTTTTTTTTTAAGGATTTTTTAAAAGGATTTTACCCCAGGAAATAAACTGCCACAGGGGCCGGATTACACAGGCAGGTGGGCCGCATTAGGCCCCCGAAACGGACTTTGGACATACCTGGACTAGATGATACTCGGGGTCCCTTCCAACTCTACAGTTCTATGATTCTATGTGTGAAACTACAGATCATAACAACACAGGGAAAAGGTTTTGTACCTGTATTAAGTAATCCATATTCTGTATGGAAGACACCAATCAGTTTGGAATAGTCTTTGCTGATGTGCGCATCAATCGCTGCTTTAAATGACTTTCCCCACAAAGCAGGTCCACCTGGTTTCAGCTGATAAGTAACCAACTCATAAACTCCTAGAGGGGTGGGGTGGGGTGGGGTAGAGGGAGGAGAGAGAAATTATAGTAAAATACAAAATAAAAAGCTGCTCACCCTATGCCGATATCTTCACCAACATTCCTATTTGCTTCACAATTTATTTTCAGCCTACTTTATAGTTCTTTGATGATGACCCAAAATCTTATTTCTGCATTTCGTGAACATCTATGCTTCCCTCTCTTTGAACAGCGTGCTTAGGTTTCTAATTTATTTTTCGTTTTTGAGCAGTTACAACTATGTACCCATCACTGCCAATTCTCCCCTGCAAATCCATATAAGGGTAGTTCTTCTACCCTTATCTGTGGGTAGGTGTATTTTAGAGAAGGGGATTAAAAACCTCTCAAGATCTGAAGTGGGCAAAACAGTTTTATCTCGGGGAAGCTACGGATATGGAAAGATATTCTACCGATATGAACGACGAAATATACTGGGAGACATGCACTGTTTTTTGAATCACTATGAAATATGGATGTTTTGAACCAAAGCTGTAGCTTAGGTCCGTTAATGGGGGGAAGAGATCAGGCTACGAAAAATTCCACTTCTGTTTCTCCTGCTTACCTCCTTGCATGTCTGTTTTATTTTTGACCAAATGATTCTACTACAGTATGAAGCATGTTTCAAATTCAACTGCAAACCATGAAGAGCTTTGGCATGGACATAGGAATTTTGTTGCGGGGGGCGGGCAGGCCTTTTGTTAGGAGGGGCAGAACCTCAGTTAGCTATGTATTTTTATTGATTGGGGGGCAGTGGCCCCCCCTGCCCCCCCAGCTACGCCCATGAGCTTTGGAGTGGCTTCTTCCAGAAATTAGGAATCTGCACAGCACCACATTTGCAGGGCACTTCTCATAGGAATTCCTCTTTCCCTTTGACCCAGTGACCAGAAACGGCCAGAGCAGCCTGTGGTAACTTTAACCAGAGCTCTCTGGTGGCACAAGGACCAGTAATGTTACTTATGCCCTCTCCTCGAAATGCTCCCTGAAATTTGTTCCAATACTAAAGACCAGTACCGTATACTGTTAGTGCAGTAAGACAGCTCACCTGGCTTTGGAGAACTCCCGAGCTCACACCAGGGGACCATGTAAGCAATTTCCATATGCTGCTTGTCTAGGAATTGAAGAAGTACTGACAATCTTTCCTGCCATTCTTTATCAGCGACCACAGCTTTCCTTACAGCTCTCCTGTGAGCAAAGTTGTCTATATAAGAAAGCAAAGAAGTGTTAGAACTCCTTTGGCCAGGTTCAATGGCCAGGCTAATATTATTATTATTATTATTATTATTATTATTATTATTATTATTATTTATTAATACAGTGGTACATCGGGTTAAGCCACAGAGCCTATGACTTGCTGATCAGAAGGTCGGCGGTTCGAATCCCCGCGACAGGGTGAGATCCCGTCACTCCGTCCCTTCTCCTGCCAACCTAGCAGTTCGAAAGCACGTCAAAGTGCAAGTAGATATATAGGTACCGCTCCGGTGGGAAGGTAAACTGCTCTGGTTCCCCAGAAGTGGCTTAGTCATGCTGGCCACATGACCCGGAAGTTGTACGCTGGCTCCCTCGGCCAGTAAAGCGAGATGAGCGCCTCAACCCCAGAGTCGGCCACGACTGGACCTAATGGTCAGGGATCCCTTTACCCTTACCTTTACCTTTACCTCGGGTTAAGAATTTAATTCGTTCTGGAGGTCCATTCTTAACCTGAAACCGTTCTTAACCTGAGGTACCACTTCAGCTAATGGGGCCTCCTGCTGCTGTCGCGCGATTTCTGTTCTCATCCTGATGCAAAGTTCTTAACCTGATGTACTATTTCTGTGTTAGCGGAGTCTGTAACCTGAAGCGTCTGTAACCCGAGGTACCACTGTAATAATAATCTGGTTTGATGGAATTTTGTTCTTGCACAAGGACAGTTTGTTCTTGCACAAGGACCTTTAAGTAGGTGCATAGAGGTAAATACTTATGTGCATACCCAAGAAACCCATCAGGTTTTCAGAATTTATGGTGGGTAGGGAAATATCAATGGAAAGGATGGCACAACACACAGCGCAAATATATCCCGTTGAGCACTGGCTGCCAGCATGGGTGAGAAACATTGAGGATGATTTTGGAGCACAAGACCGAAATTGCTCGTGTGTGAAGCTACACAAACACGCACACAGAAAATATTTGGTTCACCTTTGCATGAATGCTCTAATGTGGGCACAGCCTAGGTGTGCAATATCAAGTTCTGTGATTGACAAGCCATTGGAAGTCTCTGTGCTGACTAGGACTGATACAAAAACTAGGAGTCTGGGCTATTGCTTGGTCAAACACAGCACTGCTTCTGATCGCTGGCTTCAGCCACCTGGACTCCAGAATCCCAGGTCTAAATTTGGATACAGACATTTACAATAATTGCAGCGAATTAACCTGGCAGTGGGACGCGGGTGGCTCTGTGGGTTAAACCACAGAGCCTAGGGCTTGCCGATCAGAAGGTCCGCGGTTCAAATCCCCACGACGGGGTGAGCTCCCGTTGCTCAGTCCCTGCTCCTGCCAACCTAGCAGTTCAAAAGCACGTCAAAGTGCAAGTAGATAAATAGGTACCGCTCTGGCGGGAAGGTAAACGGTGTTTCCGTGTGCTGCTCTGGTTCGCCAGAAGCGGCTTAGTCATGCTGGCCACATGACCCGGAAGCTGTACGCCGGCTCCCTTGGCCAATAAAGCGAGATGAGCACAGCAACCCCAGAGTCAGCCACGACTGGACCTAATGGTCAGGGGCCCCTTTACCTTTACCTTTAACCTGGCAGTAAACCTTCCTGAAATATCTACGATCGCTTGAGAAATATCCTACTCGGGATCTGCATAGAGGTCCCACATGGTTAAAGCGCTACCGCGCAGTACCTACCATATTTCCAAATGTGGAAAGCCTTATTCATTGACCCAAACTCCGCTGTCCAGAATCCAATCATCTCTGAGTGAGCCACGCGAATGTTGATGCTTTTATTGACCAACTCGAGGAATTCCTTTGCCTTTGCTGGTTTGATATCGTAAGTACGGAGTTCATAGAAGGTGCCAACATCTTGCCTGGGTCCTGTGGCAAGAGACGAGCAAACCTGATACACACTTGGCTTAAAAGAGAGACATAAAAGCAAGAATTCCAGTTAGAAAATGAAATGAGGGTTTTGTTTCTAGGTTTGCAACCATGCTAATAATTATTTGGATCAGTAGTATGCTCTATTACAAGGTATAGTTTTAGTATGTGAAGCTGCAAATGCTTCTTTAATTTTTTAATCTACCTAGTGCAACAAACCTAAATTAATAATAATAACAATAATAATTTATTATTTACACCCTGCCCACCTGGCTGGGTTTCCTCAGCCACTCTGGGCAGCTCCCAACAGAATATTAAAAACACCATAAAACACCAAACATTAAAAATTTCCCTAAACAAGTTTGATCTTGTTTGCTCAGTAGCTTTTCATCTTCAATGGCTACATATATAAATTTAAATTCATAGCACATCCTGAAGACAAGTTTGGGAAGAAAAAACAGCAGGGAGAGAAGAATCTCATAAAAACATTTTATCAACTTCCTTGAAATTTCCCACCCTTTCCTGACTTATTCCTAAATTCCAAAGGACAGCACTGGGTCTTACAATATATTTTTTTAAAATGCTCTGTAATATCAACAGAAGGAGAATTCTGTAACTTGGGCAGCGGTGAGGGAGAGGCAGTCATGGGAACATCTGTCTTTAATCCAGTTGCCTTCTGATGCACATATGGTCTCGTGAAAAGGGCATCCTCAAAAAGATTCATTATCTTGGAGATTGTAATAGGATACAAAGAAGCGAGTGCACTGGGAAACCTGTAGATTAGGATCAGTAGCTTGAATCATTTCTGCAAGAGAACAAGGGGCCAGTGTAGACCCTGAAGGGCAGCAATACAGTGGTACCTCATGTTACAGACGCTTCAGGTTACATACACTTCAGGTTACAGACTCCGCTAAGCCAGAAATAGTACCTCAGGTTAAGAACTTTGCTTCAGGATGAGAACAGAAATCGTGCTCCGACGGCGCGGCGGCAGTGGGAGGCCCCATTAGCTAAAGTGGTGCTTCAGGTTAAGAACAGTTTCAGGTTAAGAACAGACCTCCAGAACAAATTAAGTACTTAACCCGAGGTACCACTGTACTGCCAAGGGGAAGAAATTGCCCCTTTGCAGTGCAGAGTTTGCAGGAAATATCTCAACCCAGCAATGCAATGTGCTTTGTGTGCGTTTTTGGTGGGGCCTTTGCCAATGATCACCTCTGGCCTGCAACCTTCCGGTTGGCTAACCTTGACGGCAGTTCTTGAGCTGAAGAAGGTGAATCACCTGTATCTTAAAGGCACAGGGGCCAGTTATAAAGCTGGAGATCCAAACCGAATGACGCAACTCATCTAAGAGAGTCAGCGATGGTTGAGATTCATACTGAAGGAATATTATTCCGTTCCAACGTGCCTCTGCTTTCCTCCTCTCCGGGCAGGCTCCTGCACCGTTAAAGATTCACGTAGCAGACAGAAATCCAACAGGTAACACCTTCCCATCTTGGGAGCGCCACACACCTGTTGGGTGCCTGCCTGTCGTGCAGCTCTTACAGGCAGGGGGACCCTACAAGCGTGTCTGCCTCCCCACGTGGGAACTGGGAACCTTCCTTTCCCCAAATCCCGGGTGTCTGAAACAGGAGCTCGCTGCGTGAAAATGAGCAGGTGACGGTTTTCCCCTACCCTTCCCGGAAAATGTGATACGGTTAAAAATGGTATGGTCTCCATACCCATGGGCGCGTTTAATTGCACAGCTACACGGGGGCGGGAATAAAGCAGTTTAAAAGTTGGCAGCCTCGTTCCCGAGGGACTTGGGAAGTCAGGAGAAGAAATCTGAAGCCTGGCGCCTCTTTCCCGGCTTTACCTGGGCTTTGCACCCCGATAACGCAGCTCTGCGGAGGGAGCCGAGGACGCGCGAGACCATCATGCAGCGCCCGCCGTCAGCTTTGCTGCCAAGGAAGCAAAAGGCTCCTTGCACCGCTTCGCCCCGTCCTTTTGCCTATGGAGGCTGCAGGGAGACAAAAAGACTCGTGGCGCTTTCCAAGAATAGCAGCTGCGGGAAGATCACCAAACCGGGAAGGTAGACTGCAATCGTCCATAAATGTTTGGGGGTTCCACTTTGGTAGTTAGAACGCTTTGCAAACCAGAAGCAATGAACTCAGCTGTTGTATCCAAACAGATGATAATTGCGTGCCTTTTTTTTTTTTTAAATGCCTTATGGTCATTCCGGAAATATTGGGTGAGGGTGATAATAAATGAATAAACCTGTTTGTCGGCTCACAAGGCTCTTCCCCCGCCTTGCGAAGAGGCAGAAAGATTGATCTCATCCGGACTATGTTGACATTTTCGTTTCAAATGAACAGGATCCTGTGGATTCAAATGGCGTGCGTGCACCACATATTGGCATTGATTTTGTGTGGGGGGTGTGTGTCTTACCTGGGTCCCCCAATATTTTATTCAAGAGTTTGCACCCCACTTCTGTGGTGCCAAAAAGGTAGTTTGTCCACCTTTGGTCCCCCAGCCCCCTGCACTCAACAGTGGCTCCTAGATGCTGTCAGCGTGGACCGTGGCCACATCCCAGGAAATGGCTAAACCAGGTGAGGGTAGCAGATGGGTGTCAAATCCTTGGTGAGTTAGGGACATCTCCTGCATGTGAAGACCAGGCTCCGTCAGATTGAGTGGACCAGAGCCATAGTGGGTCCAACGGTCTTCACGTGCTGTAGAGGGAAGTGAGGGGCAGATGGGGCTTGTCCACCTGGGAAGGTAGCCCATTTAGGAGAAGGAAAACTCTGATCCTGAACCTCTGCTGCCTTGCTACCTTTGAAGGGCTACCTTTGAAGGTGACCCAGAAACTACAACTAATCCAGAATGCGGCAATTAGACTGGTGACTGGGAACGGCCGCCGAGACCATATAACACCAGTCTTGAAAGACCTACATTGGCTCCCAGTACATTTCCGAGCACAATTCAAAGTGTTGGTGCTGACCTTTAAAGCCCTAAACGGCCTCGGTCCTGTATACCTGAAGGAGCGTCTCCACCCCCATCGTTCTACCCGGACACTGAGGTCCAGCACTGAGGGCCTTCTGGCGGTTCCCTCGCTGCAAGAAGCCAAGTTACACGGAACCAGGCAGAGGGCGTTCTTGGTAGTGGCGCCCTCCCTGTGGAACACCCTCCCATCAGATGTCAAAGAGAACAACAACTACCAGACTTTTAGAAGACATCTGAAGGCAGCCCTGTTTAGGGAAGCTTTTAATGTTTGATGTAGTATAGTATTTTAATATTTTTTTTGGAAGCCGCCCAGAATGGCTGGGGTATAAATAATAAATTATTATTATTATTATTATTACTTGCAGGACACCTTCGGGAGAAGAAAAGGCTATGGAGGCAATGCAGGAATCTCACCTAGATCTTAGTTGCAAGCAGGGATATTTTTCTAGAAAAAGAGGTGCTGGAGCTCACCATGAACTTCTCCCTTGTTCTCTTCAAATGTCAATGGCGCCCACCTGAGAGGTGCCAGAATGGGGTTCTGGTGAGCTCCAGCTGAAAAAAAGAAGCAGCCCAGGGTGCAAGTATAGCTCAGTTGGTAGAGCATGAGACTCAGGGTTGTGTGTTCGAGCCCCACATTGGGCAAGAGATTCCTGCATTGCAAGGGGGTTGGACTAGATGACCCCAAGGGATCTCTTCCAACTCTACAGTTATGATTTTATACATGGCAGTTGATCATCCAGCCTCTGCTTATAAGTCTCCAAGGAAGGAGGGTCCACCACCTCTCATCTGCTCCGCTGTCCGACAGCTTCTTAGCAAGAGGTTTTTTAGGAATGGGGCAGGCATGTACTTGTTCCTTTGATTTCTTTCTCTCCCTCGCCCATGCTCAGCTTTCTAACTGCAGGCTGACCGTGTATGTGAACGTAATTTGTTTTAACTACTCTATAAAGGTGGCCACGAGGCTTTTTAGAACAGCAGACATAAGCACATTGCTGCAAAATAGCCAATGGGGTGTGCCCATCCAGCCTGCCTCCGAAGGCCATTACAGAAACAGAAACACGCCTTTTCTCCCCGTGTCAGCAAGCATAGATGTGCTGCATTGGGGTGGAAAATCAGCTACAGATTTTGGTCCCTGGGACCATCCAAAATGGCTGCAGGAGTGGGAATATTTGCCACGCATCGGTTTGGGCCAAACATTGCAGACTGTATACATAAGTACAGTGGTACTTCGGGTTACAGACGCTTCAGGTTACAGACGCTTCAGGTTACAGACTCCGCTAACCCAGAAATAGTACCTCGGGTTAAGAACTTTGCTTCAGGATGAGAACAGAAATTGCATGCCAGCAGCGTGGCAGCAGCGGGAGGCCCCATTAGCTAAAGTGGTGCTTCAGGTTAAGAACAGTTTCAGGTTAAGAACGGACCCTTAGAACGAATTAAGTTCTTAACCCGAGGTACCACTGTAATATATCACAGGCTTTAGGGATGTTATGGACTGGGGTGGGTGGTTAGGCTGCATGCCAAGACTCTTCTAATTCCTAGATCCAGCAAGTAAGAATTCAAATTCCTGGACTAGCCAGGGTAGCTTCCTGATGAGGCAATAGCCTAAGCATGGGCTATTAAAGTAACAAAGGAAGTGGCTTTGTGCCAGATAACAAACGGGTGGGCCCCCTCCCTCTCTTAGCTAGCTGGTAGTTAGAAAAGCAAAGACCAGAGTGGATAGTTGAGTTATGTTAGCTAGAAGCTGGAAGCAAGGCTGGGAAGGCAGAGAGTCAGCTGTGTTTATTCCAGTGAGTTCCCTTGCTCATTGAAGGGGCGACTTGCTCATTTGTACCGATAGATTTTAACACAGTGGTTGTAGCAGTCGGTGACAGCTATCATCCCATGGTCCAGCATGGAGAGTCCGCTTGGTCCTAGCAGGCCCTCGTTCACCAATACAGTACTGAGGGATGAGTCGGGATTAAACATCACAATGCAGTTTTCTCCTTCGTCGGATACGAAGATGTTCCCGTGCCCATCCTCACAGATGCCAGAAGGGTTTTCAAAGGTATGAACACGCCCGTACCGCGGGCCTATAGTCCTTTTCACCTTATTTCCCTTGTCGAGAACTTTGATGCAGCAGCCCTGGTACCTTCCGAAAAGCTGCCCTTCTGTAACTAAGATTTCGTCGTTCTGTGGGGGCAAAGTTGTGGAGCGAAGGGGGAGAAGAGAGAACAATGTTAACAGTATTTCACACAGGTCTTAGAAAATCCACTTTGTAACTCAAGAAACAGTGCCTTTATTTCTCACCCAACTATCCCTCCCACCTTCCAAAATAATTTAGGGAAATAGTCTCACAACAGCCTTGCAAAGTAGGATCTGGTGAGAGTTAGTAATTGGCCCAAGGTCACTAGGGATGAGGCTCTGAGCACGGAACAAGTCCTGAAGTTGTGACCTGAGGGCCGTCAGGCAAGGATTCAACCTGTGTGATCAAATTCAGGCTTGGCCAAAAGATGGAACTGCGCAAAGAACAGACAAATGATTTCCTTATCCTAACAGACCAGGTGAAAGACTAGGTCAGGTGATACTCTCTGACCTGAAGAACTAAGGGACTTCTTATTTGCTGTCCTCCTTTTTCTTCATTCTCAACTCCACATGATCCAAGTCTGACACCCTGTGGTTTCTGTGGTTGTGCAGAGATTTGAACACCAAACCTGAGTCCAGTGCTCTTCTGACACTATACCACACACTGACTCACAGGGAGAACCAAGTTTTCTATTTGTCAAAGGTTAAGGCAGAAACCAGCACATACTTCACCGGGATGCGTATTGGATTGAAACCTTTAATTGGGTGATTCAGAGAGCAAATGTCCACCTACTTCAATGGGCTGATACAAATGAGATTAAATAGGGAAAAGAGAGTGCAAAGAAAGAAAGAAGTAGCCAACTGACAGGGCGAGAAAGCAGCTGGGGCTGCTTGAAAATCTTGGCCCCATCTACAGTAGGTCCATCCAGGGGCAGTTGTGAATGCCATCCATATTGCATCCAACCCATCCATTGGGATCCACATCAACACCAGCCATGCCCGTACATGCACATTTCTGCCTGTGGGTCAGAAGGACTATGTGCACATAGAATCATAGAACTGTAGAGTTGGAAGGGACCCTGAGGATCATCAAGCCCAACTCCCTTTCAGTGCAGGAATATGCAGCTGTCCCATACGGGGATCGAACCTGCAACCTTGGCATTATCGGCACCACGCTCTAACCCATGGATAGGCAAACTAAGGCCGGGGGCTGGATCCGGCCCAATTGCCTTCTAAATCTGGCCCATGGACTGTCTGGGAATCAGCGTGCTTTTACAAGAGCAGAATGTGCGCTTTTATTTAAAATGCATCTCTGGGTTATTTGTGGGGCATAGGTATTCGTTCATCCCCCCCAAAAAATATAGTCTGCCCCCACACAAGGTCTGAGGGACAGTGGACCGGCTCTCTGCTGAAAACGTTTGCTGACCCCTGCTCTAACCAACTGAGCTATCTGTGCATCAAGTGAAACATATTCCCCACTTGGGCTCATGGGCACTCAACATGGATAATATGTGGGGTGGGGGGAATCCCCCAACCGAAGGCCTTTCCTGAGGCCAGTCAATTTTATATCTGATGAAATGGTTCCATTGTTTTTAGGGTGCATATGTTGTTGTTTTAGAGTTGGTTGACTCGACTTTATTGTTGTTAGATATTGTGTTTCTGTGGGGTTTTTTTTAATGTGTACATTGCTCCAGTGTGAAGCAACCTATCAATTTGATTAACTTTGCGCCGATCAAAAGACATCAATTGAAACCAAAGCTCAGCACGTACATCTTGTTGAGATACGTTCTGGTTTCTGCCTGCATCTTTCACAAACCACAAGCTGCGTACTCCTTTTCTCTCTCAGTTGCCTTGCTGGCCCGATCAGTGCAAAAATCCATCCAGCCCTCTGACACTCAACCAGGTGCTACAGGTAAGGTTGCATGGAACCCTGAGCAGCTGGGATGCTCAAACAGTCCTTTACAAGGGTGCCAAGAGGAGTAAACAGAAGGAGGTCCTCCTGCTGCCTTCCTTTCCAAAGGCCCAAATGTTCCCATTTCTCTAGTTGCTGCCCACTTCACTGTCTAAACCTATGCTAGAGGCTTGAAGCATTTTGTGCTACCAACCAATCAGCAGATATTTGGCCCTTCTGGGGTCTCATACTGTACCTTATTGGCCACCACCCGCACCGGCCTATGAAACCCTTCTATGGAACTTGTCTTCAGAACGGCGTTCATTCTCCAGTCCACTCCAATGATGTTAATTTTCCCTCCGTCACTCCAGTCTGTCACTGCAATTTTGTTCGCTTTCAAGACGGCTATCCCATATGAATAAGGCCAGTTGATTTTCGGAGACTTCAGCTCGTGGATCAGCTCCCCATCTTTGCTGAAAAGCTGGATGATTCTGGTCCCGTTGGTAACGAGAAGCACGCCATTTTTCATGCAGGTAATGTCCCCCAGCCCTTTAATTGGTTCGAATCCATAAGGGAACCTTTGCTTAACCTGACCATCTGCACTAAAGATCTGGATCTGCCCAGTTCCACTGTCTTTCACGGCCAAGTCACCTTCAGGAGTTGTTGTCAGGCTGTTTGGCCAAATCAGCTTGCCGGGGATTGTACCATATCCTCCCACTATCTTTTCTAGAGAGTTGTAGTGGATCTTCTGGATTCCAGAAAGTTTCCATTTGTTGTTAAATCTGAGAACTTGTTCTAACTAACAAACAGAAAAGGAACAGACAGCAATGAGTCGGATGGCACCTTTTAGGCTAGTGAAACATATTTTGTGGCCAAATCTTTTGTCCGTTAGACATTCCACTTTGTTTGGATGCAACAAGTGGTCTTCTAAATTAGGCTCAGGCTGAAGAAGAATGCTATACCTCCTATATTCTAGTATTTAAACTTACAAAGCAACAGGGCATATTCTAGCACAGCTAATATGATCCTGCATGTGAACTCTTGCTTAAGAATGTAAGAATCACATTTCAAGATCTGAACAAAAGTCCATCTAGTCTTGCTTCTAATAGTGGCTAGAAAGATGCCTCTGCAAAGCCTGTATGTGCAGGATAGCTACCTTTTGTTGTCATTAGTCCCCAGTATAAATGTTAATTAAGGGTAAGCTGTATCTGCACATGGAGGCTGCATTTGGGGCTGCTTTGTCTATTAGCCATTGATGGACTTTTCCTCCTCGAATTCATCTCAGCCTTCTCCAAAGCCCTCTTGAGGCCAAAGCAAACAATCCATTCTCCGTCTGCTTGCTAGCAATACAGTGGAGGTGGCGTAGGAACATGAGACTACACGGCTCTGTCTAGCCAGTAGGGCTGGGCGAATATATCGATATATCGTCCAAACTGGGTTTGAAGTCCACATCGTGGTATCGGTTTCCTAATTCATGACCTGGCAAAATATCGCAAATTGTGATGTCTGTTAGGGCTGGGCGATGTATCATCCCAAACCAGTTTGAAGTCTATTTCGTGATACTGGGTTCATAATTTTTGTGACCTGGCAATATATCACAAATCATGATGTGTGTGTGTGTGTGTGTGTGTACTAGGCAAAAATCACAAGGTGGGGAAAACTGTGAAGCCGGCCAGTGCCTCTACATAGCACCATCCTTATTTCAGACGCCATGATAAATCACAATGTTTAGCTGGAGGTAGGTATCCGTGTTGGTCTGACGCAGTCGAAATAAATTAAAAAATTGCCCAGTAGCACCTTAGAGGCCAACTAAATTTGTTCTGGGTATAAGTTTCATGTGCATGCACACTTCTTCAGATATCTTAAAGGTAAAGGGGCCCCTGACGTTAATGTCCAGTCGCGGACGACTCTGGGGTTGCAGCGCTCATCTCGCTTTATTGGCCGAGGGAGCCGACGTACAGCTTCCGGGTCATGTGGCCAGCATGACTAAGCTGCTTTCTGGTGAACCAGACCAGCACACAGAAACGCCATTTACCTTCCTGCCGGAGTGGTACCTATTTATCTACTTGCACTTTGATGTGCTTTCGAACTGCTAGGTTGGCAGGAGCAGGGACTGAGCAATGGGAGCTCACCCCATCGCAGGGTTTCGAACCACCAACCTTCTGATCAGCAAGCCCAAGAGGCTCTGTGGTTTAACCCACAGCGCCACCCGCGTCCCTTCTCAGATACCTTAGTTGGTCTCTAAGGTGCTACAGGACAATTTTTTTATTTTTTTTTAATGTTTAGCTGATGATATACATATCACAATGCTGAAAACCAGACAGGCCTGCTAGCCAGCCAGTGCCTCTACATAGCTCCATCCTTATTTCAGACGCCGTGATAAATCACAATGTTTAGCTGGTGATATATATCACAATGCTGAAAACCAGATGGCGCCCAGGCCTGCTAGCCAGCCAAGCAACCCATCTGGGAGCCAGAGCAAAGCAAAGCAAAAGCATTCTCAGTTTGGAGAGCCACCCAGTGGAAACATGTGGTAGTGACTGTAATGGCTGTGGCGGGGAAGAGACAAGCTGCTGTGTGTGCTTTGGGTTGCAAGAACCCCAGGAACAAGCTGGTGTGACCTAAATGGGAAGTGTCGGGGCAGGATTTGGGGGGCAGAAGTCCAGAGCGCACCCACCCACAGCAAAGTGAGCAGGTAAAGGTACCCCTGCCCGTACGGGCCAGTCATATCCGACTCTGGGGTTGCGTGCCCATCTCGCTTAAGAGGCCGGGGGCCAGCGCTGTCCGGAGACACTTCCAGGTCACGTGGCCAGCGTGATGAAGCTGCTCTGGCGAGCCAGCACCAGCGCAGCACACGGAAATGCCGTTTACCTTCCCGCTATGAAGCGGTATCTATTTATCTACTTGCACTTAAGGGTGCTTTCGAACTGCTAGGTGGGCAGGAGCTGGGACCGAACGACGGGAGCTCACCCCGCCGCGGGGATTTGAACCGCCAACCATACGATCGGCAAGTCCTAGGCGCTGAGGTTTTACCCACAGCGCCACCCGCGTCCCTTAAAGTGAGCAGGAGGGTGCCCCAATTCCTAAAGTAATACACAGTTCCATCTCAGGAGTGGGGAGGGGAGTTCCTATAAAACCTTAAAAGGAGCCTCTGTACTGTCACTGTTTTGCAAGAGGGATTCAAGCAGTTTACAGCCTTTCTCAACCTGTGGGTCCCCAGGTGTTGTTGAACTACAACTCCCATCACCCCTAGCTAGCAAGGCCAGAGCTCAGGGATGATGGGAGTTGTAGTCCAACAACATCTGGGGACCCACAGGTTGAGAACCACTGCGCCTAGTATAATAAATCTACCTTTTTTTAAAAAAAGACAACTTTAACTTTTTGTGGTTTAGAAAGTAACAGGGCACAGGGGGAAGAAATGTCATGAAAAGACTGGGACGGAGGAATGGCTGGTGGGAAGATGCGTAAACAACCAGCAAGCAAATCAGAATGAATGCAGATAAATGTTGTTGTGTAACTGCCCTGCACGCAAATCAGGACGAAAGCTCAATTGAGAGCAAATATAACCTAACCTCCAATGTAAGCTTGGTGCAAGCAAATCAGGGTGAATGCTCAATTAAATAGGGCCCTTAGTGAATTCTGGAGTCTAAAAACTATGTCACTGTTTGCATTTATACAAATACACATGTGCACAGAGTAAAACAGCTAAATTTCCATACTCTCCAAGTGTTAATATTTTCCAGGGACCGTCCCAAATTCACAGAAGCCATCCCAGTTTCTGATTTGATCCCAGAATGCCCTGATTTTCCCTAGGAGATCCCTATTTCCGTCAGAGAAATGTTGGACGGTATGGAGTTATGTGGCGACCCCAGCCATCTGAAGGTAGCCCTGTATAGGGAAGGTTTTTTTTAAATGTTTAATGCTTTATGATGCTTTTATAAATATGTTGGAAGCTGCCCAGAGTGGCTGGGGCAACCCAGTCAGATAGGCAGGGTATAAATGGTACAATTATTATTATTATTATTATGGGATAGGACATCCTGATTTTCATCAGAGAAATGTTGGAGGTTATGCACCCAACCGCACCTTTTCCAGAGCTACATTTCTTAGAGTGGTTTAACAGCCAATCCCTCTTCCCAGGGAAGCACCCAATTATTTGAGAATGAACCCTGTTGAAATCTACGAGGCTTAGTTCTGAGTATACATCTACCGTATTTTTCGCTCCATAAGACGCACATTTTTCCTCTTAAAAAGTAAGGGGAAATGTCTGTGTGTCTTATGGAGTGAATGTGTGGTCCCTGGAGCCAAATCGCCCGAGTGTGGCGCGCGCCGTTACCCCGCCCTCCCGGGTTGCCAGCAGCCTCCCCTTTCCCCTGAAGCCCCGGGAAGGTTTGGGAGCAGTGGGCAGGCTGTTCGCCATTGCCCCATGCCCCTGGGCTGCTCTTTGGGGGTGGGGGAGTCACGCCGCTCTACCGGCAGCCTCCCCTTTCCCCTGAAGCCCCGGGAAGGTTTGGGAGCAGCCGGCAGGTTGTTTGCCAAGAGAGGGGAGGAAGAGGACGGAGAGGAGGGGGACCAAGAAGCTGGGTGAAGGGAGAGGGGGTAGGTTGCCGTGAGTGGAGAGTCATGGTAGAGGGCAAAGGAGAGGCAGCAGCGAAGGGGAGAAATTGCAGGCGTCGCCTGAGGAGTTTGGGCGAAAGGGATGGAGAGGAGGAGGCTGGAAAAGGGGACTGCGCTGCTTGGGGGGGGGGGAGAAAAAAGTGAGGAGAAGGAAAGCCTCCCAAGCTGTGGTTCAGAATATATTTTTTCTTGTTTTCCTGCTCTAAAAACTAGGTGCATCTTATGGTCAGGTGCGTCTTATGGAGCGAAAAATACGGTATTTAACAGTACATGGAAAATGGGGTGATGGTGATGGAGAAAGGTCTGCTCAACTACAGGTCTACAGGGTTAAATTACCTCTTTGTGCATAGTGCATGCAGAGCAGGGTAGATGTCCCAACTCTTATACATCCAGGAATCCGGGTTCACCAAAATGCTGACACACTGCCCACTGGCCTCACTACGGGCTCTGTTCTTCTCTTGCAAGGTGCCCATCATGGCTGCCTCCTGCTTCCCTTCCTCTGTACACCCCAGCCCCCTGCCCTCTCCCCACTCCCATTGTTACATCAGTGTTGCAAACTGTATGAAGTGTGCAGAGTCAGGATCAGGATCCAGGTAAGGCACATAAAACAAGCAAGGCAGGTGTCGATACCTGTTCATCCTCTAGCTCCTTCAAAAAATAAGAATCTAGCATTGTTCCTTGGACAACTGTGGGGAATGTCCCTAGAATACAAAGAGGGGGAAGGGGGGCATATGAATTACAGATTGGTACATTATTATTATTATTATTATTATTATTATTATTATGCAATTGCATACAGAAAGTCAAAGTCAGTAGTCACATCTACCCCAAGTGTTTAAGGTACACATAAAGCACATTTTTAATTTTTTTTATTTAGTTTGTCAATCGCTATATCTTGCTCAGGGAAACCCAAAGCAACCTAAAACCAAACAAATAGACAATAAGCCCTGCATAGATACGTTAAAACTAAGAGGAAGTATAAGTACATTAAAAAGCATCCCACCCACTTCTAAAAGGCCGCAGAAAGTTAAAGGCCAAAGGCCTGGTTATAGAGGAAAGTTATTGCCTGGCGTGTAAAGATATATAATGATGAGACCAGGCGAGCCTCTCTGGAGATAGCATTCCAAAAATGGGGAGCCACCACAGAAAAGGCCCTGTTCTTGTGTTGACACCCCCCGAAACACTCATGGAGGGGGTTTCCCCAAAAGAATCCTGGGAAATGTGGTTTGTTATTGGTGGGGGGATTGTAGCTTTGTGAGAGGTAAACTACAGAGGAGCATGTGGTTCACGAGGCTGCCGATACAGTGGTACCTCAGGTTAATAACTTAACTTGTTCTGGAGGTCCGTTCTTAACCTGAAACTGTTCTTAACCTGAGGTACCACTTTAGCTAATGGGGCCTCCCAGGGCTGCTGTGCCGCTGCCACACGATTTCTGTTCTCATTCTGAAGCAAAGTTCTTAACCCGAGGTACTATTTCTGGGTTAGCGCAGTCTATAACCTGAAGCATCTGTAACCCGAGGTACCACTGTACGTCATTGGCATCCATCTGTCTCGAAAGACAGTGGAGTGCGCCTCTGAGGGTGAAGTAAAACCGCTGTGTTAGCAACACTGAAGACACCTCCCTGGGGTGCAAGCAGTGTGTATGGAGGTCCTGGGTTGCCCAGACAACAAGATCCGCCCCCCCTCAACCTCGCTGATGACTGGCCCAAAGGAAAGCAGAGCAATACGTTTGGCACCAGCTTAGCTGCAGGGTCAAATGAGTGACCTGATGACCAGATAGGAGGAAATTTGCAGTTCCATCAAGACACCAGCCTTTGTCTAGCTACAGAACAATCTATATTCTCCCCCTGCTCCCGTTACTGCCTCTGCCACCAAAACCAGTTAGATCTTGGGAGGTGAGAATGGAAAAAAATGCTTGCAGGCAAAGATTAAGTCCCTGAACTATGGGTTGGTTGGTCATTCCTTCTTTATTGGTTTTAACCATCGGTCATAATAAAAGGTAAGAATTATAATAAAAGAGACAGATACAATTGCCACCTGGTAAACAATCATCCAGATCCCATCTAAAAACAACTCATTTTGTGCACATCTCCAGACACAAATATAAAAGAGGTTCCTTCTCTCCAATCTCTCTCTCGTGCAACTGGCTAAAAGAAATCCATTTTTGGCAGCTTGACCATTGTGACCTTTCTAGCAAAAGCACACAGAGATCTTAATCTTTTGTCTGTACAGCGTTGCAATAGCTCTTCAACACCCCCTTGGGATACAGAGACAGAATCTTAAATTTTAAATGATGTTTCTGTAACGGCCATCTTGAACTGCAGACAGCATCTGTTGAAACAGCAGGGGAGTCATTGTTCTCCTGACTGAACACTTGAAAAGAATCAATAGAGAAGTCGCAGATTCCTGAGAAAATGTGATCATGTAATACTATGGGACTTCTTACGCTGTTTAGTTTGTTCATTATGTCTGTTTTATTTTCTGCCTGTCTTCCAAGCGTAAAGAGCACACTCGCAGTCCCTCAGTTTAGTTTTCTGCTCAAGCACCTACCAGGTGAAGACCTACTTAACTTCAGCAAGGCTAGTGTGTTGTGTGCTTTTGAGCAGATCATGTCTTAGCTTAACCGTATTCATTTGCACAAAAAACATACCGTATTTTTCACTCTATAAAACGCACCAGACCACAAGACGCACCTAGTTTTTGGAGGAGAAAAACAAGAAAAAAAATATTCTGAATCTCAGAAGCCAGAACAGCAAGAGGGGTCGTTGCACAGTGAAAGCAGCAATCCCTCTTGTTGTTCTGGCTTCTGGGATAGCTGCACAGCCTGCATTCGCTCCATAAGACGCACACACATTTCCCCTTACTTTTTAGGAGGGAAAAAGTGAGTCTTATAGAGCAAAAAATACGGTATTTTGCCTTTCTTTCCAAAGCACATGTAACAGAGAAAGCCAGATATTTCATCATCATCATCATCATTAATAATATTTTTGCTAGGGACATCCATGCAGTTAAAGAAATTCATCATTCAGCATCCATGAACTGAAGGCTGCAAATATGGCCAAAACACTTTACAGGAGATCCATTTCTAAGACTATCATCCTTTGACCCCTTTTGTCTTCGACTTCAGCAATAAGTCGTACTGAAGGAAATCTGCACCAACTCTAAGCACCCCAGTTCTGCAGCTACCCCTGTGACTCTTGCAAAGTGCCGCGGGAATGACTTTTTGAGCCATCTTAATAAAAGAAGATAAACTTACTTAGCTCCTGGATATAGCGCAGTTGTAGCTGAGATCCAACCGCAGCTTCTGTTCCTATAGCTTCATACCCAAGAGAACGATCTCCAATATCACCGTGCAACAGGATACTCCCGTCTGTTCAGCACAGCTCTTTGTTCTGGTTTCTGGAGCTCCTGAAAGGAAAGGAAACAGCAATGTGCCATTTCAGAAGGACGGCGAAGAAAATGGCTCCTTTCTGGTTGCTGCATGTAGCTGGGGTATTATAGCGGGTATCTCGGCTGTGACTGCTTTGGATGGCCTTAGAAATGTTATTGGTTTGCCAGCTCTTCCCTCTCTACCTGTTATATGTACAGTGGTATCTTGGGTTAGAAGGCTGATCGCTGAAGAATTGATGCTTTTGAATTATGGTGCTGGAGGAGACTCTTGAGAGTCCCATGGACTGCAGGAAGATCAAACCTCTCCATTCTGAAGGAAATCAGCCCTGAGTGCTCACTGGAAGGACAGATCCTGAAGCTGAGGCTCCAATACTTTGGCCACCTCATGAGAAGAGAAGACTCCCTGGAAAAGACCCTGATGTTGGGAAAGATGGAGGGCACAAGGAGAAAGGGACGACAGAGGAGGAGATGGTTGGATAGTGTTCTCGAAGCTACCAGCATGAGTTTGACCAAACTGCAGGAGGCAGTGGAAGACAGGAGAGCCTGGTGTGCTCTAGGCCATGGGGTCACGAAGAGTAAGACACGACTAAATGACTAAACAACAACAACAACAAAACCTCGGGTTAAGTACTTAATTCATTCCGGAGGTCCGTTCTTAACCTGAAACTGTTCTTAACCTGAAGCACCACTTTAACACCACTGTTGCTGCTGCGCCACCGGAGCACGATTTCTGTTCTCAACCTGAAGCAAAGTTATTAACCTGAAGCACTATTTCTGGGTTAGCGGAGTATGTAACCTGAAGCATATGTAACCTGAAGCGTATGTAACCTGAGGTACCACTGTAGATATAAATGGTCTCGGCCCAGTATACCTGAAGGAGCATCTTCACCCCCATAGTCCAGCTCAGACACTGAGGTCCTGCTCCAAGGGCCTTCTGGCAGTTCCCTCACTGCGAGGTGTGAAATTACAGGGAACCAGGCAGAGCGCCTTCTCGGCAATGGCGCCCTCCCTGTGGAATGCCCTCCCATCAGGTGTCAAGGAGATAACTACACAACTTTTAGAAGACATCTGAAGGCAGCCCTGTATCGGGAAGTTTTTTATGTTTGGACTTTTATTATGTTTTTATATGTGCTGGAAGCCCCCCAGAGTGGCTGGGGAAACCCAGGCAGATGGGCAAGGTATAAATCATAAAATTATTGCTATTGTTGTTATTAGGCCTACTTTACAAGGATGGTGTGAAGATGAGTGAGGCAACGTCTGTGCAACGCTTTGATCCATTACGAAATGTGCTACAGAAGCGCAACGAAGATGGAAGTCAAGGAAATGAACTCTTAGATCCTAAGGTAGTATTTAATATAGGACACTTCTGGACTGTGGCTATTTCAGAGGTGGGATTCAGTCACTTACTGGCACATTTAGCCTTTCTGAACCTGATGCCTTCCAGTTGTTCTGGGGCTACAACTTCCAGCACCACCAACTATTTGCCATGCTGGCTGAACTAATAGGAGTCATAGTACCAAACATTGGGAGAAGACCAGGCTGGGTAGGCTTTGGGGGTGAGGAAAGCCAGATATTTACTTGTCCTGAGATAAGAGTTGATTCCAACATGCCCCCATTCAGCAAACCCTATGTTTCAGTAGAGTGCATTGTGCCTAGGTTTGCCTCCTGTCCCTAGAAAAACGTGAGGAGTGGGAAGGGGGGGTCAAAGAGAGTGTTATGTACTGAGTTGAATAGGATCCAAAATGCAGAAGTCTGATTGGTCCTAGAACAATAGGATTCAGAATGCAGCAGTCTGATTGGTCCTAGAACAATAGGATTCAGAATGCAGCAGTCTGATTGGTCCTAGAACAATAGGATTCAGAATGCAGCAGTCTGATTGGTCCTAGAACAATAGGATCCAGAATGCAGCAGTCTGATTGGTCCACAGGAGCCACCCAATCCAGCTCCAGGTGGAAGTGACTCTGCATCCTGACTGGCCTACAGGTGAATCTGGGAATTAGCGAATCACGTGAGGCCCATTGTGTAAATAAAGCAGACATTCTGGGGGAACTTCCATTCCTCCTCACCACTATGAGCTGAATAAAGAGCATGAAATCCACTCTCGACTCCGAGTATATTTCAGAGAGAGAAAGAAGGTCTTTGCACTTTGCACAGGCCTGACCCATTCAGTCTGGTGGAGAGTTTGCACAGGCAACAAGGAGGAAGGGCAGCTGGCCGAAGAGCAAGAATGGAAGGAAAATAAATCACTGACTGCAGCGTAGCAGCTAAAATGTGAGGGCAGTTGCCCCCAAACTCCTTTGTTGCAAAGGTGGTGGTGTGTTGGCTCATTGGTGGCGAGTCAGCTTTGAAGCTGTTTCTGCACCAGGTAAAGTAATTTTTAGCTCCCCAGTTCCCCGCACAACCTGTCTTGTATTTTGCCCGGCCAAAAGTGGCAACCCTAATTGTGCCTTAGCTCCTGTGTAATGAAACTCTGACCTTTACACAGAATGCTGGCTCCCTCATGCTGCCAGAACCATGTATCATGGGATTTGTAATAAAACCCTGAGCTAGCAGTCAAATTCCAGAAGAATGTGCTAACAGCGTTACCTTCTGGAATTCATAAAGCTTCACTAAAACGTGGTGGGGGCAGAAAGTTCTACAGACCTGCGGTGGGGATTACTTCTTTCCTTGCTAAAACAAAGCCATTCGAGACTGCTTTATCGCCCAACACGACACACACAGAAATTTAGCAAGGGTATGCTGTTGTTGCTTAATGATAATTTTCTGTTGGGCAAGCTTTCTATTCGCAGAGAATTTTGCACACGAGGAAGATTCGAAATATTGTACTTTCCCTATCTGCAGTTTGAAGTGGTACAGTCCATTCTGCCTTGCCAGTACTCCACCACAGAGGTTTGGAGTAGAGACAGGATGATGGCAACAATCTGACAGCTTGACATGTTATAAGCAGTCAGAAAAAGGATGGCAGCCAACAAACCTTGTAGGTTGTGCTTATATCCCTCCCCCCTCCTCATGCTGTTTCGGAACAGAATGCAAAATATTGTTGTGTACCACCCCAGTCTCTGAATGGTGCGAGATTCTGGGAGTATACAACCTGAGACTACAATGGAGGGCTTCATAACATTAAGACCCTAAGAGGGCCTTGCTTCTGCCCTAGCCACAACCTTGGATTCCTGCAGAAATCAGGCATGGCTCTGACTCTCTGCCTTCCCAGCCTGCTGTCTTGCTTCTAGCTTTGACTTCACATACACCTCAACTCTCAACTTTGTCTTTCTAATTGCCAGCTAGCTAAGGGAAGGGGCTCCACCCATTTGTCACCTGGCGCAGAGCCAGTTGCTTTGTTACCTTAACAACCCATGTTTAGGGGGCCATCACCAAGAAACTTGTCTGGCTATTCCAGTAACTGGGTCCTTGTTAGATCCAGGAATTGTAAGGAACTCGGGCATCCAGCCTACCCCCGCCCCTGACAACTCAAATATATGCACCAGGGTTTTCCTTGGTGATTTACTGGACTAGACTAGGAACCTGGAGATTTCTAGTTCATCTCTTACCTTGCTTTCAGTAAGAGTCAGTGTGGTGTAGTGGTTAAGAACTGTAGACTCGTAATCTGGTGAACCGGGTTTGATTCCCTGCTCCTCCACATGCAGCTGCTGGGTGACCTTGGGCTAGTCACACTTCTCTGAAGGCTCTCAGCCTAACTCACCTCAAAGAGTGTTTGTTGTGGGGGAGGAAGTGAAAGGAGATTGTGAGCTTTTTTGAGACTCCTTAGGGTAGTGATAAAGCGGGATATCAAATCCAAACAACAACTCCTCCTCCTCCTCCTCCTCCTCCTCCTCCTCCTCTTCTTCTTCTATGAACTTACCATAAACGTAGCTCTCCCAGTCTCAGCCCTGCCTCCAATCTGCAGCATCATGCCTTTGTGCCTTCTAGTAGCAAACTCAGCAGGTGAGTGCTGCTGGCAGGATTGTAATACAAATGGGTCCACTGGGAAACAAAAGGGAGGCATCAACATGCTCATAAAATTATAGAATTGTAGAGCTGGAAGGGACCAAGGGGTCATCTAGTCCAAGCCCCTGCAATGCTCGATAGCCCCATGTCTCTCAGGTCCAACACTCTAAGCACTACTACGCCATTCCCTTTAGATGTTTAAATTTTGCTTTTAGTTTATTTTAATGGTATGGTTTCAACTTTTGGGTGTTGGCTACCCTGGGCTCCTTTGAGAGCTGGGCAGGATGTAAATTTAATAAATAACATACAGTGGTACCTTGGTTTTTGAACAGCTTAGTTCACGAACAGCTTGGAACCCAAACGCTGCAAAACCGGAAGGTGTTTCGGTTTTTGAACTTTTTTTCAGAAGCCGAACGTGCTCCGTTTTGAGTCCCCCTGTGTTTCCTGTTACACTGCTAATTTGCTTCCCCCCCATTGTAATTCAAGCCTTCTGTTTCCGATTGCAGTGTTCTGAGGTGATATTTGGAGCTTATATTTGGTGCTTTTGTTTTTGCTATTTATTTTGTGTTTTTTGTTTTGAGACTTTTTCAGTTAATTTGTTTTTGTGACAGTGTGGATCCCAGTTCAGCTACTGATTGATTGTATGACTGCGGAAATGGATAAAAGCCCCCCATCCAAACAATGACTATCATCAGTGCAGGTAAGAAAATTTTTAATTTTAATTTTTATATTCTACAATACTGTTTTTTTTATTTTATAGTGCAGCACATTGCTTATTAGGGATGCGGGTGGCACTGTGGGTTAAACCACAGAGCCTAGGGCTTGCTGATCAGAAGGTTGGCAGTTCGAATCCCCGCAACGGGGTGAGCTCCTGTTTCTCAGTCCCTGCTCCTGCCAACCTAGCAGTTCGAAAGCACGTCAAAGTGCAAGTAGATAAATAGGTACGGCTCCAGTGGGAAGGTAAACGGTGTTTCTGTGCACTGCTCTGGTTTGCCAGAAGCAGTTTAGTCATGCTGGCCACATGACCCGGAAGCTGTATGCCGGCTCCCTCGGCCAGTAAAGGGAGATGAGCGCCGCAACCCCAGAGTTGTCCGCAACTGGACCTAATGGTCAGGGGTCCCTTTACCTTTTTACATTGCTTATTGCTTTCATTTTATGGATCAATGGTCTCGTAAGATAGTAAAATTCATGTTAAATTGCTGTTTGAGGGGTTCTTTTTAAAAGTCTGGATTAATCCGTTTTACATTACGTTGTATGGGAAAGCATGCCTTGGTTTTGGAACTCTTTGGTTTTGGAACAGACTTGCGAAACGGATTAAGTTTGAGAACCAAGGTACCACTGTAATGTTGAAGTTGATGATTATCTAGCTTCTGTGATATATGGCAAGCCAGATATTCTGCTCCCCTCTGCCTGCCCCCTGCCCTGTACTGCAGCCCAATACTTTTCTTTCCAGCACTGTTCATTCATCTGCAAAACTCGCTGATCAGGCCATCACGTGCTGTGATACTCTGCAACATGCCGTCTCCAGCCAAATTCAAACCATATGTCTTTCCGTACAGTAAGATTTCCAGATCAGCTCGTCACACCACTCTCTGTGTGCAGCTGGCTAACTTGCGGCTGGAGGCTAGCAGCAAGACATGTAAACGGAGGAGCACGCTGGCCCCACCCTGTGCTTCAAAACTTTGCCCTGGAGGCACAATGCTCTCACCTGGCTTCTCTGAACTGGTGTATCTCTTTGGGCTCCACCTAGAGAGATCTGAAACTGGAATACTTCCTGACTTTTGCAGAAGAAACAAGGCCCTAAAAATCAAACCAACCAACTGGCTACTTCAGTAAACTGGGAATGGAAAGGTTTTTCCAGGTCCACTGGTAGATCATGTGACATGTTTGTATAGGGCTGAGTCCTGACTGTCAGCACTTTGCAGCAGATTCAAGGGCACACTTGAAATTTGGGACTGTGCAATTGAAGTATGCGAAGATGCTCTATTGCCCTGGTGTAACAGACCCGCTTTTTAAATAAATAAAAAACCAGATATTCTGCAGTTTGAAAAGTTATGGGGAAATGCACTGAAAAGTGTGGTATGGATGAGTGATTGAGAAATTGCACAGGAAATTCAGCCAGAATTCAGGTTGCGTGCTCACTGTCGTCCAACTTCCCTGCAATCAGAACAAAAGCTTGGTAAAGATTGGACACGGTCTAACCTCCATGTTGACTCTGTGAATGCAAAGCAGGATTAATGTTCACCATACAAGACTGCAAATAGCTTACTGTCTGCCCGTGGGTGAGTTGGTCTCTCTGGTCATAAAGCAGCACTCTAGCCATTACACCACACTGTCTTTCTTTCCCTTCTATGTTTTTATAGACTGACTAAGCCTGAAAAAGATATACACTTTCCTTTTTCTGAATATTTTAAACTACAGATGTATTGATAATAAGAACACAGATAAATTGTCTGAAGCAACGTTGACAGCATTTTTAATGACATCATCGAGATGTAATTGTTATTTAGTGGCATTTATTTATATACACTATTGATAACGACTTTCCCCAGGCTCAATGTTTATGTAATGTTTACATAAATATTAATAAATAAACCCATTCATTTTTATTCATCTTAATAACTCGCATTGCAGTTAGATGTTGATCTTGTCATAGCTTGGTTTGCACTAAAGTGATGTAACAGATTGTGCGCTTTGTGATGTATAGCAACAAAACAATAGCATCATTTATATCCTATTCTTCTTCCAAGGACCTCAAGTTTCTCCCCTCCACAACAACGTTATGAGGTAGGTTAGGTTGGAGATAGGTTAAGTTGTGAGGCAATGACTAGCCCAAGTTCACCCAGTGATCTTCCTGGCTTAGTGGGGATTTGAACCCAAGTCTCTTAAGTCCATCACTCTGACCTCTTCCCAACGCTGGCTCTCAGTCAGTATTCTGTTAATATTACCACTCATAGCCTGAAATAATGTACTTGATAAACAGATAGATAAAGTCCCTCATGTTCTTTGAAGAATTGTTCTGCTCTCTATGGAAAGAGTGTTGTTTGAAATGCTAAAATCCAGAAAGGGAAGGAAAAGAAACCAACATGTGTTTAAAACCACATGACTTCCAATTTCATTCTTGTTATTTAATGGACTGGTTTTGCTCATGACACTGGTTACAGGCAATTTGCAACTACCATGGCTTTTGTTGGTGAGGGTAGGGAATAAACTGAATATAGGACCAACAACAACAACAAAACAACAATTTATGATGTGCACTTTCATGTTATTAATTTAATTTGAAAGTGTGAGTGCAGAAAGCAAAAATGAAATTACAAGGTGGACTTCACTGGGAAATGAAATGATCCCTCCTGTCACTCAGTGGGTCAGTGTGGCTGGCTGTATAGACACATAAGCACAGATATACATAAATACACACACACACACACACACACACACACACACGAGAAGGTAAGCGAGAGAGCATGTACAATATAGCTGTGCACAACTTGCACAAATGTGACATAGATTAATTTTTGTCTTCCTTATACATAGAGTCTGTAAGAGTGAGTCACACTTGTGTCAACAAGCTGATGACTCTCCTTCCCTGTGGTGTACGACTGCACTGCTGCTGCCTTCGTTGGCTCATCGGTGGCAAATCTGTTGCGTTTATTTCTTTTTTGATACAGAAGGCACTAAATGTCACAGAGGGAGGGGAAAGCTTAGATCTTTCCAAACAGAGACAGGCCAAGGCAGGAAGTCCAAACGGCGGGAAAAGTATAATAAACTAACTGCACAATCTGCTATACACGTCTGCTCAAAAGTCCCATTGTTCACTGGGGATTACTCCTAGGTATAGGAGTACAGTATAGGATGGCAGCCTAAAGCATTTGCTGTTTCTTTAATGATCTTCCATAATCTCTGCTTGTAGCACCGCATCTCACTTTGCCCAACATTAGGGCTGGCTCTGCTTATTCAGGGCATCGATTGGAATCAAATTCCAGTGGATACCAATGGGATATAAAAGATTCCTGCTTATTCTCCTTTGTTGAAGACTGCATTGCCTTCAACATTTCTCCACTGAAAATAGGGACATCCTATGTATTATTATTATTATTATTATTATTAATATTATTACTATTCACATGCCACTCATCTGACTGGGTTGCCCCAGCCACTTTGTACGGCCTCCAACATATATAAAAACATAATTAAACATTAAACAAACCTCCCCTATACAGGGTTGTCTCGGGGGTCGAATAATTCTGATCCCGGACAAACAAAATCAAAACATTAAATATCAACGCCTTCCCTTCTTTCCATGGTTCATTTTACATATCATAAATCCCTGCACATTTTGCAGAAACGATACCATTCAGTATAGCCATTGATATTTTAAGGATGTAAAAATGAGTGTACTTTAAAATGTAAAACTGACAATTTAATAAAAATTATATTAAAAACCAAAACCAAAACATTAAATAAATCCCTGGCTGCACGCTCTCCTGCCGCCGTGGAGATACTAGGATAAAACGTGTGTGTGTGGTTTTTTATTTTAATGCAGCCGTAACCCTTTATCAACCCGAACCGTCCGAACCAACCTCGACCTCGCTTCGCCTCTCAGCGAAGCCAGACCCAGAGGCAGCCAGAACAGCTGCGCTTTCTCAGCAGGCGGCCAAAGTGCGGGCAAAGGAACCTCCCCCGGCGGCTTCACTGCCGCGCACTGCACATGTGCAGCCGTTTGGAGGCACCACCGGAGCGAGGCGGAGGGCTTTGCACATGCCCAGAAGAACCGCCTCACCTTCCCTCCCCGTGCAGGAGCTTCTGCCGCTTGCCCGGCGTGAAGTTCTTGCGGGCGGCCACCCCCCCCCCCACCGCCTCGTTGTCATGCCGACTCTTCGCCGCCGCCCCCTCGCCGCGTGAGAGGAGCGCGCGCGCGCGCGGGTCCCCGTCTCTCTCTCTCCCCCCCCCCCCCGGCACATGCCCGCCTCCCGGCCGCCGGCAGGAGCAGCAGTTGCAATCCCCGCGCATCACCCTCGGCTGCCGGGCGCTCCTGCCTCGGCGTGCTTCCCTCTTTCTCCGCCTCTAACAAAGGGATCGTCGGCGAGGCAGCCCCCTCCCCACGCGACCACCCACCCCGGGCTATTGTTGCAGCTTCATCGGACGAGGGCCGGGAGATGGAAGATGGAAGGAGGCGACGGTGGGGTAAGGGAGTCCCGCCACCCGCCCTGCTCCGCGCCTTATTCCTTCGCCTTTCTTCGTGCGCCCTGGTAACGCCAGGCGCCCGTGGCTGAGTTTTGCTTTCTTACATAAATGCTGCCTGGGAACAGTTTCCTCTTTATGCGCTGCTTGGAGCCGCCGAGGCAAAGCCGTCCTCCCGCCCCCCCCCCCCGCAACCCCTCTCCCGTTCCCGCTGCTTCTGATGTGTGTGTAAGCGAGCGAATGAATGAGAGAGAAAAGGAAATATATAGGGCGATGCTCGCCTTGCGCTTTTACGCATTTCTAGGGTGCTTTGGAAGCTGTCGGGGGTTCTGTTGGCAACCGCGCCGGCGTCTTCAGGCGAGTTCCATTCCCGGGGGCGCGGGTGGGGAGCGTGGCTTACTTAGGCTGGGGGGAAAGGCACAGCTCAAATCCCTGCTCCTCTAAGACATCTGGATCTAGTGGAGAAGGTGGTCGTGTTTAGGCTGGCTTTCCTTCCAGGGTTGTTGTGAGGAAAAAGAGGGGCGCAGGGGGGTGGGGTTTGGAACCATGAGCACCACCACCTGAGCTCACCTGAGGACGAGAGACCTGTTTTGAAATAGTACAGAGGTCCCCTGCTTTGAAGTTTCCTGCTAAAATCTAATCTTCGCTCTGCAAGCTGTTCTGTGTTTGACCATCCCCACCCCTGAAGCATGAGTTTAGAACTGCCCTACCTCGCAGGCTTGTTGTAAAGATTACTGGGAATGTAAATGAAGATGATGTTAATGTGAAGTGTATTTAACAAAGGTTGGGTTGTTGTTGTTTTTGTTGTTGTTGTTTTGCTATGTTTATGCTCCAGAGGTCGGAGCTTCCTTGCGTTACAGCAGAGCAGCGAAAGTATGGCTGTGATTTCTCCCCCACCTCTTTTGATATTTAGCACCTGTGGATAAAAACTGCACAGGCCACTAAAATTATAATGGAAATGCTTCGACAGCCAAAACAAAGTTGCAAGTTGGCATGTTTTTGCATCTAATTTGCTTTGGTCGTTGCTTTGTCTTTCGCTTCCTCCAGTTTTGTAACTTTGTTCTCTAGGGCTGCAATGCTTTTCCTGCTTAACCAGGAATAAATCCCACTGAACTCAATGGGACTTATTTTTCAGTGCGCATGTATTGGGACGGGGCCTGTCCCTTTGTATTTTGCATAGCATCTAGGTCTTTAGGCACATATCTACAACACTGGTAATTGTTAGGTTAACTGGGCTGTAGCCAACTTAAGTTCCACTCAGAGTTAACCCGTTGAACTGATGCAAAGGAAAGAGGTGGATTTGCCCTGCCAGACTTTAAACTTTATTATGAATCAGCAGCTTTTTGCTGGTTGAAAGAATGGCTACTTCTTGAAAATACAGACATTTTGGATTTAGAAGGTTTTAACAACGTATTTGGATGGCATGCATATTTATGGTATGATAAGGTCAAAGCACATAAAGCATTTAAAAATCATATTGTCAGGAAAGCACTGTTTAATGTTTGGATAAGATACAAGGATTTATTGGAAAATAAAACCCCAAGGTGGTTGTCACCGATGGAAGTGAAAGCTCTGAAAAGGCTCAATATGGAGGCCAAATGGCCGAAATATTGGGAAATTTTGGAACAAGAAGGAGACAAATTGAAATTGCAGAGTTTCGAGAAACTAAAAAACAAAGTGAGAGATTGGCTTCATTATTATCAGATAATGGAGGCATATAATTTGGACAAGAAAATTGGCTTCCAGGTGGAAAAATCAAAACTAGAAACAGAACTGTTAGAACCCAAAACTAAGAATTTGTCAAGAATGTATAACTTGCTGTTGAAATGGAATACTCAGGATGAAACGGTGAAATCTGCTATGATTAAATGGGCACAAGATGTTGGATATAATATTATGTTTGCTGACTGGGAACAGTTATGGACCACAGGTATGAAGTTTACGGCATGTAATGCCCTAAGAGAGAATATTATGAAAATGATATACAGGTGGTACATGACCCCAGTCAAGCTTGCAAAAATCTATCATTTGCCCGATAATAAATGCTGGAAATGTAAAGAAACTGAAGGTACATTCTTTCACCTTTGGTGGACGTGCCCAAGGATTAAGGCTTTCTGGGAAATGATATATAATGAACTGAAAAAGGTATTTAAATATACCTTCTTGAAGAAACCAGAGGCCTTTCTTCTGGGCATTGTCGGCCAATTGGTGCCAAAGAAGGACAGAACTTTTTTATGTATGCTACAACAGCAGCAAGAATACTTATTGCAAAGTATTGGAAGACACAAGATCTACCCACTTTGGAAGAATGGCAGATGAAGGTGATGGACTATATGGAATTGGCAGAAATGACTGGCAGAATCCGAGACCAGGGAGAAGAGTCGGTGAAAGAAGATTGGAAGAAATTTAAAGACTATTTACAGAAATATTGTAAAATTAATGAATGATAGAATGATGTTGGATAGTAATTAAGCGGTTTCCAGCTGTAATGCTCTAAGAGAATATGAAAAAAGGGTTATAAATGGGTTAAAATCTAATGGTAAGGATTTGCTGAACCAATAAATTGAAGTGGAATACAAAAAAGGGAGGTACGAGGAGGTCCGGGAAACAAGCTAAAGGAAAATAAGTAATAGAAAATATGTGTGTTTTTAACTGTTTTTATTTTGTATTTTTCTCTTTTCTTTTTCATTTTTACTGCAATATTTCAAAAAACCTTAATAAATATCAGAGTTAACCCGTTGAAATTAATAGACCTAAGTTATTAGCAGTGCCCATTCAATCTCAGCGGGTCTGTTCTGAGTATGACTAACATTTGGATACAGCTCAGTGTATTTAGCTAATTAAAGGACGCATTTCTGTGTTTTGACATCTGGGCACACTTGGGCCATACATCTTATAACTGCTGCAGGTCTTTGTCCCATATGGTCTTTACTCCCCCATTCTTAGTTGGTTGACAGCCTGCATCTGTCCCAGTTCATTCTAATTATATGCAAAAGAGTGCTCTGTGTGTGTGTGTGTGTGTGAGAGAGAGAGAGAGCGAGAGAGCGAGAGAGCGCTCTTTTCTGTTTCATCTGATTGCTTGAAACCTATTTTTAGTTCCAGAGATCAGGCTCGGTTTAACACATTGCAATGATGAACCTGGGGAATTTCCTGCAATAGCTCCCAAAAAGTCTGGACTACATTAAAGGCACTACTGTGAAAGTGAGAACTTTTGTTGAGGGTGGCCGTTGATAAAAACAACGTGTAACTCCCTACTGACAACTTTTCAATGACTGGAAGAAGTATCAAGCGCTGCAGCTGTACAGCTGACTTAGACATGACTTTGGGTCATGCGTTCTTGATTTAAGGGAGACATCTTTCCCCATGAGCAGTGCAAGGCTGTTCTCAAAAGAACTGTCCTGTGAAGGGTCTGGCTCACCCTAGGGGGATTTCAGACCTTCCTCAGGTTTTTAATAAATGATTCTCCAGTTTTTTCTTTTATAGAAACAAGGGGAAGAAGTCACTGGCTGCATTCTGTCTACAAGACTCCTGTACCCATTTATCAAATGGAACACAGCCCTTGCCGCCTGCTAGCGTTTGGTGGGATTCTTAAATATCCAGTGGATGGGGATTTGTGGCTCCCTATTGGATGTCCCTGAGGATGTGTTTAGCAATGTGTGTCTGCCCTTTTGTAGTGGAACCCCAGTGCAAGACATGGAGAGCTCTGGCCAACACGCTGGCTGTGTCAAGTGTGCAGTGATTCAGTTTGTGCCCATCTTGGCTACCATGATCTGGATTTGCCTTTCCTCTCTTCCAGTCTTGTGTACGTGTTTGGTGCCACTGAGGTCAGCAGTGCACGTGGTGTACTTGATTCAGAAGAAACCCTTAAATAATGCTTGGGATATATACAGCACCACAATGTGTGTCACATATGTTCTCTAGGTAGCCCTTGCAAAAGTTACCTGTGCAGTAAACGTTATACAGTCTGGATAAATGAACATGATTACATGGTTAAAGGTGCAGCATCACTTTTTGGACTGATGAAGCGTTATTCTCACCAGGGTGGTGGCTTTGATTTGCCTTCCCATGATTGCCTTCCCATGGTTCAATCTTTGAAAAACAGCTTTGAATAACTTTTTCATATTCTCCAGTGTGCTACCCTTGCTGTTATGGTGGCATGGAGTTGCCGTTCTGTGATTAGACTTACGCTACTTGTTGAACGGTTCATTTATCCAGTCTGTATAACGTTTACTGCACATGTAACTTGTTAAGATACAGTTGTACATTTATCCACTCCATGTTTACAGTATCCAGGATATTTACTTAATTCTTTTCTCCACCTCCTTTCTCATTTTTCTTTTCTAACTGACACAAACACTCTGTGGCCAATTGAGCTGTCCTTCCTTCCTTCCTTCCTTCCTTCCTTCCTTCCTTCCCCCTTCCTTCCTTCCTTCCTTTCCTGTATCTTGTTTATGCTAATACCACCTCTTTGTTTTTTGACTTACCATGTTTTGGCTGTACAGTGGTACCTCTGGTTGTGGACGGGATCCGTTCTGGAGCTCTGGTCGGATTCCGAGGTTTTTGCAACCGGAGGCATCTGTTCTGCGCATGCGCACGGTAGAGCGCTTCTGCACATGCGCACGTGGTGAAACCCGGAAAAATACTTCTGGGTTTGCTGCGTGCGTATCCTGAAGGATATTTAACCAGAGGTGCTTGTAAGTAGAGGTACCACTGTAATTCTGTTTGCACTCAGTATCTGAATTAGAAGTGGTGGTGTTGTAGCCAGAAGATGAGACTGAGAGAAAGCCAAGGAGTTAACCAGGAAGTCCAGGGGTCTACATTATAAATTCATAATGACGCAGAGCAATCCATGCATGTTTGCTCAGAAGTAAGTTCTGGGGCTGGGCGACATCTTGTTTTCGACATCATGATATATCACCAACTAAATATTGCAATATATGGATATAACACAATGTCTGAAATAAGGATGGAACTATGTAGAGGCAGACAGTAGGGCTGGGCAATATATGGTTCTCAACTTTGTGATATAACACCAGCTAAACGTTGTGATAGACTGTTGTATCTCAAGTCTGAAATAAGGATAAAATTGTGCAGAAGCACTTGTCTGGCTTCACAGTTTCCCCCACATTGTGATTTTTGTACAGCACACACGCACATCTTGAGTTGCAATATATTGCCAGGTCGAAAACTATGAAACCGATATCACAATATGGACTTCGAACTGGTTTTGGATGATATATCAATCTATCGCCCAGTCCTTGTAAGTTCCACTTTTACTTACTTTCAGATTAATTCTCCCTGTGTTTGCTGCTTTCGTGACACTACCTCAGTGTCTTCCTGACCACGCTTTTGAGCGGCATTTCATATATGACGGTGCACATGATCTCTGAGCAGGAAAAGCGTCAAGTAAAATGAGACTTAAGGGCATTTAACTGGTCGGAGGACTGTAGCCTTTATGTGCAGGCCTTGTGAGATAAATGGCATGCGAAGCTAAAGACTGTGTCATGACCCAGAGGCAGAAATCCAGCCCAATTTGTTTCGTGAAAGCCTGCATACCCTCGAGATCCAAATTACAAGCCGAGGAGCAGCAGTTTGTTCTGAGGTTTGCACCAGATCAGCAGCAGAGGCAAAAAAATAGCAGCTGGACTCCCTGACAATCTTTTCTGTGCTTCCTAGCCGAGACCACACTGCCTTCCATATTATCGCTCCCTATGTCTGACCAGAAGATCCTCATAAAATTGCTTGACAGCACAGGAAGTCGCAAAGCAGGGTTGCCAGAACAGATCTTATTTAGGCTCTGAATGACTTCAGAGTTCCATTAACTTTTTAAAGGGAGAAGCCAGATTCTGAGAATATCCGGCTCATTGCTGGAACTGATGAGATGCAACTGCTAATGCGCTGGTGGAAGGAAAGGAAGGGCAGCCAGCACCGAAAGCTCTGTGAGATACACCAATTCACCTAAAAGCTTAAAGTAACAAGACAGTGGCATAAGTTTTGCAGAGGACTGCCTGCTTCAGAGGCAGCAGCAAATCAGCTGGAAAACACATTGGGCATCTTCAGTGCCACCACAAACTTCTGCTTGCTCAGAATCAAGTTTGTGGCCTTGCCTCTCGCTCATTTATTTTCCCCTCCTCATTGTTAATTCACTGAGCTATCCCGCTTTTTACGGTTTCGTGCTGTCGAAACAGGCATCTTTAAGAGTTGAGGCATGGCTGCTGTATATGCACCCAGACTTGGGACCTGATGGGATTAGGAGATGCTTCAGAACAGCACTTCAGATGCTGCTGGGTTGATGGGGGACAAGGAGGTTCCCCTGTGGCCCAGTGTTGGCCCTCCAGAAATTGGGCAATTCTTGTATGGGAAGGAGCTATAGCATGGTCCTGGGGCATTTCATAAGAACAAAGGAAGCTGCCTTGAATCACATCATTGGTCCATCTATCTGGTAGAGCTTTGTCTGCAGAAGGTTCCAGGTTCCATTCCTGACATCTTCCGGTGAGGTTGGAAGAAACCCCGGTCATTGCCGTCAGGGTGGATAAAAATCCATGATCTTTCTAAAGGAAAAATCTTTCTAAAGATAGTATTCTATTTAAGTTAGATTATAGTCCAAAGGCTATTAATCAGGAAATAAGATTTTTTCATGTGTGCTAAAACTCAGTCTTAAGTTTTTTTTAAAAATTGTTTAACCACATCAGTTAACAAACATGCATATGCTATGATGTTATTGTTTTAGTTAAATAAATTGTTTAAATTGTTATTAAGGAGATGATTGTTTTTCTCCTTCCAATAAAGTACAGCAGAAAAGTTGTCCAAATATAAACAGTGAGCTTATTAAATCTCACAATAATTTTGTAATTAAGTGTCTATGTATTTCTTATAGTATAACCAAATCAGTAATTTTTAATATAACTGTAAAAAAAAATTATGCTCTGAAAATTTATTCTGGTACTTCCGGGTTTGGCACGGTGCGCAACCCAAAGTCGCGCAACCTGAAGCGTCTGTAACCTGAGGTATGACTGTATATTGTCTTTTTAACATTTGCCAGATTGTGGTGTGTCCAGATGTGCTTTGGGTGGAGAGAAATGGTGCCTATCTCCCAGACGATCAGATATGCTTTGACAATGTATACATAAGAATAGAAAAATGTGGTTTAAGAGATTTGTAGGTCAAACTTATGCATGTTTACTGAAAAGTAAGCCGTGGTGAGTTCAGCCCTAGAAAGTGCGCATAGGATTGCTGTATAAGTTGTGTAACTAATAATTGGAAAGCATTTTGCGGAAGAGCAAGGAAATGAGAGGGGTGTGTATGTTTGCCATTGCAAAAATAGTTCCCACCCACCCCCCTCTGTGTGTTTAAGAGAGAAAGAGGGAGATAAGCAAGGATCTTGCTTTGCAGGGTGTTCAAGGTCAGTCTGCTGTTTTTAAAAAATAAATAAATCCCACTCCCGCTTTGAGATGAGCATTGCCAGTGGAATGTGTCACAGTGAACTGAACATGTTTTTCTTCTATTTTTGTTTGCAGGGAGAAGCATTTGTTTGGGTTAACGGTGCATCGGCTCATTCTCAGAGTGTTGCCAAGGCCAAATATGAGTTTTTATTTGGTGGATCAGAAAATGAAAATATTTCAGAATCTGGTAAGCGTTGATCATTTCCCAAGTGCTGACTCTTGGGTGCAAGATTGTGCACTCCTTCAGTACTGGATATATATATATATATTTTGCTTAAGTCGGACATATTGGTGTTGACACATCCTTGATCTGAAATTAAGGCAGGTATAGGAAAGGGAGCTCCTGGTCTCTCAACTGTGATTATGATTGCCTCCCTTCATTTCCTTTACATAAGCCAAGAATGGAGACATGTGGACCTCAAGATTGTGGTTTGACTCCACCTCCAGTGGTCAGGGAAGATGGGAATTGTAGTCTAATAACAACTGGAGGACCACCTGCCTTAAGAGTCTCCCTGGCAATTCACACCACCTTGGATGAGCAGTGAGTGGATCTACTGGAAGTCTGATTCTTCACACCCAGAAAAGTCCCCAAGGCAAATTGAGCAGATTGGTGAAACCCCAATCTGGATATATGATATGGCAGTAGGACAACCAGCCCCCACCCAATAGTTTGTATCCTGCCTTCCTACAAGGTTCATATGAATTTACCTGAATCTTTTGGAGGGCATTGGGCATAGTTCACAGATGGGGCTGGAGATCAGGCTCTAGACTGGGCAGACAAGAATAAGAGGGCCAGAAGCAGGTGCAGATCTGAAGCCAAACAGAAGGTCTAGATTCAAGGCAACAATGGAGGACATGAGGGAGCCAGAACCAAACACAAGGTCAAAGGCAGGCATGGGTTCACTATTGACTTATTTATTTGTTGCACAGATTTATATACAGTGGTACCTTGGTTTACGAACTTAATCCATTCCGGAAGTCCATTCTTAAACCAAAACGTTCTTAAACCAAGGCGTGCTTTCCCATTGCAGCGGGGGACTCAGTTTGCAAATAGAACACACTCAACAGGAAGCGAAACATGTTCTACTTCCAAGGCAAAGCTCACAAACCAAAACACCTACTTCTGGGTTTGCAGTGTTCTTAATCCAAGTTGTTCATAAACTAGGCTGTTCTTAAACCAAGGTACCACTGTACCACTTAACATAAAATGTCAGAGTGGTGTGCAACAAAGGATAAGGGCAAAATAAAATTCTGAATAAATTGCATTAATCAATGATACGCCAACAGCTGGGGCCACACTTCAGGGGAATCCTGAAGTCTCTGAAGCATCTGAATGTGAGAGGAGCCTCCTGGATCAACCTATCCAGTTCAACATCCTGTTCTCAAAGTGGCCAATCAGATGCCCCTGTTACAAATTGCAGGCAGGACCTGAGCTTAGCAGCACTCTCCCCTCCTGTGGCTTCCAGCAATTGGTATTCAGGACCATTCCTGCCTCTGATTGTGGAAGCTGAGAATTTGGAGAGTCAGCTGACCATATTCAAGCTGGGAGGTCAGCTGACTCTCTCTTCAGTTAGAAGCTGCAACCTATTTTGCCTGGCTTCTTGAGGACCCAAGATAGTGGTGTCTCACAGAAGGTAGGGTGCTGGAGACTAGCTGCCGGCCCCTTGCATTGCTGAATGCTCGGTTCCCATGACTCTCCTCTTCCCCTGCAGCACGTTGGCCCCCAGATGTTGTTGGACTACACCTCCCATCATCCCTTACCACTGGTCATGCTGGCTAGGAATGATGGGAGTTGTAGTCCAACAACATCTGGGGACCCACAGGTTGAGAAACACTGGTTAGCTGAACATGGGAAATGCTGTGCATTTCCTATCCCCTGTCGGAAAACCATTGGCAGTCTGTGCTAGAGGCAGTGCAGAGTAGCAGGACCTTGTTTTGCAGATTGTGTTGAGCTAAGGATCGCAAGGGAAGTTGGGAAGGGTGGAACAGAAATGGAACAGCAGGAGCACCGCGTCTGTGCTACTACTGTCTGTTTAGACACTGAGGTGTGTGATGGATAGTTGATTTTTAAGAGAAGGTGGTTAGAACATTGGGTGCAATAAGCTTATGTCTCTCGTTACACTCAATGGTTTGTGAAGTCCGCAAACCCTGGAGGCAATACCAGGGTCCGTGTGGACATACTATAGCAAACGATCACTCCCATACTTCTCCAGAGAGCTGGACAGCTGTCACATGTGAACAGATAGCTGGCTGATAACGCATCCACTTCTGCTGTAAGAAGAGCAGGGGGCTTGGATCTGGAAAACCTGCTCCTCCAGGTACTTCAGTGTGGCAGTTAATAGTGGTTTGGTGCTACTAATGCACCCAGGTTTTTCACAGCTCTGAGAGATGTTTGTCCTCATCAAAATGCTCTTCTATCTTTGCCCCCATTTAATCCAGTTTTCCAAGTTCCATGCTTGTTTTTTTTAAAATAAATAAACTCTGCAGAAATAGGAAAACAACATGGGGCAGCATTTAGGCGAGGGTGATGTGGCATGGATGCTACACAAAGCTTGCAGGAACGAGCAATCCTGAGCCTATAGCTGTGTCCACAGTAAACTGCAGTGTGGAAGTGCCCTCGGACCTTAGTCAGTTCTCCTGCACATTGGGCAGGGGTTTTAAGTACCGAATATAAGCCGCACCTGAATATAAGCCGCACCTTTAAAATTGAAGGAGGGGAAATACCTGAATATAAGCTGCTCCATTCCTCGCTGCTCCTGGCTGCATACTGGGAGGGGGGAAGTCACGCCGCGTTGCTGGTGGCCTTTTCCCTTCCTCACTCTCTCCCTTCTCGGGCTTGGGGGAGAGGACAGGGGACTATGCATGGGACGGGCACCGCTTTGCCGTGCTCCTGGCGCTGTTTGCCCCACGCTCCTGGTTGCTTACTGTAAGGTTGCGAATATAAGCTTCACTTTAACTTTTCACGGTCAGAATTTGGGGGGAAAGTGAGGCTTATGTTCAGGCCAATACTGTAATTCTAGGTGGTGGTTTGTGTCTGTGTTTGCACATTAGGCTAATTTTGGCAGACCTGGGAAAGAAGGTTCTCTCTCACCCAGTCCCATCCTCGCTCTTTTAGGAAACAGAAGAAAGAGGAAAACTAAAGGAGCTTTTATTTGGAGCGATGGGAGAAGAAAGGGGCCATTGATTCATTAGTGAAAGTTCCCAAGCGTTGGCGTTTCAAGTGAGGAAAACTCTTGAAGTGCCTCATAAGAAACATTTACTGACTTGTAGAACTTGGCTCGTGTCAAGAAGGGTTTTTTTTAAAAAATTAAAAACCCATATTTGTTTATGGAACAGTCTTTATTCAAGAAACCCAGAGTATTGCTCACATTGGTAGCACAGTCATCATAGCATTCAGTCCACATAATCTCATGGTGGAGGTGAAAAGAGATACGATTAGATTACTTAACAGAAGGGATGCCAACTGACTAATGAATTTTGTACTCAGTCACCTGCCTCTTAGTGGATTGATTGCTTTTTTTTCGTATGAGCCAAACAATATAGATGCCCTTGAAGAAAGCGCAATAAACTTACAACTGCAGAAAGGACTTTATGGTCTGAAAATAGAGACAATGTATGTACTTTTGTAACCCAAGATAATCTTGAATAAAAACAATTTTAAAAGAAAACTTAATAAACCAAAGTTCTCACTTTTCAAGAGAGGGGATCTAGAATATTTCTTTCATGCTCTGTTACAGTAACACACTAGCACTAATGCAGACCAGAAAGAAAATAAAAGGTGTACCCTCAACTTTGACTTCCACCAATAAAGATTACCCCCCACTCACCAATTAATCAGATAAAATTTTGGTTGATTAATTTACCAGCTGTACTGATGAACTGCTTAAGGATCCCCGCTCCCCAATAGTATCTCATAGACTTACAGGTGATGGAGGGAACTAGACTTAGACTGTTATTATGAATTCTAATATCTATACTGCTGAAATTCACTATTCACTTCAGGACTGATTCTAAACTCAAGCCAATGTGCTTGAAGTGTGGCTAGGTATGTGTAAGCGGTAAAGGTAAATGGACGCCTGACCGTTAAGTCCAGTCGCGGACAACTCTGGGGTTGCGGCGCTCATCTCGCTTTATTGGCCGAGGGAGCTGACGTTTGTCCGCAGACAGTGTTTCCGGGTCATATGGTCAGCATAACTAAGGCGCTTTTGGCGAAACCAGAGCAGCGCACAGAAATGCTGTTTACCTTCCCACCGGAGCGGTACCTATTTATCTTCTTGCACTTTGACGTGCTTTCGAACTACTAGGTTGGCAGGAGCTGGGATCGAGCAACGGGAGCTCACCCCCTCACGGGGATTTGAACCGCTGACCTTCTGATCGGCAAGCCCTAGGCTCTGTGGTTTAGACCACAATGCCACCCACGTTCCTTAGGTATGTGTACATATCTCTATATATTTCCTTCTCCATACTGAATGCCATAAAGTATGCCATATTAATACACCCCCGCTGCTGCAGTTTGTTAAATGGTTATCTGTGCACTGCAGCCTGTGCCAACCTGTAGCCAATCCAGATGGTTTGGATTGCAATTCCCAACTGCCCTGCGCTGGCCGTGGCAGAGTTTGGGGTCTCATATTTTAGCGGGTGCTCTGTGTGATGCCAAAACCTGGTGCCCTCACTTCTCTCTATACATTCTAAATCATAGCTGCAGTGCCCCCCAAGGCTCTGTGACTGGACCGGTCTCGCTCCCCTAAATCCGCTCTGGTCCTGGCTGGGGCTGATGGAAGTTTGGTCTAAGCAACAGCTACAGGGGTCACATATTCCCCACCAAGGGACATCCACACCCCCCTCAAATTTAGGCCCTGGAGAAGGAGATAAATCTCCCAATGGCAGCTCTACTAGCAACTCACTAGGAACAAAATGTTGTCAACACCCAATGAGGAAACTGTGTCAGCCAGGGACTCTATTCTGTGAAAGCTAAACGCCACAATAAATCTTCTGATCCCTAAGATGCCATGGGCTTTTTTTAAAAGAAGTTTTTTTTAACAAGCCTTCCCTCAAAGGCAAAAATGGGGATGAAATAGGGAATGCCAGTTATTTATGGTAGATTCCTGCTGGGGAAATGAACTGTATGCTTCCAATGTCTATTATGGTCATTGTTAGCAGAAAAACTAGTACAGTGGTACCTCGGGTTAAGTACTTAATTCGTTCCGGAGGTCCGTACTTAACCTGAAACTGTTCTTAACCTGAAGCACCATTTTAGCTAATGGGGCCTCCTGCTGTCGCCGGGCCGCCGGAGCACGATTTCTGTTCTCATCCTGAAGCAAAGTTCTTAACCTGAAGCACTATTTCTGGGTTAGCGGAGTCTGTAACCTGAAGCGTATGTAACCTGAGGTACCACTGTAGTTTCCCCTGGAACAACAAGCTCTGTGACAGCTTTGCAAGGAGGAAATGTCTGTTTTCAAGTTTCCTTTTCATTGGACCTGTAACGGATGCATCTTCTCCTTCAGTCTTGCATCATGAAGGTCCTGCAAGAATCCAAAGACCTAGAACTTTCATTTGTTATTGGCCCCCCGGCTTAATTTTGTGATCGGTTTTAATCTGCAATTAATTCTTTAAGGTGATTAGCCGCACTGATTATTTGATTAAAACTTGGAGCTCTGCTTATTAAGGTTTAGCCATGAAAATATTTGCTCAGATATTGCCAAAGAGTTTAAAGGGGCATGTGATTAAGAAGGGCATGGTGTTCTCTAAATATGTGAACCCACCTCCCTAATTTGACCCCCCCAATTAAAAAATGAGGCGTATGCTACCTGCAGACATTTGATTTGTCAAAAGGTCCCTTATGAATTAGCACAAAGTATCCTATGCTGTTCTGGCTTTGCAAAAATGACAAGTTAATTAGCACTCAAAAACCCAGAAGCAAAGTTTGTGCACGTGTTTTAAATTTGTTTTTGGTTGTCGTTTTGTTCAGGGCCCACTTGCTTCCACGCAGGCCTCAAGTTTAGAGCTGCAAGCATTCCTCAGTAGCTCTATCAAAGCTTTACATGATAATCGGTGAAGATCAATTTTAACTGGTGAGGCTGTGAATTGAGAAGGTGGGGACTTTGCACAGTCGGGCAGTACTGGGGTGGCGGCTCTTTGCCTTCGAAAAGAGGACGCAGATTCGCAAATGCTCATGTAGATGTATAGATACAACTTTATTCATAATTGCTAGAATTTCAAAAAAAGTACAGTACATCTTGCCGCAGTGGGAGAAAATAAGCAAGTGGCCTGTGTGCCTTCTCATCTTGCTATTAAGGCGCTAACTGTTGGTGGGAACCTTCAACACCGCTTGTTCTCCCTTCTTACGGTTCTTTGTTTCTGAAACAGACTTGGGCCAGACACCCATTTGGCTATTATAATAATTTTAATTATTACATTTATTCATTGCTTACTCCAAAAATGTCTCAAAGTGATGTACAGTTTTAAAAACATACATGATACAGGCTGTGTTCGAAATTCACCAGGTGCTATTGGCCACTTGCAACCAAGCAAAGACGTCTTCACCGTCTGGAGGTGCATGCCTGAGGATCCTTAGATCTTGACTATTTTCACACACTTTTAACACATCCTGTAGAAGTCTGTCCGTCATATTTTATTTGCAAAATCGCAACGAGTTTCGGGAACCAAAAAGTCATGTGGAAAAATATGACTTTTGAGCCGCCTGGCCCCCAAATGGCAACTAGGCATTCTAGTTTTGGCGACTGTAAGCCTGATTTAAGGAGCCATTTGGCACCTAGCTTATATACCTGAGTTTCTAACACTGGATACAGTGGATTTTGGATGCACCAAAAATATATAGAACATTGATTGGCTGCGAGCGATAATAAAAAGGACAAATCGTACCAAACCATATGAAAAGTTGAACACTAATATGGGCTTCTCGTTGTACCTTTTGACCCCAGTTAAGAGCTAAGTGCCCGGGTGAACAGAAACATCTCCTCCCAGTCTCACAATTTCTCATACCCCATTTTCTCCTCTTCTGCCATCGCATGCCTCTTGCCTCAGTGAGCAACCTGGCTACCGAATTCTGCGCTAGTGGACGTTTCCGGACGGAAACTTTTTCCTTCATATTTTCTCCCCTTCCTAATGTTTTATTTCTCTCTTCTCTCTCCTTTGCTTGTCAGACTGTTGTTATTTTTTGGGGGGTGTTTTCTTTGCAGTTGACACCATCAACAGAAACAGAGCATCTGGGTCCTAGCAGACTTGCTCATGCAAGGGCTGTTATTTCAATGTCCAAGCTATCTACCGTCACAGTAGTTGGGAGAAAATAGCGTTTTGTGTGCTTGTGTTCTTCAGACACTTAATTTTGACTGCATAATCCTGTGTGCGTCCACTTAGAAGAAAGCCCCACTGAATTCAGTGGGGCTTACAGACGATTAGAGCCCTATTACTGGCATTTTCTCCCTGTAGCAAAGTAATTCTGTCCATAAGGTTAATGCTGTAAAGTGGCACCTCTAAAGTAGCTAATGAACCCTTTTGCCCATCTCCACTCCACAGTATATTTTCCACTGGAGATGTTGTGGTTTTATATACAGTAACGCAGATTTTAATATGTGCGATAGGCTTCATAACCATGTTTATGATGCTGGAGGACTGCAGAAAGAGATGTCATCTGTACCATCATTTTTTCAGGATAGCGTGATCATCTGCAAAGCTACCTCCCGTGCACTTACCATACGTAGACCACTTTCCGCTCCTCCCATATAAACTGTGGTTTTGTCTCAAATGGCACGGTTGCTGGAGTGACAGCCTCGCCCCATTCCGGAGGTGATGATTTCTTTGTCACGAGCAAATGGCTTGGAACAAATCCTGAAAAGGTTTGTCAGGAGAGCTGCAGGATTATCGTAGCCAATCATTACAGAGAGATTTGGTTATTTGCAGCTTGGCTAATGGGATGTGTGTGTTTTTACATTAATATATTAATGCAAATCGCTTTACTCCGATTGGTTACGTCTTACTGAGGAGCTTTACTGCAACACTCAGAATGCTGTTGAGAATTCCGGTCGCTCAAGCAGTTGGGGAAATGGCTTCAGGAAGTCAGGGCTGCCTCCCTATTCTTTTCGAAAACATATTCTTGGGTTTGGGGAATGGCACTCACACCTGATTCAGGAAGTGGTTACAGAAAATGGAAGGAAGGAAGCATTGCATTTTCTCTAGGGGGCTTCGTTTGGTCCAGATTGAGTACAGTGGTACCTTGGGTTACAGACGCTTCAGGTTACAGACTCTGCTAACCCAGAAATAGTACCTCGGGTTAAGAACTTTGCTTCAGGATGAGAACAGAAATTGTGCGGCAGCGGCATGGTGGCAGCAGGAGGCCCCATTAGCTAAAGTGGTACCTCAGGTTAAGAACAGTTTCAGGTTAAGAACGGACCTCCGGAATGAATTAAGTTCTTAACCCGAGGTACCACTGTATACATTTCCAGAGTTAACACTAAATACATTACTTTTGGTAAATGAGCCACTGTAGCTGCTAGAGGGCCGTGAAAATTTGTGTCCCGGGCATTTTAGAAACCAAAGGGGCGGCACATTGATTGCCAGATGTGAAATACATTGGCATTGTTTCCAACTCTCCCATCCCATTCAGCACTTCATAGCCCAAAGCAGCACGCAGGGTCGTAGCTAGCTGCTCCGGCACCCGGAGCGGTGTGGGTGGGGTGAGCCGCCCACGGGGGTGGTGTAGTGAGCTGCCCACGGAGTCCGCCTGGTGGATGGAAGCCCCACGCTGCCGTTTCGGGCAGCGCAGGGCCCCGAGCCACCACATCACTCCCAGCAGAGATGCGCGGCTCCTGCGAGCTGCAGGCAGTAAGTGTCAGCCGCCGCGGTGTGCCATTTTGTCACCCCCCTCAAGGATGACACCCGGGGCGGACCGTACCCCCCAACCCTTCCTATGCCCCTGGCAGCGCGCATGTGTTTGGGTAAATATCCTCTTGCCTGCTTTGAGCCTCAGTTCCCTCTCTGGCCTCTGTGTTGCAACTGACCACGTCTGGCTTCCAGAGGGCAACACCACACGGTTGCTTGATAAGAACATAATTCTGTATGGACCCTTTGCTCAAGTTATCCTGTGTGACGCACAAGTATGTGTCAAAAAGGCAAGCTGGCAATGTTTGTGATTGTTTAACTGCGAGCTTCTAATAGGCATGGGGGGGGCATTGTGAGAATGGGATACAGTGGTACCTCGGGTTACATACGCTTCAGGTTACAGACACTTCAGGTTACAGACTCCGCTAACCCAGAAATAGTACCTCGGGTTAAGAACTTTGCTTCAGGATGAGAACAGAAATCGTGCTCCGGCAGCGCGGCAGCAGTGGGAGGCCCCATTAGCTAAAGTGGTGCTTCAGGTTAAGAACAGTTTCAGGTTAAGAACAGACCTCCGGAGCGAATTAAGTTCTCAACCCGAGGTACCACTGTACTGGACTACATGGGCCATTCTCTGAAGCCAGCAGGGCTCGTCTTATGTTCTAGTTGAATTTGCAAATTGTAGCAAACCGGCTTTCCTGTAATTTCCCGCAATGAAATACAGTAATCCTAATAAATTATAGTAAAATGTTACATCAGTAACTGCAGTTTTTAATTAATGCTGAAATATTTTAGTCGATGAATAGGTGTAATTAAAAAAGATGACAGGCATAACGATAGGCAAAACATTTGTTTTGATTGTGGTTTTGGTAGCTGTTAATGTTTTATTTCTTCTTCTGTATTTCCTTTGTGAACCACCAAGTGAAACCATATTATGTAGCGACCATAAACATTTAGTATGCAAATAAATAACTTATTTCCTGTTTTACTTCCCATTAAGTTGTGTTCCACAATCAGGCTTCCTTTGCCCCGCTTGAATTATCTGGCTAAGATTCTCTCACATACAGATTAGTAATGTTCACTTTTTGCTGCTTATTAATTGATTACCCTGATGTTCGGCTGTGGGCTTCCGACAGGCACCTGGGTGGCAGCATTTGAAGTACCCTGATGTTCTTGTTTTAAATCACAAAATTGACAGGGGTTTCTCCCCTTTGTGCTATCAACATTGAAGTTTTGTGCTACGACAACTGCATCCTGTATAGCCTTTTTAATTATGCAAAATTGTTTTTGCGTATGCTTTACAACTCTGCATACTGTACTCTGGTCTGGTTACTTATGAGGAGAAGCAAGGAGCTTTACATGGCTCACAGTATGGCCTAGTTCTCGAGTCACACGATGCCATAGTTAAAAGCAAACCATGGTTTACTGTGACTGCAAAGCATGCTGGTACATGCTACTGACAAATTCTTGTGCTTATCCGCTGCTCCTTCTCCTGTTGTCATCTTTTATTGTCAAAACCCAGGATCATGGTCTGTTTCTCTCCAAACAAACTGCAAATGCTAAGACAAGAACAAACTTTGGTTACCACTCATGAGAGAGAAACAAATCATGAGCCAGGGTTTGGACACGACAAGCCAACATCTGGCTTGTTTCCTGATGGCGCAGCAGCTGGAGAAGAGCCCAGTGAGAATTTTTCAGCAGCATGCCCCTGCATGTCTCTCATTTATAGTAAACATAATTTGCATTTAACTATGGTTTATTGTGACATGCGGACCAGGCTAATTCAAGTATATTTTTGTGAAGCCATGAAGGAAAGATATTTGAGTGTGAGTGTGTGATTTTTTTATAAGAAGATAGCTGATATTCTATGCTCAGTACAGTGGTACCTCAGGTTAAGTACTTAATTCGTTCTGGAGGTCCGTTTTTAACCTGAAACTGTTCTTAACCTGAAATACCACTTTAGCTAATGGGGCCTCCTGCTGCTGCCGCACCGCCGGAGCCCAATTTCTGTTCTCATCCTGAAGCAAAGTTCTTAACCTGAAGCACTATTTCTGGGTTAGCAGAGTCTGTAACCTGAAGCGTATGTAACCTGAAGCGTATGTAACCCGAGGTGCCACTGTATTGTCTTTTGCAGTTTTCCCCTTTGCTCCTGCAAAGTCCTGGCATATACATTGCCCTGACTATCCTGAATTCTGTGTGCACATGTATGCATAGCACCGGGGGGGGGGGGGGACGGACACCTATATTGTAAAAAAATATTCAGAACCAGAATAGACATAATATGAAAGCAGCAGACAAGCATGGTGAGCTTGCTTTCGTTTGTAAATCCATAAAAGAAAATGCTCAATTATGGCGTGCCATCATTGATTGTGTGTGCGTTGCTGTGTCACTGGTATTAATGCACCGGAACTTCTCCTCCTTGCTTTCATTTGGTTTTTGCTTTACGATGACGCCTAACAAGGAATAAAATTAACTCTCGTTAATCATTAATGTCGGCTGCAAAAATCATATCCAGACAGTAGATCTTGATTTTTATTTTAAGAAAAGCTTACTGTAGCTATTCTGCTACAAGCTGCTGAGGTGGACTCATCTTCAGCCATAGCTGGAATGAGACTGCAGTCCTTTCTCCAGTTTCATAATGCTCAGAATGCTTCCATTTACATCACTGTGTGCAATGCAGGGCAGCGGGCTGCTGCTGCTGCCGCCACCGCCAGGAAATTTGAAACTATTCTGAAATCCAGTTGACTTAGAACGGCAGCAATTGAATTAAGCTTGCATCCTTATTAGATAAACTGATGATCTGTGTGTTTTCATTGACCAATGGGTAACTGCTGGAGCTACAGTAATCTCTGTGAGTAGTAGCCTCTGTTCAACAAAATTATATCTTATTTGTTCAGGGAGATGATAGGGATTTAGGGACACGCGCACTCACGCACCCACAAACGTGTGTGTAAAAGAGCACTCTCATTTTCTGCGGGGGGAGGTCTATGAATGTGCTTTGCTTCCCGAGCTAGTTTCAGGCATTCAGCCGATGGTCTCCCTTTGGCTTTTTAACGTGTGACATATAGATCATATTTATGCCAATGCTCAATTAAGTTTTTGGATTCTTAAAAGCCCCCGTCATCAGGAAAGACGCCAGCTGCTTCCAGGCTGTATTTGCTGCGCTGGCTCAGCTTTCTCATGCAGTCTTATACCTCAAGGCATAAATATGTTTACCAGAAAGAAATAAAACTTAAGTTGGGAGGGGGAAGAGATGTACGGCAGAAGGGTTTACCTGGGGGGTGGGAAGGGAGATTTACCCAGTTCCTTTTCAGTATGCATGATTTCTCTGCTTTTCTTCCGTGGAGTGGCACCTAAAATGTTGTAGCCGTGTTCCTTTTACTGGTCTTGTTTGTGAGGCAGTTATATTGGGCTGTCGGGCCGGGGAGGGTGGGTGAGTGGAGGATTGACGTGATATGCTCGTTGTTGAACAAGACATGATGCTGTGTGGCTTGATGGGAACGAGGGAGGAGTTTCTCTTAAAGAGCTTGGAACACTTTTTTAAAAAGGTTTTGTACCTGAATAGAACGAGGCGCTTTTGGATGGGGAGCAGAGGACTTTTAAAGAAGAGAGCCGGCAAACTTTTAAAGAATAATCACATTACTGCTAGCACAGCGAAGCCAGAGCACAGCTTTAATCCTCCCATAAGTTCATTTGCAAGTGAAATTAGAAATTGAAAGTGAGGCTGGCATTTGCTCATTGCTCCTGATTGACAAGTGGTAAACTGTCCAATTTTTTTTTTTTTTAATGCTACCACACGTTTCAGCTATCGGTAATTATATCAGTGCTAACACCTGCTTGATGCTGTCAAGTATTTCAGAGTGCTTCCTATTGTTACGTTATTCTTACAACTACCCTGTGAGGTGGTATTATTCCCATTTTGCGCTAGGGTGGGCTGATGGAGTCAGGCTGCCGTGTGAGTTTGTGGATGAGCCGTGATCCAAATCTGGAGCTTTAATGATTCATAGCTCAGCCTCTCAACTACAAGATTATATTGAAGAGGCGTTGAAAAGTGCCGACTGCTAGTGGTATGAGTGGAAATCAGTCTCTGAATCTTATGACTTTGGTTTTGCTCTATCTCATATAATGCTTAGAGCAGCAGTTCTGAAATCTCATGGTTTTCTGGACCATTTAAAAATTGCCAGAGGGCTTGGCAGACCACTTAATACACTCCCCACCCCCTTTAGCCCCATTGTCATAAAACAGAACAAAACAAAAACCCAGCTCTCTTATGGAATCAGAGCCCCTTTAATTGGTAAAAAGCTTTTTTGGGAAATGGTTGATCGCACCAGCACCATAATATGGAAATACAGTGGTACCTCAGGTTAAAAACTTAATTTGTTCTGGAGGTCCGTTCTTAACCTGAAATGTTCTTAACCTGAAGCACCACTTTAGTTAATGGGGCCTCCCGCCGCTGCTGCGCCGCTGCTGCGCGATTTCTGTTCTCACCCTGAAGCAAAATTCTTAACCTGAGGTACTATTTCTGGGTTAGCGGAGTTCGTAACCTGAAGCGTCTATAACCTGAAGCGTCTGTAACCCGAGGTACCAGTGTAATGGGATCTAGGCCAGAACCCTTTTACCCTGCTTGATAAATCCAGTCCAGGTTAAAAGCCACTGATCCCTATTGTCAGAAAAAAATCAGGCCAAGTAAAGTATTCTTGACTGCTCTTCCACAACCTTTCATAGACCACCTGGATGGACTGCCATTCCTACCAAAGTCCGTAAACCATACTTTAGGAACCCAAGGACTGGGCTTAGGGGTTCCATGGTTATTGTGCAGGACAGATTTAGATCTGCACTAGCCCTTGAAGCCTTACCTCTAGCCTGTGGTTTTCTCTTTTGGGGTTTCCTCATTTCCTAACAGCAGAAGACTAAACCACCCTGTTTCAGATACAGCTGGAGATTTTTTAATTGGCAGTGAAAATTCACCTGCAGCAGGCAGGATGCAAAATTATATGACCGCCCGAGTGGCCATTGTCTCACCACCAGTGATTGTGTCAATGTGACCTGAGGTCCACTTGAATTGTTTCCTAAGCGACAATTGTTCAGTTGTCCTATAGCAGCTATTGGACACATGGCTCTGGGATAAGGCAAAGGAAGCTGCCTGTCAACAGGCTGCCAATCAGCACTTAGTGGCCTGGACCACCTGTCAACAGGCTGCCAATCAGCACTTAGTGGCCTGGACCACCTGTCAACAGGCTGCCAATCAGCACTTAGTGGCCTGGACCATCTGCCAACAGACTGCCAATCAGCAATTAGTGGCCTGGACCACCTGTCAACAGGCTGCCAATCAGCACTTAGTGGCTCGGCCACTGAGCTGTAAAGCGGGAATGCCCTACTTTAAATTTTGCCTCTGCTATGGCCCCACTAGGGCCTAGATCTCACTAGTGTGGTAAACACAGGTGTTAAGCTGTACACATCTGACTGAAGGTTGAGGCATATGTGACTGAATAAGTACTGATCCATGCAATACATGAATTACAATATAAGTTATTTGCGCATTAAGCCAGATAGCAAGAGTGTCTAGGCCAGCCTTCCTCAGCCTTATGCGCTCTAGATTTTTTGGAATATAGCTCCCCAACCTCAGCCCTAGGTTGGGGGAAGCCTGGCCGGAAGTGGAACTCTTCTCCCCTGAAACTCATTCTTTGGCAAGCTGCTTCCTTAACTTGCAAATTTCCAGACCCGAGCCCATGAGAGTTGGGGGAGAAATGTCTGGAATCCTGTTGGGTGGTGTTGGGAAGCATATTGGAGGGACGGAAGGGGGAAAGGCTTTTTGAAGAAAAGCAACGGAAGGGATTAGTGAGAAGATGGTGCTTTCTGAGTGTGTCTCAGGCTGTGCCAGAGAGAGCGTCTACCTCACCCTAGACCCAGACTGGAGCTCGTGAGTGGAACAGGGGCATCCCTCTGTGGTTGCCGTGGGCATCAGAACTACTCAAGGTGCCATTGCAGAGCTTCATGATGAGAGCAAGGCCCCTCTTCTCCCACCTGGGGGAAGGTGAAGGGCAGTGGCAAGCACACATTTGGGCAAGCCACCTAGCCTCTCCTTAAGCCATTGTTCCATGGGTTACTGAGAAACTGTATCGAAGGACACCGAACACTTAAGAAGCATTATACGCAAGTGTAAAGAGGATGCCGAGCAATCTAGAAACTGAATAGCAGTTTTCTGTCCTTTGAGCAATGCTTTGGTATTTTGCCGATCAAGAAAGCATCCTTTAAACTTGCTACTCAGGAGAAGGACTCTGCAGCTTCTGTTTATAAACAATCGAAGCCATTATTGAATCTGAACAATGGGTGCTACTGAGTGCTGATCTCCTTTGGGAGATCTGCCTTGTTGGCTTGCTAAGTAGTTCAGTTTTCAGCCATCTGGAAGGAAAAAAAGGTAAACCTACTATCCTAAGCAGCATTGGGGATAGCTATGTCTTCTAACATTTATGGCACATAATACAACTCCAACCACCCCCAAAACAAAAACAAGTAACATTAAGTAGTGTGGTTCACATACCACCCTAAACAATGGTTCATTCATTCATTCATCATTTTATTTGTATGCCGCCTTTCCATAATTAAAACAATGCTCAAGGCGACTCACATGACATGATTTACATAATTACCAACATAACAAAAGTCATAAACAATAAATAAAACACATCAAAAAGTACACAATCAAATGGAAAACAATTTCTACATAAATAATAAAATCTAAAACTAAGAGTTTTAGATGCGGGTGGCGCTGTGGGTTAAACCACAGAGCCTAGGACTTGCTGATCAGAAGGTCGGCGGTTCGAATCCCCGCGACGGGGTGAGCTCGCGTTGCTCAGTCCCTGCTCCTGCCAACCTAGCTGTTTGAAAGCACGTCAAAGTGCAAGTAGATAAATAGGTACCGCTCTGGCGGGAAGGTAAACAGTGTTTCCGTGCGCTGCTCTGGTTCGCCAGAAGTGGCTTAGTCATGCTGGCCACATGACCCAGAAGCTATACGCCGGCTCCCTCGGCCAATAAAGCGAGATGAGCGCCGCAACCCCAGAGTCGGCCACGACTGGATCTAATGGTCAGGGGTCCCTTTACCTTTACCTTAAGAGTACAGCATTAATATAAATCACAATTTAAAATGACATAGATAAAAAATAAAAGCAATTTAAAAACAAAACAAACAAAAATGGAGCCCTCTCTGCCCAGCAGCAGCGTCAGCAGTCCTTTGTGGTGCCTGTCAGGCCCCGCCCCAAGCCAGGTGGAGAGAAATAGGGCTGGCCCTTCAGGCTCCCAGCAGGTCAGTCCTGGGCAGCAGCAGCAGCAGCAGCAGCAGGTCAGTCCTGGTTTAAAGTAAACACTTAGTATTTTGGGGCACACTGCTTAAAAGCCCCTGCAGTTTTGCTCTCCCACTCCTGCTGATGCTGCACAGGGAAGGAAAGAAGGGAGGCTTGTCATTATGTGGGAACCTAGCCTCGTGGTTTGTTTCTCTGCAAACAGCCAGGAGTGGAAGTAAAAGGTTGTTCATGGCCTTCTGCACGTGGTTTTTTCCAGCGGAAACAAAGCACCTGTCCAGTTCTTATGTAGTGACAACACAAACTGTGACTTGTTTCCTCCCCAGCGTGTCATCAACAGGAGCAGGTAAGGAGCAAAGTGTGAGATAGTAGGTGTGGCTTCAATCTCTTCCTGCTGGGTGTTTTTAAGAAGCGCCAGTGGTACAGAAGGGGATCTTTGTGTGGTGCAGTTGTGCATGATGCTGGCAAGCAGGTGAGTGGATTTATTGAGCCAGTTTAGCTTGAATGGCTTCCTTTGAAGTGTCTGGCTCTTGGGGGTTTTCAGCTGGTGAAGAGAATTCTTTGTCGGGCGATTCCTAACCCCTCTCTCAGAACTGCAGCTCCCCAGAAAGAGGTGATGGCAGACTGTTTGGAACTTTTACAACTTGGAAGCCTGGCCTTCCAAAATGCAATGCTGTCCCAAACCCCAAAGCTGTATTAAAAGCAAGCCCAGTAATAAGACTGAATGAGAAATGACATCATGCAAGGGAGACCGAAATGGAACACTGTTTCCATGTAATAGGAATGCAGACAAAATATCGGTGCTGGAATTAAGCCCTTCTTAATTTGCTTATTTTTTTGCAGGCAGCCATGGAGGTAGCACTCTCCTTCCACACAACATCAACAACGAATTCCCGGAATATGGGGCTGTGGAGGAAGGTGCCAAAACTTCGGAAATGCCCTCTGAGGTTCACGAAGACGAACTAGTGTGTGTTTCTGAAGGGCAGCCATGTGACCAGCTGCCTTCTGAGAATGGCAGACCTAGTGATAAGATAGAGTTTTTCTCCGAGGGGTTACAAATGGCTCCCCAAGAGGAAGAAGTGTCAGAACCGTTTGGCAGGCCGAGTGAGACTATAGAAACTTCCCAAGATTTAGAATCTGAAAAGGCACTTGACAGGGAAAACGATGCTTTTGGTTCAGAGATGCAAATGGAAAAAGAGAGGAAAGCTGGCAGTGGGGCTGAGGAGGCAGCCAGGGAGATGGTTCTTGCAGGCCAAGAAAAACCTCCAGAAATGCCTCTTCCATCTGAAGCAACAGCGGAGAGAAAATTGTATTGGATCGCAGAAGAAGACTCTATGGTCTTAACTGTGGAAATACAGCCCGAGACCTTACGAACTGCTGGCGGTGCAACTGAGGAGGCCCACAAAATATGTGAAACCAGTTGCCATAAAGCTCTGGCCCAGCCAGAGGACAGAAAGGTGGGTGCTTCAGGAGTCCTTGGCGGTGCCTGGGCAGACTTTGAGCGGGAGTTTTCTGTGTTTGATTCAGACAAGGAAGAAAGAGCGCCCGAGAGGAGGATATCCAAAGAGGCGGCTGTGAGCAAACATGTGGAATTTCAAGGGGTGGAAATCCTTTGGATCCAAAAAGCAGAGGAGCAGAAGGAAACCGGACTCTCTGACACGGATAGTGTAGAAAGAAGATTCTCAAAACACCACCCACCACCCGCAGTCTCATCAGAACTGGACTGTTTGCCGGAACGCTCCTGGAATGTATCCTGGGGAAACTTCAGGCCTTTAACTTCGCTGGCCGAAGGTGGAGAGGATGAAGTCTTCATAGTAGAGGAAAAGAAGAACGGGGCATTGGAGAGGAAATCTATGTCGGACAAGGACAGGTAAAAAAGAAAAAAAGAATGAGAGAATGAGAAAGTCTCTCACTCTGTCTCTTCAGATTTGGGAGGGAACACAGTCCATACTTAAGAATGCTACTAGGCAACATGTTAGATACAGTCATACCTTGGTTGTTGAACGGAATCCGTTCCGGAAGCCCGTTCGACTTCCGAAAATGTTCAACAACCAAGGCGCGGCTTCCGATTGGCTGCAGGAGCTTCCTGCACTCAATCGGAAGCCGCGTTGGACGTTTGGCTTCCAAAAAACATTCACAAACCGGAACACTCACTTCGGGTTTGCGGCGTTCAGGAGTCAAAACGTTCAAGTCACAAGGCATTCGGGATCCAAGGTATGACTGTATTGGCTCTTGGGATGGTATCCTGTTGTTCAACACAAGGATTGTATTGATCAATACAAACAGTGTATACTGTTGTGCATAAGGCAGGGCATGATACAAAACACCCACAACACCCCGTCCCCCTGCGGCAATAAAATCAACAGTATTTAACCACCAGAAAACCTTATCCTAAGCAGTTTTCCCAAACAGTTTGGTCTTAAAACATTTTTTGTTCAGGCAACCCTATTCAGACATGTAGAACTTACATGTGTTTTATCCAGGGCTTTTTTCTGCCATCATTTGATGGAGCTCAGTCCCAGCACCTCTCAGGTGGGCACCGTTGCTATTATAAGAGAACAAGGGAGGTGTTCGTGGTGAGTTCCAACACCTCTTTTTCTAGAAAAATAGCACTGGTCTTACCTCTTTTTCGCTGCTGTTTGCTTTAATCATCCTTTGAATGCTTTTAAATACTTGTTTTAACTGAGTATTTTAGTGATTTAATTTAAATTTTTGTAAACTGCTTAATTTTTGTTTTGTTTTGCAGTCAATACTGCTGAATAAATAGCTAAAACAAATAACACCAAACCACACAATAACTGTGGGTGACCAGGAAATCTCTTGTTTCTTCAGTGGCTAAGGGCTGTAGGTTTAGGAGAATTAAGAACTGTTTATCAAGCTGCCTAAAACCATTCAGCGGGTGCAGCTTGCTGAGTCTCTAGAGGGAGAGAGGTTCACAGTCTTTGTGCTACAACTACATCTCAGGTGTTTGCCAAAGAAACTTTCAGTGGGCAAAGAACCCTGAACTAAGTTTCTCTGTAGAAGAGGCTTGCTTTGGCGGAAGCATTCCTGAAGCTATGGTAACTAGCTAGGAGGCGACTTGAGCATTATGGCGACCTGCTGCCATACAAATGAATATTTTTGCCCATTATTTATTTTCAACTACAACCACATAGTTAATCTTCAAACTGTGTGTTTAGCAATGGGAACAGCGCGAAACTCTCTCCCCTTATTCCAATACCTGAATGCTCATTATTTAACCCAACTTTTTACAAACAACTGCCTCAAAACAACAGCATGTCTCTCTGTCATGTATTAACTGCACTAGAATGGTTTGTGCATTTTTTTAAAAAAAGGTTAACAGATCTTGCAGATTTTTTTCCTGAACACTTTGGCTGTAAAACTCTGCACCCCTCCCTCCCCATTGCCTTTCATTTCTTTGGATGCTTCTATCATAGCAACAGGAAAGCTCTACCAGCAAGCAGCAAACAAATTCTGGTTCAAGGCCAGTCACAAGCTGCTTTTTGAAATGCTAAATGAATGCATCTGGCATCACTCCCTTTTGATTATTCAGGTTATTTCAAAGCTGGTCAGAATGTTCAGCCTGGCTTCCTGACTGCAGGCAAGCTATGAATGAGAATGAGATTTTTGCAGGAACGTGGGGGGTGAAGAGGGGGGAGACACTCCCCTCCCCATCACCTTGGTTTTACGTCCAGCAGAAGGGGAAGTAGGGTCTAAGTGCAGACTGGGGGGTGGAGAAACTGGGTTATGAGGAGTTTGGATTTGATACCCCGCTTTATCACTACCCTAAGGAGTCTCAAAGCGGCTAACATTCTCCTTTCCCTTCCTCCCCCACAACAAACACTCTGTGAGGTGAGTGAGGCTGAGAGACTTCAAAGAAATGTGGCTAGCCCAAGGTCACCCAGCAGCTGCATGTGGAGGAGCGGGGAATCGAACCCGGTTCACCAGATTATGAGACTACCATTCTTAACCACTATACCACACTGGCTCTCTCATCTCATCTCATGAGTAGATGAAGCGTTGGAATAGCCACTGCTGAATGTGTGGGAAGGGAAATAGGTGAAACTGAGACACCACTCAGCATCTTTGTCCTGAGACATATCTGTAGTTGGCAGAGACCACTTGGCTGGCATCTTGACAGCATTGATTGTCTCTGTTTGCTTGCCACCTGGTGTGTAAATATGCCAAGAAGAGTTTGAGTGAGTCCCATTGTGCATGTGGGCTCTCCCCTACCACGCACAGAGCTTTGGATAGGAACTGAGCGCTATTACCTTATTTAAATCGTTCATACCTCACTCTTCATTAACCCCAGAGAGACAAACATTACAAATGATACCATGAAACAATATTTCATTTAAATGCAGCTTAGTCCATTGTCTGGTTTTACATTCACAACACAACTGCACTTGCCAAATGAGAGACACCACTGGAGTCAAATTGTTTGGCAGCAGAGCATCACAGCTCCATCCGTTTTGGTGCTGTTCATGCCAGAGAGGGGCAGCGTTCGAGATTTGGGCTGCCACTATTGAGAACGCCCTTCACGAGGCGACTGCTCAGCTTCAGCTTGGTGATTGGCTAAGGTAGCTGGAGTTGTAGTCTGATAACAACTGGACTTGCAGGCTTGATGAGCACTGAACGAGGCAACCCCCTGCAATGCTGGCACCTCCCAGATCCTGTTGCTGTTGCTCCCATCACCACTACATTCCTGGACTTCCTCTGTCCCAGCCTTGCTATGATTTGGAATTTGAGGGGAGAAGGGCAAATCTCTGTTGTACCTTTATTTCACAGGCACATTAGGGGGTTCTCCTTCTATGAACCTATTTCGCTTTTTTAGAACAGCTCACTTTAGCCGCTCCTAGTCCAGAAGTAAAACCAGTTTGCTACTCCAGCTTGGTTTCAGTTTCCTTTAACGCTGTAAACCAGGGGTCAGCAAACTTACCACGCCTCGGACCGGTGTCTCCAGAGCCGATCGTGTGACGGGCCGGAGGGTGGGGGAGCGTGTGCCCAAAAGCGTGCGCACACGCTGTTTCTGGCGCACTTTTGGGTTGGAGGAGCGCCGGAAATAGCTTGTGCGCATGTGCACGGGCCTCCTCCGACCCGGATGTGCACCGGAAATAACGCGTGCGCATGCGCACAAGCTATTTCCGGTGCTTCTCCAACTTGGAAGTGGGCAGCCGCGCAGTGGCGGTAAGAGTGGGCGGTGGCGGGGGTTGCCGCGGGCCAGATAAACAAGTCCCTCGGGCCTTATCTGGCCCACGGGCCTTAGTTTGGGGACCCCTGCTGTAAACTATGCAGCAGCAGTAGGCAACGTCTTTAGTTGTAGCTTGCATTCTGTCTTCATCTATAGGGTAAGCAAGCAATAAACTGTATAAACATGATGGAGGAATGAGTAATATGTGTTACCAACCATTAGAAGCAGAATATAATCAAGTTTATTTTACTTTATTATTATTTTTTGTAGAATTTTTTTATTAGTTTTCAATTACATTCCAGTAATAGCCTCTTTATAACAATACCAATTTGCAATGCAATTATTAATACCAATCATTCAAACATCAAATTATATAATTTAAGTGGCTAGATTTGACGGCTTTCTAATTTTCTTTATTTTTGCGTTCCAAAATCTTATTAGTTTCAATTACATTCCGGTCATAATAATAATCCCTTATACAACAGCTGCAATATTAATAACTTCTATATGTGTTGACACATTAAATGATTTATAAAACTTCAAGTGAGGGACTCAAAACTATATCATTGTCCTTTCCTGTGGGTAGCACTTATTCTGTCAATGGTGTTTCTTCCTGTCCTTGTAAGACATTATATCTTTCTCTCCCCCCCCGCCCCCCCGGCTTGTTGCTGTTATCCATCATTCCTTGGGCGGAGCTGATATCCCATTGTTATAATGAAGTTTAGTTTAAACTGTTTGAACAACTAACCTCCTGGATCAAACGGCAGCTGCTATATCAAATATTATTTGGTTGGCTCCATGCCTCTCAACGGAGTGTGGCTAGTCCTTTATCTGAAAAGGTAATCACCTGGGCCAGATGCAATTCCTCACAATAGTAGTTCTTAGAATTAAATTTATTCCAATAGACTTACTCGTGAAAGCACAGATTTTATACAGAGTCACTAGAACGCCTTATTGCATGGTTAGGTAAACTAAGGCCCGGGGGCTGGATCCGGCCCAGTCACCTTCTAAATCTGGCCCGCGGACGGTCCGGGAATCAGCATGTTTTTACATGAGTAGAATGTGCCCTTTTATTTAAAATGCATCTCTGGGTTATTTGTGGGGCCTGCCTGGTGTTTTTACATGAGTAGAATGTGTGCTTTTATTTAAAATGCATCTCTGAGTTATTTGTGGGGCCTGCCTGGTGTTTTTACATGAGTAGAATGTGTGCTTTTATTTAAAATGCATCTCTGGGTTATTTGTGGGGCATAGGAATTCGTTCATTTTTTCCCCTTCAAAATATAGTCCAGCCCCCCCACAATGTCTGAGGGACAGTGGACCAGCCCCCTGCTGAAAAAGTCTGCTGACCCCTGGGCTGGTGCAGACAGGATGATCCTGACTCAGTTACATGAAGACAATGAATCCCTTCTTCTCTTCTCCTGCTGGTCTGAAGTGTGGTAAAATGTTACACTGGCCTCCATGTTGACCACAGTTAGGTCCCCTCTTAACCAGGATTTGCATCATAGCTAAAAAAAGAACACTGGTTTGCGTTATCTAACTTTTAACCTACTTAAACCATCCAACCCTTAACCATTAGTAAACATTGTGAAGGAAGAGTGGGGGACTGTTCATAGCAGAGGAGAGGAAAAAATAAATATTCTCCCCTCTCCTGCTCCTGCTGTTTTTACCATTCTTACAGGTCAAACTACATGTGGCATTCATTAGTCAGTGAAACCAATGGGACCTCTTTTGATAATACAAATGACAGGTGCAAGAGACCAGTTCCGATCAGGTGGGATGCAAAGGGTCAAAGCCCCGCTGCTTTCCATGCTAAGGTTTCTGTTATGTACTGAAGTTCTCACCCTGGGCCAACAGGGGGATACTGTAGATAGTTATACAAATAAGGGATTGAAAGTGACGTTCAGTGATTGGATAGTTTTAGAAAATTGTTACAGTTACGTTGTACTGGTGCTCTATATAAGCAGGTTGGCTGAACCCTTCAGTTCAGTTCTGTTCTGGCCTGTGAATAAACAAGAGCTGTTTGAAGAATCGCTGTGTCGTCTGATATGTTCACCCACAACTTAACAGTTTCAATGTGAAACAGCCCCCCCCTTCCATGTATACATCCCAAGCAAATGGAATTATGTGCCTAATGTCATGTGCAGTTCGACTCTATAAGACCAGGAGTTCTATGCTTCTGTGTTGGGGCCTAGTGCTGTTTTAGTCAGAAATATTAAGGCTCTGAAAGCCAGTAGATTATGGGTTTCTAAAGCAAAATCCAGTGCCAAAAGCAGATTTTGAAGGATTATCTAAATATTCTTACTATTCTGCTACCCCACCCCATCCCAAGCCATAGTCATTTGACCAAATTGCTAGGTTTACTAACAGATGTTTATGGTTTTCATCAAACAGGATTCCTCTTCTCTCTCATCTTAATGGAACATTACGAGGACTGATTTAGAAGGAAGCTGGTTTGGCGTTACGTAGAGCGTCAGTTATAATCTTTGCCGCTTTCAGAATGACTTTGAATGTGACAGTTATTTTGATAGCCTTGTTGTACCCAGCATTGCTGAGGAATACAGTGCAGTTTTCAAACTGGTGGTTAAAATCAATGCAGTTTTGGAAGGATTCACAAAGCCATTTGATTCAAAATGGCATTCAGTTGTATCCAGACTTAGCTAGAAATCTGCTTCTTCATCTCAGGAACCAACTTTTAAAATTTGGTTCCGATATCTTAAAAAGTGTCCAAATGCACAAAACAAATTTCCAAAATATATAGCAGAAGGAGATATCAGCAAGCACAATAGTCCTTTGCTTCCCTTTTGTTCATCTCTTCCTAAATACCGTATTGGCCCGAATATAAGCTGCACCCACATATAAGCCGTAACTTCAAAATTGGAGGGGGGGGGAAGAAAAAAAGAAAACATACCCGAATATAAGCCACTCCATTCCTGGCGCTGTTTGCTGCACTCTCCTGGCTGCATACCCTAAGGTCGCGAATATCAGCCACACTTTAACTTTTCACGGTCGGAATTTGGGGGAAAAGTGAGGCTTATATTCAGGCCAGTACGGTAGAACTTTTGAACTCACATGCAAACAAACCACTTTAGCACTTTGCACAAACCCTCGCATGCTAGAGGCATCGTTGCTTGTGGTATGCACACCCATCCCACTCTTGTCTCCATCCATAGGTTATATAGAGCTTCAAAATCACAGAATCATAGAACTGGAAGGGACTGTGAGGGTCATTTAGTCCATCCCCTTGTAATGCAGGAATCTTTTGCTCCAACCCATGTCCCTGAGATTAAGAGTGATGCTCTACCAACTGAGCAAAGCCAAGCCTGTGGGTTAATTATTTTATTTTATAGATTTTTTATTGTTAAAAAGAATCCTGCAACACGATAATGTTACAACATATTAAAATTATAAAATAACAAACAGCTGTGAGCAATATTAAAATAATAGTAAGGTAAAGGGACCCCTGACCGTTAGGTCCAGTCGTGGCTGACTCTGGGGTTGCGGCGCTCATCTCGCTTTATTGGCCGAGGGAGCCAGCGTATAGCTTCCGGGTCATGTGGCCAGCATGACTAAGCCGCTTCTGGCGAACCAGAGCAGCGCACGGAAACGCCGTTTACCTTCCTGCTGGAGCGGTACCTATTTATCTACTTGCACTTTGACGTGCTTTCGAACTGCTAGGTTGGCAGGAGCAGGGACCGAGCAATGGGAGCTCACCATCGCGGGGCGGGGATTCGAACCGCTAACGTTCTGATCGGCAAGTCCTAGGCTCTGTGGTTTAACCCACAGCACCACCCGCATCCCATTAAAATAATAGCAGACAATAAAACCATTTATTACAATGTAGTCCTTTTTTTGTTTTAGAAAGTTTTAGGATTCGTCTAAAAACAAATAAGCAGGGGATCACACTTATCTCCCCATGGAAGTTATTACACGGATGGGGAGGAATGTCTAGGGAAAGGAAGCCTGTGTTATGCCACCTTCAACTCTCTGAATAGCCACTGTCTGTCCTTTTGTTCTGTGACTTGGCTGCGATGTTTGGAGAACAGACCCAAAAGCTTCAGAATCTCCAAAAGCTAATCTAGAGTAGGGACACAAAGTGTGTCTTTTCTATGAACACAATGAGCTGATGTTCTTTCTTAGTACACATCATAATGTGCAAGCCACTTTTGTTTCTACTTGAGTACAGGGACCGGGTGGGGAGGGGGTGGAGGGAGCCAGAGGGAAAGACAAGGGTGTCTGTTCTTCATTAACACAATTGAAACCAGACGTGTAAACATTGGTACCTGGTCATCAAAAGGAAAGGCTAGTTATGCGTGTATGTGTCTGCATGAAACATCCGCAGAAGATCTGAGTGTGCCCACATGAAAACCTTAAAGCAGAAACTGAAGAGGCTGTCTTTGGTTTTGAATCCTAGGCTCATGGAGGAGGAAGAGGACGACGACGACGAAGCCATCAGTGGAAGAGTGGAAGATGTCCTTGGGCAACCGCACTCCGAAGTCTCAACAGATGTGTACAGCTCCCAGTTTGAAAGCATTCTGGACAATGCCTCTTTATATTATAGCGCGGAGTCCCTGGAAACTTTATATTCTGAGCCGGATAGCTACTTCAGCTTCGAAATGCCGCTCACTCCCATGATTCAGCAGCGTATCAAAGAAGACGCTCAATTTTTAGAAAGGACTCCTGATGGGGCAATAAGAAAAGGCCACAGCGGCGGGATTGCCAATGGACTAGGAGATGTGAAGGAGACGGACATCACAGAAGCTTGTCATTTAGAAAGGTAACTAAGAAATGGCTTCCGTATTACATTTGCTGTTGCTTTTGCACTGAGAATGAGCTTTTTAATCCTCACGGGTAGAAGAAAGTGTTAGCTGAGTGGCACATGACAAAAAAGTGTGTGTGTGTGTTTAATTAGTTGCTAGTAAAAGGGACCTTGGTGTGAGAAGAGTCTCTATGCTGCAGAGACCTCTGAGCGGCTGTGTGTGCTCTGTGCACAGAGCCCTACAATGCTGCTGGGTGTTTTCCTTTCTGAAGACTAGGCTGCTCAATGATAGAGGCATGTTTACATGCACTCTCTGTGGACGAGGTTTTTGAGCAGGCTTCCTCAACCTCGGCCCTCCAGATGTTTTTGGCCTACAACTCCCATGATCCCTAGCTAGCAGGACCAGTGGTCAGGGATTATGGGAATTGTAGTCTCAAAAATATCTGGCGGGCCGAGGTTGAGGAAGCGTTTTTGAGCCTCTCTTTATCTGCACCGTGTTCTTGGTTAAGCTAACAGTAGGACCAAATCTTGGAGACATTGGCTCTTTTTAATGCCTGAATGGGCATGCAGTATGTTCAGTCAACTGTCTAGAACTTAAATACCATATGTGCTATTAGCAAGAACCTATTTTGCCTGGTATACAAAGTAGATGGGATAAGCCTTGGTCCCAGTTTCGGTGAATCCCTTCCACCTGCGGCAAAATTTAAAAAGAAGTGGATTAATCTCTCCATGACTTTGCCAGTTTCCCATAAGCATGGAGATTTTGATGTTGGGAAATGTCCAAACCTATGACCTTACCTATCCTAGCGGTGTGCAGCAGTACAGACACAGGAACGCTGTGCCACATATTCTGTCAAAGGGCCAGATGTAAAGTAATGTGAAGCTTGACACGTCAAGCACTAGGAATCTTTTAATTTAAAACTGTAAATAGCATTTGCTCACAGTTATCCCTTGTTCTCCTTCTCTTCCTCTCTGTCTGGCTGGCAGCTAGAATTGATTGTAAGCTTCTCTAGGCAGGAACCTCTCTGTCTGTCCGCCCTGCTTATGTTACCTTATAAAGTTCGGTGCACAGTGATGGTGCAGTATAAACAAACCTTTAGTGCAGATGAGTTGATAGGCAATCTATAGCCATTGTGTCAGCTGTAGGCCTCTCCCAGTGTATTATTGGTACAATGGAAGGCATGCACGCTGGCTCAGGTATCTGGGTGGGTATGTGTCGCCATTGCCATGGACAGTCTGTTAATCTTATTCATTATGAGAATAAGCCTTCAGCTCATTTAAGGAAATTCGAAGATCTGGCTTGGAACCACCAAGGCTAGAAGTGTAAGCAAATGCTGAACAAGCTGTCATAAGAAGCTTAACTCCGCATTTTCTATTTGCTGTTGGGCTGTCTTATCAACAAAGGCTTTTGGATTTCATTTTACTTTCTCTTATTAAGCCTGTGTGGTGGAAGAAAATAAGTTAACAGATAGGTGGGGCTTCTCTGCGCTTTGATGTACAGCTTCAAGGCATGGGGCACTCAGTCCTATCTCCTAATAAAAAGTATGGCGGGGGGTGGGGGAATGAAAGCTTTTAGCTTAAGCATCTTGAGTGCTGGCAGTACAGCTTCCCGGTTCTGCATGTTGTAACAGAATGAAAGCTAGGGCTGAACTAATCTTCCCAGGGGAAGTTAGCAAGCCAGATTTACTTGGAAATTGGAACATAAGCTAAATATACCTCACATTTCCCCCAACTGAATGTGCTTTTAAGCTTGGCTGTGTTGTCAGTTGCTAGTTGGACATTTGTTTCTGTTTACACATATTTTTAATTTATTTGTGCTATTTATACTATGCCTACTAACCAAACTCAATAGATATTAAAGCCTTTAACGCTCTTCTGTTCCTTAGGATTTTGCAGTTTGATGCACTTGTAATGTGTACCTTTTAGAAATGTATTAGTCAGCGTCTCCTATATTGGCTGAATTTCCACATAAAGCCATGTTTTGGCAGTGCTATGTGGATGAGCCTCAGCAGTATGCTGTGCTTGCCTGCTCTTTCCTTCCATTTGAACCCAGGATCCCTAAGCTTCATAACAAGCCAGGGGAATATGATCTGCAGACCATGATGCCTTTTCAAGAAGTCCTTGAGACCACAAGAGAAATCGAGGAATATGTTAAAAGACCTTTCGCAAGCAGAGGCTGAAATAAAATCACCCTTAAATAGCAGTGTTTGGCGGACAAACAACTTTGTGACGTGTGCTAGACGTTTCGCCCTGTCCGTTCACCATGCGTGTTTAATGCAGCTGCATTCGAGTTCTGAACTGAGAAGCTTTTCAAGCAGACTCCCACATGGTTGCTGTAACGTGGAGAGAGAAAAAGAATTATTACATGTTAGGGCTCAGAGAACAGGCAAAGGAGAATAGCGGCCTTCAAGACAATGGAGTTTTAACAATTGCTCGATGTGGCAGCCTGTGCTGATTCATTAGGATAAGTCATGCTGTCAGTAGAAGCAAAAAATGTTTAAAAAGGAAAAGGAAACCTGGAAGAATGCTGAGCAGCCAATAGGTGTCCCCTTTGAGCTGCTGTGAGGAGTTCAGTATGGTATTCAGAACAGCATGTTTTTGCAGCTTCTTGGTTCAAAGGTAGCTCAGGCTCCAAATGATATGGTCAACAACAACTTAGCAACCCCCATTTATATACTCAGGACATGTTGGGGATCAACTGACTTGCATGGGAGACAAAATGGGCTGCAACAAGGCAGACACAGTTGAAGAGAGGCAGAATACATAACAGATTGCAGCTCTTAGTACTGAGTGGGGCCTGCTGGAAACTGAGCTTTTTTGTGTGGCCTGTGCAAACCCACCTTCCGTTTTGTTCTTGCTCACTCTAGAGTGTGACAAAGAGACTGAACCTAGGAACTGACTTTACGTACTTATTTTTATATTGCACTGTGCTTGTGGCTGAGTAGGTGTGATAGCTAAGCTCACTGTGCAGTTACTTAAAGCAGTTTGCAATCCAGTTTATGCAGCGGAACAGGAAGTTTGCTGGATGCGCAGAGATCAAAACCTCACATGGGGTGGCTTATGACTGAGAACAGGTCCAAGGAGAGAAACTAAGGGAGACTTAAGAGCAAGAATTTGAAAGGAAGGTGCAGAGTAACTGAGAGATGAAGGGATCAGTGGAGAATGAGGTTTGAGGACAAGGAAAGAGGAGACAAAGAATTGATGCAGTGTGATAACATGGGAAACACAGCAGTGCTAAAACAAGTTTTATAAGTCCACAAAAGTTATTAGCCTCTGTAATGTTTTGCTAGCCTGGTGGGGGCTGACAGAAGAGGGTTGAAGAGCTACATTTCCTCCTTTAGTAGCAGCCCATTTGGTTTCCATGTTAGGCAGAGAGGAGGGATCCTCACTTACCAACTTGAAATTCCTGATCACCTATGGTTACCGGGCTAGTATTTAAATGCAAATCTCTTTGTGTGGATGTTTTGGGAAAACAACAACCCCAATATCTTTATTAAATACTGTATGATCAAACAAAAAAGGGAAAGGCAAGGTTTAATAACTCCAGAACTCTGTGGAACGTGGTCCCCTAATAACAGAGGTCTGGTTTTCTTAATTGCGATTGAATTGATGTGCTTAATCTCCCTTTTGAGCTTCTGTTCTTGTGCTACTTGCCCTTCTAGCTTTTATATGAAGTGTTTTTGGTTTGCCTTTTGCCATGTTAGAAAACTCCAATACAATATATGTTATAATAATAATAATAATTCCAGAACGGTTGAATGTGAAAGGAGCAACAACAACTGTGAGCCACCTGAGATGAAGAGGGGCTAAATACTGTGGAGAAAGAGAATGTGAAATGCTAGGGAGACTGTTGAGGGACAGGGTAGAAGAAGGAAGTGGAACAAAGTAGGCTGTGGCCTGAAAAGGCATAAATCTGAGGAAATTATTTTTTTGGGTGGAGACATGAAGAACAGCAGAACCAAAGGCTAAGTGGGACCGAGGCAGAATTACACATAGGGGGTTAGAGGTAGGAGAAGTTGCGCTTTCTTGAAGGAAGTGGATGGGCAAGGGGAGGAACTGAAGATTAGGGGGTAAGGATAGGCTTCCTTTGCGGAGAATTTATCAACCCGAATATTGGAATTTTGCCACAGAAGGGTTTGTGACCTGGCCATCTTAAGGGGCCCCAGTGTGGACTAGGAAGCAGTGAGTGATGGCGGGGGCTGAATGTCACAGACTGGCTTGAAGTAGCCAGCGCATACTTTGGCTCTAGACTTCCAACATTCATGTACACTCACATGCAAAATACCTATCAGTATCATGGGCAGGTTGGTGTTGAGGGGAGGGTTTTTTACTATGAAGACTTCCAGCAGAAACAGTTTGCCCCGTACACGAAATTTTATTGCGCTCCCCTGAAGGATCCCAGACAGTGAGGGTTAGGTTGCACAGAGTCATGGATCCTTGGCAATTTTTTGCCCTTAGGACAGTAGCGTTCCCTCCTCCCTCAGGACTCGACGGTTGCCACTGGCGACTGTTCCTGTTCCCTGCCTCAATTATTTCAGCTACTGGAAATCATGCCACGTCACATCCACTTAGTCCCATCTTGAGTTCTCTGTTTTGGTCATGGTAGGGGCAGGCTGTGTGAGAAAAGAGACCACTTCCCTTTTTGGTGCCTTGCTACTCTTGTGTAACGATATACCGTTCCTCACACGTTTAAATCCTCAGATATATGCGAATTTATCTCAGGTAAACCCAGGTGAGAGGATTTCAAGCCCCCTTCAGCCAGGAGAGTTGTCCTCAAAAACAAATGAAGAAAATGGCCTCAGTCAGAGGGAGCCCTCTCTGAACTTAAGTCACAATATCTCAATATCTGCCTGCTCTCCATGGAAGCCAGTTATCCGATAAAGGTTTATGTCTTTGTGGCCTGTCCTGTTATGGTGCTGATGGCTGACTCCCGTTGACCACCGTTTATCAGGGCTTCTGCATCTGGAACCAGTACCAAGTGGCGAAGTAATGTTCTTACTCCTGCTAACTCCAACCCACCTGCTTCCCAGTTTCTCTCATTCTCCTCAGGAAAGACAGCAGCCACTGTAAGGAGAATGAGAGAAGCGGTTTGGGACGCAGACAGGCACATGAATGAGCTCAGGTGCCCAATCCCAGGGAACAGCAGGTAGAGCTCGTGTGTGTGTGTCTGCCTCCCTGTCTGTTTCCTCACAGGGGCCATTGTGTTTTCCTGAGGAAAAAAACAAGTCAGTCAGTCAGTTGCATGCATGAGCTCAAAGACCCAGGTATGGAGCACAGCTGTAAGAGCATCATGGCGTCCTTCAGAAATATGCTCCAGTTGCTGCACTCTGTGACTGGGCCTCCAAGCTCGTGTGTGTTTCTACACGCCTTCCATTCTTTTAGGGAATAGTAGGAACAGCTGCAGAGCAAAACCCAGGCAACATCAAGGCAGGGTCGGCACCCTTCCTTCTGCTCACAACCTGGCCCCTATGATCTTGGGTCAGGTGGTCTCTCTTTCCCACCTTTATTATGTCCCAGTTGCAAAGCAATCTCCTCCACTATATCCCTCCTATTCCTACATATGGCACAAATCAGCTCACAGCGTCTGCTAGACCCTTCTCCACCTGGTAACGTATAACCAACCCCTCTGTGCCACTATTTTTGGTATTCAGCTTGCCATTAGCAGGGAGCTCACAGAGGGAGATAAAAAGTTTGATTCTCCCCATCCTTGGTCCCACATATAAGACCTGAACCCTGAGAAAAGACAACCCTCGTCTACATAAAAAGGTTTTCCTACTTAGGCTTAGCTGATCAAATTTATTTTCTGCCTTTCTTCCAGGGACCTTAGGGCAACATACATAGGGCTACCCCACTCCAGAATTACCAGTCTTAGATGGTAAAATAGGCTGAGAATGATTTGCCCAAGGCTGCCTAGTCAGCTTGGTGGCTTAGTGGAGACTGAAGACTGCTTTTGTGAGAACAGACTTCGGCTAGCTGCTGCCGACTGACCAGTAATGGCCAGCAGGTACCGTATTTTTTGCTCTATAAGACTCACTTTTTCCCTCCTAAAAAGTAAGGGGAAATGTGTGTGCGTCTTATGGAGTGAATGCAGGCTGCGTAGCTATCCCAGAAGCCAGAACAGCAAGAGAGATCGCTGCTTTCACTGCGCAGCGATCCCTCTTGTTGTTCTGGCTTCTGAGATTCAGAATTTTTTTTTCTTGTTTTCCTCCTCCAAAAACTAGGTGCGTCTTATGGTCTGGTGCATCTTATAGAGCGAAAAATACGGTAATTGTTTTTCCGAGTTGCTTCATTGCTTCCAACAGAAGCAACGCAGAAGATAGCACATCTTCTCCTTGAAGACATCATCTTAAATCTTGTGTGTGTTTATAGGTCCGGAGAGGGGCCAGACACAGAACTCGAAGCCTGCACCAGGCCACAAAACTACTACGTATTTAGTAAATCCAGTACTGATAGTGCCCTCTTCATTGACCCATTTCTGCTGTCCTTGAGTGTCCTTCATGTGTTTGATCTAGGTAAGGAACATAGGAAGTTTCCTTATACAAGAATCGTCTGTCCTTTCTGGCCACGGAGTTCAGGCAGGGGTCTATCCCAGCCTTACCTAGAGATGCCAGGGAATGCAAATTATGACGTTTGACTCCCATCCGTTTAGAAATATTTTTTAACTTTAACATGGACTTGAAGCGTCAAAACAGGTTGGTAAGCATGTCTGATAGCTAGTGGATGTACAGAGGACCAGATTGGAGAAACCAGCTGGTCCTTTGAAAGCCAAGATATGAGCAAGAGGACCAGAGCTCAGCAGGAAATGGATTTTCTGTCTCAATACTGAAGAATCTGTCAGAAGGGAGATGCAATCCCTTTGTATCCTTTTTTTTTTTAAGATGCCAGGTAGATTTTAGATCAGAGGCCAGTTGTCTGTGTGTGTGTGTGTGGTCGTTTATGAAGCTCTGACGGCCGTGGTGCAAAGCAGAGCCAGGCTCTAAATGTTGGTTAGAGATCAGCTGATCGACAGGAGGGGTGATGTGTGGCAGTAATGTTATCCAATCCTTTAAATGAATGAGCAGAAGGGGACCAACCTTTTTCTCCATGCGGTTCAGCTGTTAGGGGGCTGAGTTTCAGGGAGAGGGGGGCTTGAGAGGCGAAGCCGCTCTGTGAAAGTGAGTCACATGGCTTTGAAATTAAAAAGACTGATTAGTAGCTTGTGGGCTAAGGAGTCCCTATGGGCTCCTTTGTGTCTGGGTGTTTCTCTCCGCCTGGCCTATCAGCTGCTGACCTTGGCTACGTTCAGTAAGTCTGTGCCCAAACTCTGCATGGCTTCAGTGTACTTGCTGTGACATTGGGGTGGGGTGGGGGAAGCAGTGTTCTTTTGATCGCAAGGTGGGAGAGGCATGCCTGGGAGAGAGAGAGGCCTTGGCTGCTCTGAAATCAGTTAGCATGCATGTTTTATGTAGGATCTTGGCTGAGTTTCCCCTAAAGGGCGAGGTTGTTTTTGAAAAGGGGAACTCTCTCTTAAACATAGTTCGGTTACTATGTGATCTCACTTCCAAATAAGGTGCAGCATCCAACAAAAGAGTTGGGAGCTAAAGAGAGAGAGAACCTGCTATTTCTGGAAGGATATTTCCACTCTTGTGTTTCTGTTTTGTTTTGTTTTGCCTTGGAGTTCGATAGCTAGCATTTGAAGAGACAGGGCAGCTATCGCAGGAGGTTTAGCCATCGCCAGCTTCGGCTCATTGAATGGATATGAGCCAGCTTTTTATAGGATGCACAGATAAGATATAGATACACACACGCCCCCCCCCCCCAGCAAATTGATCCAGATCTGCTCCTATCGTTGCCATCCCAGAAAAGAAAAAGGGAGGGGGCAGGGGAATGAATGATGTCTGTGGTGTTTAGAGGCCACTTAGGGGTATAAAAAGGGGAATTTGGGCCTTGTCTCACCACCAGCACAGACACATGATATTTTGCACCCTCTTCTCTTTAATTAAGATAGGATTAAAGTCTACTTGGAATGTCTTCTCTTCAAGCCTCACTGGAAGGAAGCCTGTCTGTGGCTAGTACAACAGTTGTATATCTTGTTTTTTTAAAAAACAGCTTTGAGACCTACATGGTTTAAAGCAGGATACATTAAAAAAATAAAAATAACGACACATATGCAATTAATTCAGTATCTCTTCTGAGCCTCAGAGCAAGACTGTTTTACCTTAGGGTAATTCCATTGTTCTGCACATGTTTCCTATCTATTAAGAATGCAATAAGAGTCCCACTGCATCAAACCAGGATCCATCTAGTCTAGCAGCCTCTGTGACAGCTGCAGGGCAATCTGACTTTGGGAAACTGACAAGCAGGGCATGAAATCAACAACCCCTCTCCTGTTCTTTGGCTCCAGCAGCTGGTACTTGGAGGTATCCAAACTCTGAAGTATGTGTATTAGGAGGTGGGGCTCTGTGTGTGTACGTACGTACATGTACTTACATGGCGTTATAGGCACCTAGGAGCAGAGGATATGGAGATGTGTATGTGTATGTACACAAGCAGGATGTGAAAGTGGTGTAGGAGGTGACAAACTGAGACCTAATTTCTCGCTGGTTATTGTTTTGCGTCCTAGCTCAGATGAAATAGGCAACTTTTTCATGCACACACTTAAATAAAATGGCCATTACATTGAATGAAGTGACAACTTTTGATGTAGCCTGGGAGTACAGCACGTGTTGCAGGGTAGGAAGGCAGACAGAAGAACTTGCCTTATTCAGAGTTAGAATGATGGCCTGCACCTGTTCCACTGGTCTTCAGTTCGTGGGTCAAGACTCACTACAGGGTCACAACCTGACCTAAGGTGGTTTACAACACAGCAGCGGCACTACCACCCCACGTATATTTGGTGAACTATTAAAATATGGGTACCCAAATGCACATTTGAGTTAAAGGTGAGCCCCAGGTCTGAAATGGTTGATACCTCAGGTTACATACGTTTCAGGTTACATATGCTTCAGGTTACAGACTCCGCTAACCCAGAAATAGTGCTTCAGGTTAAGAACTTTGCTTCAGGATGAGAACAGAAATCGCAGAGCGGCGGTGCGGCGGCAGCAGGAGGCCCCATTAGCTAAAGTGGTGCTTCAGGTTAAGAACAGTTTCAGGTAAAGAACGGACCTCCGGAACGAATTAAGTACTTAACCTGAGGTACCACTGTACTGCTGAATCTCTTCCTGCCTTGTACCCAGTTCAACTTTGAAGGGGGAGGGAGAGGGGTTTATGCGTATGTTTCATATATTTGTTTATAACGTACTGGTTACATGCATGATATTTTACAATGCAAGATAAACACAAAATAATCTATATATATTTTAAAAATGGACTGCCTCAAGGTTCCTTCTGTTCCTTCCTAATGAGAAATGTGACGTTCTAATGTTTTATGTGGAAGAAACATAGAGGAAGGAGGGATGGAAGAGAGAAGGATAACATATACCATCCGTTAGACTTAGCAGTAGTTTTTGGATACAGGCAACATTTTTGTGGGGGTTACGTTCCAAGGCACTGCGCATTTAAGTGAAATTGTGTATATGGGTAACACCACTGGAAAAGCTTGCAAACGCCCTCTAAACTTCCTTGCTCAAACCTCAACTCTCCATAGGTTTCAAAGGTTAGTGCAAAGGATCCTGAGAGTTAATACTGTATATTCTATCTTCACAGCAACCCTGTGAGGTAGGTTAAGCTGAGGGGGATCTTGGGACCGCCACAAATGCCTAACCAGCCTACCTCACAGGGTTGTTGTGAGGATGGTGGGAGTAAGAGCACAGTGCCGGCTACCTTGAGCTTCTCAAAGGAAAGGTGGGGCGTAAATAATTGGGGGCTATATAGAAGAGGCAAGGGACGCGGGTGGCGCTGTGGGTTAAACCACAGAGCCTAGGACTTGCCGATCAGAAGGTTGGCAGTTCGAATCTCCGCGGCGGGGTGAGCTCCCGTTGCTCGGTTCCTGCTCCTGCCAACCTAGCAGTTCGAAAGCATGTGAAAGTGCAAGTAGATAAATAGGTACCGCTCCGGCGGGAAGGTAAACGGCGTTTCTGTGCGCTGCTCTGGTTCGCCAGAAGCGGCTTAGTCATGCTGGCCACATGACCCAGAAGCTGTACGCCGGCTCCCTTGGCCAATAAAGCGAGATGAGCGCCGCAACCCCAGAGTCAGCCACGACTGGACCTAATGGTCAGGGGTCCCTTTACCTTTTTATATAGAAGAGGCAGGTTTTAAGATGGGTTTTCAAAGAACAGTGAGCTGTAGTACCATTGGAGGAAGGGTGATTTGGGGTGAAGAGACAGGAAGGGAGAATTGATAGAGTTGTTTGAGAGCAGGTGAGAACAGAAAATAGCTCGGGCTTTTAAGTGACAAAAATAGAAATATTAATAGTATCTATAACAAGGGAGTGAAAAGGTGGGAAAACTGCTCCAGCTTTGCAGAATCCCAGTACCTTTCAATCTCTGCAGCATAGCTCTTTTCAGCTGTCTTTTAGTGAGACGCTAGTCAGACTGGTGCATGCAGGCTCAGAATTTAACAGCGTGGCTTCTCTGATCCATTAGTTAGGTCTGTCAGTAAAAAAAAAAGAAAAATGCCACAACCCTTTGCATTCTTGCTAGTTAACTCTGCTGTTCTCAGCTGTCTACCTAGAGTGATAGCTGCAATCACTTGCACTGAAATTCAGGGTTCTCCTTTCTCCTCTCCCTTCCAAACTTAGTGTGACCACTAGGAACCAGTATTCAAGCTGTTTGGCGGCGTAGCTGATAAAGAAGCTGATTTGCAAAGTGGAAAGGTTAGTTTGCTGGAGCTGCTAGTGTTTTGTTTTTTTAAAAAAGAGTTATGCAGCCGGCAAGCATGAGACGTTTATATTCAATTACGCCCCCCCTCCGGGGAAAAACACCACCACCTATTTGAAAAGGAATTGTAAATGCTGTATTTTTGGAGCAGCTGTTTCTCTCCTCTAGAGGACAGAATTTAATCCAGAAGCAATTGTAGAAATAGCTGGAGCTACTCTTTTGTTCTGGTCTCCAAATGGTTAAAGGGAATGTTAAGTGGGGGGGGGGGTCAGGAGTGACTTCATTGTATATTGTTCTTGTTTGAAGCAGGTCTGTTGGAGGGATGTTATGTTAGGGAACTAGGAAGAAGGGGAAGGAAGTCCTTAAATTTGTTTTAAGTTTTAATTCCTGCTCCCCAAGGGATGCATAAAAGCAGAAACTTGTGTATGATGTGTGTTTATTCCTCTTTCTGAAGCATGAGAAGGTATCGGTGGAGAGAAAAGAATTGCTGAGCAGGTAGAATGCACTGATAACACGTTTGTCAAGGGCATAGTTACCGGCTGACCATTTTCCAAGCCAGGTAATTAGATATTTCCCTACTTCTTTTTCAGTTAACTGTGATTTAGCAGGGGAAAAAATGCAATTTTACTCTGAGAATCAGCCTAAGACATGCTGCTTTTGAAAATCAAGTTTGTGACTATAAAGTCAAGAACGGTGTCTATATCTAGCAATGCATTAACAATGCATTGTGAGATAATTAAAATGTTATTCTCCCTGCACCAATTAAGGTTTCATTTCTAAATCCGCTTGCTAGGGAGTAAGCACCATTGGAGATAGTGTGACTTAACCACTTTGAGGTTGAATATAAATCCTTGTGTTTATATGCAGTTAATTAAGATGAATCATTAGGGATTAGTGAAGCTACCAAGGCCCATAATTACTTTCTACTATTTACCTGGGCCTAAGATGCCAGGAATTTTCCTTCTAGCTGAACTCTGATAGCCTGCTGATAGATTTCAATAAGCTTGACCCTGCCATTCTATACGCATTATTGCCCTGCCAATTGTAAATTAAATCAGACCTTAAATTCTTCTTCTTACAATTACCTTGTTTTTCTTATAATTGAGAGAAATGCACAATGTATACATGATGAAGTTCTTGCACATATAGACACAATTCCACTTTGAGAAGTGTGGTGCAAATGGTACAGAGGCTGTTCATTTAAACAAGAATTTGTTTCACACATGATTCTATCAAACCTTTCAAAAATTAGATTTTAAGGAGCAGCAAACTGTCATTATCAGTAAAATATCAAACAAACTGCCCATTGTGGCAAGGGTTGTGTTTATTGGTTTAATCCTGCTTTCATGCATGGGATAGCCTTGATCCTCTTATCACAGTTATCCTATAAAGTTAGGCTTTGCGTCCACTAATCTAGACACCCACTAAGGTGCTTGAGTGTGTGGCTGGACACTTAATAGATGTACCTGGATGAAACAGAGTACCTGCAACTCTGGGCAGGTCACAACAAAATATTAAAAACACAATAAAACCTCAAACATTAAAAACTTCCCTGTACAGGGCTACCTTCAGATGTCTTCTAAAAGTCATATAGTTCTTTGTTTGACATCTGATGGGAGGGTGTTCCACAGGGCGGGCGCCACTACCGAGAAGGCTCTCTGCCTGGTTCCCTCTAACTTCACTTCTTGCAGTGAGGGAACCACAAGAAATATAAATAGGTAATCTGCACATTAATTAGGGATTTTCTCCTGTTTTACTTGCTGGCTGCTAATTGAAACCAGCGCTTAAAAATGTTTAAGTATATATATTTGTCAGAGAGAAAGCGGAGGAAGGGAGGAGGATGTTGGCGTAGTGAGTCCATGATTCTCTTGGGCTACAGCAAAGCAGACAGACCTCAGATGTGTGCCAGCAAACCTTAGTATGACTTGACAGAGTCAGTTAAGTGCTGTAGGAAATAAGTATGTTAGTATCAAATTTTATTTCGGTCACAGACCAGCATAAGATAAAACATATGGATAAACTGAACACATAAGGCTTAAAAGAGGTAAGGAATAAAAACCAGTAATTAAAAGGTGATTATATTGTACATATTTAAAAAGATAGAAACAGAGACAAACAGTTAAAAGCGACTATAAGGGAGGGAGCGTGAAGGTCTTACATTTGGGGCCTAGTTTGTGTTAAATAATGAAGGGACCCCAAGAGGCGCCGCTTATCCCAATTGTCTCTTCTCAGTGCAGGTAATTCTGTGTGTCTCATCAGGTTCAGTGTCCGAATTACCTAAGTTACCATTTAAAATATTGCAATACAGGTAAGAATTTATATTGGCAACATTATTTAAACGTGCACCCTAAAAGCAAACTCATTGCCTATAAGAGTGTAGTGCAGGGGTCCTCAAACTTTTTCAGCAGGGGGCCGGTACACGGTCCCTCAGACCTTGTGGGGGGCCGGACTATATTTTTTGGGGGGGAAACGGCAGCGGAGGGATGACAAGCCATGCGTGAAAGAATGCGAGAGGGAAAGAATGCGCATGCTGGCGATCCATGCAGCGATTCCCGGACCGTTCGCAGGCCAGATTTAGAAGGCAATTGGGCCTGATCCAGCCTGCGGGCCTTAGTTTGCCGACCTATAGTGTAGTGTACCAACAATTCTAAATAAAACAAACAAACGCGCCCCAGCTACCAATATGCTGGAAACACAGCAGTAAGGAGTTAAGGGTCGGTCCGTCTGTCCACCTCAAATTTAGCCTGCTTTTTCCTGCAGCAGCATACAGTAGGCGACGTTTAAGCCTTACAAACAACCCTTTGAGGTAGGTTTGCTTAGCCTGAGACACAGACACTTCACCATAGCAACTCACCTTGCTTCCTGTTAGACTTGAGGCTTTTCAGCTGCTGATGGGAATGCTTTGTAAGCCAGAATGCGTAAGTTATTTTAAAGGAAACCTATAACTGTTCCTTTGCAGTGTGGTGAGTTCAGCAGGTTGGTGCGGTTCTTTCTCTCGCCCTCTCCGTCCCCTCCTTGTCATTGTCTTTTTGGCAGATTTCCACTGTGTGAGTGAGTGAGTGAATGGCACAGAAGTTCTGTTCATAGGCTGATAGGCGCAGAGCGACTTTGCAGCATTATTCTGGAGTTGTGTGTGGGAGCAGCTGGGTCACTCCTATCACAGAAGCGTGAGCTTCTTCAAAGCATACCTTTTGAAGGCCATTTTCGTGTAGGACTTCAAAGTGCAGCATCGAATGGTGTGTAAGCCAGGTTAACGCAGGGTAATGCAATTTATCAAATACTGAGAGTGGGGATTTGTTTACCGTCTTGATTCTTTTTTCAAGAGAAAAAGTTAATTAACAAGGAAGTTGTTCCTCAGCATCTGATGAATTTCCATCCTATGCAGACGCCTCCTCAGTCTGTCATGTTGATTGTCACATGCAACATTCTTACGCATATGGTGTTCTATCTGAGTGCTGCAACTGTTGGTAGGATATTTGCAACTAAAGATAAATTGCAGGGTGTGTTCTTTTAATCTTTTATATGAAACAACTTTCAAGTTCACCATTTTGAAAGCAGAACTTTATTTTTGCCATGAGAGCTGTTCTGAGAATAGTCACACTGATCAGAGGCATTTAGATGTTTATCAGACCAATCCCATAAAATGAAACAATAAAAAATAAACAAAAAGAAAGAGAACTGTCCTTCATAACACTATGCCTTGACTGATTGTGAGGGTGCACACTTTTTGGAAGGCAAAGATGCAGAGCTAATCAGATGGTTGCAAGCTTTGACCTGGCCACTGATAAAAAATCTAGACGTCTAAAACTTTGAGGGGATCAGCAGTTGTTTTTAGTTTTTGTTCAGTATTTTTTTACTGTAATTTATTTTTTTTAAAGATGCCTTTAACACTTTTTATCCAGCCTTTCCACCTAGTTTTATAACATTTATTTCAAAAGATGATGTGTCCCCAGAGCACGTGTGTATACACATCTATGCTAGGAAGTAAATATACACATTCAGCACTGCTGGACATGTTAGCTTCCATTTATCAAAGAGTTCCATATGGGCTAGTCTTCCATATTGGTTTCTATTCACTCTGCCAAATGGGCAAAAAACTCCTTTGCTAGTCTGTTGCTTCTGTATCTTTCTGGTTGAGTACAGAGGCGTAGAAGAACCATAGAATTGTAGGGTTGGAAGGGACCCCAGGGGTCATCTAGTCCAACCCCCACTCCATTTCTTCTCCACTCCACTCCACTCCACTCCACTCCACTCCACTGAGAAGTGGAGAGAAACAATTCTGAATTTGAATCCGCCCTTCATTCTTCCACTGGGCTGAAGAGTAAGACAAATTAGCTTTTCCATACCCACTTCAATTCTCAGGTACTCCAGCAACGAAGAAGCGAATCTGAAATCATCATATCTTCATGGGCCTTTTTGCAGCATCGCAAATAGCATCTCAGTTAGCTGAAATGCAAATCCACTCATTTATTTATTCTGTGTGGGCTGATTCCTGGGACAATGCAAATGTGTATTCTGTTATCGCTGGCCGTAATCCAAGCGCCTGGCTCCTGGCAGCAACACTGAGCGATGGCCACACAGTGCTGTTGTGGCCGCGGCAGCAACAAAGGCATGTTTTTCAGGCCGCTTTACAAGCGTTGCAGCCTGTCAGCCCATATGAACAGGTGGCAGACTTTTTTTGTTGTTATTCTTTTGCATTTGGTGATACAAGGCACCTAGATATTTAATGCTGGCCCCTAGGAATGTGTCGGTGTGGGTTTTCTTTGGACAAGTTCTATGCATTGCTACGTCCTAGGAATTTCAAACATTTTTTCCTGGATTATAGATATAAACACAAAGGTGCCTGGTAAGTAACCAGACTCCCTAGAACTCACATCCTGCTTGTGAGCCTCCCAGAAGTATCTGTCGGACTCCTGTTAGAAATGGAAAGCTGGGTTAGATGGACTTTGGTTTGAGCCAGCAAGGCATTTCTTATATTCAGAAATACAAATTTATTCGAGGCGTTCCAGTTTCCTCACTGTGGGCTTTCCCCCTTCCTTATTTCATCATACTTGCATTCCACATTTTGCCCAAGGAGCTCAGGGTAGTGTGCCCCTTATTTATACATACAACAACCTTGTGATGTAGGTAGAGAAAACAAAGTGTGCTTTGCCCAGAAACTTGAATGCAGGCCTCGTTAAGTTCAGATCCAGTGTGCCATGCTAGAGAGTATGCTCAAAACAAAAAGGAATAGTTTAAATGATTTCCACAATGTATGTATATTTATTTGAGAATTTATAGACTGCCCTTCTAATATGTGTGCATATTTGGCGTGGCTTGCATCCAATAAAATAATGTGATTTCATGGTAAGTTCACCACAGAAAATATAGGCTGGAAGAGAAAAGTTATCACCAAACAGCAGAAGATTGGAAGGGAAAGGAGATTCCAGCTATACACCCGGAAGAACTTTCTGGCAGTAAAAGCTGTTTGATAGTGGAACAGACCCCCATGAGAGGTGATGGACTCTACTTCCTTGGAGGGTTTTTTTGGGCAGAGATTGAATGGTCACCTGTCATGTATGATCTAGTTGAGATTCCTGTGATGTAGGGGTTAAAAGGTAAAGGTAAAGGGACCCCTGACTGTTAGGTCCAGTCGTGGATGACTCTGGGGTCGCGTGCTCATCTTGCTCTATATGCCGAAGGAGCCGGCGTTTGTCCGCAGACAGCTTCCGGGTCATGTGGCCAGCAGGACTAAGCTGCTTCTGGCAAACCAGAGCAGCACATGGAAATGCTGTTTACCTTCCCACCGGAGTGGTACCTATTTATCTACTTGCACTTTGATGTGCTTTCGAACTGCTAGGTTGGCAGGAGCAGGGACTGAGCAATGGGAGCTCACCCCATCGCAGGGATTTGAACCGTCAACCTGATCGGCAAGCCCTAGGCTCTGTGGTTTAGACCACAGCGCCACCCTCGTCAATGTAGGGGTTAGGACTAGGTTATTACAGTGGTACCTTGGGTTACATACACTTCAGGTTACATATGCTTCAGGTTACAGACTCTGCTAACCCAGAAGTACCTCAGGTTGAGAACTTTGCTTCAGGATGAGAACAGAAATTTTGCTCCGGCAGCGTGGCAGCAGCAGGAGGCCCCATTAGCTAAAGTGGTGCTTCAGGTTAAGAACAGTTTCAGGTTAAGAACGGACCTCTGGAACGAATTAAGTACTCAACCCGAGGTACCACTGTATCCCTTCTAAATCTACAGTTCTATGATTCCAATGACTCAGCTCTTGAGTGGTCAGGTGAGCATTGCTGCCCCCCATGGTCTTGCATTGGTCTGGGTCTTTAGATGTCACTTACACAAGCGTGTCCAAATATGTCACACACACACTATGGAACACAATTCCTTGTGAGGTAATTTCTGCAGAATGCCACCCGTCTGGAATGTCCAGTGGAACTTCCTCAAGTCATGTGGGGGTGTGCATGGCAGGCATAGATTTCAGCTATCTTGACATGGCGATGATAGAGACCTTTCCCCCTTCTCTGAACTTCCTGGTGCACACCAGTACCAATTTGGGTTTCCTATAAACTAACAATAGGGGATCTCCTAGCTCGTCTCCCTGAAGAGAGAGCGCTGCATACTGCCCGTACATGGGCACACTGCGTGTGTGCCCAGTGCTTAATCTTTGTTTGAGAGGAATGAAAAAACATGAACAAGCCGGTGACGTGGATGGCTCTAATGGGAGATTGAACAGGTATGATAAGATCGGTGCCAAAGTTGAATAAGGGCCATGATTTGATATGACTCGCTTGCCCATAGTAGGTGCTATTAGAAAGGCCTTCAGTGGCTTCCCCATATAAATGGTTGACAAATATAACCAGAATTTGAGGAAGGACAAAGGAAGCTCAAGTGAAGAAACTGCTACCTGTGTCCTATACATGGAATTGTTTAGAATTATCTTCACTATTAACATGTGAACTTTTTCTTCTTATTGTATTAGTTTGCTTTATGCAAAAAAAAAAGAAAAAAGTCTCAAAGTGACTTAATAATAATAATAATAATAATTGTTATTTATACCCCGCCCTCTCCAGCCAAGGCCGGGCTCAGGGCGGCTAACAAGCAATAATAAAAACAAGTTGAATGAATACAACTTAAGAACAAGATTAAAATACAACATTAAAATATTGAAACATTAAAATATTAAAATGCAGCTCATCACAGGAGGAGAAAGGAAAAAGAAAAAAGAAAGGGGGGAGGGAATAGAACGCGAAGAAATATTTAAAGAGTAGTAGGACAACCCTGGCTTATTGTTTGATGTAGTCTTCTTTTGCCGTTAAAAGGGATTTCTTCTTGAAAAACATTATTTTTTTAAAAAAAGGATATTCACTTCCCCAGTTCCCTTAATATTCCCGTTTGTTTCATAGCAATGCAAGACTGGAATGTACAACAGCGCCTGATGCCGTAGGGGACATGGGAAGCAACGATTTCCTGGAGAAAGATGGGCACGAAAACCTGGGGCACGACTTCATCAATGGGACCACCAGCGGCAACGCGGAAGCAGCCCGGAGGCTGGCAAAGCGCCTGTATCATCTGGATCGATTCAAGCGGTCTGATGTAGCGAAGCACTTGGGGAA